CATATGAATAGAATGTGAAACGAATACCAAATGTGTAGAAACTAAGACCGAATTCAGGACAATCTCCAATTCAATCAGTTAGCCCACTTGTAAAAAGATAAAGAATGATGAATGCCTCTGTAGATTATGATACAAGTGGAAACAAATCAACTCTTGGCAAAACAATGATAGAAACAGAACAATTACAAACAATAAGTGAGGTTGATAGACCAAAATCGAAAGTAGATACTAAGAAGAGTAGTAATGTTTCAAATATCTAGAAGAGATTTAAATGATTATATTTAATAACTAATAATAATAATTATTATAAAATGGCTGGTGTTTTGAAGACTGTTGGAGACTACTTTGAATTAGACAAGTATCAGAATGAGATAGCTCCAGTTGTAAAGGAGAACTATGATATGATTTAGAAGATGGTAGAGACAAAAGAGAAGGAGTGTTTGAATAAGAATTTAGATAATGAGTAAAAATACATTGAGTGTATGTAAAAGAATGCTGAACGATCATAAAGAGCATTAAAAAGACTTGGTAATGAGATGATTATAATGATGATAAGAATATGGTATTATGTATTGGAAATAAAAAACTTATGAGTGTTTTCATAATGAAGCTTACAAGGATAAGGAATTCAAGAATTTCGACAGATGCAAACCCATAGCAAATCGAGAATTATAAGAAATCTTTTCCAGTTTTAGGTTGTGAATAATGATGTTCATTAAATATAAATTTTATTAAAAAAAGATATGAATAAATAGCGCAAGACTCAATTGGAAGAGTTGCAGGAGAAAGAGAGTAGCTTTGGTAGAGTGTTCAAAGTGGCTGGTCCATGTAATTAGTGTTCTCTAATATGAATAGTGGTCGTGGCTGAGAAAATGGCAGGAGCTAAGATGTTTGAGTTAGTGAAAGTCGGTTGGGATAAGTTGGTTGGTGAAATCATTAAATTAGAAGGTGATAATGCATCTATTCAATGTTACGAAGATACATGTACTTAAAGCTCATTTATAAATGATTAGCTGGATTGACAGTCGGTGATCCTGTCATGAGAACAAAGTCCCCACTCTCAGTTGAATTGGGACCAGGTATTCATACTAAACCTATGTAGGTATTTTGACTCAAATTTTCGACGGTATTCAAAGACCCCTTTAAGTCATTGCTGAACAATCTGCTTCCATTTTTGTGCCAAGAGGTGTTGATATTCCAGCATTGGATTAAGACAGAATTTGGGAGTTCAAACCCTCATCTACAATCAAAGTAGGCTCAATGATTAGCGGTGGTGATATCTACGGCTCAGTCTTTGAAAATAATCTCTTTGATGAACATAAAATATTGACAGCACCAAGAGTCCAAGGAAGAGTCACTTACATAGCACCTGAGGGCAATTACACTTTAAAGGACAAAGTCTTGGAAGTAGAATTGGATGGCAAGAAACACTAATATGGAATGAGTCACTTCTGGCCTGTCAGACAACCCAGACCTATCATTGAGAAATTGTAGGGTAATACACCACTCCTTACAGGACAAAGAGTTCTTGATGCACTCTATCCATCAGTCTTGGGTGGTACATGTTGTATCCCAGGAGCCTTTGGATGTGGAAAGACTTGTATTTCTTAGGCACTTTCTAAATATTCAAATTCAGAATGTATCATCTACGTTGGATGTGGAGAAAGAGGAAATGAAATGGCTGAAGTGCTCAGTGAATTCCCAGAATTGACTATTCAAATGAAAGGAAAGGAGGAAAACATTATGTAGCGTACTTGTTTAGTCGCCAACACCTCCAACATGCCTGTGGCTGCAAGAGAAGCATCCATCTATACAGGAATTACTTTGGCTGAATATTTCAGAGATATGGGTTTCAATGTATCTATGATGGCTGATTCAACTTCAAGATGGGCAGAGGCATTGAGAGAAATCTCTGGTAGATTGGCTGAAATGCCTGCAGATTAAGGTTATCCTGCTTATTTGGCATCCAAATTGGCTCAATTTTACGAAAGAGCAGGAAGAGTCAGATGCAGAGGTTCACCTGACAGAGAGGGATCCATTACTATTGTCGGAGCCGTCTCACCTCCAGGAGGAGTATATACATATTTAATATCTTTAGGATTTCACAGATCCAGTCACAACTGCCACACTTACTATTGTGTAAGTCTTTTGGGGATTAGATAAGAAGTTGGCTTAAAGAAAGCATTTCCCATCTGTAAATTGGACCATCTCCAACTCTAATTATGAAAAGATTCTTGAACCATATTTCAATGCCTTTGATCCAGAGTTTTCTCATTTGAGAGTCATGTTCAAATAAATCTTGCACGAAGAATCTGAATTGAATGAAATTGTCCAATTGGTCGGTAGAGATTCTCTATCTGAAGATTAAAAGTTATCATTGGAAGTATTTAAATGATCTCTATTTTTAGATTGCCAAAATCATCAGAGAGGATTTTTTATAATAAGATGCTTTCAGTAAATATGATTATAATTGTCCACTCTATAAAACTATTGGTATGATGAGATGCATCGTCTCTTTCTTTGAGTGTGGTAAGAAAGCCATCCTTGAATCATCAGGAGATGCCAAAATCACTTGGAATATCATCTTGAATCAAACTAAGCCATAATTTGTCAAATTATCATAAATGAAGTTTGAGGTATTATCTTATTTTATTACTCTAGGATCCAAAATAACCTAAATAAGAATTAATGAATTATTTCACTAAATTCGTAGACGAGATCAAATCAGCATTTAGAAACTTAACAGATAAATGAGTATTAATAACAATTACATAAATAATTATTATATGATCAATTTTATTCATATTATTCTTTTTACATTGGTTTCTGCTAAAACTAATGAGGAAGAATTGAGAGAAGCTGCTTGTGTTATATTTTCAAGATATATACTCCAGGTTCAATCACTCCAAGCTAGTCCACAGATTGCAAAATTGATTAAGGAATAGAAATATAATTAGGATGATGCCATTTACGTAGTCTAATCAGCAGCACTTGATAAATGCTTAATTAATGTCAAATAAAGAGAAGTCACTAGAGTAATCGTTATCTCTATAATCTAAGATTTTGGATGGATTGTAAAATCAATAATTAGAGTTGGAGAAATACACTCATCTCCATGAAAATATTTAATATGACAGATTCATCAATAATAAGCAAGAAATAGCTAAGCTAAATTAATTGACTGAAATCATAAAAGATGTTGAAGAATTAATTCAAACACAATGGTAGAAGAGACCAGAGGTTGAAAAGAGAAGGTAAGAATAACGAGAATCCGAAGAAATGGATCAAGAAATTGTAGATTAATTAAATGAAGTGCCACTGGTAGAATAATTTGATCTCACCAAATTTTCATTGAAACACATACTTCTTAAAAATAAGGAATACTTGATTTTTGCTCTCTTTATTTTAGTGCCAATAGTCTTGATATTTAATGGTAATTTTATGAATAATTCTTAAGTTTGTTGTAAATCTAGAGATCAAAAAGATAAGAAGAGTTCTGATAAAAAATCAGTAAAGAATGAAAAAAAGGATTCAACAAATTCAAACCCTGAAAATAAGGAGGCAAAGGAGTCATCTCCAGACAAAAAGACAGGCAAAAGTGAGAAAAGTAAAAGTAAAAAAGAATGATTAAATTACGTAAGGTTTCAGAATTTTAATTGGAATTAATATAATTTAATTAATAAAATAAATATGCATTAATTTCCAAAAAATTATTCTTTTTACAATATGCCTTAATTTACCTTTAACTTTTATTCATCTAGTTCTTTCATATCAATTGAAAACTATTATTTCATGCAATCATTAAATTTATTATACATTAGCAATAATTTGAATTGCTTATACAATTAAACAAATTTATTAACCCTCACCTCTATAATTTTGTTCATAGCCAAAATGAATATTTCTTCTTTATATTAAAATCAAACTAACAATTATCAAACCAAAAGATTCAATTTACATATTTGTCACCTTATCTATGGGATAGGAATATTAGATTCAACTTTATTAGGAAATTGGAGAAGCTAAATTATTAATTTAACAGATATCTTTTGCTTGGGATTTCTTAAATTCATAAAATATATATTTAAATACAAAATTTTATTCTTTTATGCCTCAATTTCTATTATTTTTTTTTTTTTTATACTATAGTTTATTTTTCAAGAAATTGTTCGTGTCAACATAATATTAATAAATTCTAATTGGAATTGACAAGCCTACATCATAGTAATATGTTCCCCTCCATTAGATATCATAATTCAGGATGGTTTTAGACTATTATCACATATGTATGGTTTTATATAATGTTAGTGTAATTATTTTTAATATAAATAATTAGCGAATGGAGCATCATTAATATATTGAAAAGATAACTGAAGAGAGAAGGATTCGAGATGAATAGTAATATTTTAATTTAGGTTCCTAAGACGCAAACAAAGACTTTTAGAGGAGGAGAAAATCAAATAACAATCACTCTAGTAACTAGAAACAATTAAGTTATTATAATTGAAGGATCTTCAGGATTCTCGCAGATTGTAATCTAAATTAAATGTGTCATATATTCAATTGAAGTCAGATGAAAGATCTTAGAAGGTAAAGGAATAAAATAAAAGAGTCAAATAATTATTAGAATAATATAGAAAGGAAAAGTTATAATAAGAAATACAGTAAAAGCAGTTAGAACAACAGAAAGAGGAAGAGGTCAAACTAAAATTATTGCAAATAAAGGAGAAGTTCAAATTATTGACAACGGAAGAAATAAAGGAGCATTAATATAAATATAAGAAATATTAGCAAGAACATTAATAATAGTTGACAATCTTGAGAGATCAAAAATAATTATAAGACACCTACTTTTCACAATAAGTTTAATCGAGATTAAGAAGCAGAACATATTAAGCTTAACTTGAAATGATGAAAGAAGAAGAATAAAAAAGAAAAGATAATGTAGAGAGATTAAGAAGACAAATTAAAGAAAGATTTGCATATGATAATTTTGTCAAAGAACACTTTTTACCTAAAATCTCTCATAGCATTGATTTAACTAGTCAAACCATCATCAATTAAAAATCAAGCAATCAAATGTCTCCAATCAAAAGTGATTCTAGGGTTCTGGGAAATTTATATTTAAGATAAATTAGAAGATTACCCAGAAGACCCAGAATTTAATCTTAAGCTGTTGCAGATCAATCATCATCATCTACAATAAAGCGAGACTATCTATCAGAAATTCGACAGCATTCCAAGAAAAAGACTCCATAAACTCCCCTTGACATTAGATTTTAAGCAGACAGGTAAAGAATTATACCTTAACATTAAAGGTTGGAAAGAGAATCTAAATAAGCATATACAAAGAGTAAGCTAAAAGGTGATAAACTGTTAATGGAATCAATAAAACAAAAAATGCTGTTGTTAGAATTATGAATATTAATGATACTATTTAAAGCCACTCATTCAAGATCATAATATACAATTATCTTAATTCCTAAATATATAAATTTGATGATCCTTAATTCTAACCCTTCAACCATCGAATCAATCTTACATTCTTTCTGATGGTAATATCTATCTCTTTCCAAGTTTCTACGGTATCACCTAAAAATTAAAATGTGGTTAGCCGCTAACTAGTATTAACAGTGACCAATTCAAAAAATTGATTTTTTAGAAAGAGAATCATTTTCCACGAAATTGTTTTGAGCAATATTTAACTCTTAAAGGAGATAATTATGAAATGACTTATTATATCTTAGGTGATGAAGAAGACTAATCCACATTTGCTAAAGGTTTGAATATATTAGTGCCTTTTTCGTTTACTTACTTTATTTTACTTTTTTTATTTGAAAATCTAGTCAAATATTAATCTCTAATATCTTTTATCATTAAATACAGAGAAGCATCTTTTAATAAATCTATTGAATTGACTTATAAATATGAAACCAGTTTCATAGTTTTATTCTTATTCAGTGGGTTAATACTTTGAAAATGGTTTTTAAAATGTACATTTTGATTTCTTTATAATTATTGACATTCTCATAATATTATTAATGACTTTTTTTAAATATATCCTATCCAATTCTTATTACCATTCCACCTATTTTTTCATCTTTTTACAAGGTATTCACAATTGTACTATATATTAGTTATTTTATTACCTATTTACTTTTAGATGAAATTTATTGTAAATCTGAATTAATATCTTATTTTATACATCTAAAATAATCAGAAAGACATTAGGGTATTGGATAAGTGACTTTTATCTAACAAAAATATTCATATTGATCAGATGATAGTTAATTCAAGATTTACAGTGGTGTATGATTAATTTCAATAAAATATTTTTTAGATTCGACTGATAGGATTGAACTGATGATATGGTAGACGGAAACATAAATGATGCAACATTTTAAAATTTTGAATTGATATTTTTCATAATTTAAGGTGAGAGTAAATATAACTACTTCTCTACTTATTTTTATAACCCATTTAAATGATATGAAAGTGGTTTTTTTAATTATTATTGATGATTTGAGTTTAATGATTGTACTTTATTTCGTCAATCTTTAAACTTACTCTCTATTCTCACAATTTATGTAGAGTGTGTGGGGATTAATCAAAAATTTATAAATTTAAGAATATTAATTCTAAATTCATTTTGAAATATAATATCGCTAAAAGTGGCCTTTTATGGTTTTTATATTGAACTTTCTCTGTAACATATATGATATTATCAGCCTCAAAGGAGACTTTGTTTGCATTTTGGATTTATTAACAATTTCCCCATAAGATAAGAATAAATTCTAAGAAATTTAACAATAAATAATAATTTAGCCGAAATTACAATCAAAAGAAAAACAATATATAGCAGTGTTGTTTATTTTCATGTTACTGAAACCATTTGTTGGTCTATATTATAAGACTCCTCAGAACGAACAATCTGAAGAAATAAATGTACAATGAGGAAAATTATAAAACAAAATTCATAATTTATATTACTATATTGTTCTATAGATATCTAATAATATATTTATCTAATGGCTTAGCAATAGGGGAATGAAACAATAGTACCTATTTTGGTTACTCAGGAGGAATATAATGAAATCATGAAGTAACCAGATTACATGTAACAATAACTCTTATAGTAATTACAATAAAAAAAGTATGAGGAACAATAATAAATATATCAACATCCATATTTACAATATCAGAATTATTAAAAATAATAAGATAATAGTAAGATTGAGACATAATCACCAGTCCCTTCATATCCTATTAATAACTCAAATTAATAATAACAATAGTATTACTACACACCTTAGCAATAGCTTTTATAATAATATAATCAAAATTTAAATTAAAATTACATACAAAAAGTAGTCTTGCACCATAAAGAAGTTGAAGTTGCTTGTGAACGTGAAGTTTAATTTTTCAATCAAAATCTAGCTAAATACTTTTCGTTAGAATTAACAATTTCCTTATTGCTCAACTCTGTTTCAGCATTATTTCGAATGAAGATTATTAATCATTATTGGCACTGGAGCAGTGAACTATGGGTTGTTATAAGTCTATACATTTTGTTGAATTTATTTATATTGACTAATCCAAAGCTAATCTTATAAGTATTCATTTATAATAAATTCTAGAAAAATCATTAAAAGTTTGCATATGTTTTACATGTTATTTTATATTCCTTGCTATTATAAGGATTGTAAATAGCAATATAAGGATATGAGTACTTCTTTTGGAACTATTTCTATTTCTTTTATTTTATGATTACTTCTAGCTTCATTTCAGTCTGTTATTTTATTTAATAAAAAGGAATAAATTAATCCTTGAGCACTTATTTACCAGCCATAATAGCTCCTCCAAGCATTATATTCCTGCTTTAACTGATTTGCGTCCAGAGATTTTACTTGCCATTGTTTTTATGGGGAATTGTGATTGTATTTCTTGCCTTGGGACTGATATTACTATTTAGAAGAATAAATAAATTGGGATATGTAAATTTATTTTAGTATTCTTAGAACAAACATCAAACCAATGATTTTTATGCCATGGCATCCATTTTACATATGTTAATGATCAGTCCATTTTATGATAACGAATGATTATAAATTACAAAGCAATTAAAATATAATATATTATAATAATTATAAGAATCATTATATCACCAAATCTATGAGATCATTAAAACATATAATTAAAGCCTCAATCAACATGAATCAGCAGCCTAGGAGTATACTCGTCTCCTTGTATCAAATTCAAAGTGATAATTTGAATTTCGAGACAATGAATCAGTATCTTCATTTGCTCTAATTTCTTTATTATTTAAATTTCTAGGGAAATTTGATTTTAGGAAGTTAAATCTTAATGGTCTTTTATTTTTATATGTGATACTAAGACTGTCATCCAAGTCTCTTGGACTTAAATCCTAATATAGATTATAAAATAAAAGCATCTTACATTAATTGTTTCAAGGGTATTTTCGATATGGGTCACACTTAATCCTCCTCTTAGTTCTTAAATTAATTTTTCAATACGATGATTTCTACTAATCAACAGGTCTAATAATTGTTGAATATTATCAACCTTTTATTTCATTCTTCTACTCTATACAAATGCGATTTTGTTTATATAAATAGTAGGTAATGTATAGAATCTTGCCTTCGATGGTCTCAAATTGGTCCATTATTTTTTTAATAATAAAATTAGTAAGTTTAGAATATAATAATTCAAAGTGAATTTCGATAATGGTCGATAATACCTTATAATGCTTTTAATTACACAGGTTTCTCCAAATAAAATTTCATTCCAATTTGTTGACATTTCGGAAATTCAATCTCTTTTTAATGTCCAGAGCAAGCAACTATTATTGGTAATTATATGCAATTTTCTTCGCAATATGCAAATATTAATTTGGAAGCATTAATACCATTGATTCCCAGCATTTCCAAATCCATGAATATCAATCTATACATTCTACTTTCACATCTAGAGCATTTTTCTTTCTATTTTATTTTTTCAATTGCCTTATATCCATTTATCGAATAATCAACTTAATGAATGCCTCTAAATAATATTATATAAAATACATTTTTGATAGCAAAATCTATAAAGTATCAATATTGAATTGAGTATCGTCGACAATTAGAATTTTAGTGCAACATTCAACTACTTATACTAATGATTTTTTTGGCTGACTTATAACGATTTATATTTCTTTTGAACTTTCTTCGACTTCATTTAAATTTTCTAAAAATTCACTATCCTTCAAAACTGACTATTTATTACACAATTATTTTAAAATGTCAGATTAAAAGCTGTCTCTTTCTGGTAAATTAATGGTAAATGAAAAGTTTGAGCCTTTGTGGTAAGTTGATTCAAATTTCAATCCATTTCCCAATAATAAAGCAATCTTATTACTAATTAGCAACCCTAATCCAACACCTTATGCATTAAGTTTTTTACTCTCCTCTGAATTGATTTTACCAAAGGCCATCATAAGGATTTCTTTATCCTATTCTTAAATTCCTATTCCAGTGTCTTATATTGCTATTTCAATTACACTTTCTTACAAAGACTCAATATTTATTAGGATATGACCCTCTTGAGTAAATTTGAAAGCATTTCCAAGCAGATTAATCACAATTTGCTTTATTCTACTTTAATCAGATTCTATAATAATTGGACATTGAGTTGAATATTGCAAAATCAATTTGAGATTCTTTTTTTCAGCTTAAAGATTGAACATTTGAAAGCATTCCTAACATAACTTCTTTAGATTAAACTTATCTATTTTTAATTAAAACTTGTTAGCTTTAATTTGAGCCAAATCAAGGAGATCGTTGCATAAGTTTAATAAGTACTTTGAATTCTCAATAGATGCCTATATATATGCATTATTCAAGTCTTTTGCAACATATTCTAACATAGTTATCATACAGCCTAAAGGTGCTCTAAATTCATGGGAGACAAATGAGATCATTTTGGAATTGTAATTGCTATGACATTGAAGTTATTAAATATATTGTTTATAACTCAAGTCTCTACAAACCAAAGTCATAATCCTTCTAAATTACGAATTTATATACACATTCACTTCAAATATTGGGGAGTAGTGGGACTAAATATATATCAAAAAGCAATACCTGAGAACTCTATTTGCATTATTGTAAGTAAAATAAATGCTTCTCCTTATTGGGGTTATTCCAAGCTTTTTCAAGAAGTTGAGAAAATGAGACTTCTCTCTATTGTGGCTTATATGCACTTTGTTATCTTGAGTGTTAAGATAGAGACCCACTCAGTTAATGGAATATTGAATTCTATCTATCAACTCCGAAACTCTTTATGGACTACATTGATCTTTTGGGTTCCATTTTATCAATTTTGACATAGTTTTAAAATATTTATTGAAGTTGTGTTTCATCCGTAAATTAAAACATTTTCTTCGCTGATTTATTTATAAATGTTGGTTATTTTTCGTAACCCTATTCAAAAAGTATTACACCTTCTCTAATTTGATTAAAACAAAGATGTCTTGCGTAATTCTCCTAGAAATTCTCCTAACAACTGGATTCTTTCCATCTATATCTATCCGTGTTTGAAAATATTTCTACTAGCTATGAAGCAGCCTTCTAATTGTCCTCCTTCTATAGTTAGAGGTTGAAGATAATGAAAATTGCATATGTTGATGTATAATGTATTACCGTCCAAATTACCTATTATTCCAATTCATAGAAAAGTCTTATAATACAATAAAATGCAATAAATAACAAATTCACACACATTAACCACAATTTTACCTTATTTCTACATATTAAATAACCATAATAGAGTGGATGAGCAAAATCGAATTGTGGAATTTGAATCTCTATATGCAAAGCATATGTTAATAAAATTTGTATTACAACTATCCACTTCCTTTCTTATGATTAATTGTAGTAATGCATTATTATTGTAAAGGTTACCAATCCAAGCATTATTACACTCTTATAAGTGAACGAATTTACGATCGATTATATTAGTTAGCCCATTAGCAGTAAAGAATTAATAAATAAGGCGTGTGATATTTTAATATACATTATATATTAATGTTACTACTGTCATATTCGACTTCATTTTATCCATTTTATACATCGATAAAACAATCCCATTTAATTTAATTTAAATCCTTTTCAATAAACTCTTTCTTTAACTGTTTTGATTTCTTTTATCCCACATAACCGCATGCTTATTTATTCCGATTTAATTAGTTCCTCTAGTTTTTAAATTTTATTCCAGTTTATTATTAATGACTTAATATGGGAATCTAGATTTTAAGTGGAAAAACCCTTTTTGTGGGTCAAGTTATTAACCTCCAAAAATATAATACTCAGTCAATAAATTAAAAAAAATCTATCAGTTGCCTTAGGATAATTAATAAATGATTGACTCCATATTAATTAAGATAATTCCATAGGAAAAACCATCTTATGACTCTATTTTTAGAATTTGATTTCCTACTTAATGGAGTAAGGAAGAATAGTTTATGTTCATAAGAATGCCTTCTTTCAATCTTTGACATCGTTATGCTTTCAGAATGAGAATGCAGGCTAGGTGATTCAAGGAGCTATCCATCTTATGGAATTGAATTAGAATTTGCATGGGTGGAAATAAATCAAGAATCTTTAATCACCTTGAGAAGAATATATAATTCATCAGTTACTAGTTAGGCAAAATCGGTCCTATTTCTGTTTAAATAATTGGGAAATAAGGAACTTAATTTTAAGAATATTTAATAAGTGGAAAATCCAAAAAACTGCAAGATTATTATCTGACAAAATGGAGAAGCAAAATTAACTTTAGAATCTAAATTAAGAAAGTCAATAAATTTAGGAGTTAAACATGGTTTTATTACACAAATAGGTGTCTAAAATAGAATTGAATGCACCTCTAAAATGAAACGATATTAAGCTTGATTATCACTCTCAATAGAAATAAATTACCTTAAACAAATAAAAAGGAATTTTCTATAGTAGTATCGGTAGGAGCATTGTTCCTATCAATGGATATATGAAGGTGTTCTTGCATTAATGTTAGGATAATTTATAATAGGAATAGTAAATGGAAACTTAATAGAACCCCCCTTTTGAGAGTAATATCTTGGGATATTTAAGTAGTCTAATTCTGGATTTTACTTCAGATAAAGGAACCAATATTAAAGTTAATAATTATTAATTTTAAAGATTTGAATATTATTATAATTAAATGAAATACCAAAAATACTAAATTTTGTAAAATAATTGGTGATCAGTTTAATATTTTCTGTAAATTGTTTATTATAAGTTTCAAAATTTAAACTATACTTATATCTCTTCTGGAATAGTTTTTTATTCAAGGACTATAAAACACGTTGAGTATCTCAATTTAGATCTTTAAATTTATATGTTGTTAATATCATAAAAATACTTTATGTTTATTCAAATTTAGCTTTCACTATATTCTAACTATTATATTTCAAATAAAGTTAAATATAATTTTTGAGACTATCAAAGTATGGAATTCCTTAGCTATATTTAGATATAATACTATCTAATAATCATTTAAAATATTCATATCTTTTTAAGAGACATATTAGAAAGGTTTATCTGGTATTATTCTTGAGTGTAGTTTGATTCTAGATGGCAATTTCATTTAAAGGGGACTATTGATAATAAAGTATACGATTAAATTAAATAAAAGACATGATATTTGGTTAAACAAATTTAATAAATTTAATTGGCTATTTAAACTGAAGTTAAGGTGTATGATGATAATCTCATTGAGTATATAAAATCTTAAAATTGCAAAATATGATTATTATATATTGTACATAAAATTAGAATATAAGTATTAAAAATGAAAATTATATTTATAATCTCTAAAGCTATAAATAATGAATTATTAAAACTATGCTCAATATGGCAATTCATAGAATTATTCAAATAATACTTAGAATTAGCACCCTTAACAATACTAAAATGGATAGTAAATTTCAAATCAGAACAATAATAATTACTAATATAACATGGTACAACCAGCTAATTACCCAGTATTAAATTTTGAAAAAGAATCCTTTATCCAAGATTAACCAGATCACATTATACATCATGACTATTTATAATAACAATAGTAATAGTAATAATAACAATAGTAATAATAATAGTAATAGTAATAATACTAATAATAATAATAATAATAAGTAACTTAACAATAATAACCATATCAATAATTGGATACTAATCCCGCTTAAACACAATACATTTATGCAAATTAATAAATCGCCACTCCCTTTTTTTAACCAGGAGATTTAAATAATGACGAAATTATGATCGAAAAATTTAGAAGAAATCTAATCTATAAAATAAACTTCTTCTGGATCATCCAATAAACCATATAGATTATATTATGTATAATCAATATGGCAAGTTATTCGTACGATAGTTTGTTTTTTGATTACTCAACTGTGTAATATAGGGCAACAATTTATGTTTTTCTATTCTTTTCATTTGGATATATGATAGTTATCAGATTTGTAAAATCTATATGGAAAGTAATTTTATTTTATAAATATTAGATGAGAGGATATCAATCATTAATTTATCTTATTTATGCAATTGTATATTCAATTTTCATTAGTGGGATTGTCTCATCGAGCCGCTTAAGTTATTATCAAGAGAAAACTTACTTCTTAATTGGATTTCTTTACTTTATTGGAACTATAGGAATTTTAATAATGCTTATTTAATTTTAATTTCAAATTAAAAAGTTTAAAGAAGAGGAGATGCGAATAAAAGGTACTTTCTATCTCAATATTAAGAATTCATAAAGAGTATCATAATTGGACCAATCGGAATTCTATTTCTGATAACAGCCTTATTTGGTATTGATGCAGCTTCAATTTTATTACTTTATGAGCTTATTTGGTCCTATATCTTCACATTATTTTATATAAATAGTTTGTTATAAGTCTACAGAGGAAAAGTATGATAATATTATTATTCAAATAGTTCAAGTTGAAAAGAGACTAGCATTTTGTTGGGGTTATTTTAGTATACATAAATATGATTATCCCTTGTATCCCATGATTTATAGTTATAAAAATAATATTTATAAAATATAACATCAAAAGTGACTATTGTTATTAATTTAAACATTATTAAAAATGAATCTTAGATGATGTATTGATTATTTTAAATTAAGCAAAAATGAAGGAAAACTATTTCTCTCTAAATTAATCAAATTTGAAAATATTGATACTTAAAAAAATATTTTCAAATAAAATATCTTCAATATAATTAAGAACTTTAAAAAATATAAAACAAGAATAAAACTAATATAATGAAAAATATTATCATAGTTTTTGAGTTAAACAATTTTCAACCCTTTTCATTTTGATGATTAAGTATTATCTCATTCAAAATTACATCATCTGTATTTTGTTAAAGAAAATACTATTTTATTTTAATTTCAATTACCATTAGGAAAGTTCTATGTTACTCTATGCTCTTTAAATTCAAATTGAATGTATTATTTAGGTAGTTGTCTCAAGTGCATCGGTCGTTAATATAGGTTTCTTAAAGAAATGGTCACTACAACAATAAGTATATATATATGCATCTCTTAAATATGTTTTTATGTCTATTAAGTATATAAAATTTCATATTTAATAATGAATAAATTTAACTTTATGGTTCTATTTAATAGTATGAATAATTTAGTTACTTAAACACTTATTGAATTATATAATTATAATAAACTGCAATACTAAATGAATTTTAATAAATATCTGCTTTAATTACCTAAATTAACACCAATAACGATGGATGACAGTTATAGATAGCTTGGAATTATAAAAAATAAAAGTCCATTTAGAATAGAAAACAGAGATTTATTTTACTTAATGAACAAAAGCTAATTTGAAAGTTTATATTCGAATCCAAAAAAGTTAAAAACAGAAAAATAATAGTCTCTTCGGAATCATTCATTTAGAATGCACTCGTGTGTAAATGAAAAGGGTAAAGAAGCTCATCATCACTCCTTTGTTGAATATAATTAATAGCACTAAAAATAATGGGAAAAAAAAAAAAACACTATGGTAGCAAGAAGTCTTTAAAAACCTGAATTTAGGAACAAATCAGAAACCTTATGTTTAGATTAAAAAAACTAACCTGAATCAATTCAAAAAATGTAAAACAGGAAATTATTAAGAAATCCAAAAATTATGTTAAAAGAATTATGGGATGAAAATTATGGATAATGATACTCTTAATCAATTGATGTATTTAGTTTTAACATTCAAACATTTAAATATATCTTTTTAGCATTAACATATCATAACAAATTATTATTCTAAAAACTATCTGATATGTGAAATTAATATGCCCAATAAAATTATTGTTATTCTACTACCCTAAAAAATGGTTGACTATTTTTTACGATAAATATAGTCATTTGAATCAATAGCATTTGAGTTGTGGTGCAATTTTCTAGTTTCAAAGCATTTTAATGAAAAATTATAATTATCATAAATGATATTTACCTTCTAGCCTCATCAGTAAGCTGAAGTTTAGAAGATAAATAGTTTTTTTGTTGAGTAGAAATTTTATTTCTTGCAATAAGCCCTAAAAAGGTGATTATGAATTGACTATTATCATAAATCTAATTATAGTATTTTATTTAAGTATCAATTTACTTATTAATGATATTAAAGCTAAAAACTAGTTGTAGGTGGTTCTGTAGAAAGGAATAAGATGCTTTGAGTTCATTTTATATATAAAATTTCGAAATTTTGTTATTCTATAACCTTAAAAAATTAGGCCAAATACTCAATTATATTTTGTAAGCATTCTTAAACAATGGGCTTTTTGTTTTAACCTTATATAAATTTTGTTACTATAGAGTTTTTCTAATTATTTTTTCCGTTTAAAGAAAATAGAAGTAAAGAAAACATTTTTGAATAGATTACAGTTCAAAATAAAATAATATTAAGAAAATACTTATAAAATTAACTTGAAAGTAATTATGGTTTTTGATGATATTACTTTTTGAAATTGATAGAAATTATTCATTTTGACTATCTCAAGGAAGTTTCATTAAATTATTAAATTAATGTAGATAAACATAAGAAGAGCCTAAAATTTATTCTCTAATGGTATGGAAGTTTGAATCATAAGCTAAGCCAAGTATAAAAATCTGAATTTCACTTTCTTTAGACCATTTAATAATTATAAAAACAAATTTAATCTATTAAAATAGGCATAAGATGGAAATTAATGAGATTGGACATAGTATAAAAAGAGTTCATTTGATAATTTAAATGATAGATGTAGTTAATAAAATAATTATCTTAAGAAATATAAATAGTCAATTTGTTTTTTTAATGTTCTGGAATGAAAAGAAAATAAGGGTGATTAAGTATTTAGTTAATAGAGTTTATATCTGGAGTTTTCATATTATAAATATATGATTCAAGTTTTTAAGTAGTAGTTTTCTATAACTAGAATGTTTGGTTGCTAGGTTCTTAATTGGAATGGTTTCTTTGCTGATTATCTTAATAATGCAGGATCAAAAGGCTTTTTGGGTGTGGATGGTCTGATTAGTCTAGAATCCATAAATCGTTAAATAAATATTTAAAATAAAAATGGAAAGTGTAAATTTTGGTGGTGATAATCCGTAGCCACGTTTCGGTCATACAATATGTGTAATAGCACCTAACAAGATTGCATTATTCGGGGGTAAAAGCTATGTGTAGTATTTGAATAGGTGCAGTAGGAGACACAGGAAGATATGTGATTACAGGTGATGTGTATATAGGAGACATGACAACGAAGAAATGGAAGAGAATTGAAGCAAGTGGGAGTGTACCAACAAATAGAGCAGCACATTAAGCGTTAGCAATAGAATTGAATTAAATGATTATATTTGGAGGAGCTGTAGGTGGAGGAGGATTAGCAGATGATAATTTATATGTATTTGAATTAAGAGATGACACAGGAACATGGGTAACAGTACCAGTAATAGGTACGACCCCAGGTAGAAGATATGGACATACTATGGTTTTGATTAAACCACATTTAATAGTGTTTGGTGGTAATACAGGTTAGGAACCTGTCAATGATGTTTGGAGTTTTAATTTAGAGAAATCTCCCTATTCTTGGCAGAAGTTGGAGTGCTCTTCTGAATAGCCAAGTGTGAGAGTTTATCATTCTGCTGCATTATGTACAACAGGATCAGCAAATGGAATGATGGTAGCATTTGGAGGTAGAACCAATGATTAAGGAGCTTTGAATGATACTTGGGGGTTGAGAAAACATAGAGATGGAAGATGGGATTGGGTGAGAGCTCCATATAGAAATTAAACTGAATAGCCATTGCAAAGATATTAGCATTCAACTTTATTTTTGGGGACTTTGATGATGGTGATAGGAGGCAGATCAAATAATGTTGGGGAGACTTTGCCTTTTGAAATATATGATACTGAAACCTCTGATTGGTATAAGTTTCAGGCAATTCAAAGATTCAGACACTCTTCTTGGTTGGTTGATTAATTTCTGTATTTGCATGGAGGATTTGACTCTGATTAACCAAACATTCCAACAGAAGGCATTTTAAGATTGAATTTAAATACAAGATTTGCTTAAACTCCTTAATTGTTAAGACAAATGAATACTCTAAGGACTGATCAATCATTCACCTAATCATTCAATCCAAGACCACCAACCAACCAAACATAAACGTAAGATCAATTCAGAAGAACAAATCAATAATAACCATAGGCCAGAAGTAAAATTAACTATCATATTAGATTAAAATAATAATTAGTAAGTACGAGTATCTAGTGCAACTAACAAGAATATCCGATTAGCAAATCAAGCTATTGTTGCTATGACTTATGGGCCAGAAGAGGATATAACAAATTAAGTCAAGAAAGTACCAATTGACAAATTACAGGATGAACATAAGAAATTGGGAGCTGGATTTCAGGATCCAAATTCTCAAAATAAATCATAGTTTTTAGATTAATTATGCCAACCTTTCGTTTAAAACTTATTGATACCAAAAGATTATCAATCCATTCCACCCAATTCTAATTTGTTGACAGGGATAAGAAAAGAAATGATAATTAAATTGTGTGATGAAGTTCAAAGAGTTTTAGATAAGGAACCAATAGTTTTAAGATTGAGAAGACCAATCAAAATATATGGAAATCTAAATGGTTAATTTTTAGACTTGATGAGATTTTTTGATCATTTTAAAGCTCCATATGATAATTTGTATAACGGAGACATTGATTCATAAGATTATTTGTTTTTGGGTGATTATGTAGACAGAGGAACAAGATCATTGGAAATAGTGCTATTATTATTCACTTTGAAATTAAAATATGCAGATCAAATTCATCTACTTAGAGGACATCATGAAGATGCTAAAATCAATAAAATTTATGGATTCGCAGATGAATGCTTTCTAAAATTTGCAGAAGATATCATGGATCCTAATAGCATATATTAGAGAATCAATAGAGTTTTTCAGTATTTGCCATTAGCAGCAGTGATTGAAGATAAAATCTTATGTGTTCATGGTGGAATAGGATAGACTATGCGAACAGTAGATGAAATTGAACTTATTTAAAGACCATTGGAAATTGTACATGATCCAAAAACCGTATTTGAATTAATTTAATTTTTAGTACTAATAGAAGATTGCTTTGGAGTTATTATGGTCAGATCCATGTTTGGCTGAAGAGGAATTAGAGAATCAACCAAATCCAGAGAGGGACATATTCTAAAATAGACAAATTATAAGATTTGGAACAAACAGAGTTAGCAAATTCTTATAAGAAAATAATTTGAACATCATTATAAGATCGCACGAACCAACTCAAGAAGGATTTGAAAGACAAAATAATAATGTCATTACAGTGTTCTCTTGTCCAGATTACGGTGCCAATTCTCAAAATAACAAAGGATGTACCCTATTTTATTAAGACTTAAGCCATGCTCACTATTTCCAAGAGAGGTGAGATTATTCCCAAAGTTATTTTACCTGTAAATTCTACTTCGGAATCAAGATGGATGGATCTAGAAGAAGCAATCCAAAGGAAGAAAGGATTCGCCAAATATGTAGTTATAGACAATGATGAATTACAATGGAGAAAAAGATAGTTCACACCACTCAGATCTAAGAAATCCTAATCTTAAAAGTAATTCGCATGAATTAATTATTAATAATTGAATAAATTTTTGTATCTTTCATTATCCAAATATCTCTACTATTTATTAGGGATTCCAACTAGATCCGAACCCCCCTTGTTGATTATGATATTATCCTGCAGCTGGAACAGGTAAAACGACATCTTCAATCAGATAATCTGCAACCCCTGATAACATCTGTTAGGATATCTATTTCTTATTATTGTTAAGTTCTTTTTATAAAAATAAACAATAGGATTTTTATAGCTTTGTCTTATCCTTGATATATTGGTTGATAGTGGCTTGCATTTTGCTCATATACTATTATAATTATTAATTCGAATCCAAAATCTGAAGGGATGCCTTCTAGAGATTTACACTATTTAACAACGCCAAAGTTATTTATTTCAATCCTTGCTCATTCAACGAATTGTCCAATCTGATAATGAATATTAAATGATATTTACAATATTGTTAATCTCAACTTTGTGATGTTTATGCTTTTTAATGACTTCGCTATGTATTCCATTCCCTAAGATCCTAATTTCAATCCTGAATGCACTTGAAAATTCACTTATTGATTAGTCAATGATTTCCCATATAATTACATAATACATTTTTACACAACTTCAATTGACAAGAATGTCCATTGTTTAAGTACAACAATTTACTAAAATAAATCTATCATTTAGTTGCATTAAAAATTGTTTATCTTCTTAATTATCAAACTTAAAACTTTTAATTGTGATTGTTATAATTATTTAATAATTGAATCTACTGACTCTTACTCTATACTAGTGGATTTGATGAAGATTTTTAAATTTTAAAATAAATCCATTTTTTAACTCAAAGTGTTAAACAATATTTTTATTGATTGAATAGTATCCAATTAAATTTGAAGTGTTTATTTGATTTTTCTAATCTATTATGTATTTGTGGTTACTCTTATGTCACTACTCGCTGTGATTTATCCTATCAAATCTATTAAATCTAAATCGGAACAATCCTTTCCCTCACTTAATTCGATAAGTAACTTCTCTGTTCTTTCAAGAAAAGGCTCAATAGATTTAAAGCTTCCTTACTTAATTGTACTACCCTTCTACAACTTAATATCCAATATCTTAATATTGCAATCTTAAAATAATTCACTTGAAATCAATTTGTGATGAGTTCCCAAAGACAATTTAACTTATTTTATGTTTTTTACTTCTTTGTATAAGATGTCATAATTGTTGATGCCATAATTGTTACTAATGTATTAGAAATATAATCATACCCTAAATTTAATTCTAAAATTTCTAATTTTCCAAATGATTTCACAATTTAATCAAAAGAATTTTATGATAAATTTCTGGTGTCATGCAAAAACAAATTGAGTAGTCTAAGTTTTTCTATTTTTTAAAGTGCTAAACCTAATTAAGTGATTGCTTATTCATCTATTTCAGTTTAAGCACCTATTGATAGATTCAATTTCTCTATGTTTGGTTATGATGCCAACCATTGAAAGAAAGAATGAAATGACGTATCCAACTTATTAAATGGACTAATAAGTAATGTAAATTCCTTTAGAATTGAGTCCTTTTGAGCTTCTTCAAAGTGTGACCAATTCTGATTCACGCAAACACCTTATCCAATCTGCAATGAAATGGATTCCAATTTTTTCGATGTAATAAATTATAGATCCTTCAAACAAAGTGGTAATTCATCCCTATTAATATATATACTACTTACTCGAAATTTAATTTTAAATGCACAAGTTGATTGTCATGATTTTATATTGCTTCCAAAATTGGCGATATTTACTTTATTGGATTATTCAAATCAAAATGAATGTCAAGAGATTTTAGATTTTTTTAATTTAAAATAAATTAAGCCAAAATTCTCCCATCTTCATCAGAAAATTGATTATTAGCTCTAAAAATCAAAAAATACTCATACCCATATTTCAATTTAAAACTACTCAAATCCAAATGGTTTAACGATAAGATTAAAGTTGAGTAATGCTAATAATTTAAAAATCCCCTAATAATGTAAATATGTATATCATACTCAACAACAAGAGTTAAATTCTTGCATCCAATTTTATCCAAGACAACCTATTCAGAGGTCTGAATGACAATTTATAAATTTTCTGACTTTAAACATTAAATGTCCTCTTAATGCTAAATTGTGTGAGAAAGAGTCATTTTTCAATATATATAAATTATTTATGATATTTAATTCTTAAAAGTACGTATATCATTAATCCCAATTATAAAATTCATTTATAATAGTATCCAATTTCCATATCTTTTCCAAAACATTGATACTCAAATAATTATACAATATTAATTCAATAGTGTAATATATATTCATTAATCCTCTTGATATCATGATATCATGTTCTATAAAAGAACTCACCTCTTTAATATGGGATTCACAAGAATTTAAAAGCCTATATATCCTTTTCTTTATGTATAAAAAATAGGATTTTTGTTTATAACAATAAAAATATATTTATTATTTCAATATTTAAACATTATATATTTACTAAAAACAAATCAAATTCAATTAAAATAAAGTAATTCGATATTCTGTTGGGTCTAATTTGGTGGGCAAGTTCTGCCTAGAAGCAACAATTGAATCTCAACTTGATTCTGATTTTTTAATGTGATTTTGTTAAAACTGGAAATTTTATTATATGTTTTTGCTAGATATTATTTAATTCTTACATTGTTCAATTTAATGAGGATAGTATGAATAGGGAGATAATTACAAATTTTAATCGAATTTCAATATATCTACAATTCCTAAAGAATTTGAACATAGCACATATTCTTTAATCAATTCTATTTAAGATATTTTCATATTTTATTTATAAATTTATTTTGCCATCATAGTACTTAAATTTAAAAGTAATATGTAGGATAATTCCTCATCTAAATGCCAAAATAATAAAAAGAGTTGCTGATTTTCAATATCATGTTTTATGTCTACTAAGGCAAATTTCTAATTATTTAATTCATGCGGAATGGATATGAATTGTCCATTATTAAATGTTAATAATTGTCCATTCTACAACCCAATATAGTATGTATCTTCAGAGTTTTAAATTTGAATGCTTAGAACAGATTCAATAGGATTTTCAAAATTGTAAATTCTAGGGGGATATAATACTGCATTTTTTTGAATTACATATACCCTTAGATTTCCATCGTTACTAAAGACCAAACATAAGCTTCCTTATATTTTGCAATATATGATTTCTTTAATACTAACATCCAATATCGTAAAATGTTGATAATTGAACCACAAATTAGGGTAAATTGCAATATTCCTCAATGATATTTTCTTGGTTTAATAGCAAACAATTAAAACAAGTTAATTATCGATAACTTAACTCCAAATTTAATAAATGTAACATGTATTTTCAGGTAATTAAATTTAAGTTTTATTATTAACATCAATTTGTTCATTGACTCTGTAAAAAATGATTGCATTTTTCTTAGCAATTCCTAAGACTTTAAATTGCTCAACATAAATAGATTAAATGAAGTCACTGATTTCAAGAGTTTAGATTTGTGTTAGTATTTTGTTTTCGCATTCAAGTTATCTTGCATTATTTTAGAATTCATTGTGATTTTATCTTGTATTTTAATATCTGTAATCATTTCTTTGCTGATAATTCTATGTATTTGATTAAAATCTAATATTTTATTGATCTTCATTTTCTGGTCTTTGATTGAATCTCCTTTGCTATTGAAAAGGATTAGAACTTGATTCATTATTTAGTTAATTGAATTGTCTAAAATTTTAAAATTTCTATTGATTATTGTTAGATTCATTATTAGATTAATTAAATTTTTATTGATCTCTATTGTTATTTTAGAACATATTTTAATCTCTGCCTTGATATTATTATCTTCCTTAATTTTAATTAAACGGTCTTCCTTAATTATTTTGCCTGTCTTAATTAAAATTAAACTATCTTCCTTGATTATCATTTTACTATCTTCCTTGATTATCTTATTATTATCTTCCTTGATTATCCTATTATTATTATCTTCCTTGATTATCCTATTATTATCTGCCTTGCATATCATTTTATTATCTTCCCTGATTATCATTTTACTATCTATCTCTTTAAAAAGGATTATTATTTATGTTGTTTTATTATTATCTTTATTTAAATCCTTTTATGAATATGTAATATTACCATCGAATCTGAATTGATTTTAAGTCCTATTTTTTTAATCATCTCTTTAATTATTTTATTATTTATATCCCTCAGGAATTCGATTTTTTAATTATTAAATGCTCTTTTAGAATTTTTCTGCTTCTGTATTATCATGCTTGAAAGGACATTGATCTCCTTTATTGCATTTATTTCTGAGAAAATAAATACATATTTTTGAGCTTTGCATATTATAAATAAAAATATATTTAAAATAAATGTTATGCATATACTATTTATGAATACTTTTACAATCTTCAAATTCCTTTCAACTCATACATCAATAGTTCATCTGACGTATCACTGCTAAACAGAAGTATATTTGAGCCAATTTTGCCACTTCCACTTGAAGCAGGAGAAGATTAAGTAAATAATTAAAGTTTATGCTTACCATAAATTTATTGTCCAACTGTTAATTGATGTCCCAATTTGATGTCTGAGGAATGCATAGCATAAGGAGACATACTCAAATGATGTTAAGTTGCTATATTATCATTGAAACTAAATGTAATCAGCCAAACAGGGGGATTAACTTAAATTAAGTAAAAGGATAATACTTTTCTAATCAGAAACTTCAATCAAAACACTTTCCATTAAAGTGCTCTATATCTTTCTATTACCGAATTTTGAAAATACAATGCAGTTTCTAAATACATATTAATTTTAATACTTGTTGAAATCAAATAATTTAACTGCGCCTTCATTTGAAACAATTATGCAATGGCCTGGCCATTAAGTTGTGATGAAAATCTGACTAATGGACCCATAAAGAGGATCATGCAAATTCTAATCACAAATTAAAACAGGATCTTAAGAAGAACCATATTTCATAAGTCTCCAAATATTGATAATTGAATCTGAAGAATAGGATATAAATTTCTCTCCTTTCTTTAAAAGTGTCAACCCATTTATCTTATTCAAATGTTTAGTATTATTCGTTCCTATCTTCTGAGTGTACAAATTGCAAATATTTATATCTCTATTTAAATCACTAAATGCTATGTGAGTATTGTCCTTCAAATCTAAGGCATTATTTGGCATTTATGATAATTGGATCTTCCTAAACACTCTGGGTTGAGTTGAAATCATTATATCGTCGATATTCCAAACAATTAATTGCTTATCCTAACCCAAAGACACAAACTATCTGCTATTTGCTTCACTCGTACAAATCTTCTCTAGATATACTATGTTCTAAGTGTGACCTAAATATGTTGCTATCTTCTTTTATGTTGTATCAAATATTCTTAATTAGCTGTCATTTTATGAACCAATCGCAAACAAATTATCTAAAATTGATAGAATACATGTTATTTAAGTCCCTATTGAAAACTTTTTAGTTGGTTTCAATTAAAAACTAAACTAATTAAATTTAATACTTATCTATGTTTCTGGCTGCCATCTATAGTTGTAGATTATTTTCTCCTGTTTGCACTTAAGATAATTCTTTGTTACTGCCAAAAGGAATGTATAATCTCGCTGACACAACATTATTTAACACAAATCCAACCTCATTCACTACTGAATCTAGTATGTTAGTCTGCGGATTTTATAACTTATCATAGTTTGGAGGAGAATTAGTCATTTACAATAGGAATCTTGCCAAAGTTTGTAAATCTGTTAACATTTATAATGGAGTAACATTTCCTTATGATAGTTACTTGCTCTTATTCAGATGATTCTTTAGATTGGATAAAAATTATTGGGCTTCTGGAGTGCCTAAAGATGCCAACTTATATTAAAATGTATTTTAATTGGAATAATAAAAGTTTTGTCTTGACAAAAGGAAAAACTAATCTATATTCGCTTTTAATGTGATAAATGATTATTTGTATTGTTCATTGAAACTATCTAGTCTCTTCATATTCTCCTCCTTTATCGATTAAATTACAACCATAATTTTTTCTTGAAGATTTGTAATATCAATCGCCAATTCAGTCTTAGAATTATTAATGATACTATTACCTTCTATCTAATAACCATTTCATCAATCTTTTATAAATGTGCGTCTCCTTATTCCAAAATTTACAACAAACTGATATTCTCTTTATTTTACATAAATTCCTAATATAAAACGATGTTTTGGTTAGCCAATCTCGACATTTCTTCACAAAATTGTGAGGCCTTAATTAAAATAAAGGGATACAAATGCTTCGACGTCAATAATCTTTGTCAGATGATCGTTATGAAACAACTATGGGTCCTCTGGAGATTGAATAAATGGCCTTTTATCGCATGTTATGTCAGAACACACTTTTGTGATTTATTATTGTGTCAAAGTGTTTTTTAGTTGTGGTAAAGGCAAGGGAGTACATAATTTGTATGCTAAAGAATCCTCCATTTCAATTAATTCAATATATTAAAGATTTTAAATTATTTATTTGGAAATTATACATTTACTAATATATTATTGTTTTTATTGCTCCTTTTATGGTTAAAACGACTCACTTTTTCTACTGTTTAACTAATGAGTTACATAGTTTTGGTGACACCAATCTTCAATACTACCTCTTAGGATTCCTATTCTGCATATCTATCTTCTAATCTTCCAATTCCCCAACATCTACCTTACTTTTTTTAGCCTTGTAATTTCTGAAGATACCAATTGTCCTAATACTATTAATAAGTCTAAATTTTTTGTATTTTAACTCTAATTTTCATTCATCTGTAGTAATCTTAATAACCCAAACCTTATAATCTTAATTTGATCCTTAACTATGTCACAGATCCTAAAACTCAATTACTTAATCAGCTTGATTTTCAGTTTTTGAAATCAAAAAAAAAACGATTTCTGTTCTCATAATTAACTTAATTGAGACACTAATACTCTACTTTTTGGATTATATATGATTTCAATTCTTCAATAGAAGATTTCAGGTTTCAAACATTCATCTCAACGTTGCTGAATTGCATTTATATACAATTAAGACCTTCATGCTTGATTATAAGGCAGTCAAATAATGTTGTTAAACTAAATAATTGCATTAATATTCAATTAAAAGTATTCTGCTATATCAGAGACACACATTGAATTGCAACTAAACTTTAGGTTTATTAATTATTTGAGTATCATTGTTGCATCCATACTAACAGTTCTTGTCTATAGTGTTATAAACATTGATTAAGCGTTAACTTAGTATTTCAATTCTAATAGTTTATTCTGTTAAATATTTTTAATATTTTCCTAACTTCGAGAAGTGTATTCTCTTGAAGAATGTAATTTAATATATAATTCTTGTAAAATCATTTATTTGAAAATTTATTTTATTGTTTAAAAAATGAGGATATTATATCATGATGATAATGCCCACCATAGCAAAACAGCAAAAATAACTACTTCTACTACTATAGTAATTATTAATCCACAGTTTGAGGAATTAGCTATCAATTTAACTAACTTATTATTTGTATTTATCATGTACTAATTTGTCTTATCCACCTCGATGTTTAATTTATCTAGCTATTTATTTTACTCATCAATTGTTAAATTAATTTGTTTGCCTTATTATTTTAATTAATCGGTCTATTAAATTTCTAAATAATCATACCTAATCATTGGTTCTATCCAATAATTTATCTTATTGAAGTTGTAAATCTTTTTGGTTTTTGTAGAGCTCTTAATTATTCATAGCAGCTAGCTTTGCATCATCTCTTTAAAGATTTTACATTGCCACTTCTTATTTAGTTTCTGTAACAGCTTTATTAAATTATTCCTTAATTAAATCTCTTTGATTTTTCAATTCTTATATCTGATTTTTTCTTTTCTCATTTTCCTTTTACATCTAATTGTTTTCTTGATATTTCAAAACATCTGCAATTAACACCAATTCACGATCTATTAATGCCTTTCTAAACTGAATTACCCAAGCTTGCTAATTATCCTCTAATTTCCCCTTCGATCATTGTTATCTGTTATCCTCCTTTCTATTTTTATTCCCTTTTATTCATATCCTATTTGATTGAAACAATAAGCTTCTGGATTCTTTCTATATCATTTTTGAATTAGTCACTCATTATTATTATGAATTAATTTATCAATAAATTATAATCGATTATCGAATAATATCTAAAAGAATATTTTCTTAAAAATTCAAATATTTTGAGATAAAAACACTTTTTATTGTTGATATTCTCAGAATAGAGTATGAATTTTTACAATTTGAATAATAGTAAATATATAGATAAATTTAATGCATATTTGTTTTTCAACTAAGATACTTCTATTATTCTATGACAAAGGCATGTTATTTGGTTCTTTATTAGGATTCAACTAAATAAAAATGTAATTCTTCAATATTTTATTCTTGTTCATTCTTTATATTGAAAATGGCAATTTTATTTTTAGGTACAGTTGCCAAATCTGTAGCAATAGATTATCTAACATGCTAAATTTTTCCATCCATTTGTTGTAACAAATCCCCTAGAAAATTAATTCGATTCATTCTTTCAATCTTTTCAATGCTTCAATTTATTCAATGTTTACTTGGATTGCAATTAGTTTTAACTTGATTATTCTGATTAAGTTTTCATTATTTCTTATGGATGATAATTTTTCACGCGAAATGATGGACTCTTTGTTAATTAAGTGGAGGTGAACTATTATTACTAATTCTAAATTGAGTTGAGATAATTAGTACCTTGATGAATTGGCCAACATTGGGTTGAATCTAAGATTCAAAAGATATCTCATCATACTTCATATAATTGCATTTTGCCTTGATTTGGTGTTAGATTATTGCTCTGTTGAGTTGAACATCTATAGTGAGTTGCTGAGTTCAATCTTGATCCCTGAGAACTCTTGGCTCTATTTTAATCAACTAGAATTTATCTTTTGTTGTGTTTATTTGAGTATGGAATGTGACGGATAGCACAGATGTTCATTTTAATTGATTTTAATATAAGTAGATGAATTTCACTTTTTTAACTTCTTTTCAATGTTCTCTAACCATTTTTTGTACTTCTATTGCATTTCCACTTAAAAAAAGTGAACTTCCTCTAAATTGGCATCTTTGTTGTCTTCCAATATTGTTTGATCAATATTATATTTTGGAACAGAAGTTGTTTAACTAGATGAGGAAGGAGTTGCGACTATCTTCTTTATAGGTTATTTTTGTCTAACTTACTATTCATCATCAGTCCCTAGTTGAAATTAGAGTAATTCCATCGCACTCACTCTCTATTTGAAAGCCTGCCTTAAGATTCATATAATATAGACTTACAGAACTTTAAAAATTCGTTTGTCTCCTTATATCATCTCTGGCTCCCGGTGTTATATGACGATAATTCTTCATCCTAAATGAAGGACTCTTTCGCAACTGTGTTGAATTCATTGATGAATCTGTTGGTTTCGACTATTCATCATCGTTAATTACATTACCTTATCCTCAAACAAATCTAAATTGCATCTCTCAAAATTAGTTGGTGTATGCTAAATCTAAAGAAAACCTACTTTATAAGAAGGAGTGACTTATGATGAATTGAGATCAGAGTCCAACCTCTTCTTTGGTTAAACTTTGGGTCCCACGCTTCCATTTCTCAATTGTACCCGATTTATCTAACAATATGGATTCATCTTGGTCAATCCTACACTCATTTGTATAAATATATATATTATTTATATAATTTTTATTGTCAGATAATTTGAATATCTTACATCAAGTCCTAACATTGCAGAGTGATTACAAAATAATGAAATTCAATAAACAATCCCAATCATAAATATATGCAGACTAGATATTCTGATTTTCCTTAAAAAGTGTTAGGAATCTTCTTGCTATAAATATTCTACTTCTAAATATATAAAATACTATCAATTTGACGTACAAATTCTTCAAATCCACAATATTTTGATTCTCTGATTTCTCAGCATAATACTACTAATTCATTCTTTCCATTTACAACCTGTACCAAAATAACCTACTTCTACTTCTTTTAGAATATTATTATTATTCACCATTACATTATAGATAATTTATAAAACATTTCATATAATAAAATCAATTTTACGAAATTATCTTGAATGTCTAATAATATAACTTTGATTTTATCCTATCGTAACTTCTCTTCCTAAACTGCGACACTTTTGAATCAATTGAAATCAAATATTATAAGAGTATTATATTAATATCAAGAAATAGGAAAAGTTTAGGTAAGATCGAATAAAAGCTTAAAATAATATATTTATATTTCATAAATTATCTCAGATAATTTTGTATATTATTCAATTGTTGCTCTCTCTTAATTACCATTCAATAAATTATTAATATACATTATTAATTAATTATATTCAATATCTATTTTTTCTGATTAAAAGTTCTGATTGATTTCTATTACTTCTCTAAAAGAAGTAACAAACCCTTTCCAAACTCAAAATAAAGATATATCCCTCAAATTCTATATGCCAAGTAAGCTTTGTTAATTTAATCTAGAAGTAAGCACAAAGAAATTAAATTCATTTTAGAGTGTGGACAGGGTAAATTTCTGAGGAAGTAATGTAATTCCTTGTTTAGGGATATCTGATGACGTTGATAATTTTAAATTAAAATTAAATTGTAAGAAAAGGTTTAAGAAATAAATCAATTTCAAATTACTTAGTTAGCCAGCGTTTTTTGGAAACGAAAACTAAGGATTAGATAAGAGTGGATTGAGTTTGAACATCCATAATTGTGGATTTGATTTAAAAAGTGATAGATAATCAAAAGTCAAGTTTGCTAACAAATTAATTTGATTAGTGTTTTATAATAAGATTTGATTTTATTAATTTGAATGATTCCCTTGTATATATAGTATGAGAATCAACAAGAGCCTAATATATTGAACGTACCAAAATAGATTTGTTTGTTCCCAAATTATAAGTATATGCTGGATTTATGTTAGTCAAAATACGAGATAAATACAAAGGCACTACTAAGTAATAGAAAAATTCCTGAAAGCCCTACGCTAATTGTAGATTGCCCAATGCTACCCTAACAAATCTATAAAATATCCTATTTTAATATAAATGTCGTCTGATCAATTTATGGTACATTCTATCTATTAAATAGGTTCATTTGGGAGAGTTAAAAACTGATACTTGTGGAACAAGTGAGTTTATCTTTTTGCCTTAAAACTAGTTTGTTCCTTGCTATCATACCTAGGCTATTCCATAGTACCCCAAGATGTAACTCCCTATTCAGAAGAAAAGATAGATAAGTTTTATGTAGGATCAGAAAGATTCAAAAAATATACCGAAGAACTATTGTAAAAGCATAATAACCTTTGCATGTAAGAATCAAGACAATCTCTGCCTGGAAATTTTAAAAGACTAGTTGAAAGTTGTGAAGTTTATAGATAAGATCTCCCAATATAAAAAATAATTGTTAAACATTAAGATTTTTAGTAATCTATTGTAAAAGTCTGATGATCCTGAGGAAGAGGAATATAGAAGGGCATTTCGCATAATTAGGTATTATTGTAGAAATATCAGTAGTCAAATCTTTATAAAGAAATAAGCTATTAATTATATTTTTAATTCGAAAATTGTTCAACATAATTGGCATCTGAGATATAGATTATAAATATATAAGGGGGTGAAGGATCCTGACCATTTTTCTCACTTAAAGAATTTGTGAGAATAACTATCATTGAACTGTTATGGTTATATATATTATTTAATATACACAACCATATTTAATGCCCAAGAAGTTTTCTATAAACCCAAAGTAAATAGTTGGTTCTTATCTTTAATCAAAGAGCTCAAGCCGCTAGAGAGAAGGAGGTTGAGAAGAAGGAGAGCGCCAAGATTAAAAAGAAATAGAAGGAGGAAGAAGAATATTGGAAGGAGACAGATAAGAATGTCATATCCAAATAAGAGAGATAGAGATAGAAGGAATAAGAGGAAGAGACTAAGAGAAAGAAGCAGGAGGAGAAAAAAATGTTGTATGAGAGTGAGATGAATGCAATAGAATCAAGTATGAATATCAATATAAATTGATAAATTATATACTGGGGCTATAACTAAGAAGCAATTAAAGGAAGAATAAGAAAAACGATTGGCTGAACGTCTGTAGAATGTAGAATTGGAGAGTGAATAGAGTGAGAATGAAGAAGTTGAATAGGAATAATCAGAATAGTAAGATAATAATTAATTTCTTTAATAAAATTAATAAGAACAATAAATAAATTTAGAAAAACTTCAAGAAATTTGGGATTCAGACTAAGAAGATTTTGATGAAGTAAATTATTATCTAAACATCCTAATAGACGATTGGATAAAATTAGAATCACATTTTAAGAGATCAATAAAAAAAAGATAAGGAAAAATATGAATAAATCATTGATGCTGATGGAATTGATTAGTTTATAGATGCTATTGATGGAAAAGGTCCTTAGTAATTGGTAATGGAATAGAAATATTATAATAGAAATTCAAAGAATATTGTCGCAAAAGATTATAGAAGGTGTAGAAGGACAATCCTTTACTTAGACATTCTTAAATAATGGAAATGATTTATAAATAGGTAAAAGTCTTACAATATAATAAAAGTGGAAGACAGATCCTCTAAATCCAAAGAATTAATGATTTATAATAAAGCATAATAAAGTTAGATTTATTACCATATGCATTTAGTGATGGACGCTTACGTCATTCTCATTTAATGTAATTTTTATAAAGATGTGAAAATATACTCTTAATTTATTATTAATTAATGGGATTATGTGAAAGTAGAGAGACAGAACATATAAGTAAGCAAAGAACTGAAAGTTCCATTAAATCTTCTCTTTCTTCTAAAGATCAGGTCAAATAGGATACCCATTAATGGAACAGTGTTCCCTATAAATATGAGACTGTGATAATATAGGATAATTTGAAAACTATCGCAGAGGAAAGTATTATACAATAAGATCGGTCAATTTAATACTAATCTACAGCTACATCACCCCAAGCTTCAAAAGATATGAAATAGGTTTCTCAATAGATTCCATTGATGATAAAAAATCCTGCTGGCACTTGGAGTTTATAGGCACATGTCATAAAACATGGAGGAATGTATGAAGTATCAGTGGGTAAGGAATGCATAGAGATGTATGAAGAATGGGAATTCATTTTAAGTCATGATGGTCCTATAGTAAATTAAGATAGATTTGTGGTAATACGAAGTACCTATTAATCTTTAGTTACGTCATTTGTTGACAGAAAGTCTGTTGGTGGCTGAAGAGACTTTGCAAGGAGAGTACAAAGTTGGTTCTATAGCTAGTAAAACAATGAAAGATTAGGCTATGTGGTAATTAGAAATAGGTACAGATATTCTATGTGAAAATACATTCGTTAGTAACTTAATTTATTCTAAAGTAGAATTACGTCATGGATAATCTAAGTTATATTTGTCAAGAACAAATGAAAATGGTTCAATGGAGAATCATAGAAGAGTAGCGCTAACTAAATTTGATCCAATCAATAGTTTTTGGTTAGTCAAATTAAAATGATACTTAATAAATCACTTAAATTATAATATTATCTCTTTAACTTATTCAATAAACTGTTACACATCAAGAATTAATTTATTCTGTCGTTCAATTTTGGATTATTCAATAAGAGTTTATTTATATTCATTTTATCAGTTTCAAAAAGTTCAGTTCGATGATTATATTCATTCCTACATCAATATTTATTAATATTAAATTTCTATGTTGTTTAGAATTGTGTTTTATAATTCAAATATCTAGGAATCTAATGTCTACAACATTCATTTTAGTTTTGATTATCATTGATGATTTTATAGTGCTCTGTATCAAATTCATAATCTTCTTATATGTATTAGTGATCAAATGGGTTTCAAAAGAAGTATTATGAGTTACCTCTGAACTTTTTGTTGAAAGTGTCTTAGTAATTATTTGTTCATCATCCAATTTTATAAATTCACTCCTATAATTAAAATAATGTCTGAAATACAAGATGATGAGCAAGCTTATCTGAAGAGATGGTACAAGTTTGCTAAAATTCACAAATCGATTCAACCTCCTAGGAAGGATATTCATCTTGAATCTCTTTGTTACAGAATCAAAATTAGAGATGTCTCTAACATTTCACCTAAGAAGGATGTATAGTAATCAATAAGAATGCTGTTAAATTTTACAATTATTTATCATTTATAGAACTATAATAAGATAGACAAGTAAGTGCAATCAATTTGGCTATGGATTTTTAAAATAAACTTAAAATTGATAAATAGAAAGAGCAAGAATATTAGAAGATGGTTGAAACCATTAAGAAGTAACATGAAGAGGAAATTCAGAAGATATTAGAATAATATGAAGATTTGAAGAAGATGATGACAGATACAGTTGATGATGTAAAAGATTGTCCCACAATATTGACTGTTCACCATATCAATCAAACTCAGTAATAATATTTAACAAATGCGTAACCAACATCAGCATCATTGTTAGGATAGTAGTAAGTTTTGTAAGATTAAAAGGAATTAGAAAAATGGAGAATTATAGAATCCATGACATCGGTTCCTAGGAAAACATTCTACCAAACTTAATAACAGGACTTAATGGTTGAAGCCTAATTTGGAGGCTAAGCATTATCTAGAGGAGACATAGCATTTCTCAGTTAGAATGGAGTAAGAGAATTGTTTATTCAACATACAGATTACGTTGAAAATGATCAAATTAATAAAATATGGAACCATAAGGCTTCCTTTAAGGTAACTATTAAGGTAAGGACAATATGCATCAGTTGCTATGAGAAAAGCAGAGATCATTAATAAAGAGTTTAAGAAGATCAAAGGAGAATTGCAAGTCTTAATTAAATGTGTTGGAAAAGAGGATAGAGTGACTGAAGTTTTTGATAATAATAGTCAGATGAAAAGAAATTTAGCCTTTGCATATTTTAGAGGAGGAAGACAAGGACTTAATTAAGTAGGATCATAATGAATTGATTAATGAGCGAATCAAAGAATAAGAAGATAAGAAGTTCCCAATGGTATAAATAACAATAGTACTAAACCATTTATGGAAATAACCAAAGAGGAACAATTTGTCTAAGAATGCATTTGTTCATTCTGTATTTTAAAGTCACTTAAGTGATGAAAAGGTGATACATCCTTATTTTTGGAAGGTTGAAATTATTGAACTTGAATCAGAAATTCATATGCGACTGGATAAAACTTTATAATCTGCATAGATGATTAAGAAGTCAAATGTTCAGGTATATAGTAACTTAGTTTAAATCATCAACCTGTTGAATGGGAATATTATGTGGATTTGTACAATCATTCAAAATCATAGGAATTCAATATGATATAAGCCAATCAAAATAACTTTACTATGTTTTTAACAACTATGGAAAAAGTCATACTCTTGTTTAAAAATTAGACTTTTAGAGAAGTTAATCAAGAATATACAGAATTACAAAAGACTGAGGAACTATATACTATTAAAGGCAAATAGTTTCTCACATAATACAGTTATCCAAGATAAGTAGCTGTGTTTATCAATACAATCGAAGGATAATGTGTTGGGGGAATGAGAATCAAAATATTTCTTCATTATAACTCAACAGACCATGTTATAGATTCTACGAACGAGACAATCAATAAGTATCTATCCAATTCCCAGCTCTTTATGGATATACAATACTGCACCAGATAAGAGGCCTATATAATTTTGTAATAATGAAGAATTAATAGCTAATTGGTAAATTAAGCTAGCAAGTTTAGCTGGGTATAATTATTAATTATCCATATTAGTAATGGAATTGAAGTACCTCTTGGTTAAGTTTAAAATATAAAGTTAGCAGTTCATGTAGAGATATCAAGACAAGTAAAATTTTACTCATCTCATCCTATTTGTGTTTGGTTTCCATAACCATACGATCAATTAGTCAATTTAATACCAGGAAAATCAATATAGCTAATTTATGTGTGAGATTATTCACTGAACAGATTCATAAGGTAATGGTGACCTGTGTAGATGAATAATCTCATGAATTAGTCAAAGGATGGATCTTAAATATTTCACCAATTGTTCCTCCAATCAGTTAGGTATTTGACATTCAGGCTCCAAGAGATTCAATGAAGACTTACATTGTTAAATATGCTAAAAATAAAATAATGAAGTCCTTTTAATTTTTAAATCATCCAATACAAAAATATTAAAAGTAATCATTAGCTTAAGTTGTAGCTTGTTAAAACTAGATACTTATTCAAGCATAATAGATATAAGATGTTACATTATAGATTCATAGAGTTAGTGAAATGGATAAAGCAGAAGTTAAAGTTTTTATTGGTGATGAAGATAGATCAAGAGATACATTTGATTGTTTGTTATTTAGAATCACTTATATTTAAATATAGCAAATTTATATACATTTGAAATTCATCAATCTTGTTACTCATAATGTTCTTCATCTGACACTTCTGATATTCTTGGTGGCTGATTGGTTTATTTCTTATAACCGTTGAATTCTAAGATTTCCTAATCCTCATCTAAAAACGGATCCAATGTATCTGACACTTTGATGTTCTGTAGGTCCTCATTTGATTTTTCGAATAGCTAAGTATGTAATTATTGCTTACATTCAAATTATAATAGAGTAAACTAGAATTGTTGAATGATAGCCCTACAGACAGGACCATCTTCTATACGTCATGGTAATCAACCACTTGTTTCTAATTCCAATATTCTTTAATTTTTTGTTTGTTTTGATTTAATTATTCTTGCATAGTTTGTTATTCCTGTTCAAAATCGAAATTATTAAATGTTTCATAGATACCAATCAAATTTAAGAATTACTCGATCAGTACATCTCCATTTCCTGTGAGACAATTGAGAATTTAGAGAATCTTTTTATTATCAGTGAATGAGAATGGTTCTCTAATTTAATAATCATATTATTACTGACTCAAAATATGATGAAAATCATCTAATCTGATTTACACATTCTATTCCTTTGCTTATTATTTCAACCCATCGAACATTTCATTTAATTATTTCACTGTAATACCCCTGAGGATTAATTTAAACTTTAATTCGGTTAAAATCAGTTAATGAAGTGCACTTAATTTTAAGTGAGAAGAAGGTTTCTTTAAAATGACAAAAGCTTTTTCTCTATCTTAGAGCATTTTTATAGTGACTTTTAGATTTGTTTTTTCTGAAATTAATTTCTTGTTTTATGCTTATAACATGTTAATCTTCTTTTCATGTTACTAGATACTAGTCTTGTTCAATATCTATTAAATATATAACTAAGTTAAATTTACTTGCTATTGTTTTAACATTTCTTCAAGTTACTAGATTTTTGTATTCAAATTCTTGTTCTCATTGACATTATTTTCATTCAGCCTTTATAATTTTTAAATGTCCACCTAAAGGTTTTGGAACCATTACACTTTTTGATTCAAATCGTTTATTTATTTAATAGCATTTTCATAACAAGATTTCAACTTTGCATATTCTTCAATTTAGACTTTGTTTTCGCATTCTAATTCAGCTATTCTAGTTATCTTAGCACTTCTTTTTAAGTGTTCAATCTATTCAATTTTTTCCTTTAATTATTATGACAATTCTTTATTGTGTTTCCGCAATTGAATTAGGAGTAAATCAGAGGATTTATTAAGTGATCCAACACATAATTTTTCATACCTAACTAGATCTTTATCAAATAATATAATTTAAGTTTTCAATTTAGTGTTCTCATTGATTAGCTTATTGTTTTCAACTTTTATTTGTTACAATTCCTATTGCATGCGCTCTCGATCATCATAGAAGAAAATTTTGTCATAAGTTTGATCGACGAGATCTTTGCGTCGAATATTTGTCTCTGCAGTGGAACTTGATCTATCATTAAGCTTTCGTTACATAATTAATTATTATAAATGCATATCAGAGATCATCATATCTACGAATAACTTCATATCCTTCCATAACAGCATTGATGTATCGTTCATATTTCTATAACATATCCCCATATAATTTCATATTTTCCAATCGTTATTCCTTAGATTGCAATTTTTGTTGTATATAGTTAGTATCATCATCAAGTAAGGCTGTTCTCATTTACAAATCTTGAACTTCAAGCATGATATCCATAGACCTCTCCATGCAATCACTCAGGCGTTTCTTACAATTTCTGATTTCTTCATACTCTTCAAAAGAGACTGGAGATTGATCTTTGATTTGCTGGATTGGAGTAAGTCTATTGCAAATCTGTAGCACATGACATAGGAGAACACCTTCTTCATCGCGTTAGTTAAAAAGTTAAACAATATGCATGCGGTAATGAGGGACATCGAGACATGTAGTAGTACTACATACGATGTAGGATACTTTAGGACAATGTTTTGGAAGTGGTGTTTAAAAGTTCATTTTTTTCCATTTGAACACCTTTTTTGAATTATCTTTTAGTCTTGGAAATCCCAAATTTCTTAGAGAGGCTTTTCTCAAGAAGTATAAATAACCATCTATAATAATGAATGGAAATAAGATTTACTTTTGGGTTCATAATAAATATCTTCTGGATGTTCGTCAAACATAGGTATTTAGTGATCTCTACCATTCATCAATAAATCTTCATACTCATTGCCTTACAAAGACTTATTTTATACAAATACCATTTAGCCAACGATACTGATGAGGTTGTAATTCACACTAGGTGCTATCCATAATTAATTAAATGATTAAACACAGTATGGTTATCTTACTTCATCCAATTCTTTACTTCAATTTATTTCGAACAAAAATGATTAAATTAATAATGAGGAGCAATTTATATTTTTGTAATATAATTTTGATCCAAATAATATATATTTATCAATGATTCACTTATGTGGTATAGATGCGATAGACATCATCAAAGGTATTGACTTCTTCTTGCTTCAATTTTCTTTGTTCTTCATAGAATTGTTTTGCAGCATCGATATCCTTTAATTAATGCATATACTTACTTTCAAAGCGACCTAATGAGCCACTGTAATCTATTTTAATCTAGCTCCACATAAAACGGATGCTTGTCTTCTGCCAGTTAATTAGTTCATTTATTTAACCTATATTGATAATTACTAAATAGAATACCAAATAATCTTTTTCATATTAGATAGTTTTGTCAAAGAATTGATTTTCCAATTCAATGTGTAATTTGAAATCAATGAATCCTAAATTAGATCTCACTTCATCATTGGCTCCAGTCTCTAAAGATTTTTTGGTGTGATTTTCAATAGCATCCAACAATTTTCTGAATCCCTAAAGTATTTATTAATCATAAATACTTCCCAATTGTCTGCAAATTCTTCTTCTCCAGGTGGAACAACAGCTCCAGTTCCATGAGGATCCTTGGTAGGAACAGCTTTGTTGGGTTGTTCATCTACATGATGATCTGGTTATTTATCATCAATAACAATTTCTGGGTGATCTTCATCGCTGGTGTTATCATCTGGGTGAGTAGTATCATCAGTATTTTTAGTATCCTCAGAATTACCAGAATTATCAATATCACCAGAATCACCACCATCTTGATTATCACCAGAGTCACCAGAGTCACCAGAATCACCTGAATTAGAATGTTCATCATGTTGATGTGTTTCTTCCTTCTTTGATACTGGATCCTTGTGAAGTTGTTGAGAACCTGAACCTGAACCAGAACCAGAGCCTGATTTACCACCAGTTGGTTTTGTACTTACTCCACCTCCATTTGTGATTTTAACATTGAGATCTCCAGAATCAGTTGTTCCATCATCATTTTAAACAACAACAACTGTTCCAATTTAATTATCACATCCTGGAATAAGAACAACTGCATTGTTTGCCTTATCATCATCATCAGCAGCTTAGTCCAATTAGGTCAATGCCTTTGGTCTGATTCTTTGAATAAGTGAAATTTCATCAAAAGTGCCTTATTCAATCTCAGGAACAATGAGATCGGATTTATCATCAATCTTCTCCATTAAATTGACTAATTGTCCACTACGATATAGCTTGACGAATTTGCTAACTCTATCGTGGAATTATGTCACTTAGGCTAAGGATTATGCTCCTCCTTCCAATTATGTCAGTTCCTCTCTCAAAAACTTCACCAAGGCCAAAGCATACCTGAAATTTCTTATGTCATTCACATAATTGTTTGTTAATGCACATCTTCATATTTAGAATACACTTACATGCTTGCTTCCAACACTCCAATTTTTTTAGTATTTGACTATTATCTTCCACTCATCCAATTGATGAAACTCTCACTAGCTAATATATCACTTTGCTTTTAAGCTATGTCATCTTCTTTGTTTTGGCACTCAGCTCTTTAATTTAATACAGATTGATTAAGAGAATCAGCAACACTCTATTTCTCAGCAATTCTTCTTTGCCAAGCTAGCTCTAATCCCTCTAATTCCAATTCGGCGTTGTGCTTTAACTCAGCCAACAATTGTAATACGTTTTCCTCGCTTGATGTACCTAGTGCCACTACTAGCACCAAAGCCAATAACATATACTTCATTTTAATTAATTTATATAAAAACGGATTAGAACTTCCCTTACTTTAATAGATTTTTTCCTTAGCCCACAACTCTGGATTGTGTTTGAAATTGATGAACAACCAAATTAATATAATATAACTGCCTTACTACAAAAATGTATTCATAAAAAACATCTGCATTTTACAGACCCAATCCAAAATATGATTAGAGCACCACTATCATTTCCCATTTCTTTACTCATGATACACACTCTACCCATTCACATAAAGATATAGTATTGTCTATTTATCGAACAATTTCCTGCATTCTTTCTCTACTCAATCTTCAAAACTATAGTAAATATTCTAAAAAGTTAATCAAATCTTATTTAAAATCAGCAGACTCCCTTTAGCTTATTTCATTTCTCTTTAATAATCAAACATTTTTTCTACTATTAATATTTATCCTATCAAAAAATTGTAAAAATCTATTCTGAACTTTTGCATCTAATAAAGCAAAAATTGAATCATTTTGAAATTACGATTTTGTGAATATTAATCTTATTTAATACAAGAAATTATGATTAAATAATTTAAATCTAATCCTAATATCTTGAATAAAATGGAGCATACTTCTAATTGTTCTTGGAAAGAATGGCAATTTCTTCTATCTCTTTTCATCTTAAGCTCTGATATAATATAAGAATTCTATTCCTTTTTCTAATAGATGGTTAATATGACAGATAGCGATAACTGAGTGTTGTGATAAGTTTATACAGATATCTCTTTTAAACTCTATCATAAATAGTATTTCATAACCAGCGATTTTGTAGTTCAAGCATAGAGCACCATCAAATACAGATCCAAATTAAGAACTTAACTTTTAATTTTTCTGATACTGGTTGATAGCTAGGCCTACTAACTCAATTCATTAATTTCCATTTTTTATTAATAAAAGGTAATTTCAGTTAGACATCTCAATCGATTACGCCTGGTTGATGAATGGAACCAATAGCTAATTGACTAATTAGCTGCAATAAATAAATTATTAGATATATTATCTTGATAATCTAAATTTATTAATAACCATTGATCAATTTCTTCTTCATAAAATCAACTTCGCTATAAATTCCTTTTTTCAAAACCCTATCACTATAAATAATGAAACAAAAAAACTTATGGATACTGCATTCAAATAATAAATTTTAGATAAATAATCATATTCCAATGTTCCTTATATGAGGTTACTATTATGTGCTGATGTTGCTTTGCCAATCATATTAAAATCAACTTCCAACTCTCCAGTTCAGCGATCATTTTTTTATATAATTAGTAATCCTCAAATAGTAAAAGTTACAACTAATACTTGGTTAATACCACAGTTTTGTTTTTAGATTTTAAATATGTAAATATAAAAGCAACACAAGGTTAAATATTAAGACAACTCCATGATAAGTGATAATTGAATTAAACAGTTGAGTTTGCCTTGTTGAAAATCTTCTTCAAGATTAATTCCGCCTTCTCAGAAATTCTTAAAAATGATTTTATTGAGAAAGTTTTGAAAACAAATTTTTAGACCACTTAATCCAATTAGAACATTTATATCATTCTTTTCAATTCAAATAATGATAATTTTAACTTATAAACAAATTCTTTTTATTTGAGATTTTATCCACTATAATTATGAATCAAAAGGGAAATTTATGTATCTTTTTCTGATTAATTAAATCCCTGCATCTAGAAGTATCTTAAATTTTATTTATAAATCTGAAAATATAATTCATAATAATTTTAACAAACTGAGGTTGCTCAATCTCTATTTTTTCAGATTTTTATCTATTTAACTAATAGTTTTTAAGGAATATATTCCATCAAGTCGAAATAGAAAATTCTATTTTCAATCATCTTAGTTCATAGAGTATTTGCATGATCCATCCACTAACCTTTAAATGCTTACTAATTTATAAAAAAATCAAAAACTCATTGATACTCCTCTATATAGATTTATAAAAAAATAAATAATTAATAGATTATAAAATTAACATTATTAATTAATTATTTAATTTTGTATAATAAAATAGTTAAATAATTATATATTTCTATTAACACTTCTACAATATTTCATATTGTTCCACAAGCTTATTCTTAACAAATTATTTACCTTTCATTATAGTAACAAAATTAACGAAATTTAGAGAAGCTAAAAACAACAAGGATTACAAAATGGGATAGAATTTATTTTTTAGGTTAAATAATTCTATTAGCCTTATTTAATTGGATACTTTGAATTTAATAATATGATTGTTGAGGATAATGTAATTGAAGCTAATTAGTCTTAAATTTTATAAAAACATTACCATTAATGAGGCTATATTATATAAATATCATTATTAATCAAGAATGATGAGATTCTACATGACGAATAACAAGCATGATATTTGGAAATTTCTGCATACAAACAGGGCATGATTCAACAGCAATCTTTTTTTCAGGCTGAGGTGAATTTTTGAGTTATTAATTGTTTTCATATTCTTATTTTTCTTTCAATAATTATTGAAAAGTCTTCTCTTTCTCATTTGAAGTATCTTTGACATTGGGACTTTGATTTTCCTAGCTTTCAATCTATTTCAAAGTAGGACATTTATGATCTTCTCTGTATCTGTGTTTAAGACAGACTTCCATTCCACAATCTTTACATTTGATGCATGTCAGATCTGTTATTTTATCTTTACAAATTGGACACACCTTTTTCTCTTTAGGTTGTTAGGTGCAATCCTTTTAGAAATGTTCTTCCCATATCATATTTTCATTTTGATCTGAAGTATAAACGAGTCCTTTTTTACAAATTGGACATAAAATGACTGATTTTTTTATTGATAATTTTGGGCATTCATGAGTCTCTGGGGTGCGATGATCTTAGCAAAATTCATCACTACAGAGTGAACAACCATATGGAAGAAAGTCTTTTTGTCTGCATATGCTGTATTTACATCTTTTTCCAATGTTATAATCCAACATTTTTAAGATTTATGATTGATAATTAATATTAATTTATTATATATTTATCAACAACATGTTTTATCCTTCTTCTCTGGTTCTGATTTTAGAGTTGAAGATGTATTTGTTACTTATTTTGGATTCTGGAAGTAAGGTCCTAATTTAATTCCATACACCTTTAGTCAAAATAATGATTACTTCTTATGTGTAATCAATTGCCTTATTATCGATTTTTACTAGTATTCTTTGAGCTATGTCCTCGAATACTTTATCTACATTCTAACCAGTTTTTGCAGATGTTTCCACATAATTCATTTTATTTGATTGAGCATATTCAAGGGCCTCTTTAGTCGAAACTTGACGTCTTTATAGATTAATATATTTGTACTCTGATTCTAAATCTAATTTATTCCCAACTAGACTAATCTCGACGAATTCATGTGTGCAATCTAATATTTCATTATGCCATTTCATCACATTATAATAAGTGTCTTTCTTGGTTAAATCAAACACTAGAACTACTCCAATAGATCTTAATTTATTTCAATCATACCCTTTATAATACGATCTGGTGATGGATCTAAAGCTCTCTTATCCAGCCTTCAAATCATATATTAAAATATACAGTATCCCAAATTTAAATCTTTATTGTCTTGTCATTGATTTTTAATAATTAGCTTCCAAATTCTACTCCGATTGTTGTTTCATGGTCCTCATTAAATTTCTTCTCTGTATAATTTAACAATATGCATGATTTTCCAACACTCGTATCACCAACTATAATGTATTTAAATAGAAAGTGATATTGATCCATTAAATTATTTGGAATTAAATTTAATAATATTTTAATATCAAGATATCCTTATTATCCAAGATAATATCATCAAGTATTATATACAAATAGTTATCATTTTTCTTTATTTTATAATTAATAAAATAATAATGATTGGGTTTTAATATGTAAGCATTTTGTCTTACTCTTATACAAAATCGTATGATGAAATAAGTTTGATACTTAATATAGATGGTTTTAAGGATGTTGAAATTATAAATTAAGACAATCTCATCAGATACACAATTAATAATGAAAGAGTCATTCGATTGGACAATTTACTCTATCTTTTTGTACATTTATTACATTATAATTAAGAAAATTAAATATATAAGACTTACAATCGCACAACTAATTTAACTTTGTTTGGAAATCATTAAAAAATACTAAAAATTGTAATAGAATTCAATAGAACACAATTATTTGGATTTGAACAGAGTTTTATTACAATTACATCCAAAAAGTGAAGGACTCTTTATACTTCCATCTACTTTTAGTTATGATATTCATTTTACAGGATATGATTGTCCATTCTATGAAAGAGAGGACTATGAGGATTATACAATTTCAGACTCAGAAGCAATTAAATCTATAGTCAATAAAATAATAGACTACACAGCAAGTTATTCAATGAAATAAGCCAAGAATGATCAAAAATTTCCAATTATAATTGAGTAATTAAGGAATTCACTCAATATTTCATTCGATAAATTCATTAATACAATTGAAGAACAGTTTGCTTTATCTGCTAATAACAATCATTAATAATAGGCATTAACTAGTTTAGATAATTAATTTATGCATTTGAATTATAAAAGAAAAGTTTTCAGCGTTAAAGTTTATTCAAATCTTGAAAATTTATTAAAAAGGTATTATTCTATTAAGAATTGGTATATATATGAATATTATTTATACCAAACTCTACCAAAAATTACAAAAGAATTTAGAAAATCCACTTTGATATTTATATATTAAGGTCCAGAACAAGAGATTTAATATACGTAATTTGAAAATGAATTCAACACTTTGGATAATAACTTAATTGATTAATTAATTACGGAATAAATTGACAGTTTCTATCAATATAAGATTGACTTCAATAAGAGTGATATTAGCAAAACTGTCATAGAGAGATTATAACAACAAATGAATTTGTTAAAATATTATTTTCAAAATGATGCCAACTTTATCAATTTTGCTGATATTAATAAAAATATTAAACATGTAAGTTTTCTAAAAAAAGGTTTAACTGAAAGAGTAGTCTAAGAAGTCTTTAGCAATTAATTTCAATTAAAGAATTTGCAATGGATTAATGAGATGATATGATTAAAATTGAGTTAAGAAAAGAAAATCTTTATTAATTTTAATTAATTAAATAGTGACTAAAATTATAATAATATTAATAATCTTATGAGCAATAATACACAATTGTTACCATCTGAATGGGAATACCCAGAGTAGAATCCAGAGTACAAAGGAAATGATTTAGATAAGAGATTGGAATAGGGTCCGATTGAAGATAGAGGATGTACAGACTGCATATGGTGCATTCTATATTTAATAATGTGGGGAGGTTTGATTACCATAGGTATAATTGCTTTGTCGAATGGCTCTCCTGAGAGTTTATTTTTACCTTACAATAGTGTATTAATACATTAATTATGAAAGGATGGTCAACAATGTGGGGTGAGTTAAAACTTTGAAGATTGTCCATATTCATATTTAATGAATACAACTTCGATTGAGGAGAATTAAGATGGAAATTTTTAATTTATTTGTGTATAAAGTTGTCCATCAAAGGCGAATACAGAAATATCTTATTGTACAATAATTGGAGATCAAACTTAATTATCATCATATGGAACCTACGATTGTAAATTTAAATATAGAACACTAAATTAGATATGTCAATATGTTCTCCATACAAAAGTGACCCTTTTTGGAATGTGACAAAGGATTTCTTTAGTTATTCTGCAAGTGAAGCAGATTTCCAGGATCTTGGTAAGACATGGCCAATATCCTTATTTGTTTGCATAATAACATTAATCTTGGCGTAAATATAAATTTAATGTTAATAGTAATTTCATAATGTTTTTGGTTAAGAAGTGTGCATCGTGTTTAGTTTGGGGAGTGCTCATCTTATATTTTACATTGTTAATTTTATTCGGTTTTTTGTTTTACTATAGTGGCAAGGGAGACTTTTCTAATGCCCATTTCGGTAATAGTTATGGATGGTGTTTGACAATAGCTATAATATTTTGGAGTATTGCAGGGTAGAATAAATGAATATTTTTAGAATTTCCTTTTTGATGTTGGGATGTTATTATAAAAGGATTTACTTGGCAATAGCTGTAATAAAGGCTGCAGCAGATTTTACTAGAGATGTTTGGTAGGTGGTAATGGTACCATTAAGCATATTCGGAGTAATGATAGGATTCCTACTATTTTGGATATACAGTACAACATACTTAATGTCATATGGAACTTCAGATTATAAGGATAACACTCCATTTCCTGAAGTTGATCTTCATTCTGGAACAATAGGGATGATTATTGGTAATTCAATAGCATTTTATTGGAATTGTTAATTCGCAATGGCATTCAGTTAATACGTGGTAGCTAGTTGTTGTTGCATGTGGTATTTCCATCATATGGGAGTGAATTTACATCGTCCAGTCTTCAAGAGTATTAAAAGAGGTTTGATGCATCACAGTGGGTCTTTGGCCTTGGGATCTTTGATTTTGACATTTGTTGCAGTTTTAAGATTTACATTTGATTTGTTACATGTATTAAATTGATGGTATGGGTTAGAAAATATTTAAACAAGGAGTTCAATAGAATAAGGCAGCAACTGGGTGTTTGAAATGTTGGTTTGGTTATTATGGATGTATAATTCATTGTTTTGAGAGATTTATTAGGTTTATAACTTAGAATGCCTATATAATGGTTGCAATAACAGGGAAATCATTTTGTAAATCAGCTCATGATGCTTATTATCTAATATTTCGTCATAAGACAGCAGTAGCAATTACTGATGGGATTGGTGAGATATTCAGCACCTTGGCTAATTTATCAATAGGGATCACAGCAACATTCATAGGATTTATAATGATCACATAGATTGATCATTATTCAAATCAAATTTCATCTCCTGTGTTACCAACTGTTTTCTTTGCCTTCATCTCATTAACATTATCTAGCATATTTATGAATGTTTATGGAATGGGAATCGACACAATATTATTATGCTATATGGCAGATAGAGAATTGTTTTCAACAGCAAAATCAGTTCCTTAATCTCTATAAGAGTTTTTAGACAAGTATTAAAAATGAATTATAATAAATAATAAGATATTTTGGTAATAATATTTATGCCTTCATAATCCTAATTGTGAACGCAGCCATCCAAAATTGTGTTCAATTAGTTAGATAATTTAATTGACAACTTCAATTTCTTTTGTGATTCGCTATGATTAAAATTTAGTTTATTAAAATATATGATTGCACTCTTGCTTGATATCATTGACTTATTCTTGTTTTAACTAATATAAATTGATGAGTACATTAATTCTATGATTGATTTCATTGTATTCCAATTCTAATTGCTTTACTAAATGATCAGTTTCATTGATGTTCTCTTAGATTTCATCCAAAAATTGTATGACACTATCTAATTGTGATTAATATAGTGAAATTAAATTTTTGGTTTGTTGTTCTTTCTCATCGAAATACTTGTCTTCTAAGGACATCATGTCTGTTGTAAAATCAATCAGATCGTTTAACAAAGGTTTCAAACTTTATTGATCAATTTTCAGAGACAAGGGATTTCTAAACTTAAGAATATAATAAATGTTACTTTTGATTCACATAATCATATCTCCTTTCTTGTAATTAGATTGTTAATTTATGATATTATTCTTTTTGCAAATTCTCTCTATTTTAACAAATCTCTATATTTTTTATCAATGATTCCTTCTCCTTGTTTTTGGTTGACTTCATGTGTTCGAATTATTCAATGTGAGGCTTATGTGCATAGATCTCTTCTCTTACATCATACTAATTTTATTATTGTCACAACTACTTTATCCTCCTTCAGTTTTGCAATCAATTCCTCTAACGATTCAACATTTAGCATGCACTCATCCAATTTTGATTTTTAGAGTTTATTAGTATTGTTCCTTTGCTTCACTAACTTCTCTGAGAGTTTATAATAATTTATTATTACCATGAATCCCATTCAATAATTACAATAAATCTCCAGTAGGCTCATCTGCTTGAATGTGTAGTTAAACTGTTTCTAATAATGTTGATCCCAATTCTGTTTCTCGCAGCTAATCCAATTGAGCATATACAACCGATATAAGTATTAAAATTATCATATCGAAAAACGATATTAAAAATAATCTGAAATATAAATATATTTATAACATATTCATCAAACTATTATCATTATACACTTTTTGACCAATCTCAATATCACTAAATTTTAATATTAATAATATGAAATTATTTATTCTATTTTCACTCATCCTAATCATCAACTCAGCAGACATTTAAACATGTCTATGTTCAAATCTGTAAACATAATATGACTGCGAAAATGCAGTCAAATTTTAGGTAGCTAGCCAAGATTTGTTTGATCTTAAACTTTGTATTTGGAACCAAGGATAATGCTTGGATCTCCTTAAAGATGTGCAAATTCCTTGTAGTACACTTGAGTAATAAATATGTGGCAATCTACCTTCATGTGCATGGTATAATGGCTCATGTCAGACATTTACCAAATGTTCAGATTACAAATTCGATAAAAATATTCTATCTTAATCTTGTGATGAACTTAATTGTTTAGACAATGGTACTACTTGTTCTTTTGATCGAATTGGACGTGGTGAATAATCCTGTGAAGAAATTGCCTTTGAAGAAGATTGTCAAAGAATGTATTTACTATATAAGAAAACTATATGTAATTGGAATGGGTCCGCATGTGTTGGTCAATCATTATCATCTTGTTCAAGTTTAACAGAAAAATAATGTTTATAAGTAAATGCCTAATGTGCTTGGAGGAATAACTCATGTGTGAAAAGAACATGTGAAGATGGACAATATTCAAGTTAAGTTTAAGAAGGAGTCAAACTATGTTCAAGTTACCTAGATATTGAAAATGATTAGGTTATGTACTGTGAATTAAGTGAAGAGGGACAATGTGTAACATCTGATCCTGAATAATTAGATAGAAAAAATTGCTATTCATAATCCTTTTAATAGTATACCTGGTATCCAGAAGATCAAGAATGTCAGAAATGCCAATGATGATCTAAATAATAGTATAAAATTATCAATATATCATTATATTTTATGCTAACATCGCCATATTAATCACTTACTATATTACAACCTTGAGTGATATTCTAGAATTAACACAAGCTTCAAGAAGAACACTATGGTACTAAAAATGTGAAACTTAAATTATTTATCAAGTGCAGAATTTTAGATTGAATTTTGTTATTATATAATATCAGAATTCTGATAATATTAATAAAGAAAAAAGAATTCACTCTAATGAAGATCAAAATGAATAAATTCTTGAATTAAATCTCAAAATCTAAGTCATTAGCAGAATGTTATTTATTGGATACCATATTTCCTTGATGATTCTAATCTCTGAATGTTTGATCACTTTCAAATATATTTATTCTAACAACCTGCTCTAACTAAGTAATGAGTAGAAATTTCTCATTGGATCTCTCTTTGACATATGGTATTTTCTCAATAATGATTATATTAAGCATAATTAATTGATTTTATATGATCGAAATGCTACTGATCAAATTTTATTAAGTATATTTTGATTTTCTAACTTTAGAAGCCATGCATCTTATTATTGGTGGAAAATTAAAAATATAAGCTAAATTTTAATTATAATTTCATTGTTTATCAATAGTCTTCTCTAAATAATGAATAAGATTTGGACCTTTTCATGTTTCATTGGTATATTTTTTACATATATCAAAATAACATATTAGAATCATATTTTTCTTCGAATTAGTAAAAAAATCGAATTGATAATAAATACATTAAAGAGACTATGTTTATGTTTTGATTCTAAAATAATTGTTTTTTTTACTCAAAAATAAATAAAATAAAATAATAAATAATTATATTGTAATTATGTTAGTTTTTACGTTATGATTAAATTTTATTTAAAACTGTATATTATGTTATTATATATTAAGAAAGAACTCAAACATTTTTCATACAGTTCCCAATTATGGAAGTGAAAGTTAAAAACAAATCTTAAATCTTCTATTTAGCTTCCGGAAATAGAACACTATTTTCAATTAGAGCTGTCATTCTTTATTCTTCTGGCCAGATTTTAATAATTTTTCTTCCCATCACTCTTTTTTCCTTGTCCTTAATTGCAAGTTCTTCTTCAATTTCCCTTGGTACGATTGAAGCTTCCGAATCTTTAAGACTTTTATAGTAGCGATTCTTAAGCATGTTCATAGTTTTCCCAGGGAAATACTTAGTAATCTTTTGAAATTTAGGACCTAATTTTTTGACCAATAACAAAAGGATTCTATCTTCTTCTGGTGAGAATATTGAATTTGAGGCTTTAACCTTAGAATCCAGATAGCTTCTTTGTTTTTCTTTAATGTATTTATATATGGCACTACTTCTATCCTTATCACCATAGAGAATTGGCTTTCTTCTTTATCTAGATTATTTAGGCTTAAATTTAGGGAAATTCAGAGATGTTTCTGAATTTTGAGCAGCCTAGTTGATTAATTATAAGGATTCAGTATATCTTAAGCACTCATCTATAATAGAAGAATCCTGACGATGTTGTTCAAGGCAAATCATTTAATTTAATTATTAAAAAAAATGAGAAAATATCTTAATTTATATAGTACTAAATAATACTTTTTGCTTTAAACATTTTGTAGCATCCATATTTTGCCATTTTCTTAAATTAGGTTGAAGTCTTTTTCAAAATTTCCTTTTTTTATATTTAAAAATTACTAGAGCTTGCATTTATTATAAATTTTTTAATGAGAAGTGTTTTTACAAGAAAATCACTTTCTAGTGCTTAGTATTTCATTCTATGAAATAAACAAAATGATCTCAGTATAAATCGCTTACAGTTTATTTCTCATCAAAATTAATCTATTATTCGAAGATTTTGAATCATATGAATAAATCAGTATATAAAATTAATTAAGAAATAGTTGTAAGTATTAGAAATAAGAGAGTAATACTATTAAAAAAATGCTTAAGAATTAGCAAATATTTAGATTTAACCTAAATAGTTGGTAAAATAAAAATTTTGAAACATCACAAAATTTGTTAGACCGAATAGTTACTCTGAAACTTTAAGGTTTGATATTCTATTGAACTGTTTTAATTAACTTAGTCCGATAAGAATAAATGATTAAGAATGAAAATATTACATTATTATATCTAAATTTACACTCCTAAATGCCCAAATAATCATTTTAAAAATCATCTAGTTTTATATAACTTACTACAAAATTTTGTGATCATATTATAAAAATAACTTTGAAGAATTAAGTGAATAGTCTCACTTGATAAATTTATTTTGTAATTTTAACAAATTTTATTTTGTTGGATTTTTGAAGAATATATTTAAAACATTCTTTTGCGCCAACAAATATTCAAAGAGTTCTAAAATCTTGAATTTATATTACTGATGTCTGAAATGACTTTTAGGCATTCTGAAAATTATTTATAGAATTCTACATATAATCTTGATTTTATTCATGCTGTTAATAATGTTTTTATAAATATGTGGATAGAATCATTTTCATTTTTTGCAGTTGCTAATTAACTGTTAGAAAGAGGATAAAAAAGTATGCAATATTTCTTTGGCTTCAGGAAAGAGAGGACTGCATTCTATTACTGAGCTCATTTATTTGTGTTAGGGCCACAAGTTCAATATTTTTCTACCAATAATTCTGGATTAATTATTGTTTGAAAACAACTCTTCCCCCAATTCTTCTGGAATTTCTTAAGATTCAATATGACGAAGGGACTTATAATATCTGTTTTTAATCATATTGACTGTTTTTCCTGAGAAATACCTAGTGATTTTGTTGAATTTAGGTCCTAACTTTTTTACAAGCAAAATTAGGATTCTGTCTTCTTCGGCTGAAAATTAGGACATTTAAGCTCTAGGTTTATAATCAAGGAAAGCCATTTATTTCTCTTTAATGTACTTATAAATTGCACTGCTTCTATCTTTTTATCCATATTAGATTGTTTTTCTTCTTTATCTAATATGCTTTGATCTAAAGATTCCTTCATCTTATTAAGAGATTGATTAAAGATGCTATTCTGTTTAAATAGAGTTTTCCTCTTAACTTAAAGGAAAGCTTGAATTAGAAAGCTAAGAACTCTCAGAAATCATATTTTAAATTTTATTAATCCAATTCTCCAAGATCTCGTTTTGAAGGCGAATAAATTAGATACACAACTCTAAATATATCGGGATTTTTGTTTTTGATTAAGTCTATTATAACAAGAGAATGAACTTTAGATTCATTTATGACATATATTTACTAGTAATATCGAATACGAAACAATTAAGATATGAAGAATTAAGGAAATTTAAATCTGACACAATAAACTAAATTTATTAATTTACATTAATTCAGTTGTTTAAAAAGCCATCTCCTTTTTTTTTTAATAAGACCCATTGCTCAGAAAGAGTTCACTGTAGTGAATAAGATACTCAATAAACATCTAATTAAAATTAACTGAGATATTCAAAATTATAGTTATATGTAAATTGATGGAAATTTCATTGAATTTAAATTTGTGAATAAATTTTACCCTCATCTTTCTTAATTTTTTAAATAATTTTTCTCAAATCAAATTCATTCAGGCTATTTCTTTCAAAAAGCCTTTATTAAATATTTATATTATGATCACATATAAATTTTTATCATATCCTTCTAATAAGCAGATAACGATTAATGTATTCACTTCATATTCAGTAATATAGAACACAAATTCTTTTTTTCGATTATGAATAGAATCATAGTTTATAAATTCTATTAATTGAAATAACATTCCTTTGAGTCACTAAACTGATATTCTAGAACAATATATGAGTTAATTTATTTAGAATGTACACTTCATATAGTTAATGTTTGTAAATAAGTGATAAAGAAGAAAATTCTTTGGCTCTTAATATTACTCAGAAATTCAAATATTTAGAACATGTTTTACACAACAAGAGTAGCTAAGTATATATTTTAAGAAAATAAAAAGGAAGAAGGTTTATCTTAAAATATTTTTAATATATATATATTCTTATTTTAATCAAATGAGATATTCAATCTTTAAAAATCTGTGATATTTTATTTAATTTATTATTATTATAATATAAAATGGACTCAGGAGGAGCTAATACCTTTGTTGTTGAACCAAAAGATGAAGAAAAGTAAAAATTAAATGAGTTTGGTTTAGATTTTATCCATCAAAGGTTAGAAAAGTTATTTAGGAGATTATGGATGACAAATTAAAAAGCGAAACTTATGATGCAAACAATACACCTAATCTAGCAGAGGAACTAGTAAAGAGAATCAGAAGCAAAGTTAGAGATTGTATGAAGATTGAATTTATATATAGCCATCAAAATGCCAAGATTCAAAATTGCAGTATAGGTAGTAATTGGAGAAGTTAAAGGATAAGGGTGTCAAGTCACATCAAAGAACCTTTGGGATCCTACTTGGGATAATTACGCTTCCTACATCTTTTAGAATGTAATCTCAATTTAATAATTAAGGAAACAATTTATGGAGTGGCAATTGTTTTTGGTGTCTATTACGAATGAGACTTTGAATATTAAAAATTAATTATTATCATATTTAAACTCTAGAGATAAGAATAACTAATATACATATTAATTATCATCAAATTCGGTAAATAATTAAATTGTAATGGAATGAATTATAATTGACACTGTTTCAAAGACATATGAGCAATATTAATAGACTGATTATGGATATACTCTCGAGATGCCATCTTCGTATAGTGGTTAGTACTTAGCGTTGTGGCCGCTAAAGCCCAGGTTCAATTCCTGGAGGTGGCACTTTTTTTTATTTTAGTATTGTATTCAATAAATTATAATCTGATTAAAATTATGAGTTTATAATGCAAATTATTAATATTTATTATTGACAAATTATATTTCCTTAATATCAAATTCAGGCAATACTAGTATTGACACTAAAGATATAAAATAATCTTCAGAAAGTTGATAGAAGGGTTGATTCATTAAATGCTTTTTTGTACATTTGAGCTAAATAATACTAGAAATTAAATAATTTTATTTAAGGTTAATAAATGGCATCGTATAATAAAGATCATTGAATCTTTAGAAATAATTCATTAATAAATATAATTTTTTTTAAAATGCCAAGAAGAAGCGGATCATCCTCAAGATCAACAGCAAGTCCATCAAGAAGCACAGCTACAGCTGCCAGACCAGCCCCTTAAACTTAAGCTCCACCTTAAGCACCAGCAAGATCAGGAGGTATGTTTTCTGGCCTTGGATCAACTTTAATGTAAGGAATGGCCTTTGGTGCAGGATCTGAAGTAGCTCATTAAGCTATTAGATCAGTCATGGGAGGCTCAGGTATAATTTCTTAGTAATTTAAAAATAGGCCATTCTCAAGCAGCTGAGCAACCAGCTTAACAATAGGCTCCATAATAGCAATAATAAACATGCCAAAGCGAAAGCCAAATGTTTTCAAATGTAACATTGTATTATTTATGACTAGTGTTTACAAACAAACTAAGACATCACAAGATGCTAGCCATATATGGATATTTTCAAGGAGTGCTAAAAGAAATACAATTTATGATGATTAATTATTGCATTAAATAAAATAAAACAAAAGACCATATTCTTATGTTTTATAATATAGGTTGATTAACAAAATGTAGAGCATTCATTTGCAGTATTTAGAAAATCCAAATTTTCTAATTTCTAGAACAAATAATTTAATCCCTAAAATTGATTGATTTTATAAAAAGGGTTTGAATGAAGATAACCAATAAGCAAATAAAGTTATTCTATCTTATTTAAACAAATTACCAATATAGTAACAATAATTGAGAAACATTAAAATATAATTTATAGTTGCATAATTGCATCTTTTATCTTACCCTTCTCCTTAAACACAGAACATGATCTTTAATATCATTTTACTCAATTTTACCAAATAACATTAGAGACTGCAAATTTCAAAATCTGTATTTCGTATATAAGCATAAAACTATTTGAATTGTTCAGCACAAAACAAAATCTTGGTATCCTTAAGCAATCTGAAATTGGAATCAAGTGACCTTGCAATATTCATCGGATTTTTATAATAGTTTTTACTATTATAATAAGATTTGAATCTTTTCTTTTTATCATATCCTGCACCATTGTAGTATTGTTCTTAGGTAATTAGATAACTCTATAAGTTTGTAAAGTAGTGTTTAGACAAATTGCCATATTGATTTTGTTAATCATTTGTTTCAAATAAAAATAAATGAGATCCTGCTTCAACCTAATATGTCTTATTATCGATAAAGGAAACCTGATATTAGTGTTAAATGAAGTACTCTTAGCAAATGTATCGCAATAATCTATATCCTATTAGTCTGCATAGCTTGCTTCTTCAGTTGAAAACAAAACGAAAAACTAAAATCAGCTTATTAATGATAAACAAATTAATTAATTATTAATGTAGCATCATTTCTGACATTGCATATAAGACTACTTTATTTCATTCTACCACATTTCTTTATTAGATGAGGTTCATAGTTCTATTGATTTTCCAAATTAAATAGGAGGACACTTAGTTTATTTCTTTTTTGTAATTTTTAGTCATATAAGAATTAAATTGGATATTTTCATTAATAAATATTTCAAAATCATGGGCATATGCTCTTCGAAATCATCAGAAAAAGAATTACAAAAGGCTTTATATCTTCAAAGGTTAAGAGAATTTAAAGCTAAATTTAAATAAAGCACTGCTGAGGTTATTCAATTCTCCTTAGATTTTAAAAACGATGAAGAAAATGATTTATCTAAAGTGAAGTATGTCATCTCAGAAAATCCAATAGTAAAAAGAAGAAGCAAACCATAAAATGAAATTTGTAATGTTTCACTGACGGCTAAGGAAAATGAAAATTGAATTATTATAAATTTTATCAAATCTTTTGAGCAGCCCAATATAATCGATTCTTTGTTATTAACATTAAATAAAAGTTGTCACTTATTTACTTCATTTACTTACTAAAGAGCAAATATAGATTTCAATATTGATAAAAATGAGAGAAATTAAATTTTTTAATAAATTAAATAGGGATGGCTCTTTTTGTAAAATAAAGATTTATGAAAATTAGTTTTGAATATAAAAAAAAATAATTTATTTTTAAATATTAATTAAAAGAAGTGTTGGTTTAAGGATGAACTAATCAGTAATTGAATCTCAATTAGATTGGAAGTAAGCATAACACAAGAAATAATTCATTTTGAAGTTATATTTGCGATAATGAGATCAAACTCCATTCCTTCAAAAACAGTGTCACCCTTGATATCCATCATTGCTATTTTCACATGTAATTTACAAGGAGTCAATGGAGCCTTGATTAATAATTTGATATAGTCTTTTTCTAGAAAATATAATTAAACTTACACTCTTTTTATAGACTAATAGTTTCGGTTTTTACTTCAATGATATTCGGCATGCTGGAACATATTTTATAATTAATTGATTCTTCTTTTAGATTCAAATAAAGGATTTTCTTGTTTACAATAGACCCTTTATTAATAGTTAATTCATAGGTTCTATTTTCAAAAACATATTAAGTTAGTTATACTTTACGTTGATGTAGGCCCAAGATTTTAAAATGACATCCCATTCTGGATTCTATAAGTCTAAAATAGTTGGGATGTTTAAAGTTGCTTTTCTGTGTTGTGATCTCATTTAAGGAAAGAATATAATTTATTTAATTATTTGACATCTTCTAATTAATGAACCATTCTATAGACTATTATAATAAATAGTAACAAAAGCTATATGAATACATGGTCAGCCTAACTCAGAATGTGACTGGAGTGGAGAAAATAGTAAGTTTAATTTTTGATCATAGTTTTAAGATTTGATCAAATGTTTACATGCATTTAGTCAGGAAATAAAGGTAGTTGGTGAGAAAATGCATACTCAAATTAGTTGCGGAAATGAACCTGATATTTTAGTTTGTTTATATCAATAAGTGAGCAATTACTTATTAAGATTATCACAAAATTGGGAGTCCACAGCTTAGAAGTTAAAAAGCGAAATTGCAGAACCATACACTCAATTTGTTCTAAATTTTAGATAAACAAATCGAACTTTGAACTCAGAATCAAAAAAACAGGTGACTGAAATATGGGAAACCAGAAAGGAGTTGTGTAAAACCTAAGATGAATATTGGAAAATAATGAAATAATTTGAATAAAAAAGCTAATAGACACAAGAGATGATAGATTTGATAGAGAAAGGCAGCGCTACAAGAGAAGATTTTTAGAAATAATTTGCCAGTTCTTTAAAATTGTAGGAATTGGTTGATGAGTCAGAAAAAGATTATAAAAAGTTATTAACAATAACAAATGAGAAATGGAAATCATTCCATGAAGAATGGGATAATATATTTGCAAATGTGGGGTTGAATGAATAAAGTAGGTATTCAAAATCAAATTTATACTATATAGAATAATGTTTACAAAATAAACTGTTAGTTCCTTATTAAAATTATTACCCTTTGATAAAGACTTAACTCAAATAGAAGAAAAGGTTACAGATTTGGAAATTAAACTGAAAGAGGATCCTAAAATACCTATACTTAAATTGATAGAAAAAAAAATGGAAATCAAAGATAGTAGGCATTAAGTAATATAATTAGCATTTAAGTTTTAATTCGAGGAATTTATTAGCTATGAGTAGTGGAAGAAGATAAACATCAATTCAGAATATAGTGTTCCGATTCAACAGATCTAACCCTAATGGTAAATAGTCGGAGACAAAATCTTAGAAGATGAAAAGAAATTCGTTGATAAGTATCTCACTTCATTGTTCACACTTGATACTACTGATAAAAGTGAGTAACTTATTAAAATTAAGCAAATTCTGGAGAAATAATCAGGCAGAAACTACTTTATTAATTAATTAATTCAATTTCATTCTAAATCAATTGAGGAGAAATAATCCTGTATATATTAGTAATACCTTAGCTTTTTATTTGACATTATCAAATGAACAATTTTAGGAGGTAACATAATTGATAAGACATTGGTTAAATTACATTGATTTGAACAATCTTTATGAATCAGAAGACCTTTATGATTTATTACTTAAATCTATAAGGATAGTACGGAAAGAGGGTAGAGATCGAATCAATCTTGCATCTCAATTATCAGATATAGCACTATGGAGGAAGATAGAAAAATGGATAGAACTATTTTAATATATCAATGCGAAGAAAGTAGATGAAAAGAGAAAGCAGGTTGAATTATTGAAATAACAAAATTAAAATAACATAGTTTAGAAAGGCTTCAAAATGATAGGATCAATTTTTAGGAATTCAGGAGCTAACCAATAAACCTAATTTGAACTTAATGAGAGTTAGATATGTTACATGATAATGGAGGAAATCAACTTATTTTTGACTTCATTAAAATTATCATCTGATTTATCCACTGAAATCATAATACAGATAGCATTTTAATAGCCGAGATTCGATAAAGAACATGTCAAAAAGTTATTAGAGAAACAAGAAGATCTTCATAATACTCAATGGAAAAAATTGTTTAAATCAGGGAAAATTGTGTTGACCTAAAAATCAGAGAAGTATGATCGAAAGAACATGGAGCAATATTAAAACAAAGTCGTACAAGTCTTTGGTGCAGCAATGAAGTAATATATTCAAATAATATTAGATATTTAACTATTGATGATTAGCCATGGCATTTGTTATTAATAAATAGACAATTTAGCATGTAATTAAAAAATAAGATAAAAAAGTTTTATTTAGCTAATGGGCAGATATTGTTTAGTGAAAAAACACATTAATTAAGATTAAAATTAATAGCATAAGTATTAAAATTGGAATAAATGAAAATTGATTATGTTGAAATGAAGACTAAAGTTGGGTTAGAAATGGATATCAATTAATTATATGAGGAGACTATTAAGTTGGATGTTCAAAGAAGTCTGCATCTTCACAAAGACAAAATTAATTCTTCGGTACTTTAGAGTTTATTAAGAATATATGCATTTTATCATTAAGAAGTTGGATATTGCTAAGGAATGAATTATATTGCAGGCTATTTGTATCTAAACTTTTAAGATCAAGAAATTGCATATAAGGCTTTTGATAGAATGATGAATCTCTATTTCAAAGATCTTTATATTAATGATTTCTCAAAACTTGTATTTACATATCTTTTATTTATAGAAAATTGGATTCTATTAATTTGATCGACTACTACAGATCTTTTTACCTGAATTGTCATAACATTTAAAAGATTAGAAAATAGATCCATCATATTATGTAGCGTCTTGGTTCATAACATTGTATTCGAATGTTTTTTAGTATATTCAAAGATCAGCACTTTTAAATATTATATGGGATATTTTTTTGGCAGAAGAATGGAAAGGTATCAATCTTCTTATTTGTATAAGGTTTTTTCAAAACTACATTCTATCTCCTTTGGTTGTTATAGCAACATTTATTAAATTTGGAGTTTGATGATATTCTGCATTATCTAGGACAACTTATAAAAAGTGAATTTTTTAATATTGACAATGAAAAAGATTTGATCAAATTCATTTAAAAATATGATAAAACTCTTAAAGAAAATGAATCAATCAAAACAACAATACTGTAGAAATTTAGAATTTCTAATAGAATGTTGAAAAACCTGGATTAGGAATATCATAGCTTTCAAACCAAATTGAATTAAAAACTGACTTAATGTTTGAAAAAATGAATTCATGTACATTTATAATAATGAATATGAAAATTAAATATAAAACCTTTGGAAAATTTAGTTTTGTTTTCGTTCACATTGTTCATTTTATTCCATTTCATATGATTAATTGAACAATTAAATCTGAAATTGATAAGTCATTCTAAATTTGAGGCAAACCTTGAGACAAATTACATGAATTATGCATTTACAGGAAAAGAAGTACTAATTCTAAATTTGCATTTAAAATTTTCAAACCTCTAGCTTTTATAGTAGCTTGATAATGTTAATTTTTGAGAAAGCTAAGTATAAACATTGGGCGATGATTTTTTCACTTTTTAAATCTAAAATTCTCTCCTTCTCTAAGATGATATTGAGAGTTATGTTGTGATTTCTTTGATAGGTTCATTTTTTATCTCTTCCTTTTAATAAATTTGGAGTTATTCTTCTTTTCACTTATGGCTGATCTCCATTAATTTGGTAATACATCTAGCCCTCGAGACATCTACTATTTCATATAAGATCAAGTACTTTCTAATTGAAGTATCTTATATACTTAGATTGTCTAAGACAAAGAATATTTCTAATCGTTTACTGTAATGATTGTTACTAATTTAATTACTTGTTTATCATAAAATAACAAATAAAATGTAGAAAATGATTTTGAATCTTGTGCTTAATAGATTAAAATATGTACTCTCTTAAAAATTTGTGTTATTATTACGATATTTTAAGTAAATGTAAACCACTATCTTTGTTATTACTCTTTCTTATTTATTTAATTATTTTATATGGATCCAAGTGCACATTGGAAAGAACTTAATAGAAAGTATTACAAATTTCATCAATTCAATACTATCACAGGCGAGCAGAAGAGTCTTGACTTTTTCTATTAACGTATAGCTGTATCCAAATGGGGTGGTCCTTTAGCTGCTACTAAAAATTATAATCAGGTTATCCTCATGCGTACAGATGACCTGCTAAAAGATTCAATTGTGTTCTTCTCCAACAATGGCAAGATCATTTCCAAAGCGTAATATAAAGAAATCGATAGAGTATAACAATTAAATTATGTAGATTGCATTATTTGATTTTCTTGAAGATGAACAATTATTACTACTTAAAGCAAACGGTTCATATTATATAGTCGATCCCTTCAAAGGTACAAAAAAGACTTATGATCTGATGGATCAATTTAAACAATAATAAATCCTCAAAGGTCTAATTGTTAACAATGGATTTGTATTGATGACTACAAATTTTGAATTCTTCTATATACCTAATGCGTATGAACCATAAGTTCATAAAATGAAACCATCTAATCTCACCTAAGAACCTGAAAATTGGTAAGTTATTCCACCTCAAAAGACTTAGAGTGGAAAGGTGGAACTCTTGATTGCTAATCCTGATGGTGGAATTATTCATATAATTGAAGATGAAAAATGGAAGATTTATTACAATAAAGATAAAATAGTTAATGAGATCGATAAGAAACTACCTGATCTCAGAAACATCAAAATGATCAGCTTATCATCAAATTACAAAAACTTAGCATTGCTCTAATACATTAATTAGAGATGGGTTGTGACATTCATTTCTGATTTCTTTGATTCTACAGATTGTAAATAAATACCAATTGATCTCAAAGAAGAGGATGTGAAAAAAGAAGAAAGTGCAGAAAAAGATATAAGTAAAATTGAAAGACCAAGAAGAATGCTTTGGTGTGGTGATGATTGTGTTGCTCTTCAATTGCAATAATACCTAGTCTTAGTTTCTTAGGACTCGTACATTAAAGTCAAAATGAGCAATCCTCATTTTGCACTTAAGTAGGAAGTTGATGGAATTAGAATTTTGACTTAAAAGAAAAATGAGATTTTGCGTAAATTACCTGAAGCTTACGTTAATGTATTCTTACCACTATCCATCAAACCAGGTGCTTAATTGCATTCTGCATATGAGTCATTTGAATAAAAAAATCCTATTGAAGATGATGAATTAAGATCCAAAAAAACAGAACTTGGAGAAGCAGTTAATGATTGCATTAAAAGTGGATAATTTGAAATTAATCCTGAATATTAAATGAAATTATTAAAAGCAGCTAGTTATGGTAAAACATTTTTAGGAAACTAATTGATTGATCCAAACCTCCTAAATGAAACTTGTAAATATCTAAGAGTGTCAAATGCTTTACGTAGAAATGGAAGTGTAGGCGGTAGAGTTGTTACATATGAACAAGTTTTGTAATTGATAAAGAATCCAGATCTATTTATCACTCTTATGCTCAGATACAATTTACATTATTTGGCTATTGAAATTTCACGATTCCTTAAATTCTAAATTAAGTAAAAATCTACAATTTATACTCATTGGGCATGTTGTAAAGTGGATAGCTAAATGGACGATGATTAACTATGTTAGATCATAAAAGAGAAGATTAAGGAAGAAAAGGGAGTATCCTTTACTTAGATTGCATAGAAATCAATAGAAATAGGCAAATCTTAATTGGCATTAAAACTTTTAGACAACGAATAAAGTTTATCTAAACGTATTCCAGTCCTAATATGGATGGCTAATTATTAACAAGGCAACAACAATTCATATTATGAGAAAGCTTTAATTGATGCAATTGCCTCAAAGGATTCAAATCTGATTTATCTTGTTATAATGAAGTTTTTGAAAACAGACATGGATGAAACCTATAAATTTGGTATTCTATCATAAAATCCTGTTGCCCAAGCTCATTTAATATATTACCTTCGAAATTTTGATGATAAATACTTATAGAAATATTTATAGTATTTAAAAAAATATGATGAATGTGGTCTATTAGCCATTAATTAAGCATATCAATAAAGTAATTTAGGAGAGAAAATCAGATTTTTGGAATTTGCATAGAAATACTTTGAGGAAGAGAGCAAAGATTCTTTCTATAGTAAAATATTATAAGAATAAATACGAACACTGACTGATTTGAAATAGGAAGTTGAAAGAGAGAAAAAGGAGAAGAATAAAGCCATAATGGAAGAAAGACCTTTGAATTCAATTATGGAAGCATTTTTATCTAAAGATAATATTCAATTAGCCTAAGATTTTGCCAAGACATACAAAATTCCAGAAAGAAGGTAATTGTTATCACTAAATATCAAATTAGATTTAATATAACTAGAGTGAAAGCATTAATTAATAATAAGAATTGGGAAGAACTGGAAAGATTTATTAATGAAAAGAACAAAAAGAATGTATCCATCCCCTATGAATTAGTTGCAGATATGTTGATCAAAGCAGATCAAGAAGAAAGAGGTCTACAAATGATAATGAAGATGCCAGATCCAGAAGTAAATAAGAAGTTATATGATATAGGAATCTTGCTATATGTTATTAAAAATTGGATAATAACGTCATGCTGTTCAAGTAGCCATTAACAATAAGAAGTCACAATTGATACAAGATATCAGAGGATCGATAAATGATAATTAAGCTAGAGCATAACTTGAAATGTACTTAAGTTAAAATCAAAAATGATGTAAAAGGTTATGTATTAAAAAGAGAAAATATTATAATGTTATTTTGTATAATTTCTTTATCTAAATCATATTGTTAACATCTTTAGATAATTAAGGTTTTACATTGATGATTCTGAAACTAAATAAATAAATAAACATTTAAATTTGCAAATATTATGTCGAAAGATTATTAATTCAAGCTTCCCTCTCTCCTAAAGGGACCAAGCATGGTTTCAATGGAGGACCCTTATAAGCCTCCATCACTAAGAAAATTTCCGTATAGAATATATCATAATTAGATCATCTGAAATTTTCATTGATTATGAAAGGCAACCACCTTTTAGTAGAATGTCAAGTTTCTTTTTATATGATTCTGGGATACCCTTAGGGCCAAGAAGATCAGTTACCTATCAAAATTATCCACCTCCACTTTAACATTTATAATCCCAAAAATCATAAATTATTGAAACAAGGTAGAAGGTAGAAATAATAGCTAAAGAGAAAGAAAAATTAGAAAAAGAAGAATAATTATAATAAATAGAATAAGAAGAATCAGATGTGTAAGATGATAGAGAACAAATAAAGAGAAAAAAATAATAATAAAACTTCAGAAGGTTGTAAATACAAAAAAAAATAAAGAAAAAAAGATATAGTGAATTAGAACAATAACCTTGCTTTTGCAGAAATAGCGGTTGTTTAAAAAGATATTGTAGATGTTTTCATAGTGGAAGAATGTGTTTAAAGGAATGTTAGTGTGTTGAAGGATGTTTGAATAATCATGATCATTTAGAATAACGCAACGATGCAATAAAGCATGTTAATGAGAAATGTCATAGGAATAAGAATGTCCCAAAAGATGCTCTATTTAAACTAAAGGATTGCTTTGGTTGCAATTGTAAAAAGACAAGGTGTCAAACAGGTTATTGTGAATGTTTTTTGAGAAAATCAAAATGTACAATTGATTGTTAATGCGAAAATTGTGAGAATGGTCTCGATGAAGCATACTTGGAGAGCCAACAAAAAAGAAAGAATTATAGGGCTAAAAGAAAATGAGTATAATTAACATATTTTTATGATATAGAGCATTTATTTATATATATTAAAATAGCAATTGCATTAATGAAACATAATTTATAAGCAAAGTAATAATTAGATATTAATCATCAAGGAAAAATAAGAGAAATATAACTGGAGGAGAGATCCATTTGAATTAAATTGATGAGGCTGATAAAATTAATGAAGATGCTTCATAAGATTACGAAAGCAATCTATTAAAAGTATTAGATTTGCAACCGGAGATCACTAAAATATTCATTGAAAGTATTTTCACAATATAATCAAATAGATTTGACAAATGGCAGTTTCATTGAATTGAATGAACAAGCATTAAGAAGGAAAATTCAAATGATGGAAGAAAGCAGAAAATAGTAAATTCAAACTGAAAATGTGTTGTTAGTTTTGAACAAATTAATTCATGAGGCTATCAAATTAATAGACAGATTTATCTTCTTTTTCTAAGGATTATTGGCAGGTAACCTTTAAAATTAACAAGGGAATGACATTGATGCATGTTTTCATTATTTTTCTAGGCTAAAGTACAGATAAAGAAGGATTAACAACATTCTTTAAATTATATGCTAAATACTGCTTAAGAGTAGATTAAGTTTTTCATATCATAATATTAATCAGTGCATTTGGTAGCTTATTTGTTTGCATTCAATTAAAGGATTAGTAAGACAAGACCAAGAACAATTAAGATAAAAAGTTCTTTATCCAATCAATAATTAGCGCTCTTTGTAATAGATTCATAATAATGTAGTTTATAATATTGCTTATCTGTTATGGGTGATAGGACATAAAAATATAGTAGAATTATCAAGTGGAATCACTCAGGATGACACAAATGATCAAGTTTAAGCTGTAATTGATGGGTCTGCATTATACAATTTTTGGACTTATACGTAGATAGCAATTACTGTTCTTACTGTATTAGGCTGGTTTATATCAGTAAATACAACTGAAAGTAATCTTAACTATTTGGCTTCAGTCGAGGCAGAGTATGAAATAATCAATTATTTAATAGTCAAATATTTGGTGATGAAAATAGGAAGGAAAAATGATCATATTATTATTATATATATAAAGTAGTTTAAATTTATAGTTTTGTATTTTATTTAAACTTTAATCATTTCATAGTTGTTATTTCATATGATAACGATGTAATTCTAACTATTCCAACAAGTATTATTCTATTGTTGGAAACTGAATTTTCAGTTATGAATCCTATAACACTGTCTCCACAGTATTTAATAGTGTCTGTAATTCATTTTCTAAATCTGATAAGAGATAATCAGAGTATTTCTTTTACAAACGAGCAATACAGTGTGCTAACTTGCTTCTCATAATTATTAGCTAGTTCAAATTGTAACGAAGATCGCCAATAACTTCATCAGATAACTATAATTATCCAATGATTTTAATGAAATTCTCAGCAATCAATAAAGGAAACTTAATTTCCTGTAATTAGGATTTATTTGATTTATGACTGCCAGAAGAACAAGCTAGCCCCATTTTTAAATTAATTTAATTTTTATAAATAACTTATATATATTAATCAGTATTAAAGGAAACTAAAAATAACACGAATAAACTTACTTTTCTTTACACGAGTCAGTACTCTTCAGTTCTCTGTCTTCCTCTATTATAATAAGATTATTCATACTTTATAACTATTCTAATTGATTCACAGCTTTGGACATTTCTTTTTTAAGATCTTAAACAATATTTGAAATGTTATTTTATTTATCATTCACTTTTCTTATTATTGAATCTATTATTGCTTAAATAATCAATTACCAAACTATTTTCCTGTATTAAATTAGGCTAAATCATTAGTTTAATATTCAGATTACCCAAAATAGCTTTTAAACTTTTCTTCAAAATTCTAAATTTAATTATCAAATAAATACAATTATTTTTTTTTTATCCTTATTTTCTAACTATTTTAATTCTTAAAATATAGCAAGGTTTTCGAATACTTAACTTTCTTCTCTATCCATATTATTAATATGAACAGTTAAAAAATCATCTGCAAATCTCACTTTTTTGTCATTTGAATTAATAGCTATGGATTTTTTATTATCTGAAAACAAAGGGGAATATTATTATTACTATTATTACTAAGGGATATTTATAGGCTATTATTATTGTTGTTGTTATATTTGATAAAGTTGCTCTTAGAGGTCTTAATTTTATTATTTTAATTTTGATATCTGTTATAATAATTCTCCTTGATTCCTCTTTTGAACAATAACTTCAAGTTCTTCCCTCATTTATTTCTCCTTTTGATATTGTTTCATTAATTCTTAATACTCTTCTAAGGATACACCTTTAGGTTTATTAGTTTTTGGTTATTAGATATTTCTACCATCCAAAACAGCTCTCTTGGCTCGATTAGCGAACTGTAATGTAGAGAATGTTTCAGCACTGGAAGATATAGAAGGTGAAACACAAACAATGAATAAGATTCTACCACTACCACTTAAAGAGTCACTTAGAACTCTAGTCAGTTTAGAATTTCTAAATGGAATATGTGTTCTATTTCTATCAATCAAAGCTGAGATGCAATGTCCTAAACAAGATAGACTCCCATTAATGGATGTTAACTCTTAGATGTGGAGTTCTTTTTCTTCAGGAGTCAAGTCAGTTGGAATTTTAAACTTTTCCGATCCAGCCAAATCAACAATTTTAAGTGATGACTCTTGCAATACAGGTTCTCCATTTATAACTGTAACTTATTAAAGAGTCATCTAAAAACAACAGTGAGATCTTGAACTCTTTGAATTTGCATGACTGCATCCAACAACTCTATTTCTTAATCCAAGAATCAAATATTCATATGCTGTANTTTATGACTGCCAGAAGAACAAGCTAGCCCCATTTTTAAATTAATTTAATTTTTATAAATAACTTATATATATTAATCAGTATTAAAGGAAACTAAAAATAACACGAATAAACTTACTTTTCTTTACACGAGTCAGTACTCTTCAGTTCTCTGTCTTCCTCTATTATAATAAGATTATTCATACTTTATAACTATTCTAATTGATTCACAGCTTTGGACATTTCTTTTTTAAGATCTTAAACAATATTTGAAATGTTATTTTATTTATCATTCACTTTTCTTATTATTGAATCTATTATTGCTTAAATAATCAATTACCAAACTATTTTCCTGTATTAAATTAGGCTAAATCATTAGTTTAATATTCAGATTACCCAAAATAGCTTTTAAACTTTTCTTCAAAATTCTAAATTTAATTATCAAATAAATACAATTATTTTTTTTTTATCCTTATTTTCTAACTATTTTAATTCTTAAAATATAGCAAGGTTTTCGAATACTTAACTTTCTTCTCTATCCATATTATTAATATGAACAGTTAAAAAATCATCTGCAAATCTCACTTTTTTGTCATTTGAATTAATAGCTATGGATTTTTTATTATCTGAAAACAAAGGGGAATATTATTATTACTATTATTACTAAGGGATATTTATAGGCTATTATTATTGTTGTTGTTATATTTGATAAAGTTGCTCTTAGAGGTCTTAATTTTATTATTTTAATTTTGATATCTGTTATAATAATTCTCCTTGATTCCTCTTTTGAACAATAACTTCAAGTTCTTCCCTCATTTATTTCTCCTTTTGATATTGTTTCATTAATTCTTAATACTCTTCTAAGGATACACCTTTAGGTTTATTAGTTTTTGGTTATTAGATATTTCTACCATCCAAAACAGCTCTCTTGGCTCGATTAGCGAACTGTAATGTAGAGAATGTTTCAGCACTGGAAGATATAGAAGGTGAAACACAAACAATGAATAAGATTCTACCACTACCACTTAAAGAGTCACTTAGAACTCTAGTCAGTTTAGAATTTCTAAATGGAATATGTGTTCTATTTCTATCAATCAAAGCTGAGATGCAATGTCCTAAACAAGATAGACTCCCATTAATGGATGTTAACTCTTAGATGTGGAGTTCTTTTTCTTCAGGAGTCAAGTCAGTTGGAATTTTAAACTTTTCCGATCCAGCCAAATCAACAATTTTAAGTGATGACTCTTGCAATACAGGTTCTCCATTTATAACTGTAACTTATTAAAGAGTCATCTAAAAACAACAGTGAGATCTTGAACTCTTTGAATTTGCATGACTGCATCCAACAACTCTATTTCTTAATCCAAGAATCAAATATTCATATGCTGTATCTATATCCATAATTCGAATTTGGGAAAGATCTGGAATGTTTACATCACCATTTTTGTTTTCACGAATATCCAACCCTTAAGATTTTAGATTGAAAAGATCGAAAATCTATTAAATTAATTTGATCTATATACTTTTTCATTGTAAATTTCATAGAATGATAAGTAAAGTCGACATTAATCTTCTTCTATTTAAGTTTATAATTGAGATATGATTGATTGAACTGCCCTAGGAAGAATTCCTCTTTCATTGCATCTTATAACTTGATGAAACTTCTCAGTGGAAACATTAGCTACATTTTCAGGCAATCCACCCATTATTGTATAAGTTTTACCAGCTCCTGTTTATCCATAAGCAAAAATAGTGTTGTTTATTCCTGATATGAACGACTTTATAGATTCAGAAACCAATCGTTGAACATCTTATTGGTTGGCTGTCTTAGGAAGTATGTCACTGAATTTCATTCGGAGAGTATTCCCAATCCTAGTCACTTTTATTGTATTATCATCGATCAACTATACAAAGTCTTCCTCGCTTTCGCTGTTTAAAGTGGGTCTGACTCGAACTGCTATTCTGACTTTGCTATTATCATTTGGAACATCTCTTTAATTAGGGCTCTTCGATTTATTCATTCGTTAATTAATAATAATATGAATCAAACTTAACTAAAAGTAGATTATTTTAATATAATTTATCACTTAAATCCAAATATGTTATTTACTCTGTCTAATTGTAATAAGTACTTATCATTTTTCACTAAAATTCAAAGAAACCAAATATAATATTTATTGTTCAGCCTTAACTAAGTTGTTTTGCATATTCTATACATTAACATCTTAATTTCATTCCAGAATGAATAGAATTAATCATAATCATCCAGTATATGGAATAAATAAATTAAAGGGTTCTTCTTATTCTATTTTCAAATATTATTAGAACAGTGTCGAGTTTATAATATCTGTATATTTTAGTGCTAATTTATGTTCTTACAAAATTTGATGTAATGATTAATTTTTCTAAAAATCAAATATGGTTATGATTTTATGCTAGGTAATACTACTCTTTTCATTAATCTCTACTAAATCTGAAATTAATAATTGTACTGCTTTCATTATCTAAATTAACTGTTAGAAAATTAAATGGAATTGAAACAACTTAATAAATTTACTTAAGAATTACAATTAGAAATGAAAGATAAAATAATAAAATATCTGGTTCTCTTGGGTATTGGTTTTGTATAGCAATAACTAAATGATATTAAAAATAAAAAAGTTAGCAAACATTTTAATAGTTAAATTAGATTTTTATAAAGAAAAGTTAATTCAATAAGAATTAAAACGTTTAAGCAAGAAGTATTATTTTATTACCAAATACTATTAGAAAAGCATTTAATACCTACAAGTGAAAGAAAAAATATTATAGCTAACTCAAACTATTTGCCTAAAAATTCAAGCCGAAAAATTAAATAATAAATACCAATTTAAGAAATCAGAAATAGTGCTCATTAATACACATAGCGATCTTCATAAAATTCTTTCAGTTTGCTGTCTTTTATCTTTATGCTCATTTAACTTAATCTGAGAATTATTTGATTTTCCTCAAATTAATTCTTAATACCTAGCCGATTTCCTAAATTAGTTTATAATACTATTCAGGTTGCCAGTTTGCACACCAGAAACTCTTCTTAATTTATGGATAGATTATAAAATTGTAAATAAAGAATAAGATTCCTTAAGGAAGGACTTAAACAAAACATCAGAGAATATTGTAATAAAAAATGAAATAATAAAGATAATACGATATAGAAACAATAACATATCAAATAATTCATTGAACTCATTTAATAATACTCCTTATAATAAATGGTTTTAGCCTTCTAGTCTACTCATTTTGGAAGGGGATTAGCATGTAGTGTGTAAAAAACCATTAAAATCAACCATAAGATTCAAATTTTAATCTATAAAGAAAATTATTTAATATTGACGAAATTGCCTCATCTTTTAAATTCTCCATTCCTCAAAGTCGAGCAAAGCAAAGTAAATAATAATCAGCATCTTAAATATCAGCATTCATCAATTTCTCATTGTTGAATCCAAACAATGAAATAAAAAGTATCAAATAATCTAAATTATAGATTCTTTCAATAGTTAGATAAGTAAGTGGGTATCTTGATATCTTTTTAATTTGAAAACTAATAATGTGTTCAACTAATTATATAACTAATACTTAAACTCATAAGCCAGATTGGGTCTTGTAGTGTAGCGGTTATCACAAAGGATTCTGACTCCTTTAACCCAGGTTCGAGTCCTGGTAAGACCTTAATTTTTTTTAAATATTGTTAATTTTTAATTTCCTAAATTCATCAATCTTGAAAATACTTGAATCCTTCTTACTCCTCTTATATAATTGGTCGTGCAAATATTTCCAGTGTTTTTTAAATATCTCCATTCTTTTACTATGCTTTTGGAAGGTAAGTCTGAATCATTTTGAAAATTTATCCCATCCTGTCAATAAGATGGTTTAACTATTCTTTTCTTTTACCGCATCAATATAGATATCCTCATTTCTTATGTCTAAATGCTAATTATTAATTATGCAGTTTCCAAAGACTCAAAAGTGCACATTTACTTCTGAATATTTCTAATCTTTATAAATTGCGAAAACACTTAAATAGAATTGTGATGTGCAATTATTCTCAATTTCCTTGACACATATCTCAATTATTTTCATTTGGCTTATTTATTCGTTCCTCTTAATGAATTCTATAAATGTACGAACATCAATTTTCAAAAAGAGCACTTCCTTTCTCTTTACAAAGTAACAGTTATAGGATTTTCATTAAAATTGAATCCAAGTTATCGAATTGTTTAATAAATTCAATAATATTATCCTTTTGGAATTAAATGAATATAGTTCATCATTATGCGTTAATGCATCTATCGGATTGTATTATTTCAAAATATTAGATAGATCTTATTACAACTTTTTCCAAATTTAAATGCTATATCTCCACTTTAGGGTTATAAACACTGATTACCAATAAAATTTGCTTTTGATTAGATTAGATTCCTGGACAATTTTTATGATTAAGGAATGACAAGTTATTCTTAACTCCGATATTGATGATTCTAATCATGATCAAATACAAATCTTAATTGAATTAGATCCTCTTTGTTTTGCAGTAGGGTATTTGTTAATTAATTAATGAATTTTTTCAAGTTCTTATATAGAGAACCTAGTAAGCATGAGGTGAACCAAAAGTTGATAAAGCATGTTATATATTCAAATGATGATGAATATTAAGGAGAATTAGTAAATGATAAACGGCATGGTCAAGGGACATATAAATTTGTCTCTGGCAATCGGTATGAAGGAGAATGGAAAAATCATTAAAAGCATGGAAAGGGGAAATTATACTATAAAAATGGAGAATTATATATAGGTGATTGGGTAGAGAATAAAAAATGTGGTGAGGGAATGCATTTTTATATTAATGGTGATAGATATGTAGGAGAATGGAAAGATGATTAACGAGATGGGATGGGTTTAATTTATCAATCAGACAACAACACTTTTTATGGTATCCATACAAAGTAACTATAGGATAATTCAGAGTGAATAAAAAATTTGGAACAGGCTATTTGTTTAATTCAAGGGAGAGAAAATATTATAAACAACAGTATGAATAAGATAATCTATTGGATAATGTATAAATAGATGAACCTCCTTAAGTTGTATTAGAGAAGTTTCATGTGAAGGCTGAGAAAAGTCATATTGAAAGGGAGAAAATGGAAAATCATACGATTAATATTGATATAAGTCCTCCTATTTAAGTGGATGGCGATAAAATGAAAGATTAAGTTGTAAATTAATAAGGAGAATAAGATTTGCAATAAAAAGTGGACTGCTAATCGATATAACTAACCAGTTCACATCAACATGGATTTTTAAGTTTATAGGTTCTGGAAAAGATTGATCAATTTGAGAATCAAAAGAATAGTAATTTTCATTATTTAAAATTCAGTGTAGGAATGGCAACTATAAGAAGTATGTGGATGGCTTGATTCACTTGACCTAGGAGAATACAAAGAAGAATTCATTAAAAATTAAATGGCTGGAAAGACGCTTTACGGATTAACAGATAATGAATTGAAACAAGATTTAGGGATATCTGTCCTAGGACATAGAAAGAAGATACTTTAATCGATAGAAGAGTACAAAAAATACTATATGAAATTTATGGAGGGCAAAATCAGATTAAAAAAACCCTTGGAATCTTTGGAAGAAAGAAAAGGTTTATATACATCAATTGAATAATAACGATTTAAAAGCATATTCTCATATATGGAGAAGATTGAAGAAGAACAAAATGAATATCCCGATAATAATAAGAAAGAATCAAGTAGCGATTCTTATAACAGTTATAGAAAAAAAAGAAATACAAAAGAATCCTAAAAGTCTCCAGCAAGGTCGATCTCTAATGATTCTGATTAGAGCAGTCTTAGTGATAATGACAAGTCTGTAAAATTAAAAAGATAGAAAAGTAAGAGAAGCAGAAAATAATAAAGAAAAGTTANTTAATTAATTAATGAATTTTTTCAAGTTCTTATATAGAGAACCTAGTAAGCATGAGGTGAACCAAAAGTTGATAAAGCATGTTATATATTCAAATGATGATGAATATTAAGGAGAATTAGTAAATGATAAACGGCATGGTCAAGGGACATATAAATTTGTCTCTGGCAATCGGTATGAAGGAGAATGGAAAAATCATTAAAAGCATGGAAAGGGGAAATTATACTATAAAAATGGAGAATTATATATAGGTGATTGGGTAGAGAATAAAAAATGTGGTGAGGGAATGCATTTTTATATTAATGGTGATAGATATGTAGGAGAATGGAAAGATGATTAACGAGATGGGATGGGTTTAATTTATCAATCAGACAACAACACTTTTTATGGTATCCATACAAAGTAACTATAGGATAATTCAGAGTGAATAAAAAATTTGGAACAGGCTATTTGTTTAATTCAAGGGAGAGAAAATATTATAAACAACAGTATGAATAAGATAATCTATTGGATAATGTATAAATAGATGAACCTCCTTAAGTTGTATTAGAGAAGTTTCATGTGAAGGCTGAGAAAAGTCATATTGAAAGGGAGAAAATGGAAAATCATACGATTAATATTGATATAAGTCCTCCTATTTAAGTGGATGGCGATAAAATGAAAGATTAAGTTGTAAATTAATAAGGAGAATAAGATTTGCAATAAAAAGTGGACTGCTAATCGATATAACTAACCAGTTCACATCAACATGGATTTTTAAGTTTATAGGTTCTGGAAAAGATTGATCAATTTGAGAATCAAAAGAATAGTAATTTTCATTATTTAAAATTCAGTGTAGGAATGGCAACTATAAGAAGTATGTGGATGGCTTGATTCACTTGACCTAGGAGAATACAAAGAAGAATTCATTAAAAATTAAATGGCTGGAAAGACGCTTTACGGATTAACAGATAATGAATTGAAACAAGATTTAGGGATATCTGTCCTAGGACATAGAAAGAAGATACTTTAATCGATAGAAGAGTACAAAAAATACTATATGAAATTTATGGAGGGCAAAATCAGATTAAAAAAACCCTTGGAATCTTTGGAAGAAAGAAAAGGTTTATATACATCAATTGAATAATAACGATTTAAAAGCATATTCTCATATATGGAGAAGATTGAAGAAGAACAAAATGAATATCCCGATAATAATAAGAAAGAATCAAGTAGCGATTCTTATAACAGTTATAGAAAAAAAAGAAATACAAAAGAATCCTAAAAGTCTCCAGCAAGGTCGATCTCTAATGATTCTGATTAGAGCAGTCTTAGTGATAATGACAAGTCTGTAAAATTAAAAAGATAGAAAAGTAAGAGAAGCAGAAAATAATAAAGAAAAGTTACATTAGACTTGTAAAAGTCAGGAGATTCTGCTGATGATGAAGAAGGAAAATAACATTTATCATCCCCAAAATGTAGTTAATTATATCAATTACATAGAATCCCCGAATAAAATTGGTAATAACACAAGTGATTAGAAAGTAGACATGCTTACTTTAAATGATTACATTAATGGTGCTGAAGAGATTAAAGATAAAGAATCAAATATAACATTTGATTTTTCTAGACAATAATCAACAAATAAATAAGAATTTTCTGAGTTTGTATCTTCAAAAAGTCCTCCATAAATTAATGTAATTAATGATGAGCTAAACCAACTTCAATTAGAAAAATTATAATCTATTACTTTATAGTTGTCACGTTAGAAATCAGAACCTTATGGGAACAAGTTCTAAGATCAAGATTCCTCAAGTTAAGAATCAGATGTATCTGGAAATGATTCAAGCTCAGATTCATCTGATGATGAAAAAATAAAAAAAAAATAAAGGAGATAAAAAGAAATTAGAAAAGAAAAAGAAAAAGATGATAGGCAACAGCATCATTTACCAAAAAAATTATTATTTATGCTTAAAGAGTTTGGCATAAATGAAAGAGTACTCATAGTTTTCCATGAATTGATTATAGGATAAATAATAGGAGAGGGAGGATATGGAGTAGTTCATAAAGGTAAGTGGCTTGGTTAAGATGTTGCTATCAAATCTTATGGTAAAAGGAAATCCTAAGGAAATTTGAAATATAAAATATAAATGGCAGATTTCTTAAAAGAAGTTGAAGTCATATCGAATCTTCGTCATCCAAATATTGTTTTATATATGGGAGTTTGTATTAGGAAATAGAATTATTATTTAATCACTGAATATCTAGAAGAAGGTAGTCTTTTTGATCACTTACATAAAAAGAAAACACATATCGACCAAAAGGCTTTGATGTAAATAGTTGAGGATATAGCGTTAGGAATGAATTACCTTCACGGCAGAAAGGTAATGCATTGCGATTTAAAATCATCTAATGTTTTGATAGATCAAAATTGGAATGTCAAGTTATGTGATTTTGGTTTATCTAGAATCAATAAAAAAATAGATCATAAAATTAATAAGGGAGCTAGAATAGGTACGCCACATTGGATGGCTCCAGAGATTATGAGAGGAGAAGCCTATTAAGAAAAAGCTGATGTCTACAGTTTTGGGATGATCTTATGGGAAATTATAACCTAATAAATTCCTTATGAAGGCTTATCCTAAACCTAAATAATTGGTTCTGTAGGGTATGGTTAAGATCAAGTGCCAATACCTTTTCAAAGCAATCCTCCTATTTTACTTCATTTGGCAAAGAAATGTTTAAAGAAAAATCCAGACGAAAGACCCACTTTTGCAGATATTGTGAATGAAATTCAATAGGGGTAAAAAACAGACGCTAAATTGAAAAGTATAATTATCAAAAATATAATATTTTAGAATAAGCAATACGGCAGCTCATTGACTTTTTTGAATGAACTATCATAACCATTTTATTCATTAAGTTGTAATTTATAATATAATTTCAATTTTTGTTTTATTTAGTTTTATTATACCAATCATGAAATTTCAGTAGTAAAAACTAAGATTTATTATAAAAGTTTAAAATAATTTAGGAATTTCATTTCACTTTAAGTAAAATCCATTAAATAATTATAGTACTCTTTTGATCTACAGGTATAGAAAATAAGGATAAGAAATATTATTTTCGGAAGAATTTCTCCTGAAATAACTCTCTCAAAGGTGTTTAAATTTTAGAATAATAGAGAATAAATTTATATAGATTACCAAAAATAAATTTAATATAAAATAATTTATAAATGAACAACAGCTAATTCTAATTGGAAAATAGATAAAATACATAGATTAAATATTAAGAAAATTCTCAACAAGAATTTCAAATGAGGAAAGGCAGAAAACAACGAGATTGCTTTGAACAAAGTGATTAAAATTCTTAATAACTAAACTACGCTTTCATCAGATTAATTCAAATAACTCGTTGACTCTGTGTTTATTGATAAAGAATTTTTGTGATGACATTAAATCCAAAAGTTAGGTACTTTTTCGACGTTGAGAAAACTTGTCGTATTAATAACTGGATTCTTGCATAATTCACATATGAAATAAATTAGTAACCTAAGAATTCAAGAATTACTAGTGTCTCCAATAACATTTGTCATTCATTATAAAACGTATATTTAAAAAAATGCCAAAAATACAATAAGCTAAGAGGAAAAATTATAAAATTAACCTTATTAATTTGGTTTTTATATTTCACTTACTCTGAATGAAAATTTGTTAAGTATTTGATACTTTTACTAGAGTAAACTTGATTTTGGAAATATCATTTATGGATTGAAATTGTGATTTTAAAGCCTCGATGTTTTTTGAGGTAACTAAGTATTTTTTGGGAATTAATTGATTCTCAATTAAGAATTTCTTTTTAACATAAAATTTTGTATAAATACAAAGGGGGAATCTTAAATACAAATAAGGTGATCAAAGAAAAAGGAATCCACATTATAATTAAGTTAAGATTACGTTGTTCTTTAAAAATCATAAGATAAACAGACGAAACCACAATGAACTCTATCAACTCTAAAAAAAGTCATTGTAAAAGCTAATTTTTAATTTTCTTTAAAATAAATTAAACTATTGCTGTAATATAACTAAAATAATAGTTGTTTAAATAACTTACACAAAAAAAATCAAAAAAAATTTAGAATGACCCAAATATATTTTATATTTGCGAATGTCCTCAATCTGCAAAGTTGTAAAATTTGAATATAGATTAATTGAGTTCCTTGAATAAAGCATATAAAAGTTATAAGCAAAGGAAAAAATTGTAATAACTTAAATATGTAAATTATATAAATTTTTATTAGAAGAATATTTAGTTAATGGTCTGAAACAACATACGCTAAAGAAGGATACCATTATGTAATAATTCTAATAGTGGCTATTTTTATGAGTTAGCCTTCATTTTCTTCCTATATTAATGACTTCTATAGGAGTTCTTGCTCTTGTCATGTTATTTGGTTCATAAACTAAATCTCTAATGTCAAAACATTAACTTAGATTCCTTGTCATCACGATATAAATTAATTTACTGCAATTAGAAGAGATAGAGATGTTAATTAAACCAAAAATGCTAGAGAATATTCATTAAGAAAATACTTGATGACTTTTGGATTGATTAAATTTATAAGTTCTTTCCTCTTTTCAATCCATTCATAGCTAATTTGAAAATTAAATAGGATTCATTTCGATTCTTATGATTAGATTATTGTTTTCTTTAGCGACAAAGACGTTTTTAATGTAAAATTAAATGATAAATAGACATTTGTTATAATATAAACTAAATTTCAGGTTTTCTGTTAGGCATATTATTTCAAAAATAAATATGATACAAATATAATTATTCTATGTGATAAATACAACTATACTTTTTTTTGCTTACCATTTGACAAAGCGAATTTGATTTAAAAGAGAAAAATAAAATACTATTAATAATAATAATAATAAAAGTTATATTATAAATCACACAAGCTTGAAAAATGATATTATCAGACATATTTATTTATTGAATCTGGCAATTGTTTACAATATGGGCAAACCTTGTTTGTATTAATTGGAGTTTTTAACCATTATAGAACACAATCTTGATGAAAGGTGTGCCTTCCTTTACATTGATATTCAGCAATATATTCCTTAACTTTAAATTCTTCATAACAGATGGGACAAACGCCTAAAGTACTCAATGAAAGTTCTTTAAGTTCTTCTATTTTGATAAAGCTTTCTTTAAACTCAACAATAGTTTGCTCCTCAAGTGTGTTTTCAAATTATCCTGTAATAAATATGCGATTTAATAATTATCCACAAACTGAATATCTGAGAAGTTTTCTACATATTTAAGTAAACTTACTTAATATTTTGACATGATTCTGGAGATTCTCCAAAAAAATCCAAAATCACCAATATGATTCCAGCAAAATATAAAATATTAATCAAACATTAATTGATATCTAAATATTGATGTAGTTTGTATTGCAATAAAGTTCTCAATTACATAATTTAATCCTTTTTATTCTGCTCTTATTTCAATGTTATTAATTGAGGTATTATTAGTACGTATAAAAATATAGCACACAGATTGCTGATAAAAAGCAAGAATAAGAATGAGCATTTAAACCATGCTGCCGAATATGGCAATTTATCATTCATTAAGTTATCGATGTAAAACAAACAGAAGATTATGCTAAGAAGCAAATTCATTGCATCTTGTTTAATTAGGTACTTTCTTGACGAAACAGGAGCTATGAGCAATCTTTATATATTTTACATTAATAATATTAAATTCTAATATATTACAATTCTTATTTATAATTTATATATTTAACCATGTTTCTTGAAAAAGGTAAGTCTTATTTATATTTTCATATCACCCAGTTATTCAAATTTAACTAAATGAATAAAAAATTTATGAACTACCCGAATTGCTATAATAAGTATGATTTGAAAAATACTATTAGTAAAAAAGAAGCTAAGTGAACCACAAAATATTAAATTGAGTCATTGCAGATTTAGTTATTATTGAAATTGCCATCAGAAATAATCCTTCATGTCTATGCTTTTTCAATTAAAATCAACCGATTTGAATTACACCTATTTGAATGATTCATATGTTTTTGTTTAGAGCAAAATTGATTTAGGCAGAATGTCTCGACAAGCAGATATTTTGGAGCGTTCTCTGTGATTAAAGTAATTACTCCAAAATCAATTTAGAATATCAAATGCTGAAGAAAATTATGCGAAAGATTTTATAATCAGAAGAAGAAGAAGAATGATGAATTTAACAAATTTGATGAGCATCAACAACAATATTCTGTTTTCATGAAACAAAATTATAATTTCAATTTATAATCAAAAATATTGAGTTCACTAATATTTTATAATGAGTTGAAATTTATCTATTTTCAAAGATAAATACAATTTTAAGGCTCTTGATATAAGTTTTGGAAAACTGTAATGCAAATGAAACTACAATATCCTCTTTTATAAGGTGATTAATTGAATTTTTTCTTCTAATATCAAACATAAAAATTAATAATAAATTATAAAAAATGTTGACGGCGAGGTTCGAACTCGCGCCCTTTCGGAATGGAGCCTTAATCCACCGCCTTAGACCACTCGGCCACGTCAACTTGTATTGATAATTACATTCAGAGTAGCATAAAAAGGGTACAAAAGTTGTAACGAAATAATTAGAATAATATAATAAATAATTTATTATAATCGAAAATATATTTTTTCAATAACTAAAAGGATAGTATTCTGGATTAGAATTAATTTTGGTTAAGTATAATTTTGTTAATTGAATTAGAATAACAAAAAGTAAAATTGTGAATTCAATAATAGATTTTAATTCTATAAATATTTTGATTATGGACCATAGCTCACATTACTTTGCCTGTGATAAAAAAGCTAAATTCTTTAATAAACGAAGGATCTGCAAATATTGATACTTTTGTTGTAAGTTATGCATCCTTAATACTTTTTAGGATTCATAGTAACATTGCAATATAATCATTAAATCTAATTTTTTAATGGTGATTTAATTTGAACCTTGTTGTAAAATAAATTAAATTAACAAATTCAAGAAAGAATAATAAGAAATGCATAATGATAACAGAAAGCTCATGATACGAAATGATCTATTATTTTCATAACACATAGATAAATGATAAGTATACAAACTTTAGATCTGCTTCTATATTTACAAACAAAAATTATTAATTAAAATATTTGATCAAAATTCCATATCACTCATCTTATCGCGCACCTTTTTCCATCGTTGGTTAAGGCCGCCTTCTTTAAACGGATCTTACTCTTCTTCGGGCAACAACGGCACCATTGCAGCTAAACACCATAGCAGTATTTATTTGTACAAAAACATCAAACATGTCTTGCATGTGTATTAAACCTGTAAAAAACAATCGAGAATTTGAAATGTTTACAATGTTTAAAAGCAATATCACGCCAGGCCAAAGGGTTTTCATAATAAAAAAACAATAAATGCACAATTCCTTATTGATCCATTAAACCGTTTATGGATTCAAAATGTCTAGTTATTCTATCTTCTTAAAGGCATTTTCAAATATTCTAGATTTTGACTTTAAAATGAATCTAAAATATCATTTCTACAATTTATTGCAATAAACTCGTATTAATCACTTGGTGGAAACTGAAAATATAATGATATATCTAAAATATCCATACATTTACGAATACCTATTGCAATATGCTAATTTAAAATATTCTAGATATTGACTTTATTATAATCACAGGTTTACTCATTTTAAATCTTAATATTCATCATTAATCACTAGGTCTTAATGCAATTCAGTATTCATTTAGAAAACCGATTTATTCAATCAAATTACAATCATATCATAAATGTTAGAAGTAGGATTAAGTTTATTATTCTATTAATTAATTTTAATAATTGACTCAATTCTGCTCTATTCAGAAAGAATAAAAACAAGTAATTCTTACGGTTCTGTGTTTCTGTTATGGCTTGAATACTTTAGTTTAAAAGTATTTCCATCTAACACTCCAAAAGTGTACGCAATTTACTATTCTGGTGGACCAGAAGTATGAATAAAAACTAAATTCTAATTCCAGATTAAATTTTTAATTATAATCAAAATAATAATAATATGACCATCATATTAAGATAACTAGATTATTATACTTGTTATCAATCTTACTTGTACTCTGTTTAATATATTTACAATAAAAGGAAAAATACATTAAAGAATTGATTTTTTGCAATTATTTTATCTTTAGCAAATAAGAGCTATTTCTAGATCAAATATTTCATTGTTCTTTAGTTATCTAAAATCAATCATTAGCGATAGATTGTAGTATAACTTTAAGTTGGAAGAATTTATTTCTAATTATTGTAGAATATATTATTTTAAAATATTTCTTAGTTTCCAGTAAAATTACTGTTATAGAAGTGCTTTCAATGACTGAATTTTAAAGTCTATTTTTACATGTAATATATAGAAAGTTCCTCCAAAGTATTTTATTTTCTATAAAATTTTATTAATTATTTTAATGAGTATTTTTAGGTAATATTTTGACTGCTTTATTCCAGAACTTCGAGATTTTAACTATTAATTATGGGTGAAAGTTATTGTAATTTATAAACTAGTATTGCCTGTAATATTTTTAATTTTATACTTTCTTTATAGAGAGCACTAAGATGAAACAGGTAATTGGATAATTATTTCAAATGTTATACTCTTAATAATTGGAATAGAAAATGGAATTGGGGTGTTTAGTTGGTTGATTTCTGAGACATTTTCCATTTACACAATAATATTTGTCGCTTTACAATTTTTTGTTAAGCTCAAGCAGCCTTCATAAATTAGGGTTGACTAAGAAAATAATGATGATACTAAATTATAAATTGTGTTTAGCCAAATTAATGAGATAATTTATAAATCATGTTGTTGGTTAAACTTTGCGACTATGTTACCTGCAATCTTTATGCTCTCGCTCATAACTGTTTGTACATGCTAGATCAAATTGTTTTAATCATTGATAAAAAGAAATCTCCCATAACATTAGGAAGACTAATTTGAAGAATATTTTGGTGATGAGGAAATTGAATGTTCAATCTGCATGGAAGAAATAAGGCTAATGGAAAAATATGTACAACTCCCTTGCAATCATATTTTTCATTTATAATGTATTGGAAAATGGAAGAGTTACAAACAGCTTTGTCCAGTGTGCAGAAGAATATTTAAAAATACATATATTAGCAAATCTAAAAGATAATTCCAATAATCTGATGTTCATAAAATTTAGATATGACTCGAATATGTTTATAAATTGATTATTTTTTATAAATACAGATTCATCCTCTTTTTTTTCAATTTGGATTTTGAAAATGTATGAGTGAAAATTATTATTAATAATACTATTCATTTTCTTTCTAAAGAATTAAATATAAAAAAATGTAAGCATTTATTGTAATTATATTCATACAATAATGTAGAGAAATACAAAACTCAAGATGTACATCCATCCAAATCTACTAAAGTGAAGAGCCTTCAAGATAAAATTAAATAATGTTATTTTTAAATTATAAATATATTTCTAATAGCTATTTTTTCGTGATGCTTGTAAATTTAGGTTACATTGTTGAGAGTTTATAAAGTAATAATCTTATATATTATATTGTAATAATTATATGTAATTTTTCAAAGATTGAGATAATTGAATGTTCTTACAGAAAACTGACTAAATAGAGTGTTATTATTTGTAAATATTATTAATATAAATATTTACTGACTCTAGAATTGGGGCAATTTCTTGTGTGATTTTTTTAGATTAATTCGAAAAGGCAGAATTGATTTATTTATACTGTAAACTAGTATCTTAAAAAATCACTCCCCTCCAATAGCCAAATTGATCTAATAAAGGCAATAGCCATTGAAATCTCTAAGAATTTGAGAAGTTTTTATTATCAATATAAATCTATAAGTTGATTGATTAATAATAATTTGCATTTAAACATTGAATTAAATCTTTTAAAATTTTCAATTAAACTCAATATAAAATTTGAAGCCTTAATAATCGAAGGGTACCTATTGAAAGAATTAGATAATGATAAGGGTGCAAAAATTCATTTATTTTTACTAAAAAATGGCTAATTTTTGAACACTCTAAATATTGAGTATATTTTTGATCATTTTAAAGATTATCAATATACTTATCTCTTGACAATATCCAGCTACATTTAACTCTCTACAATAACTTCAATTAGTAATGTATAAAATTTTCTAGCAGATATTGCATAAGAGATAAAATTCAAAGTCTTTTCAGAATGAATCTTAGCTAAACTATATTCACTATAAGCACACTACCTGATGATAAAATCCTATCGAAATTCCTAAAGGGTTCGTCAATGCTTATAGAACTATAAGCTTCTTGGCTTTTTATTAAGGACATTTTGCTTTTTTGTTAAATCTCAAACCTAGTGTTAATCCATCAACTTGTTCAAATTTAAACAATATTTACCAATTAATGACAAATTACAACTAATGCGATAGTCACAATCTTTAAATCACAACAACGCTCAAAAAATTGATAAGAAATGGAAAAGGAAGAATTTATTGTTAGAATTTATTCAAAAATTAATTATTATTATATTTTTCTTGTGATTCAGGCAATAAATGCAAAAGAGGAACTGATAAAAATAACCTGTCTGAAAAGGCTTGAGAAATAGACACCAATGTTAAAATATACTTTGGTTATATTCTTTGTTTTCCATAATTATTTTAGATTTGTAGCTGTAAACAAAATGATCAAGAACAAGATTAACATGCTTACAGACTTGACATATATTATGTTTTCATTATCATAATTCTGAACCATTTATAAATAATTATCATTTTTTATTAATCATTACTATTCTTTTTGCAATTCGACTAGCGATAATAGGATCCTTTGTTTAGAGAAGTCATCCAATTCTACATCCCCAACAACTTTAAATTCAAAGTCTTTACAAGTTACAGGCAATGAAAAACAAATGCCTTTTGGAATTCCGTAATGATTTCCATCAGAAATTACCTAAACTAATAAATTGTGATACTCCAAAGGAAGTCCAGTTGTCTTAAGAAGTGCCTAAAAACCATGTTCTTAAATGATCTTTCACAGCAATTGCTCCGGATATTGTACTTGCTCCTCTGGAGAGTTATAAAATCTATCCTCCTCTTTATTAGACTTACTGAATAAGAGCATTTCTCAAGAAATCCTTGGAAAATGTTTCTGATGCTTATTTACCATTAATAATCGAATGAGTCATATCTGGGTATTAGGTAAGAGAGTGATTTCCCCAAATAATCACTCTTTTGATTTAATCAATAGTTGTATTTGCTTCTCTTGCAAGCTAAAATAATAAAATTTGACATACAGTTGAGACACATCTATTATGATCTAGTTACATAAGAGATGTAAAATTTTGTTATGGAATTTTGATGCATTGATGAGCCAAAGTAGCACAATTTGTGTTACTTGGATTTGCCACAACTAAAACTTTAACTGTAGATTTGGCTTATTCATTCAAGATTTAACCCTGTGTATATAATTTCAATATCGAACCTATTGTATAAATATTTCTCTGTTCATCTATAACAGATCGCTTCTTTCCATTCCTGGTTTCCTAGGCATGGCTCCTAAAAATATTGCTACATCTGCATCTTTAAATGCAACTGCAGGATCACTTGACACTATGACATTATTTAGAAGTGGGAATGCGCAATCTTATATTTACATCTTGATTCCTTCTAATTCTTGTAGTTTATCTGGTAATTCCAATAGTTACAATGAGAATTTTTATGTTGATCCAAAAACTTAGCCAGATCCCAAAAGAGGATAACTACATTTCAATATTTTCAGTATTACAATGCAGAAGCTAAATTACCAGCAGCTCCAGTAATTGCAATTTTTAATTCTTCAAATTTTTGCATTTAATTTTATTTATATAATAATTCATAGTTCAATAAATTCTGTTGCTAATTCACTACTATATTCTTTTTTCTTCTTGTTTATAAAACACATTTCAAAACAATTTCCAAGGCTAATATGTGATTATTCCATTTTCATTTATTAATCATTACTTGGTTGTTAAGTACCGCCTTAACCTTATTCTGTGGATTCCATTGATTAGTCTTCACTTCGATTTATGGCACTTTTTTCATTGGATTTTTCATCTTTTGAACCTGGAGCACCTAAACTGTGTCTTTCAAATGTAGTTTATCCTGTCAATAAATTGACAGTTTAAATGTAAATTAGAATTCTTAATTATAAATTTCAATTACCCCAAAGGTACAATAAAGAGTAAGCAATAAATGATAACATAAAAAAAAGTAACCTTTTTTCCAATTATAAGCCATTCTTCACTTAAAGTAGCATTAATAAACCATCTCTAAACAGCATTGGATTTATAATGAGAAGATTGCATGAAAAGCTGCAAAACGAATTCAGAAAATAAACTGATAATGAAAAAATAAAACACAAAATGGTTTCTAATTTAATAAATTAATTACTTTGCTCCAACACAATTATTTATCCAAGGACAATGATGATCATATACCATAACACATTATTAGCAAACATCACAATGCTTAGATCTTTTAGGTCTTACTAACTTCTATAAGTGTTTGTATATATACCTTACAATCTGAGCAAATGTTTGAACAGTCATATCTTTCTAACATTTAGAGCATGTTTAATTTATGGTCTGTCCTCACTACTCCAGCATCTTTGGCACAAGAAATAAAGAAAAATATAACAGTTATGCTAGTTAAAGAAAAGAATGTCCACATCCAAATTGTGCTAATAACAACTAAAATATATAGAATAGAATATCTACATGGGAAGGTAAATAGAATTGTGCTAATAAAACAAGTCATATACATTAATAGAAAGCCAATTTAACTATTCCTTTATTGAGTCACTGGTCTAAAAGGCTATCTAACATTGCAAAAGATAAGAATATCGTTTTTATCTCTCTAGAATTTATTATAAAAATTACAATCATTATTTCAACTGTTTTGAAATCATTTTCTATAGCTAAATCTAAAGGTGTTTTACCATTGGAGTCTTTAATTGAACGATCAGCTCCTTTCATTAATAGTTTTCGCACAATTCTAGAATTCGCTTACATAGTAGCTAGATGCAATGGAGTAACTGAAGTATCTGTATCTTAAAGATTTAGATTAGCATTCCATGAGATTAAGAAATTTACAGCATTATATGATCCTGAATATGCAGCCCAATGGAGTGGTGATGATCCTTTATTATCAATCACATTAATATCAATCCCTTTCTGGAGATAATAGAAAATAGTCAATGGGCAATCTCCTTACGAGGCGGTATGTAAGACAGTTAACTCTTTAATAGGAAGTTATGATTTACCATTATAATTTTTTATTTTGTATTCTGCACCATATTATTCAAGGAGTTTGATGGTTTTCTAATATTGTAAATATAAATACTAATGATCCTCGATAAGCTGCTAGATGTAATGCTGTGAAACCTTCGTCATTTTGTTAATTAACCCATTGTTCAACTTCTTGTTTTGTATGAATGTTTTTATCTATTTATGCTTAGATGTATTAAAAATACAATTCACTTAATTGTTCGTTGTTGTTGTAACAAGAGAGATGAATTACTTTTATTATCAAATCTTATACAAGTATATAGCTTTTGGGTTTTAAGTATTAACAGATTATGATTGTGATTTTCATAAAGGATTGCTTTGACGTTATAAGTATCGTCAGAGTTTGCGTAATTTATGAGAGAACCAATGGCTTAACTATTTCTTCTGGATGATGATCTAGACATAAAATAAATTAAAATATGTAATCATTATACATCACATAAAACTATAATCAAAGTGATTGCCTATCATCAATCTAAGTAAACATATGTGTACTATAACTATCAAATTACTGTTGCGAAGGTCTTGCTGTCACTAATTCCTTTATTTTCAAAGGGGATTATTTTTTATTCCTTGACCCTTTTTTAAGCGTGGTTATATTAAAATTAGAATAACAAGCACTCTTTTTGGAATTGAGTCTGAAGTTTTTGACCAAATCTTTCTTAACAGTGAGAGGCAGAATATGAAATTATGGTTTAAGATAATTCTCATGGGGTTTCTTCAAATTTAATTTATTTTCTAACATAAATCTTCTTCTCTTGATAAGATCATTGCTCCCATTCCCAAAATCAAATTCCTAAAATTCACAACTTTTTATTAATTTATGAAATGTTTTTTCTCTGTCTATTATTTTAGCAATACAAAAATTTTGTACGCTGGGATTGGAATATTTAGTTAAAAAATGCTGATTCAATTAAATTTCCTTTGACTTTTTGAAACTTTCAACAATATGAATTTTACTCTAATCAATAATTACATCATCTATCTCTGTCAATAATCTTACCTATTCGTTTGTCAATTCTTTATTTGATAAATTCTATGCTCTCCTCTTCTACAACAATAATTGTAACAATCTCTATCTATTAGCAGTTTTAGGACCATAATCTTCTATTAATTGTAATCTGCATTCTTCTGGAAACTTATGGATGAACTCATTTGCATCAATCACAATGACTGTAGCTAATAAGGATGTCACAACGCAGCTATATTCATAGGTTCCAGTTTTATTAATAATAATTTCCTCCCCAATCAAATGTCCTGAAGATATTATACATAAAGAAACATTTCGATTATCAATCCTTTTTTGTAAAGTCAAATCTCCATTTATCACTAAATAAAATGCATCTCCATCATCATCCTCTGTAGCTAACTAAGTTGCTCTGTCGTAAGTAATGGTTTGGCAACTATATATCATACTTTCTAATCTCTATGATGAATATTCATTATTCACATCTAAATCATTTAATTATTCACTTACTTTTGAATATTTTAAACATTAATTGTTACTTCTCTTTCTTTGTTTTTTCAAACGTCATCTAATAAGTAAAGAAATCATCTTTCTTTAAAACTATCACAAATAATTCATGACTATAACATGCTACTGTTAGTGACCTAGGAATATTTTCAACCAAAGCTTTCTCTCCAAATCCTGTACCTACACCTAACAACCTTATCGATTCTCCATATTATTATTCTAATTATTATTTCTCCTCCTTTGATAAAGTTGTCTCCTTATGAATATTATGATGCCTAATAATTTTATTTGTAAATTTCTTAGCATTTAGAATTTATGCCATTTTTAGTTACGGTTATTAAACCTGTTCTGAATTCTATCTCTACAATGTCATCAACTAATCCATCTTTTTCTATCTCATTAACATAACTTCTCCATATTATATGATATAAAGTTTATCATTTGATGTATCATTCTCTTGGAACAACACTTCTCCTCCTTTAAAATATTCCATCCTCAATCGAGAGCACAACTAAAAAATAATAAACATAAAACTACTTCCAAAATATCGTTCCTTTGCGTTCCTTTCTGCAATTTCTCTGAAACGAATTATTTAAAGTATGGCAGTTCTTCCATCCTTTACAAAATGTAATGTAATTCTTCTCTGGTATGATTCTCCTTATTCATTGTAAGAAACATTTTCGTTGCCTCGTGTAACTAAGGATTATCACAAGTCTCATCAAGTGGTTTTAAGTATATTTAATTCATTAATATTTATTTATCAATGCTTTTAGCGACATAAAAATAATAGTTCAGTATATTAACTTATCAAATACATGAAATAACTCATTCATTTATAACAGACCATCGGAGCTATATCTGCCCAACTACTCAAATACAATTTATTTTGCATTATTACTGCATTTGAAATTCCTCTTATTTATTAATTTGATTAATAAATTATTGTTGTTTGATTAGTCGATAAGGAATACTCACCAACACTACTCCATGTTTAATAGGTTGATTCTCTACTTAAATTATTTCCTTTTAAGTGTAAGTGTAAAAGTATTGTTTCATAAGCTTTTGGATTCATAGCAATAATCAACTTGTTATTAATTTCATCATAATTAATGTTATCTATTTGATGTGGTAATTTAATTGTATGTTCCTTTTATAAGCCTTCTTCCTCTATTTTAAATTAATAAATTGTCTTTCTTAGATTATCGCCTACCCAGACAGTCTTATCTTAATCCCAAGTTATACCTCCTGCCCAACTAAATTATTACGACGATATAACATGACAATTTGGGATAACTTGAATGTGTTTCAAATCAAATGTACAATCTAATATATTTGTATATTGAAATTTGAGGGTCATCACACCAAAATTTTTGATATTCATTCCAAGCCCCCATTATTTACGACTAACAAATATTTTATAGATTACCCTTCATTTGGATCAGTGTATGGCATTAACTTTGTGATTAAGAATCTATCCGAAGACACTACAATCAAATCTTTTAGAGTTCCTGTATATTACTAACCCATAATAAATGAATGCTGATATTCAAGATGTAGATCATCAATTATTTGAAATACCTCAACTCTTTCCCCACCGTAAAGATAAGCATGATTAACAGCTAAAATGTAATGAATTTAATTATGATTCCAAAGATGCAATCCATGAGGATAAAATGCCACATTTGATGGAAATCCTTCAATATGCATTTAGATTGGTGTTGATTGTTTATGAGCATTTTATACAATATAAAAGGATGCTTACTTTAATTCAGGAGTGCCTTTAGCAAAGATTTCAGCCAAATTACCAGACGCAAAAATGAGATGATTTCCATATTAGAGAATATCTTCTGCTCCTGGAATGTCTAAATTCAGATATTCACATCCAGAATAGTTTTCAATTTTTATTACTCCTTTTACAAAATCTAAATCAACAATGAAGTGAAAAATAGATCCTAGAATTAATGCAAAAATTAAATGTGTCTTCATTTCTAAAATAAAAATTAATTATAATAAATATAATGAACATTGAAACATGTTATTCATTGTAAACTCTTTAATTGATTCATTAAATCTTCTAAATTTGTATTTTCTTAAGGCGGATCAATAGTTTATTATGATTATTATTCTTAATTCAATAAGGATTATTAAATTTCTGCTTCATTAATTGGAGTATCATCTGGTACAACTTCAATTCCCCATTCATTTTCAACATGAATAATTTCCTATTTCTATTCTGATTATTCTTTTCTCTTTTATAATTTATTCAATCTAAGCTTTTCTGAATTCAATTTTTATCTTTTCAAGCAATTGTGATCTTTACATTCAGGATTAGGCATAATAGCATAATTCTAGAAAAAATCAGCCAAAGCATTGTATCCAAGGAGAAATGTAGTCTATCCAAAACCTAATAAATATTTGAGAGTATTCTAAGCCAGAAACCCAGCAGTAATACCCATAGTTGTTGGCAAAGAGGCTGCACATACACCCTCTCTTTTAATTTGCTATTCAGTATTTTCAACTACAGCCACAGGAACAGCACATGCGAAACATGCTGTTTCTCCTGGTATCATCAACTAGATATGTGCAGACATTGCATCTTCAGATACTCCACTCTCCATCCAAACTTAATCAAGTTCATTACATGCACTATTAATTGTCATACGTGCAGCATAATTATCAACACAACTTAAAACTAGATTAACAGGCCCTTCTTTGAGAGCACCGTTTTGCATTCTCTCCAGCAATTAATTAAAACCTGTTCCTGATGTGATATTTTCATTGTATGCTTCAATCACAACATCTGGATTAATGTTTAATAATGTTTATTTTGCAGCCTCAACTTTTGATAATCCTACCTATTGTGGAGTGAAAAATAATCTAAATATTAAGGTTATTTAATTACCTATTCATATTTGCTAATTCAACTTTGTCATAATCATACATAATCAATTTACCAATTCCACAACGTGTTAACATTTCGCATAAAACTGATCCAACTCCTCCTACACCAACAACCAAAACTGTAAACTCCTTTATCTATTGATAATTCTGAACAATTCCCATTCTTTTTAATGCCATTAATCTACTGTAAGGATTGTCATTCCTTACTTCTTCACTCATTTGTCTATCTTGCATTTATTAATATTATAAATGAATAATTAATTTTTACCTGATGATGATGATCCTTAACTCATGGAAGAAAGGAAGAGCTTGTACAAAATTTTTGGAAAGGAAACTTCCTTAGGTAAGGAACTTTTTGGATTATACAATGCACATGAAAAACCAAAAATCAATTATCCTAAGCCAAAACAAAAAACATAAGAGTAGTTGCATTCTGAAAAAATTAAAACTTAGAAGAGTTGTCCATAAAAAACAGTTATTGAATATCCAAAAGAAGAACCTAAACAAAGATAATAATATTATCCCATTGATTTTGTTTAAAAAAGAAAACCAGAAGCAGAAATCAGAAAAGAAATTGAGAAATACTATGAAGGTAGAAAGTTTTTCAGGCCTGCTGTCTAGGGATAAGATAGAAAAAAATTGATTGAATAATTACAGCGAGTATTTAAATATAAAAGAGGAGCATTGCCTAAGGGTGCAGAACTACCTGAAATCAATATTAAAAATGACGATGCTTTCTTAAAAGATTCAGAAACAACTTCAAATGCTATAAAGAAAATGCATAAAAAAGACTTATATTTTACAGGACTTAAATCTGACAATCAATCTGATGCAACAACTTTATAAGGAGATCCTTAAATTGAATTAGAAGTCCTATTTTCATCGATTATGAAAGAAATTGAAGAAAGACAGGAATTTCTTTAAGAAATTGAACATCTAAATGAACCAAAATTGAAATAAAGAATCAAAGATGAAATTATTGAAAGAGTTGCGGAATTATAAAAAGTTTAAGATTTGAGAAGACACTATTGTAATTGATTAGTTATAATAAATAAATATCATAAACTTTATTCCTCATTGAATTCATGAAATAATAAAGTGATTGTAAATTATTTATTATAATGAACAGAGCAATATACGATATTTCTGTAATAAAAACTTGAAAAATATAGATGTTATACTATTATAAATATATTATAAATCAAGAATTTTGAGATATTTATAAAATCTTACTTACTTCGGCCAAGTCAAAAGGTAAACTTATATACTGATCTATTCCATTACGATAGTATTCAATTTTAGAATAATATTCGACAAGGCCTGTAGTTCCTATTATATATCCCTTTTATGTCATTTTCTCTTTTATATACCTACTTAACCAAAGGCCTCCTCTTTTTGGTAAATCAACATTAATAAAATACAAAACAAATCCAATATTACCACATTTACACTTTTTTTTTGTTTCTAACAATTTGATTACTTCCTCAGTGCTAAAAGCTCGTGAAGAATTTACTTTAAATCTGGATAAAATCATTTCCAGTATTTATATATTCTGAAATTCACAATCTGCAATCAATACCCTGGAACAACATCTTCCTGTCGTTGAAAACTTAATGATCTCTCCTTGCATTTTTGCTGCTACAGAGACTGGTATTTGAATGGGGGAAAGAGTGTCAGTGCCAAAATCCAAGAAAAGATTGGATGATGTAGGCTATTATTTTAATTCAGTTAATTAGGGTTGACTCAAAAAGGTTTATTCTCTTTCTCTGGCATCATTTAACAGAGTGTTTACATTTCCTCCACTATTATTTCCATTTCCACTGTTGCCAAGACTATTATTAATAGTAGCCTCTGGAAAATGGGGTAACTGATATTTGCTTTATGAAGGTGTAGTCTAATAATTGACTCTTTTTTAGTGTTTGGTTTCTTCATCCTAATAAAAGATGTTAGAGATCTATTCAAAGGAATGAGAATCTTTCTATTTAGAATTAGGAATATTAACTGAATCAGCCTTCACCTTGGATATTTGGGAAACATAGTTACTTTAGTATTCCGAATACTTTTAACTAAATTATTTTGAAATTCTAGATTGAGAAAAATGAAGAGAGTGATCCATTGAAACCTTATTAGATTCTTCCCTGAATAAAGTTTAGGTTTTTTCATTTTATTTTGATGTGTCTTACTATGCCAATAATTGACTTAATGAAGTCTCTTGATAGTGATATTGTCCAATTAATCGTATTGCTTTCATCTCCTCATTATTAACATTGAATGATTGTAATGTAAATTTGAATGCTATTCCATAAGGTTCCACTTATGCAATTTCCAATCCTTTTTTCAGTGATCCTGATAAATACTAAGCAAGGATGTGACAGATACTGAATTCTGAAAACTGCAGATTTGGTTTCTTTAAATTTAATCTTATTATTCTTAAATCTTTTTCATCTATATTTATGGGAGTATGTATTATAACTTGATAATTCTTAGTAGAGAACATCTTCCAAGAAATAGTAAGGCTGTCATCTTTGGTTTGTTTGATGCAAAATTTGATCAATGGTAACATTAATTGTTTTAACTAAAATATTGAAAATTTTACATTACTCTTTCTGCATCTGTTTCAATGATATTGTCAGCTTATTCATGTTCTAATTTGATATCAATCCCTTTGGCTTTAGATGAATCTTGCACCATAATCATTAGATCTTCACAAATGGATTGGATATCCACCGTCCCTATTTTCAATAGCAATTTCTTTTAATTATGAAGGTTGAAATCTCTCATATTTGCCAATTACAAATACACGATTACACTTGAAACTCTAATTGGATACATATACTTCTCTAATATATAATCACTTATCTGAGGATCCGATTCAGCCAACACTGAGATTGTCATTATAGAATTCAAACTTGGAGTTATGTAAGTGGTGAATTAAGAGAATGCTTGAAATGAAGGTTGATACACTACTTCTCTTTATTCAATTTAAATAAATACAAATGTTTTCTTATTCTTGCCTACCAAAAATATCTTAATCATCCAGTCATTCATCCAGGTTGCATCTACTTTATTTATTATAAACATATTATTCTTATAAAGTTCATAATCTCCAACTAATTTATTTACTAATTCTTTCAATGTAAACCTACTCTGATTAATTGTTCCACTGCTTGCAATCAAATCTTAAAAGTCTCTATTGCCCTACACTATCGCTAGATTCAAAATTGAAGCCACACTTTCATTATCCATTGAATTACTAAATGAGTTCCTTGAAAAATCAGCTACATTAAATGTTTGGATTATCACATTGTCTAAATCATCTAGAACAATAAATTACTGTCCCTTAATCCAAGCACTTATTAATAATAGATTAATTTATTTACTATTCATCCAGCAATACAGAATCCATTGATTTTGATAGTTCTTTCAAAGGTGAAAACCCTCCATAAACAGGACTTTTACAGTTAGATACATTCAAATCATCGGATTTATATGCATCAAATTCTTTCTAAGGCAAAGCCGATATGCAAATATCAAAGTCCTTTGTTATCTTTTAAGTATTCTTTTCAATTTTTTAGTTAGAATTATTACTATAGCGAAATGAGAAGATTATTGATAAACAAGTTAATCCTATTCCAACATTGTTAAAATAATTGGAAAATTGTTATTCAAAAAACACATTTCCTATAACATACAATGATGGCAAATTGGCTAATTTGTAATTACCTACCAATTATTCTTAAAACAATGTGTGAATTAAGTTTAAGTTTATGATGACTGATAAAATTTATGGTTTACAAAAATAATTCAAAGTTAGTTATGCTAAAATTCTTATTAAGCAAAGAATTGTTAAAGGATAACCTGACTTCTTTTATTCTTTCAAATAATATAAAATGCGAGCACATAATGCCATTATAATTATATCTATAATTTTTATGATGAGTGATATTTTATATTGAAACGCTATGATAATTTTTTATTTATAAATACCTTCATATTGCAACAGTATCATGCAGACCTCATAGTTTATTAACAATATTATCTAGATCACTTGTTCTGACATTTTTTATTATCAATTTTAACAATTTTGATTTGGTAAATTATATTATTATCGGTTTTCATTAATTTTTAAATACTTTTCATTTGTTAGTTTGTTATGATTTAAGAGAGAGAAGAACATTTAATGACATTTTTAAATATATTGTTTCGAATATAATAAATGATTTAAAAAAATACCCTTTATTAAACATTAACTATAGTTCAATAGCTAATACAAGAACTGCTTTAATTAATATTTATGATATCACCAAATTTTTTAAAAGTAACTTAGTCATTTAAGGAAGCAACTAAATATTATAAATAATTATTTTACATGGAATATTAATTTTATTGTCTATACCTGAAAGCTTATAATTTTTCTATCAAAAACTATCAAGAATTATACTGAAATCACATTACATTGACTTTTATGCTTTGCTTTTAAATTTATCTCTCTATCTTTGAAATTATGTCAGTAGCAAAAACATATCTCATAATCTTAATTCAAATTCAAGATTTATTAAACTTGGAGGTCACTATTCTGATTGAATAGACCTTCTTGTAAGAGGACGTTATAGTAATAATCTTGATGAAATTTAATATTAAAGGGGAGTTTTTTCTTACAATTTGAGCTGGAAAATTTAATTTCATTTTTTAAAAAGATTGAGCTTAATTGGATAATAATGCTCTTATAATTTGGAAATAATATAATAGTATTCTTTATTATCATTACAAATATTCATAGTGAAAATAAATTATAAAATTTTCATTAAATGATCTCATTTCAATTTGAATTAATGTAATATTTTATTTTGAGAAAATGATCTTTCTTAGGACTTGCCATGTCTAATTCAAATAATTTAGGCTATAGACATAATTTTTATTGCTCTTACTATGTTGGAATAAGTTATTATTATTGTTGTAACTATAAATTTTTCATACTTTGATGTTGTTTTGGGAGTTGTGGATAGGATACTTTTCTGGTTTATTCTTTTGTACTTTTTCTTGAACTTGATTATGTCTTACTTTTAGATTCCGTATTTCTATCAGAATCAGTTAACTTATGAAGTTTGCTTTATTTTTTGTTAATTTTTGGTAAAATTTAAGGAGTATTTATTTTCTTAATTGGATTGTCTGGGGGTTTACTTACCTAAATTACAGGAGTTTCAGATTGCTCCTTCTTCTAATTTCTTTTAATATCTATTCAATTCTATACTATAAATACTTGCTCCAGTCCAATTATCTTATAGTAAAGAAGCAAATTAAATGAATTTATTATATTCATGAGCATCTTCTAATGGAAATATTTTGACATATTCTCCTAAATTAATATTTTCATATTTGTCTCGTTATTCAGAGCATTATTAAATAAGAATTTACTTCTATTCTTGTGTTAATTTTTACTTTTTGCCTGTTAGTACTCTTTATTATAATTACTCTTTCCTTGATGCTATTATTTCTTCTTTAGCTCTAAGACTTACATTTATCAATTTTAAAGTATCTCTGATAAGGTTCTTCTTAATAAACGAATCTAATGGCGTATCTGTAGTAAAACTAGGTGTATGATTGACTTCTAATAAAAAGGGTTTTAATTTATCATTGATGAAGATATCAAATCCAAGAATTTCAAAGCACATATTATTTGCATAATTGTCAGGTTAACATGATTTGTAGTGATGACTAAGAATTGGTTAAACAGTGCAGAATGTTTTTATAAACAAATTATACATATCCTACCACAATTTTTTGATATTATGTCCTTCCTCCTATAATTTACCAAACACAGATTTAATTGATCTCTTGTGACCAATATCCATCTTAGTAGCATCATTATTGTAAACAAAGTTCGGATTTTCTTTATTGATAGCATAATTTGTTAGGTGCATACAAACATCTTCCAAATTATTTGAAGTTGGAGTAACGTATGGCTCAGTTGCAAACCTAACTAATCCATCCTAATATACATAAATTCTCATAGGATCTGTTCCAGCCAATAATACATAAACTCGTAAATCAAATTTCAGACCATCTATTAAAAAGGGTCTGTGCATATATCTTTATGCCACATAATGATCAGTTGGATTTATACCATTGATATTTCTAGTCAGGAATATTCCTTTTCCCTAGCAACTTGCTTCTGGTTTTACTATGAATGTTCTTACTTTTCCTTTGACAAATTAATTTTTAAAATCCCCATATTCAGCTGGTAATAACCATGTTTACGGAAAAAATTTATAATCATTTGGAAATTGTTTTCTCATCTTCATCAAATTTCTTCCAAGATGATTTTTGCGAGCAAGTGAATACATTCCTGGAAAATGGTTTATCTTTTGATGAGCTTTTCAAATATTGTTTAACAAACTTACGTTACATTTTACCTAAGGTTTCTGGCTAAACAGCTGCATCTGTCCAAAACATATCCCAATTAACACCATCTGGTTCATATTACAATACCCATTTAAAAAGCTTTTTCCCAACAAACTTAACTACATCATATTTTGTATCTCTATTTAAATTCAAAGTTACCTGAAACATTCATAATCAGTTTGTTCTTTTTTCTTTTATCATCAGTTTCATTATTATCCTTGAAAGACCCATTAAATAACGGTTCTCCTTCTTTGGATTTTTTCGTTTGCTTTTATAACATTTATTTTATATTGAGAGAATAATAATTATATTGAGGCATATTAGGTTCATATCTTCATTTAAATATAATACCTAATGTTCCATTTAAGCTATTAATGAACCACTTTTAGCATATATAATTAATGAAATCTTTGAGATGCTTTAAATTCTTTAAATTATCTTTTAATTGATTTTTTTGATTAATATCTTTAAGGGTAAAACTAAAAACAATTTTCAATTAACTACATAACCATGATTGAATGTTATATGTTATTAAGCAATTAGGTATTGAGAGCTTGTAGTGTTCATCAGAAAATTGTTTTGATTAATTCATACATGAAAAAATTGATATTAATTAGGATAATACCATAAAACTAACCAAATATTTTAGTTCAGAATTGAATGACTTTTATATTCTCAAAAGATATTTTAAGAGTTGATAGAAGTATGCATAATAATTAAAAGGGGAACTTTAGTGTGAATCTTAATATAAAGAGATCTATCAAGTATATTATCATAGACTATTCTAATTGTTTACCGCAGTATCTATTGAAGAGTTATTCAGTTCATTGATGAATATATTCTTTAACTAATAGCATTTGGATGCATTAAAAATATTCTTCATACAATTTTTTAGATTATTTTCACATTAATTAAATTATGGATCAAAACCCTGAATAAGATAGAGATTGGGATGACTTAAAAGGAGTATTAGCGGAAGACATCATTAATAAATTCAAAGAAGTGGGTCCAAAAGTATATAGTCATCAATATGAATTCATAAATTACTGCTTAGGATAGGATGTCAATCAACAATCTCCAGTGATTGCTCTAAGAAGTTAAACTGGAAGTGGAAAGACATTGTGTTTCCAATCTCTGATTTATTAAGAATTCAAGGATAAACATCAGAAAATTAGTGAACAGAAATAAATCAAGTAGAAAGATAATACAATGAAGGAAGTTAGAATGTTATATCCTTATACAATAGTCTTAGGATAGACTATATACTTGAAATAACATGAGGAGTACTTCAGAAAGCATTTACCAGAGAGATTGAAGAATTAAAATTTAAAATTTTAAACTTTCTTTGCATTTACAAAAGACAATGTATTATATTTCATTATTAGTGTAGTAATTTCAATAAGTAAAAGAGAATAGAATTGAAGAGGCTGATTGTTAAGTGTATCTTTGCCATCCTAGTAAAATGTTGGTGGGATTAAAGAACCGTATAATTAATGTGTCAAATCTTCGATATTTGATAATCGATGAGGCTGATCAATTATTAGAGAAGAATGAACAAAATTAGGCTAGAGTTGAGACTATGCAATTGATCTAATTCATTTTAGGATAAACAAATAATTAAAGTTATTAAATTGTTTTTGTGAGTGCTAGCTTGAAACCTGAAGAAATTTAAAGCCTTATTAAGGAATGTGTTTAAAATAATATTGATGCAAGCAAGAAAGTAGATTCTAGATTCTTGCATAAAGATGAAGATGATATCTAAGAAGTTGTTTGTAATTTAAGAGTTATTCCATCAATTTAATAACAGATATCTCCTTATACAATAGTTCATATGTATAAAGAAGCTGTGGAATAACCAGAGTAGATCTTGGTGGATTTATTGAAGGATGTATTTGATAAATTTACAGAGGCTCAAGTTATGATATTCTTTAACAAAAAAACAATTGTTAATGAATTAATAAATTTATTTAAAAAGTCTTAGAAATTGGAATACATAGTTAAAAATAATTGGATTGGGGAATGTACAGGAGATACCAATTAAGTAGATAGAGAAACAGTGAGAAAGGAATTTAAAGATGGAAAAAAGAAGATTCTACTTTGTACTGATGTTCTACAAAGAGGGATGGATTTTAGAAAGGTCAGAGTCATCATTCATTATGGATTGCCAATTACACCTGCAGGAGAGTTTAAAGAAGAGAGGTAATCTCATATTATATCTGTATTTAGTTATTATCAACGTTCAGGCAGAACAGGAAGAGCAAAAGATGAAGGAGTGGTTGTCTCTTTGTTATTGGAGGATGATCTAAAATAAAAAAGACAAGAGAAATTAGTGGAGAGTCTAGTGATGAACAATTCAAAAATACAAAAGTATGATTAGAAGCAATTCTGCACTGATTTGGCTAAACTATTGAATTTAAATAAAGAGTGATAAAAAATAAATATTAAACAATAAAAATGTCAAACTTATCTCATAGCAGTCAATCATCAAGAAGTTCTTCACAAAAACCTAATACAAAAAGACCTTAGAGAGACAAAAGAAAGAAGAACAACTCTGATGAATATGACAGTCCCATTGAAGATGAAGATGTATCTTAATATGAGGGTATCTAATTTCAATTGATTTTAGGCATAAGATCCAAAAATAAACAACAACCCTTATTAGGTCCTGGTAGATTCAACAGAAGAGAAAACAAACTCAAGAAACCTAATTCTGTCTATACACCAGCGGCAACTACATTTCTATACAAACCTGGAGCAGAATTGCCTAATCTATCCAATTTCATCAATTAGACTATAGAAATTCGAATCGCTTGTGAATATGTCAACAAAAACAACCAAGCATTAATACTTCGATAGATTTGGGGATCCAATGGTGTCTATGCTAGTCACAGTGATGCAGTCTGTATTGGCATACATGCAGGTCTCTTAGCTCTTGGAGATCTTAAATTAACAGGGACCTTCTATTAAGGAGTCAGTCTATCTTGCAAAGTCATTAAAGGCAAAAAATCATTAAATGGTTAATTAAAAGTGCCTATATTATCAAGATCACTTAAAACTCCTTGTGCTCATTGTTTGAAACCTGAGAAAGTGAATTGGTTGCCCTAATTGGGATCTCCTGAATAATTGATAAGTTGGGCAAGAAAAATGTCTTTGCCTCCCAATAGAAGACTCACCAAAAGAACTCATCAAAATGTATTCTTACATGAACCTCCTTAAACCAGCCTTCCAGAAAATCTGCTAGTTAATAATTTACCTCCTCTAAATGAAGGCTGGATTGTATGGGATATGTGCAATGAACCTAGTTAGAAATACAATCTACTCACATTCTTAGATAGACAAACATCCTAAGGAATTCCTAGTAGAACTTCATATAGACTGAAAACCAACTGTCTATACATTGAGTCAAGCATTAAAAAGTTTAGAATCAAATTTATTCATTAGATTTGAGATTTCAATGGATCCAAATAAAATTGCAGAAGAAGTCTTTTTAGATTCATAAGTGTTTATAATCTCCGAAATTATAGTACCATAGTAATCAGATATTGAAATGTTATAAAAATATGGAGTAAATCAATTTATCTAATTAGTCAGGTTCCGTTGCCTAAAGAATTTAAGAAATTAATATTAGAAAAATTGAAATGGACCAATTTTGAATGGGGTAATGATAATGTCATTATTGATGGACAATTCACAATCCAAGGTTTAAAGAGCTTTAAATTTGTACCAATTACAAAGCATTAACATTTATGATTAATCATCCTATTATATAAAAATGTTAAAATTACATTAACAATTAATACATTGTCCCTAACATAAGGAGAAAATAATATCATTCAATATTGAAAAACATTGTCCTCTTAATCAGAGAGTCCTTTGCAAAAAGTGTCCAGCAGATGGATTAAAATTGGATATCGAGGAAGTGGAAACCTTGCCTCAAAGACATTAATTAAATGAAAAACATTTACAAACCACATCATAATTCATTCAACACATCAACCATCAATATAATACAATCAAACAATAAATCATCGAAGAATTGGAGCATTTTAAAAGGGAACTAGACGATTTTATGCATCCAATAATAAATTAAAAAGAAAAGTTCGATTATTATTTGGTACCTGAATCAACATTATCCTTAAAAGATTTTTAGGAATTAGGATAACTGTTGGCTGAGAATATTGTGATTGAAGAAGATCAATTTGTTCTCGACTTTAATAAAATAGTAACTCAAAATCACAGATAATATATACAATAAAAATTCACTGACTTGGAACTGCTATTATAGTTATTCAGAAATATTAATTGCAATAAATAAATTGAGTATCAAATCTAAAAGAGCATTCAATAATAGTATGAACATTATCATTAACATGCTAAAGTATCAAAGCATTCCTGTCAACTCTTATAAACAAATTAAAATATCTTGTCTTTAGGAATTAATCATGATGAATCTATAATGGTAATTGGTTTATAAGACAAGGCAGAGACTATGTTTGATAATCTAGTAGTGTATTCAAAAAATGATTAAGGAAATTGGGAATTAGAATAAATTTTATAACATCATAATTCCTCTGTTCATCACATTTATTATAGTAAGAAGGAAGATTGGTTCATATCTGTAAGCATGGACAGTAATATCGTATTTTGGCTAAAGTTATAGAATACTTGGGTTCAGAATAGGTTGAAATAGGAACATTTAAATTTCATTTGGAATGTAATAACAAGTGAGTTGGAGAATATCATAGTAACATGCAGTGAAGATTCCTCTGTTAAGATATGGTTTAAACATGAAGATTCAATAAAATGCATTCAAACACTTAATCGACACGTAGGGCCAGTATATGCCATAGTATTAAACAATGATAATACAGTATTGTGCAGTGGAGGAGAGGATAAGTAATTGATATTATGGAAGTATTTCGAATAATAATGGGAAGAGTTTCAAGTTATAAATGTTCATTCAAAGAAAATTATGGCGATTTAATTTTATGGTCTAAAGAATCTAATTGTTTAATTTGAAAATTGCATCTAAATTATAGATAGAAAAGGTGGTTAATGTATAGAATAGATAAATCATAATGAATATAGGATATCTAATTTGATAACTTTTAATGAATCATTAATAAATTATGATTTTAATGGAAACTTATTAATATGGATGAAAAAGGACAATAGATGGTACATTGTTTTGAAGTAAACCTATGCACACAAGATCAAATGTGTTTATGGAAGGGTAAATGAATTATATGTTGGGGAAGGTAACAAAGTCCACAGAATATAAATATGAAATAATAAAATAAAATTATTAAAGAATCAATCAAATTATTGAAATATAATATCATTTTTATAATTAAGTGTATTTCTAAAATGCTGAATGAGCAATTCATGGATTCTAACAAACATGATTATGTAAATCAAAATTCAAGGACTGTAGAAAAGGACTGAGCAAGATAGAATTGGAGCAAATATTCTGATTAACCATTTATATCTCAATAATTATTAAATTGCAACTCTATGGGAAGCTTTTTAATTTCATACTTTTAGATATCTATAAGGGGATGCAATACTCTAAAAATTAATAGAATAACAAAGAGAATATAAAAAATTATAATTAACCATTCAATAATTTATAAAATTTAGAATTTGACGAGAAACAGAAAGATTCAAACTCAAAATGGTTGGAACAATGAATTTATAATCTGTATAAATCAAAATTTACTAATCAGTGAATTTTTAAAATAAATAAGAAATGGATAGATTTGTCAACCAATTAATTATAATTATTTTTTTTTTTCATCAAAGATTGTCTTTGATTGGACATGCATCGAGAAAACTTTGTCAAATTTGAGTTTTTATGTATTTCATTAACATTTACTTATAGTAGAATATGGTCTAATGATGATAAAAAGAACAAAGAGATTGATGTGTGTATTAATAAATATATTTTTTAATATGAATGTTAATTTAATCTGTCCTTAACACAAATAACAAGTTATCTAAGCTTGTGTAGATTTAGATTGCTATGTATTCCCTTTTATGTGTAAAGTGTGTATGACAGATTAAAAAACTATTTCTTAACATTCAAAACACAATCAATGTTTGATACCCTACCAATAATACGTAACATCGGTAAGTAAATAAATAGAGGAGTAACTTTGTGATGCAAATAAATTCATTGATCTCTTCAAAAAAGAATCTCAAGTTGTCTAATAAATATTATTATCAGATGAACATTTGAATAATATGGAAGGATATGTAAGATCTTAAAAGCAATAAATTGAATCTGATGCCAATTAAGCCTTAGAATCTATTACATTGCTATTTTAATTACATAAAAAAGAACTCATCGATAAGTTAGATCAATATCTTAAAATATACAAATAAAACTTTTTTATACTTAAAGAATAATTAGAACCCATAAAATTCCTTCAGACAAAATGTAAATATTATTCAAATGAAAACAACTTAAAAGTAAGGATAATCACTATTATAGTAAAAACTGCATACTGAACCTGATTTAGGATCTTAACTCAAGTTGTCAATCAAATAAATGTAGATTATTAAAAAACCTGATAATTTAAAACAAATTCTTGATAAAATAAAAAAGGCTTAAGAATTGTAATACAACAATGAGAATTTCAATAAACTATTGACTGATGCAATGAATTCAATCAAAGACTTCTATATCAAAAATGTCAGTATTCCCAATCAAATACCAATTGAAATATAGCAATAGCCAAACATACTTCCTACTGTTCAAACAATATCATCTCCTCCAATTAAAAGCAAATTCATGGATGTATCAAATGCAGATAAAGTGACAATGTTAGATGATAATAAGACTGTGGTTTCCGCAGTAGATTCTAAGATCTCAGTTGTTAGTTAATTATAACCTTTTGTTATTATACCTAATATTAATGTTTTAATTTTGGATTATAGGATTATTGAAGATACCAATTAGTCTAAGGTAATATTTATTTTATATATATATCTAGATTCAATCAAAACAACGATTCAAAATTAAGAAAAAATTAAGCATTGAATTCCAAGTCACTTCATTGGCTCTTGTTAGCAATGTCTCTGTAGCATTAGGATTGGCTGATGGAACAGTCAAATTATTAGATATGACAACTAGCAAAGTTAGCTTTTATCCTAATACTTATATTCAACATACCAAACCTGTCTCTCAACTCTTGATTTTGAAGCAAAATAAAGGAACACGATTGGCATCGTTAAGTGAAGAAAACTATGCCATTATTTGGACATTAGGAGAAAATTATGTGCCTTATCCAGAAAGGAGGCTAATTGGATTCAAATCCAAGTTGAATAGAATTATGGATATAGCAGATTCTTCTCACGTTCTTTGTTAGAGTGATACAAATCTATAACTTATCAATTATCATGATAACAGAATAGCCTATTCTTTTGAATTTAAAACTTAGCTCATTGACTTCCTTTATATAAGTAAATACGAAAAATTTGCTACAATATGTTAAGGAAATATAGTTTCTATATACAGTCTAAAAATGAATAATAATTTATAAGGAGCCATGTTATTAGTTAATTGCGAGTTAGAATATACTCAATCAGCCCTTCCAATCTCAAATATAAGTGTATGCATATCCACAGAATACTTAAATGACATAATCATCTGTTATGGATGTACTGATGGATCAGTCAAATTGTTTAATGTTATTAAAAATATTTTAATTGGAGAATATTAGGTAATAGATTGATATGTATTTTTAGTTATTTAATTCAAAAGTACAAGAAATGATAATTGTTAAGTAGAATAAGCATTTTATGTTAGTGGTATTTGGTGAAAGTGTAAAATAGATAAAAGGCATTATGATTTAAGAGAACAAAGTACATCCAATAGAAATGATTGGAGAATTACTTGAATGTCCAGCAAAATCAGGAAAAAATGTTATTTAAACATTTTTCAAAAATAGAAGTTCATTTTATTTACTAAGTGACTCCTAGAAAGACATTGGATTATATGAATTATGCTGAAATTAACAATAATATAGTACATTATTGACTAATCTTGATACTAAAATTTTAAATAATTAATTTTAGAATATTTATGTTTCTTTAGGCAAATAATACATTAAATATGTTCAATTCTATTTTTCTATAAATTAAATTTTAAGAGTATAAGCAGTTATAATTTTAATATTTCAAAGATTATATTAAGAGTTATTTAAAGAATTGAGTAATTTTATATTCAAATAATATGTTTTATATTAACCTTTGTGTCCTTAGTAGTTCACATAATACTTGAGTTATTAATATAGAAATAATAAAAATTAAAATAATTCTTCTATTGATAATTAATTAAACTATTTTAATTTGATTATTTTGTCATAATTTCAGAAAACTAAGTTGATAAAATATAATTATTCTGAATAAATTGAACTTCTTAGATTCCCATATGCATACTAAATAGTGTTTTACACTGATTCATAAGCAGTTCAACGATAAACATAATCTTATTTAAATTTTATTATTTGATGTCGCAATAATCTCACAAAATAATGCAATAAATAAATTATATTTTTGATGATGAATCTATTCTGCATTATAATCCTACTTCTTTTAAGCTTAGAATTAAAGGCTGATATGTACGATGAGAGCAGAATATTTAACTGTTAAGAAGACAGTTATGATGAATAATTTCTAATAAACTATTAAAAGCTTAAATTGTTTCCAATAGATTGTTGGACCTTTGTATTATTATGTATAAGTTGAATGATCATTCAAAGCCCCTATCACATTTTCGATTTCCGTCCGAATTATCTATGAGTTCCTTAAAGATTTAACACTTTTTGGAGGTCCTGGGGATGTAATCTTTGTGATAACATTAACGAATGGAATACAATCATTAATTCAATTTTCTACGGCTTTGTATGTATTAATAGAAGATTCAGCTCCAGTTAAATTATTCTGTGATGTAATTATAAGAATAAATTAGATTACAGGGATAACAACATCGATTGTATTTGTAATTTCGAATATAAACATTTTTATATTCTCTGCTTACCCACTTGCTTTAGTGTATAATACATTGGAGAAAACAGTGAAATTTATCAGAATATTCAATTACACTCTGACAGGTCTTATAATAATCTTAGTTATATTGGGATTTCTGTTTAATGATAATATAATTTCGATTACGTTAAATGGGTATTAATAATTTGATATTTTTAGTATGTGTGCAATTTCAGCTACTCACTAATCTTTTTGGGATTATATTATAGCCTCATTTTATTTGTTTGTTTTCCTTTTATTCGCAACAATGTCAATTATTTACGTTTTTACATTCAAAAGGTTAGTTCCTAAAATGTCATCAATTAAAGAATTAAGAGGCAAATATTTGAGATATTATTAAAAATTCATTATATTTAGCCTTGTGATGAAATTTTTTCTTGGAATTTTCAGTGCAATTAATTTACTTAATTGCTATATCTTTTTGAAAGCCTATCTTTTACCTTCAGAAACTTGCGACAACATTACACAAGCTCTTTGTATTTTAGGATAAGTTATCATTATCACAAAAGATCCTCTACTAATACCTAAATTGCATCATTAAGAAACTTCTGAAAGTTTGTAAGATTTAGATTCACCCAACGACACAAAACCTGAAATTGCTATGTAATGTAAGAATATGGTTTTGATTTTTTAGAATTTAACCTTTTAGAACAGTTGTAAAAAGAAATGAAAAAAACTCAAGTAATTTCTATGTTAGCAGGGATATAAATTTTAATAAAATAGAATTAAGAAAAAACTATATTATATAAAGATCTAGAAATAATTGATGATTAGGATGATGGTGAAGGACCATGCATTGGGGATTTAAGTGAATTGATTGAGGTCTCCATAAAACCATTTACTCCTCAGGAAATTGAAGAATGTTGGGTAGTCAATTTGGATAATGATCTAATAAAATCCTCATTTCATGATAACCAAAATATTTAGGTTTTTTAAACGAGATGTATTTTATACGCTCCAAAGATTTTTAATTATTTTGTGACATTAGATAATGTTGATTTAGAGGATTCTTTTGATGTTCATAAGAACTTATCGAATATTGAACAATTCACAGGTCCAGATGGTGGAAAAAGTGGGGAATTTTTTTTTTTCTCTCATAATAATTAATTGATTATTAAAACAATGAGATAAGCTGAGGTAAATACTTACAAAAAACGCTTATTAAACTTTGCTACTTACTAGGCCAATAATCCAGAATCGTTATTAAATAAGATATATGGCATGTATACGTTTGAAAGAGTTGAAAAATCTAATGCAAAGATACACTTTTTAATAATGAAGAATCTATCTTTAGGCATCCCAAAGAATTATATATTAAGAATCTATGATTTAAAAGGGTCTGAATATGATCGTGAAGTTCTTGCTAAAAGATCTGAAACTGATTTATCTAAATTGACTCTAAAGGATTTAGATTTTTTCAAAATAGAATAATAAATTTGGGTAGAATAATCAATTATGTAAAGTAATATAATTAAATCAATCTAGAATTAAATTAGAATTTGATTAAGGACTCTGAATTCTTAGAAAAATAACAACTCATTGATTATTCGTTATTGGTTATGAAAATAGATTGGAAAGATCAATAAAAATTATTGTATAAACATTTGGGCAACTAATATATCAATGTTAATCCTTCAATTAAGGAATAAAATGTAAATTGATATATTATTTATTAGATTTATTATCATATTGGTATTATTGACTATTTACAATAATGGAATGTGAATAAAGCTCTTGAAAGAAAAACAAAAAAGATTATTAAAATGAATTTATAACTAGATACTTCTGCATAAGAACCAAATAGATATGGAAAAAGATTTAAAGAGAAATTGGTAAGTAGAATCCTGCCCTTATGATTAATCACATCACCTAAGTTTTTATCTATCTTTAATATCACAATATCTTGTCTAATTACCCTTCTTTTTTCTCCATTAAATAAACTAATAATTATTTATTTATTTTTATTAATATATATTCAGAATTATTTTAATGGAATTTTTGTAAAAAATAATGATGATACCTCAAAACATCATAAATACTCTCAAGACTATGAAATCCTAAACTAATAAAGTTGAAAATATTTTTATAGAGCCACTTGCTTTTTGCTAAGAGTCAATAGTAGAAACAGTTCATCTCAAAGAATTTGATCAAATACACAAAAAAAAAAAATTAACCATGAACTAAGAAACTCAAACAGAGCCATAACAGAAAATTGAATAAATAATTAGTATTAATTAGATACCAGAAAGTGTTTCACAATAGAAAAGCAAACTTAGATTAGTCCCTTCCAAACCAAATAAAAAATACACTAAATAACTTACCAAATAAATTGTCTAAGATGAAAGTTTAAGTAGAGAATCTGATTAAACAGAACCATCCTAGTACTCATATTGTCATAATAATTTTTTGGCAGCCATGGACAGGAATGAAGAGGAATACAAGCCAAAACAAAAAAAAATATTCCAAATGAATGGAAAAAATTAAAATTAATATCGAAACCAAATAAAAAAAAATTGCTTAATGAAATTTAAAGAAAAATTCACCGATGAGAAATTAATTTTAAAGTCCACAAGAACTCAATCCTCAGATGAAAAATAAGATAGCATTGATTAAAAAGAATTAGAAAATAATCAACAATAACAAGCACTGGTTTGATGATATATTCAATTTTGAAAATTTAATATTTCTTTATCTTCAAAGATATACTGATTGATATCAAATTTTTATTCTTAATTCGTGAATAAAATTTAAGAGCGGGATATTATTTTTGACAAAAGAAGAAGGAACACATTAATTAATTGCACAAATTTAATTAAAACAAATTATAAAATTAGAAATAATACAACCTCTATATTTTTAAATTATCATTATTTCCATATGATAAACTTTTCCTATTTTTCAATTCATAAATATTAATAATATGATGTAGCCAAAAAGAAATATTAATGAGCTTCTAGCAGAATATTCAAAATAATTGGGTGAAGATTTTGATGATGCAGACCCTTAAGTAAATGAAGGAAGTGCTTTCGATGATGATCCAGAAATGAGAAAACTTTAATAATAATTGTAAGAGTATCTATTCTATTCTTGAAATATCGATATTGGCAAAGCAAACAACCAAATTGGAAAAGCTGCATAATCAAATGACCTCTATGACTAAATGCTATCACAATATGAAAATCCCAAAAACTAAATTGTTCCATAAAAGTCAAATTAGACATAGAATCCATAATAATAATAAGGGCCAGCTAAAAATAAAAAGGGAGGCATAGATCTTTAAGAGTTAGAAAATCAATTAACCATTCCATCCAACTTAAAGTCTATGAGCGTTCTTAAGTTTGACATTGGGTACATTAATTAGAACATTTTACCAAACTTTAAAAAAAATCCCGAATTGACTAATTTCTATAAAAATCTTGTAATTTATAGTAATATATAGGTATCTGAATTGCAAAAGCAACTGACTTCGATTATTTAATAAATTAAAGATGAGCAAATTTCAGAAAATCAATATATCAAAATGGTGAATGATACATTTTAATAGGAGTAAATTAAGTTTAAGACTGCTGCATCAGCAATGAAGAATAGAATAGGTCTCAGATGCAAAACATTGAACTAAGAATTAGAGAATTTGAAGGTCCATAAATTTGAGAAAATTTGTTAAGAATTTGGTTGCGGTCCTGACTTGACATAGAAATTTTTGTTTTAAGAATTTTAAGAAAAGCCTTATAAAGAAAAAGCTAAGGAACTACTTATTAGACATAAGGAATATTTAAATTTAACATAATATTTAAGTATTCATATGAAAGATGAAAAAAGAGACTTGATAGAATTCTTGATCGGAAAATTAGAAAAAAGCAAAGCAATTTAAAATGATTTGAAAGAAGGTAAAAATGTTGATTATTCAAAATTCTTCATTTCTGAATTTAAAGATATCACTGAAGATTAATTTCTTGGGATTCCTAAGGTAGAATATTAGGCAAAAATTTAAAATATGTTGGATTAAGTGAATTAAGCATTAAAAGAAGAATAACTTTATTATAAAGTTGCTTCACTTGCTAAACCTATGATATAAGTCATTCCTGGTACAAAATAAATGCAGAAAGTTAGTCCAGCTGATATATGCAAGCAATACTTTGCCAGATATGAAGAATTATAGAAATACTTGTCAGGTTAAAAGAATGCAAGTTGGACTCCATTGCCAATTTTTAAAATGGAATTAGAAAATAGAGAAATATCAACAGTAAACAAAGATGTTCCAAATGGTACTTTAAGAATTCAATTTAAAAATTTTGTTCATGGAGATAAAATGCTATTATAATATGAAATTACAATAGGAAAGTATTCTATTATTCAATACATATTAGTTAACCTTATTAAGGTAAAACTGAGTAAGCAGACAGTACTGGAAGATTAGGTTACGTTTAAGATATCAATCTAAAGGATTTTAAAAATGGCACAAAAGAGATTCATTTAAGCGTTATCGAAATTAAACTATTTAAAAAAGGATGGATATCAAATGACTTAAAAGGATAAGGGAAAATTTAATTAAGTGATTTGCTTGATATGTCTACAATAGAAGGAGATCTACTTCTAAATGAGAAGACAGTATTACAATATTGTATAATGTTGAGAGAATCATTAAATAAAAAAAAAAGTGTGGCGACAGCATAAATACTTAAAACCTACCCGCAATTTGATAAAAAAAATGGGTTGGATTAATACTTAGAATAAAAATTAAAAGAAATACCAAATGAACCAGTTCCTTAGCAATAACAAAAGTAAGAAATTTAATAACCATAATAATAATAAAAGTAATAATAACAGCAATAATAATAAGAACAATAAGCTGAAGAAGATGAAGGCTGTTAAGGTCCATAATTATAACCAGATTAATTAATTGTATTTAGTATGAATTTAATTAGCTTCTAAATCATTAAGAGGATGATGAAGAATATTAAAATGTTAAAAAGCTTGGAGAAAAGATGCCATAGTTACAAGAAGAATTGTTGAACCCAGAAAATCCATTAAAAGGAAGTGTTTTTTATTTTTTAGTCTAATATTCACCATTTTTACAAAATAAGTCAGTTGAATTAAAATAAGACCCCTCATAGCGATAATAACAAAGATTTGTGTAAAAATTATGGGAGGATTGTTATAGATAATAAAACAAATTAAAAAATAAATTAATGAATGATATGGAGGGCTATTTTAGCGATTTGCAAAAGATTATAAAAAAGGATCAGCTAATGATAAAACTATACAAGCAGGCTTAAGCACCTAGTTGGTCTAAGTTTATAGAAGGAAGATTAGAAATAGCATTACAAGAAGAGAAAGCAATTTAGGAATAATTATCAGCAGAATGATGTATAAATTTAAATATATATATTAATATCATAATTATGTAAATGAAATAATATCTTACATATGCCTAGCTATGCAATAATGCTTAGCATCTTGATATTTAGAAATAAATTCTTTAACTGACCCTCCTTATTTTAATCGATTTAGAGTTTATCTAGTTTCTGCAATTCCAATAGTTTCGACACACTATTCCATCTTTAGTTTGATTAAATTATTTATTGCATTTTATGGTTTGATAGGAGCATCCAAATACTGAGGTTTTTAGATGAAGTCGATGAATAAAGGTTTCGGTTTTGGAGAAAGCATTTTACGATTAGTAAAAGAGGGGAAATTTTATCTACTGAATGTATTACTTCTAATAATAGTGTTAGATTAAGTTCCTTTAGTTTATTAAGATATTGGTCTAACAGTAAGCGTTTCATTTAGTTTTTCTTAATTCAACTTAGGTATAATTAGTTTACTTCTATTTTTTGATTCCATGTTAATAGTGTTATTGTTATTTGATCTATTTTATTCAATAATTTGTTAATTATTTGTATTTGTATTTGGTTCTTTTGCTTCTAAATCTAAATTATCAATAAAGACACTTTTCCTTTTCTATTTCTACTATTTACTATTACACCAAAACTCAAAGGTTTCTTATTATTCATGAGTAAAAGTAAAATGCTTTTATTATAACAAGATTTTAAAGTTTTCATTATGTACTAATTCACGAATATCTAATCTACCAGTTTCTTGGAAATCAAGACAAGTTGTGATTATGAATCGAAGTTCCTTGGAATATATCGATGGAATCTTTACAATTCTTAAATGATAATTTCAATTACGCTCCTCCATTAAGAATAACTGCTTTGATTTGCTCTATAATCTCTGACTTAAATAATTGTCTCTGTGTCGTCAATTCGTATAATACAAGACCAAATTGATAGATCATCGATTTATAAGTAAAATTATTCTGAAATAATAATTCTGGAGGTCTGTAACTAGGTTTTTGATGCTGTATTAAGTTATCAATTCCAAAATCACAAATCCTAACTTATTCCTAATGTATCAATATATTTTCAGGGTTTAAACCTTTATAACATATTTTATTCTCTCTCAAGTATATCAAAACAAATATGATTTGTATAAAAATTTTACAAATCACTCTTTCGGAAATGAAACTTCCGAGATGCTCACTTATGAACTATTTTAAATTTCCTTAATCTGCATATTCCATTATTATTATTAAATTATCCTCTAATCTAAATACTTCCTTTAGTTTGATAACAAAGGGTATTTAGCATTGCTTCATTCTTTATATTTCGCATAAAGCTAAATATCATTTTAATCTCATACCTTAGTTAGAGAATCCAACAAATTCCTTCATAGCGTATGTGTTGTTATCTTTTATATTTCTGACTTTATGAATTATTGTAGACTTTGATTCATAAATTTTCTCTAAAATTTAGTAATTCTGCATTTATTATTATTAATAAATAGAAAGTGGAAGTTAATCAATAAAGTTAAGAAATTATAAGACAATAAATGACCTTTATACCCCTCTTAAAATAAATTTAAAGGACTTTAAGTTATTTCATATGTTTTGAAATTAAAAGCGCAGAATTTTTTTCATATAAAATTTTAATGGTAGAATTCCATTTTTTTAAGAATTAAAACTACAATAGATTTTTCTAGTTGTTATTGTATTTGATGTATATCATCTCATAATGACCACATATATGAAAATCATCAAGAATAGGAATATAATATTATTTATATACTATGATACAATAAAGGAACCTTATTTCTGTATAAGATAAGAATCCATTTTAAATTAATATAATAAGTTTAAAATTTATGTTTATTTCATATGTAATCAAGGTTTACAAAATTTATTCTTTTTAGAATCTTTGTTTTCAATCAGTATTTATATCCTAGTAATATCTTCACTTCTAAGGCCTTTCGTATATTCTTCAAACTATTACTATTCAAGGCATTGTATATCTCTTTAAATAATTAATCATAAAGCTTACTTTTAGAACCAATTTGCTAAAGCAGTCCAAGATGATAATAATGTAATTTATTTCTTTAATTATTTCAACCCATCTTATCTTAATTTAAACATCATGTATAAAATCAGAAAAATCCCTTTAATTTATTCAGGATTATTTTTAAAATAGGAGAGAAAATTGATTTTTAAAAGAATTCTGTTGTAAATAACTAAATTTCCATAAATGAACGTCGTCACCAATATTCGTCTAAAGTAATTTATAAAAATTTAATTGGAATTGTGAATTGAATAGGTTTCAATCAATAAGTGCCAAAATGATATTGGTATCTGAGATAGTAATTATTATTTTGTGTTTTCTACTATCAATGTGACACTTTCCAATAATGTAATTGCTCTAATTGATAATTTTGATGTAAGAAGTTAAGTTAAAAGTATCTTACATATTAAGGTTAAGTGATCATTGAAATTAAATTAAAAGATTTTAGGTTTATATTATGACAATATTAAATTATAAATTCTACCTGCAAGAAGGAAAGTACATAAGAAGTCCTCTTCTTATTTCTATTTCAATAAATAATTCTTGGCTATGATATCTATAAAACAGGATTTATTTTCCCCTATTAAAATATTTAGATAGAATTCTGGATGTTCAAAATGATGGTTATTTTATAAAATAAATTTCCTTTAAGAAAAAATCATATGAAGGATATCGTAGATACATTATAATACACCCTTTGTATAATTCTCATTTCTTTATGAAAGTTTCTGGAATTCATCATCAAACGCCAATTTTTCAAAATCATTAATTTATTAATCTTTTAACTCTGGTGGATAAATACAAAATTCTTTTTCTATATCATAGCTTTTGATGGATCCCACTAAATGGTTGAACTTATTTAAAATGATAGAGTTTTAGATTCTTGACTTATTCAAGGATTCAGTTATGTTAATGTAGGATGATTATTGACTTAATCGTTTTTGATTAGATAATGATCTACTATGAAGCATGATCATTTAGGTTGGTCTTTTTACTAGCATTCTTTAAAACATAGGTTTTTATACTATTTCTTAAGGATTCTTTTTGTTGATTAATTAAATTTATTCAGTCAATACTCCAAACAAATTACTTGGGTTAGTCAAAGCCTGTAATTGACTTCTTGTGGTGCTATTTGTAGTAGTTTAAGGCATATTATCGAATTCAACAGGATTAACAACTAATGATCGTTTAATACTACCATCAAGCATGGATGCTAATTTTGGTGCTAAAATTGTTCTTCTTCTAGTAGGACTGAATATCGTTGTAGTTTATTCTTCAATTTTAAGGTATTTGGTCTATAAAAATTAAGGGGGAGTGGCTGCAAGAGACATTCTTTGTTTCGCTTTACTTTCTTTTTTCTTAGATGCTTGATCTAACATTCTTTCAAAAATCTTTAATGTTTTTTAACACTTATTGGGTAGATAATGGAAAATTTTATCAAGATCCTAATCAAATTCATCAATTTCTTCTGCTACTTTTTTTTATTCTGGTTAAGGAAATTGCTTTTCAACTTGTAAGGGAGTAAAATCTGGTCTTTTTAATATTTCTTCTAATTTCTTAGGTCTATATAATTCATTTGATTTTAAAGTGATAACATCATCAATGGTTTTTAAATCGAATATAGTCATTTTAAGTAAATCAAAAAAAAAATTAGAAAGTTCGAAATACTTCCAAATTAATTAACTAGATTAAATATGAACTTTGTTGTAAGGAGTTTGTATAAAATTCATTAGTTAAGTGAAAAATTAAGAGATTTCTGGAATATCTAAAAATAGCATCAATCTATAGGGGATATTATAAAAAATCAGGAAGAATATTGACATTTCAGGGTCTTGATATAAAAGGAAGGAGAGATATTGCACAATAATTTCTGGACAAATAGTGATGGCCACCAAATCCTATTTTAAACATTCATAAATCATTGAATATGCTCTTTAATAATATTCTTTGTTAACTCTGGTAAGCAAAAAATTATTTCTATTATCAGTTATAACTTGCATAGTTCTAAAAGCCCTAAATTAAAGCAAGGGTCTTCTTTCTTATGACACATTAACATTTAATTGTCTAAATGAAGGAGGCTCAGGAGGATTAAGATCTACATAAAAATTATATAATTTCTACAATTAAAATGATATATTTACATTTGGAATTACTTAAGGGTTTTTTGTTGGAAACAATAGAAATGACAAAAATAAGTCCAAGAGCACATTTGACTTAAAAACTTCGCTACTCAATTAATCAACAGTTGCATGATTAGCTACTAATAATGGTACTTCGCTTGGTTGAAATAGCCATTCTTCCAACATTTATTATTTTAATTCTTTTTTTGTTAATCCATAATTTGATGCTTCTTCTCTTTTTTATTCAATTTTTTCACTTATAAAATCTAAGTTCTTTGAACTCATCACTTAACTTAAGGCTACCAATTCTTAAATATTTATATTTGATATTACAATCTTCAACATCGATTTCAAACTATAAATCCAATTCTTTTAACAAAATCCATATATTTCTTTTTTCTAAAGCAAATTGGAAACATGAATTAAGCATGTCAAAATTAGAATTATATTTAATGAAACTCTTGAAGAAGTCATTTACTTTTTAACAAACAAATTCATTGTCAAAAAAGGGCAGTTAGATTTTATTGATAAAATTTTTGGAGTTCTCTAGTAAAAACCATCTAAGTTTGGTATCATTATCACTCACAGTTTAACAATATACTAAAAATGTCAATAATCGGTACAATACTCTCCTGATTAATGAGACATTTAGTAACGCAATCAAAATACAGTTTGACATAGTCATATTCTTCCCAATACCTATCTTATAAAGCATACAATAATAATAAGGCCTATAATGAATTTATTGATACACTATTTTCATATAATTGACTGGCGATCAGTAAATATTTCAATATATTAGGTTTTTATTACAACACTGATATAATTGAAGGAAAAGGCAACATTCTACTTAATTTTCTGCATACACTAAACATCAAGGTTTATCTTCTATTGTCATCCTATTCTTAAAGCTAAATTTTTTAATACAATTTTACAGTTTCTTTGAATTACTCACATAATTCCATTTTATTAATTATTTAATTTAAAAGTATCATGAAAAAGTTAATACTTGTACTTGGTGGCTCTACTTTTATGGGAAAGGAATTATTGTAGGATCTTTCTTAAAATGAGTCTTATGAAGTTCATTATATAAATAGAGGAAAAAATTATTGGAACAATGCAGTAAATCAGATAAAGAATGTTTTTTATACATACGGTAATCGAGAAGACGCAAATGATTTTACTACTTTGATAAAGTATCTTTCAAAAAAACTCGGGGTTGGAGTTAATGGTAGAATTTGGGAATCTGTTGTTGATTTCTCTGCATTTTATAGTAATTAAGTGAAATCTGTGTATGCTGCTTTAAGAGGGTTGTGCAATTTATACATATTTATATCAACTGATTCAATCTATGATGTATGTAAGATAAGAAAAATACCGATAACAGAAGATCAAGATTAAAGAAAAGAATTATCATAATCTTAAAAGAAGGGAGAGAGTTATGGCCATGTAATAATTAATATGAATAATTAGAATAAATTGAAATGTGAAGAGTTTCTATAAAATTATGTTATCGAAGGTTCATTTCGATATATAATTTTAAGACTGCCAGATGTTATTGGACCTTTTGATGATTCTGGAAGATTTTTCGCCTTGGTAAAATGGCTTCAATAAAATGACAAGCATCCTATTTAAGTGGTAAATGTGATAATTAATTAGTTAGGATTAAGCTGTGCAATCAGAATAAATTAGTCTTGTATATAGCACAGATGTTGTGAATTGCGTAAAATATTTCATTTAAAATATTCCATAATAAAATTAAATTTATAATGTTTGTTTCGATGAGACAATTTCATATATTGAATTAACTTAGGTGATAGTAATACTTTAATACTAATTTTAGCTGGATAAAATATCACAAAAATAGTTAAATATCAAACATGTAGTAGAAGCGAGCAAATTCTATCCTTCAGTTGATTGTGGAATTATTAGCAATAAAAAAATCAAAGAATTAGGTATTCAATTCACTCCTTTGATGAAAGCTTTGGAAAAGACGATTGACTTTTTTATGAAGGAAGCATCAAATTATGAAGCAGAAAACAAGGCTGCTCTTGAAAAGCTTCATAGGAAATTAAATGCTTGAGCAGGTTATGAATTATGAATGATTTAAATATTAATTCTAATGATATAAAATTGAAAATAATTATTTACAATTAATGCAAAAAAAATAATTAAAACTGATTAAATTTTAAGTTCATCTAATTTATTGAATTTAGAGCTTGGATTAATGTTATGGATTGAATTTACTTACAATTTAGACATTTTTATTTTGTTTAAGCTTGTATTGATTAAATACATACTATAATCAGAAATATATGTTTGGATATCATCATAATTGTGTATGATTTTTATTAATTATAATTTATTATGAAACATTCTTTATATTTTGTATCCTCTAAGTAGTAATCGTTTTGGAATAGAGATTTAAATGCCTTAGTTAATTACGATTTTCGTGAATTGTCCGAAAATTAAAAGACTATTGTATTGATTAAACAAGGCCAAATTCTCAAGATGATAACTCCTCGGAGATACAAAATTTATAGACAACACTTATTCTATTTTCGAAAGGTAAGGAATTTATTTTATAAGTGATTTAATGAAGAGTGGTGAAATTGGAGGCTTTCTCCTTCTTAAAAATGTATATTGTTCTTTTCGCAATAAAGACAATACTATTCTTATTACCCTATCCCATGATTTTTAGTAAATTGTGCTACAAACCGGAAATAAATCAGAAGAAGTTGAAAATTTTATTGTTGAATTGAAACAGAATTGCATCCAAGAATCAATACCCCTTGCATTCTAATGTTTAAAGTAAAAAATCGGGGAAGGCATTACTTCAGAGGTAATTTCTTAAGATTATTTGTTCTAGGTATTTGTGATAAATCATCTAAATAATGAAAAATTTGCAATTAAAAAAGTGATAAAAGCCCCATTAGGACATAAGATGAGAGAAAAACAAGCAAAAAGTTTGGCTGAAGAAATATTTATTATGCGTAGCCTAGACAATCCGAATATTCCGAAATTATATGAAGTATATGAAAGTGATGGTATCTTTTTATAATTAAAACCTAGATTCTGTAGAATTATTAATGACTTATTATGAAGGTGGTCATTTATATGAAAAGCTATAGAATTTTTCACTCAAACAAAAATAACAATTAGTAAGAGATATTCTAGAAACAATGAATTATGTCCATTCATAATAAATTATGCATCGAGACTTGAAGCCATAAAATATCATGTACAAAGACAAAGACCCTTCCAGCACTGATGTAGCCATAATTGATTTTGGATTTTCGACTAATTATAAATATTAAGAGCATGTATTATATAATTGTGGTACTCCTGGATATGCAGCGCCTGAAGTTCAAGAATATAAGGAAAAATAAAAAATGTATACCACTTAATGTGATGTTTTCAGTTTGGGTATCATAATTTATGAAATGTAAATTCATTATTTATAATTAGCTTCTATGGGGTTCATCCTTTTAAATCATCTAATTCTGGCAGTCTTTGTTTCAATGAGAAGATCAAGTTGCCCTAATCATTAAAAAATCTCATTATTTAAATGACTCGAATTCAACCTAAATATAGATTCACATTAAAGGAATGTCTAGAACAAGACTTTTTTCGGGAAAATCTAGATTCTAATTGCTTTGATGATTTGTTGAAATTCAGTTTGGTCGATTCAATCTATTAAAAATCTTAGAATGTTTCAAGAAAAAATTCTATAGATCCTTCAATCAAATAAGAAAAATAAAATAAAAATGAATCTGTTAAAAATAAAACTATTAATTCTACTGTCGCTGAATCCAGAAATCTTCTTTTTAAAAGCTTTGGTCCCATTGAACAACTACTACAAGATGATTTACAATTTAGTGAGAATCACAATTTTCCAACTGACTATAACAATTTACTTTAAAAAAGAATTTGAAATTTAAAGAAATTCTCGCATTGATGATCGCCTTAATTTATATATTTTGTATTTGATTACTTGAAAACAATAAATTTAATTTATTATGAAGTATCTGTTAGTACAGTATTTAAATCTTCAAGTTTATATAGTGATTATAAAATATATTAAATATTCGATCCCATCATTAATAAATTAAGATGTGGATTCCAATGGGGCAAATTACTTCAATCACCAAAAACCTCAAAGGAAAAAACTGATAAATATCATCCATCTCCTCAGGACTAAGCTATAAATATTATCAGAAAATTGTACAAATTTAAGATAAAAATAAAGAATATCCTGTTATAATTCATTATAAATATATATTACTCAATATAATATATTAAAGAAAGGCTTCAACAATCTTTGAAGGTCTAAAACTACTATTATTAAAGCGATGTGATAATAGTACTAAAATACTATCGTACATGTCATGAGATTAAATTTAATTGTATTTTAAAGCTTATTTTGAGAATCAATATGAGGAGAAAAATCAAAGTGGAAAAATAACTCAGGACCCTTCACATTGCATAATTAGATTGATTGAACATGGAGTTTTCATAAATAAATATAATAGTAAGTCTTACATAAAACTGGCCCCAACTAAAATTTTTAGTTCTAATTTTGGAAATCAAAGTTTTCATTAGAATGAATAATTTTAATAACTTTAAACACTTTATATTTTTTAATATTTTAAATTGATGCAAATTACAATTATTACATTCTGCTAACTACATCCATGCAAATTTAAACATGTAAAGTTTTAAAAGGCTTGGAAAATTTGAAGACAATTTCCATGGGCAACCTTAACAATTCTATTTTTTTCAAACCAAACTCTAAGATACTATAAAAATGTTAACATTTAAATAAATACTCAAGTGTAGAACAGCATTTTGAATATGTAAAAAAATTACTAAATAAAATTATTAGAAGTTTATCCTAAAGATGATTTAGAAAGTTTATTTTACATTCTAATCTAACTATTAAGCAAAGGAGAATTCTTCAATTAATCAAAAAAATACAAAACAAGAGTAGAAAATTATAGTGGTATTTTTCGGTTAAACATTCATTTTTACCTGAAAAAGTCCTAAAGTAAATTTCTTAAATCCTTTTGATTTGCCTATTAATTATGATAGTTTGAGAGCTGTTTTTAAAGGATGTAAGAATTTGAATTTGGGGAATTAATTTAGTCTAAAAATAGTTTTCTTTAATAAATGGATAAAAAAGTAAAGTGGAAATTCATCTCAAAAATTAGAAATGTAAAATGAAGATTGAAATCTACATAAAAATCTCTTAACACAATTAATGAATCATTAAATGAATAGGTCATCGATTTACATCATATTAGTAAATATCAAAAAAAAAATGGAGATTATGTGATTTGAATCCAGATACGCAAGAATTCAGATGGGGAACTCTCTTTTGAAGAAGAATCAACTAAGAAAAGCTACCTTTATTGCTTCAAATGATAACTTGCTTAAATAGTTTGTTGTATGAAATTTAGAAATTAAATTCAATGAAGTTTAAAGAAAAAAATATTCATTACAAAAAATAAAATTTGGATTTTAATGATAATTTGATAAGTTAATTATCGAAAAAGAAAAAATTTTATCTGATTCATGTTGAAGAAATAAAGTTCAGAAAGTAAAAAATATATTTAAGGTTGTATGTCATTATAATATTACAAGTGGGCAAACTTCATACCCAATTTTAAAGCAAAGGATTTATCAGAATATTCTATTAGAAAGAAATCACTTCATTTTCTATTGAAATTAATACATTAACTGAGTCAATTAAATAAAGTTATTTTAATTTTTGATTTTTTTTTTAGTCGTTAATAGACTATATTTAATTGAACTTATTTCTAAATGTGTTTTCATAACCTAATTTTTATTAATTAGTATTTTCTTTTACGGGGAAGTAATAAAAAATGAAAATGTTCTTCTCATATTAAACTAATTATTGTTTCATAATGATCGTATGTATTTTTTGTAATTGTTTTATAAATGAATTAAATATTTAAGGTTTAGAATTAATTAAATCATTAGTTTTATTCAAAAACTAACGATTTTTATTACTTATTAATTAAAAAATAAATATATATTTAAAATGATTCTAAAATAGAATGAATTTTATAATCTCGTCAACTGCATATCCTAAAGTAAATATTGTTAAAAAGAAAACTATTCAATAATAATAAAATCATTTTCAAAGCAGCTTAAATGAGTAATTAATGAATATATAATGGAACCAAACATAATAATTTTCTATGAATTATTAAAGTCTCAGTAAATCTTCTTAAAGTTAGAAAGTAATGCCTTACTCTCTTTAATAAATGCGATTATTCGACTTTGAAACACCCTATCAAGAGTTGATTTGGATTATTTTCTTAATTTAATTTAAACAGATTCTTAATAGTGACTATGGGTGCTTTGGATTTATTTAAAATCCTTTTTCTAATCAAATATTTATGTAGCATAATTTCTAATTTGAAAATCTAATTATTTTCCAATATTCCTTTACAATTAACTATTATGATAAGCAAATCCATTCCACAATTATAGTTATCTTATTTTGAGATATTCTGTGGATTTATTTACATTAAACGATGTTTTAAAATCAACAAAACTCATAAACCTTTAAATAAGAAGCGTATCAAGATATATCAATTAGGATAATAATTGTAATTTAGAAATAATAATTCTAAATGCTACATGAACATATATTATAATCATATTATTTATTTTTCTAAATGTTTTACAGCTATTCTAAAATATTCTTAAATTTTTCCTAATTAGCATCTATTGAAATCTTATAAGTCGATAATTTGTTAATCGTTATAGACACCATCTATTAAATTAAAAGAGCCGGAATGTTAAGTAACAAATGTAAGATAAAGTTTATTATTATTTAACTTTATTTAGCCCTGAATACAATTTTAATGACATATGGAACAATTCATTTCATCAAAATACTATTTATATAGTAATTAAAGAACACTAATTAAAACAAGTTTGCTAAAATTACAAGACAATGGGTCTTAAATTATTGCTTCTGCGAGATTATATAATATTATTTCTAAACTAATGAGAGCAGCTTGTTTCTATTATAACTCATCCAAAATCGCTATTTTATAAATTGTTCTTTCTGAAACATAGTGTGTAAAGTATAATTTATAATCTTCATACAATTACGAACATAGGAAGCTTTTTAATTCATAATTTAAATAATGAGGATGTGTATAATACGCAAGACTTTCAACTAAAAATTTAATTGCATTAATCAACTACACCTTAGAAGTATCTGCTTTAATAATGCAATTAGGATTTTTTAAATAATCAAACACAGGCATTTTTATAGAAGTCAACGACTTTTTGCATATTCCTCTGCACCAATTTAATACTGTTTCGTTCAAGACTTTGTCAAATAATGATTCTTTTCCACTCTAAGGCATTTTCAAGACTACATTTTGTTTCTTTTAGAATTTCTGTAATCTTATGCATGCTCTTACAACTATTACGCTCCTTTTAAAAATTTTCTTAAGAGAATTTAAATTTTATAATTAGAGCAAGTTTTGACTCATAATAAATTTAAGACTGTGAGTCTCTGGGGAGACTTTCATCAACTATTTTTTAGGAGACATTGATATTCCTGATTTTTTTGAAGGACTAATCTCAAAATTAAAATCAGATATGAAGAGATTTCTACTTTACCTATTCGAGAATTGTAAAAGAGGCTGCTCGTTATCAGTCAAGTGGATAGATTCTGTCTTCATTATTCGATTTATTGTAATTAATTTGATACCAAAATTTATATTAACATCACTATAAAGGATTACAATTAAACAGCCAAGAAAATATTCAAACAAGTTAGCCTTTTTAAAAATATATTTGATCATTAAAAGCATATTTTTGTAAGAACTTAAACTTAAAGAATTTTATTTCTAAAAATAGTATTTATGTGATGTATTTTAATATATAATTAAATAATATGTAAAATTTGTTAAAATTATTTCTAAGCTAAAGTAAAGTTATAAAATATAATCATTAATAGAAGTCTATAAGAAACAATTATAGATTTTCAATCGTCTATGATAATTTTAATTTTGGTCTTAAGCTAATTGATTTATCAATTTCTACTTTAGGATAGGTACTTTAAATTATTTAATTCTTTGAAAATAATGTCTGTTGAGGTTTCAATTTTATAAAATAGCTTTTATTCGATGTTTCCTCAATATTTAATGAGACCACAGTTTTTTGAGCTTGATATTGATATTTCAAACTAGANTAATTAAAGAACACTAATTAAAACAAGTTTGCTAAAATTACAAGACAATGGGTCTTAAATTATTGCTTCTGCGAGATTATATAATATTATTTCTAAACTAATGAGAGCAGCTTGTTTCTATTATAACTCATCCAAAATCGCTATTTTATAAATTGTTCTTTCTGAAACATAGTGTGTAAAGTATAATTTATAATCTTCATACAATTACGAACATAGGAAGCTTTTTAATTCATAATTTAAATAATGAGGATGTGTATAATACGCAAGACTTTCAACTAAAAATTTAATTGCATTAATCAACTACACCTTAGAAGTATCTGCTTTAATAATGCAATTAGGATTTTTTAAATAATCAAACACAGGCATTTTTATAGAAGTCAACGACTTTTTGCATATTCCTCTGCACCAATTTAATACTGTTTCGTTCAAGACTTTGTCAAATAATGATTCTTTTCCACTCTAAGGCATTTTCAAGACTACATTTTGTTTCTTTTAGAATTTCTGTAATCTTATGCATGCTCTTACAACTATTACGCTCCTTTTAAAAATTTTCTTAAGAGAATTTAAATTTTATAATTAGAGCAAGTTTTGACTCATAATAAATTTAAGACTGTGAGTCTCTGGGGAGACTTTCATCAACTATTTTTTAGGAGACATTGATATTCCTGATTTTTTTGAAGGACTAATCTCAAAATTAAAATCAGATATGAAGAGATTTCTACTTTACCTATTCGAGAATTGTAAAAGAGGCTGCTCGTTATCAGTCAAGTGGATAGATTCTGTCTTCATTATTCGATTTATTGTAATTAATTTGATACCAAAATTTATATTAACATCACTATAAAGGATTACAATTAAACAGCCAAGAAAATATTCAAACAAGTTAGCCTTTTTAAAAATATATTTGATCATTAAAAGCATATTTTTGTAAGAACTTAAACTTAAAGAATTTTATTTCTAAAAATAGTATTTATGTGATGTATTTTAATATATAATTAAATAATATGTAAAATTTGTTAAAATTATTTCTAAGCTAAAGTAAAGTTATAAAATATAATCATTAATAGAAGTCTATAAGAAACAATTATAGATTTTCAATCGTCTATGATAATTTTAATTTTGGTCTTAAGCTAATTGATTTATCAATTTCTACTTTAGGATAGGTACTTTAAATTATTTAATTCTTTGAAAATAATGTCTGTTGAGGTTTCAATTTTATAAAATAGCTTTTATTCGATGTTTCCTCAATATTTAATGAGACCACAGTTTTTTGAGCTTGATATTGATATTTCAAACTAGAAAATTGTTTCAAAAATAAATATCAAAGTATGCTGACTAACATAATAATAGCAAAATAGTTTTATTTTGTCAATTGAAACAGAATAAAAGCAAATCTATAAAAAAGCGACGCTTCCATCACAATCATAGATATTATTAATTAAATGTTATCTCATTATTCAAATGAGATACGTAAAATAAATATTACCTTTTCCTTTCTATACAGAGTTCTTTTGGATAAAAACTCTATAAAAGAAAAAATAAATAATATTTATCTCTATTCAAAATATCTGTATAAGAGAAATATGCCATATTTTCAATAAAAAATTTGATTTCATTGATCATTATGAATTTAGAGTAGTCCTCTTTGATTCTATTATTTGAGAGGATGGTCAAAAACGATATAAAAAATTCCCAAATACTAAGATTGAATTTCTCGTTTATAATTTAAGTTATCTTAAAAGTAGTTTTACCATTTTTTAATTTGCAATTCTATTTTCATAAGGTGATTCTATTAAAACTTTTATAACCTCATATATCAAGAAATAAAAATTTTAAGAATGTATATTTTGTCTTTTACAGAATGAACTTATACCTTTTATATCTTCCTTGCTTTCTGAATCATTAATAAATTTTAATTAGCTATGTTACTAGACTCTATGAAGTGATTTCTCTATTCTCTACTTTTTAAAACATTATCGTTTCACTTAGATCATGAAAAATTGGCAACTCTATAAAATGAACCAGAATTCAATATTAATCAAAAATAGAGCACTAAAAATATCTCATTTAATTTTTTGATTTATTAATTGATTCTACTGATCCAAAAAATAGATTAAAAATAATAGACTTTGGAATCAACCAATGTTTTTAAATCAATACCGTTATGACCTTATTCATTTCTAGTAAATAAAAAATAAATACAAAAAAACCATAAATATAAATAGCAAAATTTAATAAAACTGTCATTTCTGTTTGTTTGTGTAATTTATATTTCGGTATAATATAACTAATTTAAGGAAAATGTAATAGCATAAAGATTTTTTGAGAAACTCTTTATAAAACATTTAAATTTCTAAAAATTATTCCCAAAGTAAAGTTATTCGTAAAATCTAAATCAAAAGATTACTTATTCTATAACATCAGGTCCTTATTAAATTAATAAATCTATGTTATTTACACCTAAGAAATTAATTAAATATTTTTTGTGATTAATTTATAATCAAATAAGGATCAAAATTATTGTGTATAGAACTTGATTATATTTGATCTACCATAGTTATAATTGATTTATTTATTGAAATAATTTAAAATTCACTAAAATTTAGATGGGATTCTAGCATGTGTAAGAATTAATTTCATCCTTAATTAAATTGTTCATTGTTTATGCTTTCAAGGTGGAATTGCGTTTTTATTCAGTTCTTCTGTTTGCTAATATTGTACTAGAGCGATCAAACTTTAAATTTTGATAACCTAGAAGTTCTTTTAAATATATTAAGAGTTGATTATTTTTTTTTGTCATCATAATTAAGTTTATGCTTAATCTTAATATAATTTGTTTCTTTCTAAAAAAACCAATGTAAAGTATCTCAATACATTTTAGTTTTCACAATTTTGTTCTTTTTTTTCTACTAACCGATTTTAATGATGCATTTTAGGATTAATTTATTATTTGTATATTATGTAAATAAAGAGAAGTTCAATTGAATAAGGAGGATTAGAATAAATTTTGGATGGCAACATGTCTCCAATTGCTCTTTAATTGGATTTAGAGTAGGACACTTAATCAATAGTGAGTAAAAAAGATGCTAAGAATAAATTCCAGCCCTTCTAAAATGAAAGAAACTCAATTGGGAAATTAATCCAAAGAACAAAAAGTAATGACACTACCTCTAAATTTCACTTTCTTAAAAGCCAATAAGTTGTCTTGCTTGCAAAAGGCAAAGAAACTGTGCCTCATGTTAGTCATGCCTACTAATTAAGCACTACTTATTTACTGGGTCTTAAAAAAAGAGATATCACTCCGATGGACAAAGCAGTCTCCTTGAAACAGCGGCTCAGAAATTTTAAAATCAATCTTCAAGCCGATTAAGGCTTCATTAAATAGTTTAGGGAATATAAAAAATAGTATATTCCTAAAACTCAATTAAGCAGAGCCTTCTTAACTCCGAGGAGAGAACATTTTTATAGAGATGTACATATTGAATTGTTTAAGGTATGATAGACTCACACTCCTGGGCCTGGAGTCTACTCAGATTAATTGTTAATCACTGAGCCAGGTCAATCTATGGAATTTAATAAAAGCCCGTAAATGAGAAAGTCTCCATCTCCAATTTGTTAAAGGGACTTTTATGATTTCCAATTTCTGAAAAGAAATGACAATTCACCTGATTTCTAGAGAACCATAAGTAGAGATAAGGCATATTAAAGAAGTATTTTTGCTTAGATTGAGATTCAAAAGAAGGAGAACATGGTATTTGAAATAGGTTTATAGTGAAGAAACTTCAAAAAGAGGAACCTTATGATGAATAAAAAATTAACAGGGATATTGAGTACTTATTGTATCAGTAATAAAAGTATGGAAAATTAAGTATATTTTATATGTATATAGATTAGATTATTAGAGAATACTTGATAGCAATAGTGAGATAAAGAAGTTTGCCTAACCAGATTCTCTTGATACTAATTGGAGTAAAATGCTGTAAATCTAAAATATTTAATATATAGAGAACGATATGGTTTTAAGAGGTTAAAAGGAGGAAAAATCAAAAAGTAAAGAGTGTAAACAGCTGCAAATGGGTGAATGTTTAATTCATTTATTTATTGCTTTTTTTTTATTCTTAATAAATTATCATTTTATTATTATTTTTCAATAATAAGAAATGTTTTAAAAATGGAAAATGCTGTAGTTTAAAAAAAATAATAATAAGAGTGAAAATTTGATAAGATTATTAGTTAAATCTTTTGCAGAATTTGAATGTAAGATAATGGGTTATAACAATATGATAAGCTGAAATACATAATAAATTAATGATTACAATAGAGATTAATTTATTCAATCTCTAATGGCAAATGATAATAATTTATTTATTCTTAAAACTTATTATATAATTTCTAAAAATATAACATAATGAATATCCTAGATTTAAATGATCTTATCACTTTCATTTTTGATGAAATTTCTTGTGTTGTCAATTAATGCATTTTTAACAAATCTTCTAAATTATAATGAGTTTCTGTATCATGTAAGAGATTCTAATTACATTTTGAATAAGAATCTCTTGCCTAAATTATTGCGCATTTATTTTACCACCATTTAATGGTCTTCCAATCTTTTTCTTAATTTTCAGCAAATTCCTAATGTTAAATTATCATTACTTCATCGAATTCAGGATTTTCCTATATTTTAGCGCTATCTAAGAGGCTTTATCACTATTGTTCCATCTGCTTGACTCAATAAAGAATCCTCTGACTGGTTCTGATAAATCTGTCAAAGCAAGTTCTTCTGCTGCTTCATCTTTTTGTACTATGTTGGCTGCTTAACAACCTTCTTGGACTGGAATGAAATTGACACCACTTCTATATAACTCATAAAACAATGCTCTTACTGATAATTTTTTATTTGCCTAATGAGAAAATTCCTAAGGATTACATTAAAATGATTACAGGATCTTCTTTAAGCAGAATGATATACCCAGGTCCTATTTCAAATTTAAACAAATCTCGAAACCCTTGAATATCTAAAATTGCATTTTCATTGCCTACACATCTTAGCTTAAAACTTTTGTAGGGGTAATCTAAACATCCTTCTTATAACAATCCTACAGGTCCAAGTTTAGGGACACTGGCAACAATATTTATTCCTTTATCCAATTTTGCATCTTCTCCACTATTTCTATCAAAGAATTCTACTCTCCAAACTTTTTAATTTTCCTTATTTGGAATTCAAATATAAGATGGTAGTTAATAAGATACTTTAAAATTAGCATTTAATTCAAAATTTAAACGCTTAACTTGTTCTTTCGATTCATAATTTTATTTAAGAGTCCAAATATTGACTTTCTTAGGTGGGGGAAGCATTTATAAATATTCAACATCTAAAACCCCTCCTACTGTTCTATATTTACTATATGTTTTAGGACTATAACGATCAAATGATGTGTATAATTGATCTGGGTACATCAACTGCCAATTGTAATTCAGGATAATCATTTGGTTTGTGTCTGTAACCAGATGGTTTATTGGATGGATATATAAAAATACCGTATATGAAATCTTCATTAGGTGGAAATGAAATGTTTTATTACTTCGTTTTTTGTTTTGTCATCTATTTTAAATGTCTCTTTTGACCCTTCAATTGCTTTTTTAGTTAACTCTGCGAATTTTTCCTATTAGAAAAAAGAATTTTGTATTTATCCACCAGAGTTAAAAGATTAATAAATTAATGATTTTGAAAAATTGGCGTTTGATGATGAATTCCAGAAACTTTCATAAAGAAATGAGAATTATACAAAGGGAGTATTATAATGTATCTACGATATCCTACGTATGATTTTTTCTTAAAGGAAGTTTATTTTATAAAAATAACCATCATTTTGAACATCCAGAATTCTATCTAAATATTTTAATAGGGGAAAATAAATCCTTTCCTATTATTTATTAATAGTTATTTACTTCAATGAAAAACTCGGCATATACAATACCATTTGAGTATTTATTTCCTCTATTTTCTTATGAATCATTTCTCTTAGTGAATTGATATATTTTTAATTTCTAGTGACGACATCATTTTCATTAACCCGTGATTATTGCTGATTATTTAGTACAGGTTTTCTTTCAGCTTTCAGTTATGTTAAAAATCTAAATATATCTCGAACAATATTTTCTGCTTATTATAATTTTTGTAATTCTTCTGGAATTTTAAGATCTGACAAGGTTTTGAATATTGTGATGAAAGTAGTTAATTAGGCTACCAAAGTAATGTCTTGTTTTGTCGAACAATATAAATATATTATTCCAATCATCATTTACTTTTTTGCATTCTCCAAATTTTCCTTAAATACACCCCTTTAAACTTCATTTTCTATCTCTTCTTCTGCATTCTCTTCAGCTGCTAATCTTTCTTCTTCTAGTTTCCTTAATCTTTCTTACTCTAGTCTTTATTTTTCTTCTTCTTATTTTCTCAACCTTTCCTATATTTCTCTTTCCCCATTTCTATTCTGCTTTGTCTTTCAATTCCTTTTCCGTTAACTTCTTAGGTGGAGGAGCATTCGGTGGCATTGCGTTTATTTATTTTTGAATATAATTTAATATTTTCTAAAATAATCACATATAAGTGATGAACTATTCCAGAATTTTGAATAACAGAAATAATAATAAAACAAAATTAATATGAGATACAAGAAAGAACATATCAATTTTTCATCCCAAAATAATCTTTATAATTATAACAATTTAAATTCATCCATGAAATACGTTTTTTAGCCTTTTCTTTTTACAAATATTTAAATGAAGAAATAACATATAAGAAATGAAGAAAATCTTCATAAATTTAAAGAAATAATACTTTTGCTAAAGCATCATTAAGTAGATAATTTTTAATTAATTGACTACATTTAAGCATTAAAATAGCTTAATTAAGTCAGTTGAGTACCAAATAAAACTTTTTACACGATTTCATTGTAAAGAATAAAGCATAAATTTTTCGCTGTTGTCATAATTAATGGGCATAAATTACTAAAACGGGTAATTTTAACAAAAAAATCAGAATTAATATTTTTTAAATCATATTTTCTAAAATCCAATTTTACATCTTTCCTTATGTAGATTAACATGGAATAATTGAAGAATCAGAACCTTTAGAATGAAAAAAATGAGAATTCTCAAATTCTAATAAATGTTATTTGCAACAAACTACAAAATATTTGTGCTCGAACATGGCAAATAAAAGATCCAAAGATATAAATTAAGAAAATCAAAAAGAATTGCTTAGACATCAAAAAAAAGAAGGACAAAAACACTCAAACTTCAAAAATTGATTAAAATTTAAATTAATTTCTATGTCCGACATGTTCAGATCTCAAACATTAAGAATATCTCTCATAGCTGAAAGCTGTTGAAAATTTATCGAATCAATTAGNTATCTCGAACAATATTTTCTGCTTATTATAATTTTTGTAATTCTTCTGGAATTTTAAGATCTGACAAGGTTTTGAATATTGTGATGAAAGTAGTTAATTAGGCTACCAAAGTAATGTCTTGTTTTGTCGAACAATATAAATATATTATTCCAATCATCATTTACTTTTTTGCATTCTCCAAATTTTCCTTAAATACACCCCTTTAAACTTCATTTTCTATCTCTTCTTCTGCATTCTCTTCAGCTGCTAATCTTTCTTCTTCTAGTTTCCTTAATCTTTCTTACTCTAGTCTTTATTTTTCTTCTTCTTATTTTCTCAACCTTTCCTATATTTCTCTTTCCCCATTTCTATTCTGCTTTGTCTTTCAATTCCTTTTCCGTTAACTTCTTAGGTGGAGGAGCATTCGGTGGCATTGCGTTTATTTATTTTTGAATATAATTTAATATTTTCTAAAATAATCACATATAAGTGATGAACTATTCCAGAATTTTGAATAACAGAAATAATAATAAAACAAAATTAATATGAGATACAAGAAAGAACATATCAATTTTTCATCCCAAAATAATCTTTATAATTATAACAATTTAAATTCATCCATGAAATACGTTTTTTAGCCTTTTCTTTTTACAAATATTTAAATGAAGAAATAACATATAAGAAATGAAGAAAATCTTCATAAATTTAAAGAAATAATACTTTTGCTAAAGCATCATTAAGTAGATAATTTTTAATTAATTGACTACATTTAAGCATTAAAATAGCTTAATTAAGTCAGTTGAGTACCAAATAAAACTTTTTACACGATTTCATTGTAAAGAATAAAGCATAAATTTTTCGCTGTTGTCATAATTAATGGGCATAAATTACTAAAACGGGTAATTTTAACAAAAAAATCAGAATTAATATTTTTTAAATCATATTTTCTAAAATCCAATTTTACATCTTTCCTTATGTAGATTAACATGGAATAATTGAAGAATCAGAACCTTTAGAATGAAAAAAATGAGAATTCTCAAATTCTAATAAATGTTATTTGCAACAAACTACAAAATATTTGTGCTCGAACATGGCAAATAAAAGATCCAAAGATATAAATTAAGAAAATCAAAAAGAATTGCTTAGACATCAAAAAAAAGAAGGACAAAAACACTCAAACTTCAAAAATTGATTAAAATTTAAATTAATTTCTATGTCCGACATGTTCAGATCTCAAACATTAAGAATATCTCTCATAGCTGAAAGCTGTTGAAAATTTATCGAATCAATTAGAACGTGTCAAGGAGTTGATCTATTTTTTTAATTCACCTTGATATTTTATTATCTTCTAAAATAAAAATTTGATGCTCAATAAATTTATTTGATTGATATGATAAATTAAATTATCATATAACTTTATATTATTAATATTATTTTGAAATTCTCACTCTTTATATCAAATATTCTTTCTATTCAGAATTATCGTGCATATATAAAATAATTTGTCTTACTTTTATTATTAGTAGTATTTAACACAGTAACTTATCCCAGTATTTTTTAAGGATTTTCTTACCTTAAAAATTGAGGAGCAAATAAATTTAGTAAATTTGATTTAAATATAACTAGAATTAATAAGAAAGATTTCTAAAAACCTTAATGATTATTATTTATTTATATCTATCAATTAACAATAATATAAAATTTATTTTTCTCAAACTGAAGGACCTTTGGCTGACACTTCATCAACCATTTTTTTTAATTATGGATTTCCTTTAATGATTTTTAATAATCATACTTAAATATCTGCCAATAATTGGGAGTTTGGTCGCACTATCATAAAGGAATGGAAGGAATGACTTAAACATCTGGAAAAGTCCATAAATTTACAATGGAAATCCAATAATTGATAATCTAAAAAATATGATGATGAAGAATCCCAAAAAAAAAATAATGCTTCCCTTAATTTTGCCTAAGACTAAACACCAATTAAATACCTTTTTTTAGGAAGAATGACAATGTACTTTTAATTCCTATCAATAAGCAAAGACCAATCAAAAATGATAAATTCCCCATCACTAATAGAGCTCTGTCAAGGAAAAACATAACCCCTAAGACAAATAGCAAAAGACTGACAGTGAGAAAACCCATTCCGATTTCTGTGTTCCTAATATCACAATTGCTGATTTACTTTTAGAGTCATCTAGAAAATACATTAAGAATATTTATTATTTATATTAAAACACGTAAACCATGTGTTATTTATCAACTTAATCTAATAAAACCTATAAATTAAGGTTTAAGATAATCAGTTAGGATTCTCTTTGATGTATTATTATCATTTGATATATAAGTACTTTTCTTGAATCAAAATGACTAAAAATTCTTCTTTTCAAATTATAGAGAGATGATATATCGAAAATTTAATACAAAAATAAATTTTAGACATGAAAACAATTAAAATTGTTAATACAAAGGTTATTTGATAGCTTTCTAATTTTTTAACTTTAAAATAACTCTTCAAATTATAGACATATCATTGTAATGATGTAAAATTCAATAATTATAAAAAGGTTTTACTTGAATAATATTTATAATTATCATTTTTATTGCCCAAGGTAAGTTCTATCAAAAAAATGAGGTGCTGAAGTCCACTTATTTCTGTAGTCTGACATTTAGTAGGGATTCTTTTCAAATACTCCTTTTTTAATAATAAATTTCTTTAGTTCAGAAGTTCGATATTGATTTTTTGGATTCTTGAACTCTTATCTAGAAAAAGTATAACTGTTATTATTACTGATTTGTTGTTTAGAAATGATTAGACTAATTGCTTTGAAAGTTTAACCAATTTTATGAGCACTTCATAAATGATTCCTATAATAATAACAAAAGAATACTTATGTAAGTTTGCTAACATTATATTAATTTTTCTCAAATTTTTATTCTTTATAAAAGGTTGAATATTTTGATTTTGGTTCGCATCTCTCTTCATACCAATTACCAATTAATGTTTTAGAGTTGAATTTCTTCTCTGGGTGTGATGTTTGTTGTAAAATGAATTCGTTCGGCATATAAATTAAATTAATTAAAATTATTAATAATTTAATCAGTCTTCCTTTGATCTCCCCGAAAATTTCGGTATTATGCCCATATCAAAATTTTAATGATCATCAGTATAACCCAGGATAGATTATTAAAAATTGTTTTATAAACTGTTTAAAAATCAGAAAATCAGATTATATACTAAATAATTTATTATCTAGAGAAACGATTGCTGATTTAGAGAAAAGTGCATAGATAAATGGAGAAATTATAAAAGATAGTTTAGGATATTAGTTCAAAAAAAACAAAAGAAATAAAGTTTGAATAGATTGAAAGCTTAAAAATACTTGAAGAACCTCCGATTATCTTGAATAGATTAAATAATATAGAATATTGTTTAAAGGAACTTAGAATATTGTTTTATTAGGTGGAAGATACAGATGAATTTCCTAACTGGTTAGTAAACTAGAAGCTAAATTAGATGATAACAATTCAAAAATTACATAATAAGTAGCTAAAAAGAATGAGTAAAGGCTAAAAACAGCAAATGAAGTCTGGTACTACTATATAAATGATTAATTGAATTTTTTTATATATAACATAATATTATGTTGAAAGAAGAATCAATTATGATTTTATTGTAAACGCTGATAGAATATTCTAATAATAATTATTATTATGATAATTTAAATTAGAAAGTTTAACTTTATAAAGAGAGTCTATTTAATATATTTAATCAAGTATTTATTCATTATTTAAATTGGATAAAATATCATTCAAGCCTTATTCTTGAGATTCCTTTGGAGCATTTCTTGTTCCTTTAATTTATTTATTTTTCTTCTTAGTTCTTCTTACTTTTAATCTATAATCTTCTCTTTGAAAAGATCAGGATACACTAAAAATATATTATTTGGTCTAACATAATCTTGCAATAGATTTATCTTCAGACATAAAATCTTTGGCTGTTTTCAGCTGTCCTGGGAATCTTCCTTTGGTATTGACTAATTGGGGTTTCTATTCAGGTAACTGAATTATTATAAGGTTTCATTACTTTGAACATTTCCAATTATTACTTTTCTTCTTTTAAGACCTATTCAAATTCTTTGATTGATCTGCAATTTAAATTTTCTTTGGGAGGTATATTAAAACTTTTATAGTCATAGGATTTGGACTCAAACAAATGACTCATTTCTTTAAAATGATCTTAATCATTAAGATCATAATGTTGAATGGTTGAAATTGATCTCGCCTATTGTGGATCTAATAAACTTTAATATTAGGATGCAACTGTAGATTGTGGAATATGTGGCAAAGTTTAGTAGCTCTATGTTTACAATAAGGATTTCTCATCCTTTGATAAATTTATTTGGATTTATTTCTTTTCAGTTTTAAAATGTTCCAAATTGGGTAATTTTGTAGGTCGAGGCAATTGAGAATACCAAACTAATTTGTTTATTGAAGGTGTATAGCTAGTAAAATTTTTTTAGAGAGATTTAGCTTTTAAAGGCATGTAGCTTGGTTTTTTCGCTAGTTTAATTCTATCCTTATAACCAACAGATCCAGTCAAAGAAGCATCAAATTCTTTAATATAATCTGCAGTTTTATAGACTTTTTGTTTTTCTCCAGTTTCATTATTGATTAAGTAATAATTATTGGTCTCCAAATCATTCCATAGAGATATCATGCTCTGATTAGATGTCGTATACTAATATAATTATTATAATAAAATTCATATATTAAAGAAAAGAAAGAAAATAGGGCATCCAATTATTGATTGAATAACAAAAAGAACGATTCAATTCTGTATTTTAATAGTTATTACATTTGATGGAATATTTATACAGATTCCAATGTATTCAAATTAATGATTGATTATCAAAGTGATATTTAAGAATTTGAGAAGTCGCTAAGAACCATAATTAATATCGAATTATATAAGCAATGCTGTTATGATATATATGGATATTTGTATTATGTTATTCAATATCTTTTTACCGCTCTTTGCATAGATGAAGTAAAAGATATTTTTGACAAATTAGAACTGACTTTGGATAATGAAGCATTTTATTAGTCTGATAGATTAGATGATATCTTATCAATGTCGGAGGATTTCATAGATTCAAACCTAGAAAAGTTAGAGTCAATTTATTTTTTGCTTGGTTTTGGAGCATTTAAAATTGATGTAACTGAAGAATGAATATCGGAAGGGATATTTTGATCTTCAATATTTGAATCCACATCATAGTCCTATTACTTCTTTTCAAATTAGGAAATGTCTGAACTTAACATATCTATTTCTTAATTATCTTCTTGTTTTATTAATTTAGAGATATTTGAACTTACATCAGATAGGTTATCTTATTTTTATTACAACACTCTTTATTACAAAACTGAAATAACTTATTCATAGTATTGTTATTATTATTTTAGAGCCTGTTTCAAAACTTTTGGATCATCTGAAATAGTTTATTACTTTAATTTATTTTAGATTTCCTTGTTGATTTTTACATCATAAGAGATGTCATCAACTTGCTTATATGCTCCTGCTCTCTATAATTTAGCTTACAATTATTCTATATCTTGTTCTTATTTAGTGATGGTGGCTTTCAACTATCCCTAATCTAATAAGTTTTGTGAAATTTCATTTTCTTTTTAAGCTAATGATTATTTCAATTAACTAAGTTAAGCCAAATAATCGGCTTCCTTTTTGGAGAATTCTTCTATTCTCTCTCTCAATTCTTTACTAATAATTAATATTAATGTTATTACGATTTAGCATTCAATTCCTTTTCTTATTCCATTAATCTCTTCTCTAATTATTAATTCTTCTTAATTGCTTTTCCTAATTCAGTAGATTTATTCTCTAAATCTCTTTACACTCCTTGCTTTTCTAATTTTATTATATCAATTTCTGCTCTCAATTATTTTTCCACGCTTTCTAATTTGGTCTCCTAAACCTTATTAAGCATCTTCTATTCTTCAATATCAACTTCTTTAGTGATATCATGGAATTCTTATTGATTTTCTCTTTTTTTGTAATCTTCCATCAATTTTTGAAGTTATTCATATTTTTTGGTTAGTATAACTAATTGGCCTTTTTATTCATTCAAAACTGTAATCTATCTACTTTTTTCATCTAATGTTTCTTCCAATTTGAAATTCTTGTCTTATAAAGCAGCAATTTCGGCTTTGAAATTAGAGTTATCTTCAGTTAATTGAGCTATTTTCTTGGTGTGCACTTCAAATTGGGCATCCATAGAGAATGTACTAGCATTTTCACTTTGCTCAGATTGCATCAACTCTTGTTATTTTTTGTTCATCTATTCTTTGAGGGCTCTCAATTAATTATCTAACCTCTTGTTTTCAATTTTCAATTCTTCTCTTGTTAAAGCCTTGATCTTTGGAGGTCCTTTGTTCAATGCCTCAATAATTTGATTGTCACATCTTTAATCATTGTTGACAATGGAACGCAATGTTTAAATAACTAGATCTTAATCTGCAATCTCTTGATTCAGTTACTCAATTAATTGTGATCTTTTGTGTTCCTTATTCATGTTTTTCAATTGTGCATTCTCCTTTTTCAAGAGGGTGATCGAATTCATAAGATTACGAACCTTATCTTGATGTATTTAATTTAAAGCATTGATCTTCTCTTATTATAGGTATTATTTAAATACTTTCAGCAGCTCCATTCTATTCCTCATATTGAAATATCAATTCCTTCTAATCCTTATTTAACTTCCTGAGTTCCTCTAGTTGATTGGTAAGTAGGACAATCTTTTATTGATCTTACATAATAATAAAATTGCAAAAATAGTTTAATTAATTTACATGGGAATGAGACTTAAAAAACTTACATAAACCCTTGAAAGCAAACCTCCACAATAGTACAATTTCCCAAGAGGAGCTGATCAATTCGAATATTCGCCAGATAGATCATATAGTTCCTTATAAGTAGATGTGTACGATCTCAACAGTCAATTAAGACGCATTCATCGTAGAGTGCTATCCTAAGTAGTAATTCAGAAAGGGAAATCTAAAGAAAATAAATTGAGCACTCTGTCTCCTCTGAAAGTAGATTAGTTGGCAGTCACAAAAGCAAAACTTAATTCATAAAGATTCTTTCTGATGAATTAAGTACGTAACATTAAACCAAAGTAAAACAAATTGTAGTCTTCATAACTTGTCATTTAGAAGTCTTCGTAAAAGAGAGGACAGAGAATGCATACAGATACGATTGAAAGTATAACCAAATATCGATTGGGATGACTTAAATTATTATTTTAATATAAATGTCTATTCGACAATTTGTAGGGATTCAAGAAATAGCCAAAAAGGCTTTTAATTCTTTGATTGTGATTCGCAAAGAGATAGAGACTAAAAACCAAGAAGTTTTGGCACATGGAATATCAGTCTACAATTAAGTTGTGCCTGTAGATGCAAGCAAAAGCAAATTTGGATTTTTCAGATGTAATTTAGTCTTAAACCAATTTTTAGCATCTCGTCTTGACAATAGATCCGACCATAGATACTATGACATGAACCCATTGCCTGCTCCAGAGTCGAAAATTGCTCGAGTCTACATTATGGATGATAATCGCATGCATCAAAGTAATTAGTGTTACGAATATGTTTAGCTCCCACAATGAGATAAGGATATCACTGGAATGTCTAGATTGAGAGAGGACCTATCCACAGAATGCCTTGGAGTGGTTGGACATTTTCAAAGGATTAGAAAAGCAGAGAAGTTTATAAGTTCGTCAGTTTGGAAGCTGCACTAGAATTTTGCCAACAAGATGGATATGGATATATTGTTCAATATCCCCACTTTCGTTACACTTCTAAGAGAAAGTATGCTGACAATTTTAAGTGGAAGGGATTTCCTAAGGATGAACAAGACTCTTGAAAAGATATTATCAATAATAACAAGGAATATCAATAATTGGCATTCTAAGAGTTTCTTATTCTTTGTATTCTCTCTTAAATACCCTTTATCTAAACCTTAAAAGTTATTATATAGTTCATTCCGAGATTTTGGTTAAAGTGTAAAACCAATTTATTAATGATTAATTAATTATGATTGAATTGTAAGAGACTAATCCAAAAGAGGAAATCGACTTTGGGTAAAGAGTGTTTCTCTATTTGTTAGATAATCCACCTTGGAATATCAGGGTGAATATGATGATCAATATAAACTAACAGCAATCTATTATAGGATCAACAAGTGCAAATAGATCATTTATTATGTTTTGCTAATTCTAACTCTTGGATTATTGTACTTATTTCAAAGATGGTTTATAAATTTGAGATTATTTCTATTGTAAGCTTAAATCATGTAAAAAGATTTGAAAAATGCGAATTTGGTACAATGACACATGTTTTAGTGATCAAGACCAAGAACATAATTCCTATTGCAGATGATCAATTATGCGAAGTTACCGTTGTTTAGGACCATCCCTTTTCTAAAAATGCACGAGTCTTTAATTACGAGTTAAGTGATTACTTCATAGATACTTATTCAAAAGCATTAGTTTAGATGAGGAATTCATTTTCCTAGTACACCTAAGAAAGAATCTGCAATATGAAAGGCCTGACAGAATTGACTAACATTTATGGATAGAATATAATGGAAATACCAATTAAACCAATACCACTCCTTTTACTTGATGAAATATTAACACCCTTCAATATCTTTTAATTTAGTGCTCTGGCATTATGGGCATATGATGATTACTTAAACTATTCTCTCTTCATTTTAGCTATTACTATCATTTAAATTGGAATTGAATTGAGAGATGTCAGATAAAACTTATAAAAAATCCAAAAAATGATTAGATTCAACGTCGATGTCAAAGTAATAAGAAATAACAATTAAATTACTATAGAATCAAAAGAATTGATTCCAGGAGATCTATTAATAATTGAAGGACATACTAAAATCAGTTGTGATTGCATTTTGATTGAAGGGAATTGTGTTATGAATGAAGCAGTGTTAACAGGGGAGAGTGTGCCAATTAATAAATCCAGTTTAGAGAAGAACGAACAATTGTTTCTATAAAAAGGGAATGAAAATAAGATGCTTTTTAGTGGTACTACTTGTTTACGAAGTTATTCATAAAATGGAGAACATGCCAAAGCAATTGTATACTAAACTGGATTCTAAACATTAAAAGGCAGTCTGGCTAGATCGATCCTGTTTAATAGAACTCAAACTTTCAGCTTCTACAGAGATTCGTTAAGATATCTCTTTGTATTGGCCACATTAGGATTGATATAAGCAAATATTACAATTTTAATTAGTGGGGCTCAAGGAGTTGCCCTTGGGGAAAGCATAATAAACGCTTTAGAAATAGTAACTATAATCGTTCCTGCAACATTGCCTACTGCTTTAGGAGCAGGTATTAGTCTTGCTTTGAAGCGATTAGAAGATAAATCCATTCAATGTGTAAAGCCTGATAAGATAAATGTGGCAAGCAAAGTTAATTTAGTAGCTTTTGATAAAACAGGAACACTGACTGAATTAGGACTTGATGTGTTGGGATGCAGAGAAATCAAGGATTAAGGATTTAATAGACTATAGGTGATTAAGGATGTTTCAGAACAATTCAATGAGTGTATGGGTATTTGTCATTCATTATCAATAATAAATAATGAAATAATGGGAGATCCAATTGATTTATGTATGTTCTAAGAGACAGGATGGGAGTTAGTGGAAGAGAGTAAGGCAAGAAAAGGAGGGAAAGAGGTATCAGTCTCAAAGCGATTCGATTTCTAAGCAGAGTTATAGAGGATGTCAGTCATAACAAATCAAAGTATCTTATATTGTAAAGGATCACCTGAGTAGATAAAGAACATCTGTAGGAATATTCCTATTAATTATAACAATATGTTATAGAAGTACAGTAGTTAGGGTTTCAGAATAATTGCTTGTTGTTATAGAGATGTTGCCTCTTTGCATATGCAATAATTACATAAGAGAGAAATCTATGAGTAAAATATGTCATTCTTGGGATTTCTCATTTTTGAGAACAAATTAAAAGCAGAAACTCAATCTACAATATTAAGCTTGAAGTAGAGCAACATCAAATCCATTATGGTGACAGGTGATAATCCATACACTGCAATTAATATTGGGTTGTAATGCAATATTTTGGATCAAAATAGCAGAATCTTTTTGGGATTTCTCAATGATGGAGCATTATATTGGAATGAAATTATGCAATTGAAAACAGATAAAGTAGATGAGAATAGAAGTTGTTATAGTTTAGATTCAAATCAAGCTCAGAACTTAGAAACTAATTAGATTATGAAATTAAGTTGTCACTTTTAACTAGCTATAACTGGATAGGTTTTCGAATATTTGTAGTTTTAATATGCTGCCTTACTGGATAATCAACAATGGATCCTAAATCTTTTATAGAAAACGTACATTTATTCAAGAATGAAACCCAACAACAAGGGGGATCTTATGCTTCTCTTGAGATAGGACAATTTGAACTTTATTGCTTTTTGTGGAGATGGCACTAATGATACGTGTGCTTTGAGGCAGGCAGATGTTGGTTTAGCCTTATCTTTAGAGGATGCTTCTTTGGCATCTCCTTTTACGAGTACCATATTCAATATTTCAAATATGATCAATTTAATTAAGGAAGGGAGAGCCTGTTTAGTTACTTGTGTGGAATGCTTCAAATTTATGACTTTGTACTCTTGCATTTAATCTGCTGCTGTATTGTAATGCTATTTTTATGATACAGACTTCACTTAAGTTCAATATCTTTATTAGGATCTCTGGTTGATAATCCCTTTAGCTTTTACAATGGATTTAACAAAATCATATAATAAATTAGCTAATTATCGACCAATAAGCAATTTAATCTCATTGCCAGTTCTGTCTTCTGTCTGTGTGATTATTTTCATATCCTTTCTTGCTTAAATGATTATGCATCAAATATTGAAACACTAAGGTTTCTACCAGGAAATGGTAATCGAATTGGTTAATGATGACTATTATATGCAGCCAAATTATACTAATTCTATATTGCTAATAACTTCCAGCACTGAGATTTTGGCTGTAGCTATAGCATATACTCAAGGACCGCCTTTCAGAGAGGCCATCTATCAGAATTTCTATTATATGATAGTGATATGTATGGGCATTGCTGGATAAATTGTGTTAATATTCTTCCCCAATTTGACTGGCTTTTTATCTTTGGAGGTGGAATTTCCAACGGACTTTAAGATTCAAATACTAGTAGTCAATATTGTAGTAGGAATTACAATAGTGTTTTATGAGAAATTGATCACTGCTAAAATGACTTAGAAATACGCAGAAGTAGAAATTAATTTAGGAAATCAAAATTGATAAGATAAAAATATATTCACTCTGTATTTTCATTATCTTGCTGTATCTAACCTATATTCTGCACTCTGCACTAACTAATTAATCACTGATGTGTCTAATATCTGAATGTCTTGATTCAATTATAGTTTCATTAAGTCTATTATAGGTTCGTCCATGCTGTTTATTAATTTCTGATTAATGGGATCCTAATAATTGGTTATAATCTCTTTAAATGCCTGTTAGGCCTCTAATGCCTTTTGATATGGAGTCTTGGCAGGTTTCAAAAGTGAGCAGAAATTATCTTCCGAAATATCCTATGGGTCTGCCCCTATAAAGGGTTTTGGTAAATAATCAAACATTTAAATTTAGGCTTTATTGAGTAGTATGAATTTCAATTTATCAATTTCGTGTAATTTATTGATAATATACAAAATGTCAAGTGATTTTTAAATCCGATTAACAGCAAATTGAAATTATGAATGCTTTATGTTATTTTTGTTTCCCCTTTTTGGAAATTGAAAGGTTACGTATTCAAAGACATTTAGATTCAGTTTCTTGGTCACAACTCTGAAAAATCGTTTGATGGATGCTGAGATTTCATTTGTTATATGTGCCTTCTGATTGTCAGTGTCAGCCTCTGTGATCATTTGACTCTTCCTTTGTATACTATATAATCGTTTCTTAATATTCAATTAATTGAGCTGACTCCAGGATTTCTGCTTCTTCAATATTGGAACAATTGGAATATTCACTTCACTCTAACATAATGGAATTTTCTTATCTAATTGTTGTTATGGACTTGTGGCTTTTTCATTCATTTTCTCGTTAACAATCTAAATCTTATCATTTTCAGTGGTTGCATCATCATCATTTGAGAAATTAAAGAGAGAGTTAACAATTTGCAATCTATATGATAAATTACTAAATGGTAATTAAAAGAACATGGCTAATGTGAAAATAACGTTCCATAACCCACCAGCCTCTCCCAGAATCTACTATAGTTTAGGATAGGATCGATAATTAACAAACTCTGTCTTATTGAGTCTTATTCTAAACTGAAGCAGTTTTTAGCCATTACTAACATCATACGTTTCTTAATGGTACTAATATGCTAATACACTCTTTTAAGTCTCATCTTTAAATACCATTCCATCATCTGAAATTACAGTAAATGGACTCATGAAAATATCAATTCTTTTATAAATGTTTCGACTTAGTGTTGTTTCTATTTTCTCTATTCTAGATTTTACAGGATCTTTGACATCTTTTAAATCATAATAAAAAGTTGGTATTTACAACTAAAATTCAAGACTTTCCTCTTATTTAGGTACTTGAGTGGCATTCTTCAGAGATATCTCAACGATAACATACTACACACTTTGATCTGATTCATATAGACTGACCTATTTTGAATATTGATAAAGATTCTGAGTGAAAGAAAGTGGCCCATCCTAAGTACTGACATTCAAGTTTTGTTCATCTAATCCATTTATGAGGATTGTAAAATTCATAAATTGAGTGGAGTTTAAGACTTGATGGTAGATCTAATATTGATAAGAACGAGGATTTTTATCTAAATTGATGAAGTTCATGCATAAAAGGACACTCATCATAGTTATTATAATTAGAGTGAGAAAGGCACCACAATACGTTTTATGGCGCTCTTAGTCTTTGATTAGTAGGGAAACTGGCTTATTGAAGAGATCAAGGGATCGAAAGGGTTTAAGTAGTTTTTTATATTTTTTCATTAAATTTAGGATCAAATAATTTGATGAATTAAATGGTTAATTGATGCCTCTTAAAATCATAATTTAATTAAATGAGTATTTCAAGTGAGGATGAAAATGAAGTCATGCAAGTAGAGGAGGGAAGTGATGAAGATTAAAAAATACAATAAGAGGAGGAAAGAATAAAGAAATTAGAATAAGATAAGAAAACATTCATGAGTTCAATCAAACAGACAACCAAATTGAATGCAAATGTATTTAAATGAATTTACATTCAATAGATCAAATTTGATAACATTGAGTCAAAGATAAATACATTACTTGAAAATGCAGAGAAGTATGCCATGTTCCTATTGCATCGTCATAAGCGTACCCAAGAGTCCAAATAGAAGGCTCTAACCTAACAGAGAGGTAAACATAGATAAATGATTGATGATGCAAGTGAAGAGGAGGATCTTGATGATGCGCCAACTGTACTTGATAAACAACCCACCATTTTAAAGGGAGGACAACTCAAGCAATATCAAATGACAGGTGTTAATTGGATGATTTCCTTGTTTGAAGAAGGAATCAATGGTATCTTGGCTGATGAAATGGGTTTGGGCAAAACAATATAAACCATAGGATTCATAGCATTTCTAAAAGAATACACTAAGATCAGTGGACCTCATTTAATTGTGGCTCCCAAATCAACCCTAGGTAATTGGATGAGAGAATTCAAGAAATGGTTGCCTTGTGCAAGAGTAGTGAAGTTGATAGCTGTCAAAGAAGAAAGAGAGGATATCATTAATAAGTCATTCCAACCTGGCAAATTCGATGTCTGTTTAACCAGTTATGAAGGAGTCAACATCTGTTTAAAACACATCCGAAGATTTTAATACAAATACATCATAATTGATGAAGCACATAAAATTAAAAATGAAGATGCCATCATTAGTTAAAATCTGCGTAAAATCAGAACCAATTATAAATTGTTATTGACAGGTACTCCACTATAAAACACACCCCATGAATTATGGAGTTTATTGAACTATCTCTTGCCAGACTTATTCGATTCTTCTGAAGTCTTTGATAAATGGTTTGAAGTCAATACTGAAGCCAAATTGAAGGAAGGGAATGAAACTATCAAACAAGAAGAGTTGGATCAAAGAAATCTTGAAATGTGCTCAAAATTCCAAAAAATCCTAAGACCCTTCATGTTAAGAAGAACCAAGGCAGAAGTTGAAAGAATCCTTCCTCCAAAATAAGAAATCCATCTTTTCATCAAAATGACAAACCTCTAAAAATAAATGTATTAGAATATTCTTTTACACAACAATCCTCATGAAGGCGATGACAAAGGGTTTTACATGAATAAACTAATGTAACTACGTAAGATCTGTCTCCATCCTTATTTGTTCCCTGAAGTTGAAGATAAATCCTTACCACCTTTGGGAGAACACTTAGTCGATGTTGCTGGTAAAATGAGAGTGTTGGATATCTTTTTAAAGAAGTTAAGTGATGGCACACATCAGGTTCTAATATTCTCATAATTTACAATGATGCTCAATATACTTGAAGATTATTGTAATTACAGGAAATATGAGTATTGTAGAATAGATGGAGAAACAGAAATCCAATAAAGAGATGATCAAATTGCTGAATTCACTAAACCTGACAGTAAAAAGTTCATTTTCTTACTCTCCACTAGAGCAGGTGGTTTAGGAATCAACTTAGCTACTGCAGACACTGTTATTATTTATGATTCTGATTTCAATCCTTAAATGGACATGCAAGCTATGGATAGAGCACATAGAATTGGTTAAAAGAATAGAGTGATGGTTTATAGAATGGCATGTGAACATACTATTGAAGAGAAAATCATAGAAAGATAGCAGATTAAGTTGCGTTGGGATTCTCTCATGATCTAATAAGGTCGTTTATCATAGAAACAAAGTGGAAAATTATTATCGAAAGAGGATCTCAAAGAGTTGACTACTCATGGAGCCTCTTAAATCTTTAAATTAGATGGAGATGATATCAAGGATGAAGATATTGATATACTTCTAAAGAGAGGTGAACAATTAACACAGTAGATGAATGAGAGAATTGAAAAGAAGTTTGAGAGTTTCAAAGATAAAATGTAATCTCTTGATCTAGGTTTGGGATAAATTAACATATTTGATTATTTTAATGAAGAAAAGCATAATAAAATGGATGAGGATGCTCTTGAAGATGCGATTGCTAATCATCTTTTCAATGAAAACAAAACTAGAAATAGAGATAAAAGAGCTATGATGCTTGGAGGCAATTCTAAGAAAATCTAGGGAAAATAAATCAAATTATCAGAACATTATTTATATGAGAATAAAGACAGATTATAATATCTACTGTAAAAGGAAGAAGATTATATCGCTTAATAAAAAACTCAAAAGAAAGGTATAGAAAATGAGGAGAATGTGGACTTTGGAGGACTCACATAAGAAGAAAGACAAGAATAAAAATAATTACTTGAAACTGGATTTAAAAATTGGAATAAACAGGAGTTTTCTGATTTCATTACAGCTAATGAGAAATATGGCAAGGATGCTTATGAGAAAATTTAAGAGTTCGTTAAATCCAAAACACTCGATGAAGTCAAGGCTTATGCGTAAGCATTTTGGGAAAGAATAGATGGCTTGAGTGAGAAGGATAAAATTGTTAAGTAAATTGAAAGAGGTCAAAAATTGATTGAATAGAAAACCAATGGGTAAAAATTAATTGAAGAAAAATGCAAACATTTTCATTAACCAAAATATGAACTTGTCTTTACTCCACAACTTTACAACAAATTCAAAAGTAAATATTTCAGTCTAGAAAATGATAAATATCTTATCTACATGACTAATGAAGTTGGATATGGAAATTGGACCTTACTCAAATAATCCATCAGAAAAGAACCCATGTTCAGATTTGATCATGCATTCAAGTGCAAGAGTGAAAACGAACTCAAAAATAGGGTTATATCTTTAGTTAAAGTACTCGATAAAGAAAAAGAAAATAATTCTATGGGTCGTTCTCCTGTTAAAAATACATATGTTGATAAACCAAAAGCTCAATAGGATTCATAAAAAAAGAAAATGAAAAATGAAGAAGATGAAATCCAAGATGGCTCAGAGTCTGCTAAAAAAGTTAAATTGTGATATTATATATAAGTAATTATGAATTAATTAATTGTAAATATTTTAATAATGCTTCAAAATGACGTTGAATATGAATCATTCATAATTTATTAAGATTTTAGAGATAGGACTATAATTTGTTAAATTAGAAAAATTAGGCGGCATTCTCTAAATATTATATTTATTATTATAGTATAGATGTTATAAATTATAATTTTTAGTATTTTATCAAATGACAATTCCTCTACTCATTGTAGTTTAAAGTAAATCGAAAATGCTACTTTATAAGGTCTCCACTGCAGAATCATTTCATTTTATTACCTATTTTAATTTGATGATTCATATTTCCTATTCTTTCAGGAATTATCTCAAATTCCTAACTTGTGATTGATTATATATATTTTAATTTCCAATATTTTTTTGAATTTCTCATTTAAGCTATTAAGTATAAGTTGAATCATATATATTAATGAATTCGTTTGATAAGTTCTTAGGATATCTTAGTTCAATGATCAATTAAGTAATTCATTAAAATGAATTATACTATTAGTGTCAAAACATATCCTACAATTTCTTAGTTGGATATGAATAGCTTTAGAATTAAAGTAGTAATCATGACTCCCCTTCATTAAAGATTTTGCATCTTTATTTTTAATGTGAAATAAGTTTTGAAATAAACAAATCAAAAATATTGTAAATGATATATAATATAAATTTAAATTTTCTAGATGAAACAAAATAAATTATAGAATATCCAGCGTTTAATTAAAAAAATAGATATTTTTGCATCACCTGTTGAACTGATGATTTAAAAGAAGCGTTTGCATTAATCCTTCTTTGGAGCAATAATGACACTATTAATGTTTGGTTGCATAATAACATATATTGTTAACAAATTTGTATAACTAGGAATGAGAAAAGAATTCTAAACACTGTATTCAGAAATCTATTATGAGGAGATACCAATTTATCCATTGACTTCTCAAAATTTCACTTTATAATTCGCATTTCAGAACAACAATTAGAAGAACTACATAGACGAATCAGTTTATAGTGTGAATGCATTTATGGTTAATAGAGTTTAAAGAACGTATGATTTATTTTAGATAGCAGAGTGAATAATAAAACAACTTAAGATGTCACAAAAACAGAGATACCCCTAAGTAAATGTGCTAAGATTGGAATAACTTTCGAGGAGATTGAGGAGTAATTAGATAATGTTGATTTCAATAATACGTATTGCATAGATTGGGAGAAAATTTCAGAGTTAAGTTTGACTGGTACTCCTGATTAGGAAAACTATACTTATATATACGTAAATTTCCAAATATGCGTGAATGATACAACCAATAGTAGTTTTGATTATATAAATAGGCGAGAGTGTGACATGTAAATCGAAGGAAGAAATTCAAGATAAATTAAGGAAGAATTACATTTAATTTTAGATGTCCTCATACAATATTGACCTAAGGAATTATCAATAGCCAAATGTTCCAAAGGTTGAAGAAATATAAACAACTATATCAAGTTAAGTGATGAAAGACATTACTTTATTTATGCAACCAATTACCACCTTGACTGAAGATGGATTATTGGATGAATTGATTCGAAAAGATGCTACTATAAGGTATTAAAAAAGTTAAGAGATTATTGATTTTAACAGTGATGAATCCTTGGCAACGGTTTAGATTAGATTAGCAAATACTGAGAATGTTAGTTATAGAATATATCCAAAATTATAAGATATCTTGGCTTAAGCAGGTGGTTTATGGGAGTTATTGTTGCTTGCCTTTTCAATTATTGTGAAACCCTTTTCTTAAATGTCATTCAAAATGGAAATCATAAATAGTTTATTCAATTTCGAAGGCCAAAAATTAATAGATCAAGATGAATCTGAAAATAAACATAAACGATTTGATAAACTAAATGGGTTTTAAGAGAATATTTAAACAAATGAGAATGACGTTTCAATAATATTAAACTCATTGAAATCAAAAGCAAGTGCAAGATTTCCAAGAGGAAGAGCAAAGTTGAAAACTGTAAAAGTAGATGGAATAAATTCTGCTTAAACTGAAAAATCCTCCTAAGTATTTGCTAACTCTCCTGGAAATGAAAAAATACTTAAAAAAGGAATTAATGTTGCATTCAGAAAGTTCTTCAACGTTGCAACACTTAAATTATAATTTAATCCATTAGATTATTTTAGATATTTGAAGTGTGGGTAATAATGTATTCAATATTTTAAAGGAAGAAGGAAGGAAAGTATAAACAATTAAGTTATTCAATCTCAAAATTAGATAAGTGTCTTGATATCCTCTTTATTATTGACAAGTTACAAGAAATAGATAAATTAAAAATGATTTTGTTATCAAAAGAGTAAGTGCAACTGTTTGATTTCCTTCCTAAGCCATTAATTTGTCTTGATCCCTCAAATTAATATTTAAGTGAGAATTATCAATACTCCTCATTACTAAAACCCTATAAGGGACTAAAAGAAAAATCATTAGAAGCTCAATAAGTACTCGATTAATTACTTGAAAATTTGGACGATCCTATTACTAATAAACTTATTTCGTTGATGGATCCAAATTTAATAAAGTTGTTATAGATATAGCATGATTTAAAAAAGAAGCAAAGCCCAAACCTATTAATTAATGAATTTGTTGAATGATAATGAATTATATTAATATATTGATCAGAATTCTTTATAACGAGGAAGAAATGAAGAAAATAATATATATATTTTTCTTACTAATAATAAATAATCTCAAAGGTGATTCATCATTACAGTGGTGTAACAAACCATGAATTCCTCAACATTCAAACCCTTCTCTTAGGCACCAACCATATCAAGCAACATCAATAATCTCTTGATTGGAATGTCCTTGATTTATGAGGCAATCGTAGCGACTGACTATTCTTACTATTAAGATAATTAAATTTTGTTTTAAGATTATGGTGAAGTGGTCAAGTAATCTTTGATAACCAATTTGATTTCGTCAGGCTTAATGAGATTGGGAACTTTAAAAGCAACATTGAAACAAGAGACAACTTCCAATTATTTCATTATTTGATATTGTGAAGTTGTGCCAATAATAAGGAGTCTACACTAGGACTAAAATTATTAATGCAAAATATGTTACTTTATCTGGCAGTCTCTTGATTAATACTAATAGAGCCTATAAGATTGCATTGGAGAATCTTGGACCGATATCTACGTATTCAATGAGTCTCTCGATGTTGTCAATCAGAATGCATGAAAGTGAGGATTTGTATGCATCATTAAAAATTCTAACCATCTGATTGATAATAGCACCTTCAGTTAAACCAATGAATGTTTCAGGAGATATTAATTTAACATATGGGAATCCACATTCTACTGCCAACCATGCTGCAACACTTGTTTTGCCTGAACCTTGTTCTCCCTCCAACAATACAGAATTCAATTGAGAATTCTTACCAAATCTAGTTTAATCAATTGTATTCTTTAAGATCTTTTGAAGTTTTCTGAATTCTTCACCAAAATCGATTAATCTATTTTTGAGTAGCAAATCAAATTTATTAGAATCAATACCAAATTAAGGTTTAACTTCATCTAAGGCATTCATGAAATCACTTCTTCTGACTGAAAGTTCGTCTTATTTAGTTAATTTCTTTTAGAAATCAAAAATACTCTACATTCTCTAAAATGCAAAAGAGGATGCAGATTTCACTACTGCTTCGATTTCAGCACCTGTATAATTCTTAGTAATTTAAGCTAATTCTTCTAAATTAACATCTTTATCAAGGGCATTGCTCTTTTTGAGATTATCAGTGTGAATGTTTAAAATCTATTATCTACCCTATTCATCAGGTAATCCAACTTCAATATGCACTTCAAATCTTCCTGGTCTAAGAACAGCTTCATCAATTAAGTCTTTTCTATTGGTCATACCAATGACCAATATATTGTTAAGAGAATTGACTCCATCAATCATAGATAGCAATTAATTTACAACATTATCATAGGCTCCTGATCCAGAGTTAATTGATCCTCTTTATTTACAGATAGCATCCATTTCATCAAAGACAATGATATGCAAATCACTTTAATCGCCCTTTGTCTCTTGATCTGCAATAGCCTCAGCAAATAGTTTTCTGACATTTTCCTCAGCTTCTCCTACGAATTTACTGAAAATCTCTGGCCCATTAACAATCTTAGGAGGCTTAGCTTTTAACACTTTAGCCAATTATCTTGCAATCAAGGTTTTACCAGTTCCTGGAGGACCATACAACAAGAGACCTTTGATATGCTTGATTCCATATTTTTCAAGGAAGGCTTATGGGAATCTTCTAGATGAGAATGCTCTTCTAAATATGTTTGCCAATTCTTTATCTAAACCTCCAACTCCCAATTTATCAAATGAAAAATCTTCTCTAAATATACTAGCTGTTTGTGTTGAAGCATTCTTCATTTTCAATTGATTTACTCCTTGTCTGATACTGAATTCAATTTCAGTTTCATCAACCAACATTCCTCCTCCCATAAATTTGACTTGTTATGAATCTACTCCCACACTCAAAACATCAGTACGAGTAACCTATGATATATATTTCATCAACATACTTTAAATAAGTAAGTGTTGCCTTCAAACAAAAATAGCTGAATTTAACCTGCTCTGAAGAATTACCCACTATATGCTCTTTTCAAAAATGGTGCTAAGTCTTCAGAATTCAATTCAAGTCTGTCTAGACTTCCTTATTGTTGGACTATATCTAATTCAACATCAAGAACTCCCAATCTGTATTCTTTATCTTTTGGAAGTGTAAATACTGCCACGTCAATCTTATCTGTGAATGACATTCTCAGCAATTATCTTACGTATTTGCTCCCTGCAATGGAATCGTCTTTGTATCCATTTTCCTAAACTATCTAAAGACTCACTTACTCCTTGCAATTAAAAAACATAGCCATTAATCTATATAAATAAATCGCCCTAAACATTATATCTTTATTTTAATTAAGCATGTGTATTCTTAGATGTATAAAGAAATCCTGTAAATGCCTCCTCTGTTTTATTAAGAGCAACTGGTAGTAGTTAGAATGCCTTTGCTGGAATCATTAATATAATTATTATATTTAATATTACTAATTTTGATGTAATAAAAACCAAGAATGGGCAGGAGTAACCAGAAATTTATATATTAAATAATCGATAATTATCTTGATGATATAATAGATCATTTCTTTTTTATCTATGATAATTTACCCCATCTTTATGCTAGCTTAACAAAGTTACCCATTTTCTAATTGAAATTATGAAATTTAATATACCTTCATGGTTGCGCTTCCATAAAATTCCTTCATCTTATTTTAAATGTTAGGAATGGATTAAGCTGTATTGTTCACTAGCCAAGGATGTTTCAAAATTTTTTCTGTTCCAAATCTCTTAGTTGGATCAACTGTTAACAGACCTTTGATTAGATCCTTAGCTTTAGAATATACTATAATAATGCTTACCTTCATTGCTAATAGTGTCCCAATAAGGAGATGGGAATGAGAACTACCCAGTTTTAATGATTTTAAATAGCTTATCATTATCCTCATCATAAAAAGGTGGAAATCCACATAACCTATTGAATTACATATTCAAATACATGATGTAGAGTATAACACCAACGGACCAAAAGTCAATTGCTTCTGAATATCCATGGCCTGATAGGATTTCAGGAGCAACATATCCAGGAGTACCACATTAAGTCATCATAACTTCATCATTTGTAACAAAACGAGCGAGTCCAAAATCACTTACTTTTAATAATGCTCCTGGGTCTCTGCTTGAAAATAGAAGATTTTCAGGTTTTAGATCTCTGTGCACTATACCCATTTTGTGACAATAGTTAAGAGCATCAATAATGGGTCTCAATGTAGCAGCAGCTTCTTTTTCACTAAAATGATCTTTTTCCACTATTCTTTCGAAAAGCTGAGAGTTTAATTTGAAATATTACTTCGCCTCCAGTCATCAACTCTAATACCATATAAAAATTGGTGTCATCCTCGTAAATTTCATAGAGTTTCACTACATTTGGGTGATCAATCTAGAGATAAACGAAATGTTTTACTTGAGTCAGAATTTCTACTTCGGTTTGTAAGGCTTGTTAGTCTTCATTTGATAAATTGTCTCTAATTAATAATCACTTGAGGAAGTACTTATTGATGATTTTGACAGCATACATTTCTCCATTAGACTTCTTTTTTGCTCTCTTCACAACTCCAAAGGCACCTCTAATTTATTAAAACCCATGGCTTACTCTCCTAAAGTCTTCTCGAAAGTATAAACTTTGGTAATATCATCATGACCTTGCATTTTTAAAAATATTTATGTTTATTTAAAAGAAAAGTTGTCATTATATTTTGCATCTGTGATTTCCTTAACAATAATTGAATTATCATGCGATACGAAAGAATCTCAGATACAAGGGAATCAATTTGTCTTGATCATATATTTGGAGGTTTAAGTTACAAAAATAATAATATATTTATAAATGGATTAAGACAACAAGGAAATAGATGAGGAATAGTTTAAAAAGGAATTCGAGGAAAAGGTCGAAAAACGTAAACAATGGTTATTGGAAGAATTGAAGAGCTGTGGAAAGTTTTTAGATGTGAGTGCAAAGAAATTAGATGATCTAGATGCTTTGACTGTAATGATATATATTCAAATTTATTTAGATTGCTCTCTTTCTTCATGAATGCCAAACTGAACTAACAGTATTCCACATTGGAGCTAATTAAATAACTGATAGAGGATTGATTGACATGTTGACCGGATTGCAATGGCATGACAAATTAAAGGAAATCTACATTGGGAATAATGAAATTACTGAAGTAGCAAAATTGTGACCTATGTCATTAGATTGGTGTTTAAGGTTTGATAGAGATTTCAAGTTGCTTCAAATAATTGAAAATCTTGAGTATGAGTGCTTGTTTAATTGATGATTCAACATTCATTTAACTTTGCTATGCATTGCCAGAATTAAAGAATCTACAGTTATTGCAAGTGCCTGGCAACAATATATCCGATTATGGTAATGAGATTACTATATTTTAATAGGATTGGTGTGCTTCTCCACATTGTTGGCAACCAATTGTCTACCAAATCTTACAGTGGTTCATTTTGGCAATAATCCATTGACATCAAAATCTCTGGTCCCATTCTTTTAGGCCTAGTCTAAAGTATCTCAAGAAATTGCAATTGTGGAATAATCATTTAACCGATAAGGCCATATATGAATTTATTAATGTACTTGAGAGGGAGGACATTGGATTAACCTATGTTGGATTGTAGGATAATGAAATTGAAGAATATGATCTGGTTGAGGATTTGAATGCTCTACTCAAGTAGAATGAACTCATTGACAAGTTGACAGAACAGATAGAACATAAGGAAGAGACTGAAGAGGTGGATGAAGACAAGCAGGTCAAATAGATGATCGAACTTGCTAAATTAGAAGAAATTGAAGAGAAATTGGGACAATTGGAAAAGCTGAATGAACCTTAGGAAGACAGATCGGATGTGGTTAATGAATTGCAAGGGAAATTAAAAACTTAGAAATGGGCTGGAGAGATTGAAGATCCTGAAGATAAAACATTGAAACACTCGGTAATGGAATGAAAATTAAGATTTAAATATTTTTTAAATAATGGTTATCAAAACAGATTTGTGCTCCTTTAGTGAATGGAGAATCTATCCCGGACATGGAAGAAGATTCGTTGCCAAAGATGGCAGACTCTTCTACTACTTGAATTAAAAGAGTAGAGCTTTTAGTGCAAGAAAAGTATTTCAATCCTCAATATTTAGATTAAATCACAAGAAATTCAATGGACTGTTGCTTGGAGAAGATTGAACAAGAAAATTAAGACAGACGAAGGAGCCAAGAAGAGAAGAATCAGAAATCTTAAAGTGCAAAGAGCCATTGTTGGTATTTCATTAGAAGAAATCAGAAGAAGAAGAAAGGAAGATGATAGTAATACATTTCTCTAATGACTACTAGAAACAAGAAAGGCATAAGCTGAATAGGCAGCCAGAGAAATTAAGGACAGAAAGCAAAAGTAAATTGAAGCTTCAAAGAAGAAACCTGCTGCAGCTTAAAAAGTAGCATAAAAGGCAGAAGTCAAAGCTCAATAAAAAGCTTAAAAGGGTGCTGCTAAAACCAACAAAGGCAAAAAGTGATTTTACAATATAACACGTATACAATATTTGGATTATTCAGTTATTTTCTTTGTTCAACCAATAATTTAATTTTTATAATATAATGGACTCAATATTTTACACTCTTCTAGGTATGGGAATGGGATACATTGGATCTCAATTTCTCAAGACTAAAGTCTTCAAAAATAAGTAGAATAAGAATCCATAATAGAATTAACCTACCTAGAAATTCCTACCCTCAACTCCTGACATAAAAAGGCATTTCAATAAAATCAAATCCCTTAACAAATCAAAAGACGAATTGAATTCAATGATCAAATGAGAAAAATCGTCAAAATTTAACCTCCTCCAGAGTAATAGGATACTGATAGTTATATTTCATTACCATAAGATTCAGAAATTAGCAAACCCAATCAATTCAATAATTCTGATCATAACACCCAACCTCAAACTCCGAATTTTCAAAACATAGTCTAAGCCAAATCTAATATTCAATTGTTTGTTACTCCATAATAATTCCAATAAATGATCACATGCCCTTTGATTTTAAAATATAATAAATTAGCGCCTCTTGTAAGTTTCTATGACAATAACATAAGAATAACATCGTCCTCAGACTACTTAATCAATTAGCCATTCTGAATCATCACCATAAACTTGTCATAAAGAAGAATGAGATAAATTTATATAATTTTATTATAAAGTGTTGTTGCATTCTGATACTTAAATATTGATTGATTTTTGTTGTATAATTGATTTAACTTCAATATAAAATTAAATGATCCATTAAAACCTAGTCTTTGGTAATTTAATAACTTCAAATCAATTGGAGTGGCTAGCAAAAAAGTAGAAAATATTACTCAAATCACCAAAGGATATGAATGAAAAAAAAACGAAGCCTATAAGATTATTTAGATCAACAAGTTTTAAGACTGAACAACATGCACTATTATTATCGAATCCCAAAAATTATACAACCAAGAGTCCTATGCTTTTAAAACCACAAATAGAAAAGAATGGCTTAAAAAAGCTTCCTTTTAAAACTAATCCATCTGATGAATTGGGAAAGAGTGAAAAATCAATTACCAGCTCTTAAAGAAGAAGCAGTGCTCCATATATAAAAATTAAAAGAAGATGGAGTTATCTTCAAATACAAGGCGAGAAATATAAGCGTCTTAATAAGAAGGCTCCAAAAAATATTATTAAATATCATTATGTAACTGCAGAAAAAGAAAAAAAGAAAAAACTAAATAGATTGAGAATGTAGTATAGTAATATTTTCTGTAATTAAAGAATTCATTAGTAGACTGCAAAAAAATAAATTTAGAAAACTTAGAAGTAAAACGCTCCCCTTAACTCAATTCATTCGGATGAGACATACTAGAGCAAAGACGTTCGCAGAAGATTAGCATCAAGGTCCTATATTAAATTTAGAGGAATCGTTGAAAAGAAAGATAAACATGCTTGTTTTATTAAGAAAGAGTGCAATGCGAAGACATACTTGTTTTTAGATGCCAAAAAAGAGCGTATTAGTTTCAAAAGAAAAATTATTAAATTACTAAAAATAAATATCTGATAATTTAGTCAAAACTGAAAGTCAAGTTGAATTTTCTCCTGCTTTAGATTAGATTCTAGTATATCAAAGACGAGTGAACTTCACTGATATAAAATAATCATTCAAAATAGCTTAGCAGAAAAAGAAGTGCTTTTTATCTGGTTAGTTTAAAAAACAATCACATAGTATAATCACATCATATATTTCGAATAAGGCAGTAACTTAGAATTCTGAATATTAATCACTTATGTTAAAACCATTAAATTAATTGATTGAGAAAAAGACATAAGCAGTTCGTGAAAAAAATAAAAATCACCAATCTTGGTCAGATAGAAGCTTAATGAAAAGAAGACCGAATTTACTATTAAAATTATAACCTTATTTATCAAAATAAGTAATTGTTAAATGTTGATTCATTAATATTATCATTAATTAATTATTTATTTTAACAGATACTACTATTGTTGTTGATACTTAAGTCTTGTGATTTTGTAAACCTTTACAACTCTGAGAGTTGTTATAGAAATAACTGATCGATTGTTTATTTATATAATATTTTGGTATAAAATTTATTAATTTCAATAAGGAAAAACGAATAATTATTGAAAATTATGTTTGGTACATAGCTCAAATGAAAAATTCATGAAGAGGAATGGAAGTAGGAATATCAGAATTTTATAAAATTGTGTAATAATACGACAATTATTAATATATAATATTTCATATTATAAATTGTCATAAACAGATGATATCAAATTAATTATTACTTGATATCATACAAGTTAAATGCAAAATTCAATAAGTCAGCACTTTATTATTATTTATAAATAATATATATGGGATCTTTTTTATCCCAACCAAACACCCAGAAATCCCATGAATATTAATTTAGTGGTTAATTATCATGTTATACTACTGCCATGCAAGGTAAATCAGTAATTAAAAACAATAGGATGGAGATTGTAAATGGAGGATGCTCATCTGATGAAACCAAATTTTATCGAAAATATTTCTCTATTTGCTGTATTTGATGGACATGGTGGTTCTGGGATTTCTTAATTTCTGGCTGAAAATTTCATGAATGTACTGATCTCTTAACCTGCATTTGAAAAAATGGATTTTATGCAATCACTTCATGACACATTTTTATAGCTAGACGATATGATTAAAAATAATGAAATCAAAAGTATATATTTATAATAAAACACAAAGATACTTTCATAGGTTCTACTGCAGTTGTCGCCTTAATAGCAGATAAAATGCTTTATGTGGCCAATTTAGGAGACTCTCGATGTCTATTGATGAGAGATGATGAAACCATTGAACTCACTAAAGATCACCTTCCAAGCAATGAGTTGGCGCGAATTAGATATGCTGGAGGTTTTGTGGATGAATAAGGTCGTCTAAATGGTACCTTGTCAGTTTCCAGAGCGTTTGGTGATTTTGAATTCAAGCAGGAACCTTTACCTGCTAATTAGTAAATGGTTATAGCAGAACCTGAAATCAGGAAAATCAAATTAAACAAAGATGATCGGTAATTTAATTTGATCTATTTCGTAATAGTTTTCTCTTTTTGGGATGCGATGGTGTATTCGAAACCTAAAACAGTTATAAGGTGATGGAGTTCATCTCCGGGCGTGTGGCTGAGAAACAAGAACCGTCCATTATTTTGGAACAATTACTTGATACTTCCTTAGCTGCTGACACCTCTACTGGATATGGTTGTGACAACATGACTGCTATGCTAATATTATTAAATTAATGAAGGAATTCATTACATTTATACAACTATTATCTTCACTCTATTATCCTTATAGACTTTATATTATCAATTAATTATTTCTATTAAAAATAATTATAAATAAATATATTTCTAAATAAAAATTTACAAATATTTTTAAACAAGCTTCTCCCTTTCTTTTCAATTATCTTATTAATCATTCTTCACTATAAGCTCAGTGAGTTTATTTCTTTTTGCATATTGTTAACCAAATTCTCACACTTGTAGTTTAACAATTTCATTTTGACAAAATAATTCAAGACCTATTTCATTTTATAATATATGTATCATTTGAGAATTTTAATAAAAAAATATGGTAAAGTGTTTATGGTGTTTGAAAGAACTAGGCATTTTCGGAATGCTTTTTCATAAGGCTGTTTGTCTTGAATATTTATATAGCAAATCTTTAGAAAAATTAAGATAGGCAAATTTGGCAGGGCGTATAACTAAGGGACAATATAGAAATGAGAAGCGAAACTTAAGAGAGTATTTTATGCAGAGATTCAAACCGAAAGTGTATGAAGCCTTCATTAAGAGATAACAAGAACAATAATATATTGTAATCAATCCAAACGATTAATCAGTTGCCCTAGAATCTGATATGGAAATGATTTCAAAAAAAGTGTGCATTGAAAGCTAAGAAATATCTTAAAAATCCCAATTCCTATAATCATTTCAGAATCTAATCGACCCTGATTATAATTATAGGGTAAACAACTATTCAGGATCCCAAGATATTTAACCTATGTTCAACTCTGATGACCATCATAATAATTAGGTAGAATTTAATTAACATGATGAATTGAGTATATATTAAATAGAAATCTAAAACAATGGGAATACTCATTAATAAATAGATTAATACGACAATTCATAGGATTAATTTTTTCAACTCCAATTCCAATAATAACAGATTATACAATAAAACGAAGAAAACTAAGAAAACTAAGTTAACTAAGAAAACTAAGAAAACTAAGAAGAAAAACCAGCAAATACTTCCCTTGAAATGAAGGAGGAGGAAAAAGAAAATGTTTTATTTAAACTACTTCAAAAAAAAGTAAAACCAAATAAAGACAAAGTATTTAACGAAACTATTTAAAAAAAAAATACTAAAAAATAAACACACACTAGATCACAAAGTAGAAATATTAAATAGAATTCAATTATTTCTGAAACAAAAGAAGAAACTATGAAACCGAATTCTTATCAAGAAGAATTGGCAACCGAAGTCAAATAAATTGGCAATCGTTTTTTATAAACTAATAAAAAAAATCCTCCCAAATTTTCTTAAAGCACAGATAAAATTAATCCAAAAATAAATCAATCAATTGAAATTTCATCGACAAAAGAACATAAAAAAAAGTAGAAAAAGAACCAAAATTTGATTACAAACAAAACTAAAAATCTATAGAAAACAGAGGACCATTAGAACATTTCTTAATAAGTTCAGAAACCCAAGTAAAGAGAAGTCATAAAGACTAGAAATTAGGCTTCTTCGAGTATTAAATAAAATAAAACAGAGTCAAAGAGTGCTAATAGAAAAGAATAATAGAAAATCAAAAAGAAATGAATCATTAAATTGTGTAATATGCCTATTAAAATAATATAAATTAATTTTGATACGCTAGCTGCTCTAAGTTTGAGAATCATTAAAATTTAAACCTGATATTTATTGATTAATCAAACGTTAAACTTTTCATCACTCACTTAAAATAAATTACCAAATTCCATTCTCCTTTTACTTGCATATTGTTGATCGAATGAATAATCTACATCCAATATATTTGGTTCACCTTTATAATGAAACTAGCTGCTATGAATAGAATGATAATCAGTATGCTTTGAATTCTTACTTCTTTTTTATACTGCTAACTAATAATATTATATCATCTCAGCAACCTCATAATCATTTTCTAGCAATCTAAGTAGTTCCAGTTCTAAAAATGGATGTTGCAATTTGAATGACATTAGCCTTTTAAGTTGAGCTTAAAACTTTTGTAATGGAATCAAATCTTCTTAAATTTCTGGGGTTTGAGTTTCATCATCTTAAGCCTATTAAACTTTAGGGATAACAATTTCTTCACAAATCTAACAATTGTCTTTTTCCTTTACTTTCAACGTAGTTTAAAATTCTTCTTAAATAAATGAAATTTTAGCAGGTGTTTTATCTAGAATTGATTTAAGAAATTTAAGCATATTTAAAATTGTAATTGATTCTTTGTTTGCTATTTTAAGCATATTTAATTTGAATGATGCATCCAATTTTTGACAATAAACCATCACAAGATTCAAGGATTCCATTCTTTACGCAATTGAAGAGCTTTTTTTAAATTAGGGAACTTCTATTTCAGGGAAGTATTTTCTTAACAAACATAAGAAATGTCTTCCATCCGAAAGGCTTTCAATGTTACTTGCCTTCATTGATGGACACTTTTCATTAACCCACCTTAAAAGATCTAATCTTAGACTCATGTACTTCGAAATTTTAACAAAATAAATAATAGAACTACTTTTGAGTTCAATGAATATTTCAGATTTCAAATTTAAACAATATTTGAGTCATAAATGATATTTGATTGAATATACCCAAACTATGAATAGAATTCGATTGATAAGTAAAGTAACTTTAATAGTTTATTGAGATTATAAAGTAGTAATGTATAATTGGTAAATAAAAAAAAACTGAAGAATTATAATACTAATTATTCATTTACATCTTTTTGATGGACCTCTAATTGATATATTAACTAAGCAACAGACCAATTTAATAACATGGTCAGAATTATTGGCTAGCATTAATTTTTATTTGTGGAACGTTTTTCCATCAACCTAATTAAGAGGTAGAGTTTCCTATAATGTACTGTCACAGAAAACTTGTCCTGAATACCCTTTTTTAAATCTTACATGCTAAGATTAATATGTATATTTACTAATTTAACTGAGTTATTCATTTTAATTGGACCTATAAGTACTAAAGGATTTATCCACATTTCAAATGATTAAAAGAATTTTCCTTTTGCGTTTTACATTGGTCTGATCTTATCAATTCTCAAATCCCCTTCACATTTATGAATATAACATCCAGGTAAAGAATGTAATAAGTCTTAGAATTCTTGAGTTTGATATTTCTCGTACTTTTTGGCTTCCTTTCTAAATTACATTCTAGCCCAGCATTATTTTGTATTAAATATAGGTTGATCAATAGTAGATGCTGGTCTGATGTATTTAGTTTTTTCTTGATAGAATTCGGTTTATGCAGGTTAAGGTAGTTCTTATATTCTTTCTTGTTTTTTAGTCTATCTAGTCTTTCTTTTGGGTGCTGGCATTATTGATTTCTTTTTTCGACCAACTCTCCTGCCTTTGGTAGGCTTTTATTTCTTTTATTTGTTAGGATTCTCTTCATTGAGAGATGTGTTTTATTATTCTTCATTTAAAATGTTGTCATCTATTTAATTATCATAAATTTCAGGTTCAAGGATTTGTTATTTTCTGTCACTTTAGAACAACTTCTTATCACTTTAGAATTTTTTATCACTTTAAAATAAAAATTTTTTTTCCTTTTCAAACTAATCTTCTTATTATTCATTTTATTGCTAATATCTTTAAATTATGGCCTCCATAAAGGACTTTTAACAATTTGGTGTTTTAGGCTGATCAGAAATAGATTACCGCGAAACTTTTTAAATTGGGAATTCACAAATTATAGAACTCATATTTATCTTGAGTTTACTATTTTTAGGTTATTCATCATGCTGCTTGTCAACATACCAAGTGTTTCTCTTTTATTTCCCTATTTTTTCATCAAATTCTTCTCTGATATCGTTTGCACTAGCTCTCCTATTATTTTGTGGTTTTAGTGGCTAAGGAGCAGCAATTTAGAGAATTTTATCGATGTCCTATTCCAATGAGTGAGACAACCAAGAGATATCATTATTTTACAGCCATTTGTTCGGATCACTAACCATTCAAAATTACATATATACTATGACGAGCATGGAGATGGATACATAGAACGATATACCTTCTCTCTAAATTTATTATCAGAATCGTCTTATTTTACTTTTTTTCCTATAGATGGTCTCATTTATGTATTTAAATTTAATATTTAACTTATTTCTTATTATATCAAAAGTCTTAGTTAAGAATACACATTCATGATCAATTTTGATATATTTCAAAATCTGACACTCATCTATTATATATAATATTTTGTTTCTTTATTTTGTTGTTAGTTCTTTGACAATTATTTATTTCCTCATCAATAATTTATTAAGTTTATCACATATTTTCTAATATGGTCAGCCATCAGCTTACTGATGTTATATTCTTTAATTGTGTGCATTAACAATTTCTTTGATTCTTGTCTATCTGTATTTAAATTCAATACTTTATTTTAAATTTCAAATTTAATTTAACCGAAATTAAATTATATTATTTTTTATGATTCTCAATAATTCAGATTATTGATTCTTTTTTCATAATGATGTTATCTTGAGAAGTTTAAAGAATTCACATTTCTGTTTTCTTTTTTTTTAGTTCTTTCATCTTCTTCTATATCATAAAATAACAACTTAAATAATATAGAAAATTTTATTCTCTTTTTGCGCCTAATCTAATCTACAAATTTACATTAATTTATTATTAACTATGACAATAATTATAGAGAATTAATTGGTCTCAAAAACATTATTTACTATGGCATTTTCATTTTATCACTATATAAATCCTGTAGTTTTGTCTTATACTATTGCTGATATTAATTATAAGAATGCAAAATAGAGATTCAGATATTTGCCATGCTAATTCTCTAACAATTTCATCATCCAGTTTTTAACAGTAATCAATATATTTCCAAAAAATATTCAAAGAAATTATTGAATATATATTTGTATTAAATAGGGAAGAGGATGATTATAAAAAATTTGAGTGCTCTATTAAGATGATTGCCAAGTTTAGTTACTTATTTGTTATACTCAAAAATGTGATGCATCTATTGCATTAATGATTTAGAATCCTTAAACCATAATCATGAATTTACTACTGCCCTAAGCATACACTTTAATATTTTTATCCATTTTTATACTAAATATCTACCTAATTAACATTATTCCATTTAAAAAGCATAAATTCTAAAATCAATAATTCTATTCTAAAGTTGTATTCTATATTCTTCAATTTTATGTTTTTCAAAAGTTTAGGATATTAACTACTTATTTAAATACATTTGTTATTCCCTTTATTTATATAAAGAACGTCTAATCTCCAAGACAACATTATAAAGGAATTGGTGGAATCACTTAAGGCTTAATCCAAATTAGATTAAATTGATTTAAAAGTATCTCTATATATAATTAAATTATTTTATGGATCAAAAATCTAATTATCTTAAAATTTGGGGTTTACTAGAGGAAACTAAGTAGCAGGAAGTATTATAGAAGATTAGAGCGATTGGAAAAGTGACTAAAAGTAAGCAAATAAATAATGTTTGGTACCTGGTGTTTGAGGATGAAGTGGAGAATGATAGTGTATAAAAACATATCGATTTGATAGGTTGAATTAATATCATGCAGCTACCCCTAATTATAATATTTAATTGGTACAGATTTACCGCCTTAAGATGTCTAGAAATTTGCAAATATATTTTCCTAAAATGATGATGATGAAATTTAGAGAAAGAGACTTGAATAAGAAAAACTTTAGGAAATAGCTAAAAGGTAATAAGAAGATTAAAGATAAAAATAACTACAATAGCAATAAGAATTTTTAAGATAATAAGAAGAATAAAGAAAAAAATAATTAAAGGAGAGAGAAGAAGCTTAGCAAAGAGACGAGGAGTTGAAGTAGAAATTATTAGCTGAAGCTAAACAATAATTGGAGTATTAGTAAAGATTAGTAAATAATATATATATATTTTTTAGTAATATTAAAAAGAATAAGAAGAAAAACAATAAAAATAATAACAGGAATTACTTTAATAGTAAAGAAAAGAATAATAAATAGTATAAGAAGAATAGCTTAGATAAGAATAATTGAAATAAAATTTAATGAAATAAGAATAATAGAGATAAGAACAATTGAAATAAGATTAAATAAGATAAGAATAATTGATATAAGATTAATTAAAATCAGAATAACAGAGATAAGAATAACTAAGATAAGAATAACTAAGATAAGAATAATTAAAATAAGAGTAACTCAGATAGGAGTAATTAAGATAAGAATAACTCAAACAAGAATAAATAAGATTAGAATAACTTCGTTAAGAATAATCAAAATAAGAATAACCCTAATAAAATCAATAGTTCAATTAATAAGCTTTGGACTTGCAAAAAGAAAAAATTAAGGAAGAATTAGCACTTGAGTTTGCGAAATCTTAATTCTAACAAAAATAATAAGCTGAATAAAGAGAGTTGGAATAAAATAAGGCAATCTAAAATTTGATGAATAAAATTACAGAAACAGAAAGTCAATTGAAAAATTTAAAGGATTAATGCATTTTCTAATAAGACACTTCAAATAAATATCAAAAAGAAATATAGGATCTACAAACCTCGTTAAACCATGTCACACAATCAAGAGACAATGTTATAGCTAAGTTTAAAGAATTATAATCAAACGAAGGAAGCACAGTCACTCAAGAAGATATGGTCTTTTTGGAATAGTAATAGTAATAATAGTAGCCCTAAACAGCCTAGAATGTGTTGTTTAAGTTTGAATTTTGGGTTGTCTTAGTGGGTGCTTGGGTCTTAAGTTAAGTAATAAATTTCTTCACCTGATCCTGAAATGAAATATGAATTATCAAATATTAAGTATTAATTAATTATGAAACAGTAAAGCGATAGTCTGTTTTTCCAATCCTAATTATATGTTGCAGTTTTGAATGAACCTTTGACTATCTTATAGTTTTTGGAAAACGATGAAAACGAAAATTAGAGGCAATCAAGTCATTAGGATAAATTAGAAATCTCTAATAAAAGTGAGAGGAAAGAGAATTCAAACAAAAGTAGACTTTAGCTGTAATAATCTAGTTTATAGTACACAGAGAAACAAAGAAAAATCCTTATGGATCTGGTTGGGCGAATAAAGTATTAGAAAAACAATTTGGTGTTCATTTATCGTAAATTACATAAAGAACAGGTCCAAAATGGATTATAAAAAAATTAAAACCTGCAGAAGCAAATGATTATAAAGAATTTCATCGTCCTCGTTTAGTGAAAGTACATCAGGCATTTACATGACTTAGGATTTCTTATCCCAGGAGAAGAAAACTAGATAAACAGCCTCGAAATCTTATAGAAGGAGAATCGATAAAAATTATCAAGAGTAAAAGCAATCCTTAAATGGAATTTCTATATTTGATCCAAATTTCTAAATAAATTCGCAGTAGTACAATTTATGATTATATTTAATAATTAATGGAGCAACTAAAAGTTCTAATTTAAGAAAAATATAAAGGAAGTCCTCTTTTAATTGGATTACAAGGAATGCAAGGCGTTGGTAAGACAACTCTTGGAGTTCAAATGAAAACCCTGTTCTCATCATTGAATATTCAATTTGATAGTATTAGCATAGACGATTTTTATCTGAGTTATGTAGATTGGGAGAAGTTAGATAAAACAAAATACAAATATAGAGGACCTCCAGGAACTCATGATTATCAAATGATAATTAAGACACTAAAATCATTTAAGGAGGGTAACAGCATTGAGGTACCAATTTTCGATAAAAGTCTGCATAATGGACAAGGAGATAGAGTAGGATAAAAGACAATAAAGTGCTAGGTTTTATTATTCGAGGGATGGTTTGTTGGTTATAAGAGCAAATGTTTATAGGAGTTTAAATAAAAATAAATGGCAAAATTACAATTAAATGGAAAAGATTATGATGAGAATTTGGAAGTTTTTATTAATGAATAATTGAAACTCTATGAACCTGTATGGGAATAGTTTGATTTATTAATTCAATTGAAACCTAATCCTTTTGAGTTAAGTTTAAAATGGAGATTAGAGGCAGAAAAGGAGATGAGACTAAAAACAGGAAATGGAATGAGTGATGAATAGATTGTTGATTTCGTAACATTTTTTTGGAATTGTTTACATCCATTAATATATAATGAATTGAATTGTGATTTGGTTATTGAGGTGAACGAAGCAAGATAATATAAAGTTTTATGATTAAAATTTATTATAAAATATATATATATAAGTTTTCAGTATGGAATTTAACTTAAGAGTTGTTTTGGAGAATGGATTTCCTCCTCCTAATTTTGCATTGTATTTTCATCCTATAAGAATTATTCTTACCGTGATGCTAATATTTGCATTTTCTAAATTGCTTTGAGATGATTTTTTGGCATCCTCAATTATTCTATCATATGGTTCAAATCTTGGAGATTGAGATTTGGATTTTGAACAAATTCTATGACTTACTTTGGACAGTAAGCAAGATTATGAAATGGCAGATAAGTAAAAGACATGTATTCGTTAAATATATATTTATAATATTATAAAAAATTGATCAAGGGTCAAATGAGCTATTGGGTATGTTTATTTTCAATTTCTTTTTGATCATTCTTTAATAACTTTTTTAAGGTTTTTATTCCATTTAAGTTATTTCTATATGAGTTGAATTATTGAGTTGTGTCTTTGGGATCTATTAATGTTTTTTTCTTACTATAAAGTACAATATCCCAAGTAGAATTATGGAAACTATTCCAATTAATATGAGTATTATGTAATCTTAGTCCATAAACAAATTTAATAAATAAAAAAAATGAAACTACATTAATGTTAAACCAACTAGCCCAACAATGATATCATCTTTGGTCATAGAATTGGCACCAAAAAGATAGTCGCTGAGAAACAATAGAAATTACACTCTATCCTAATCAGCCTAGCTCATTAAACATATCTGATAATTGCCCAGAAGCAAGGAAGATAATTATTTTCATGAAGCCATTAAAGCCAATGAATAAGATGACCTTTTTCTTGAAAAGTATTCCTGCTATTCATAACCTATTTAGGATAAACACTTTCAAGATCTAATAAGCATTGATTTTAACTAAATAACGATTTTAGGATGATAATAAATTCGCCGATCTTCTTGAATATGTTCCTGAAGAAAAAGAAAATGATAAAAAAATTCAAAAAAGAACTTGAATCCTATATTGATAGATATGCTACTGTCAAAAAAGGTCCTGCTCCAAGACGCCCATAATTTTATTATTTTATTTGATTATTAACATTACTTTTACAATTATGTTCAATCCAAACAGCATCAAAACCTTAAGGACTATGAGTGCATCCTCTCAACGTTCTGCTTAAAACAAACAATTAATGGAAGAAATCGATTCTGCAATTGAAGACTTGAGAGAATGGAAAAAGAATGAGAATCTTGATTTGAAAAAACAATTAATGGAAAACTAACAAACAAATAAAATCATCTATAAAAGTGGATATGAAATTGATGAAGAAGAAGAAGAAGACACTAGATAAGAAGAATTACTATAATAATAAGCAGATTTAAATAAGAAATTGTAGAAGATTAGACAAGAATATATGAAGGAATACCTTAAAATTCCAAAATATATGGCAAGTGAATAAAAAACATAAGAAGTAACACAAAAATTACAAGAAAGCTCCCAAAGATTAGAAAATTTAGAAAACTACCCAATTAATTAACTTAATCTTAATAAACTTGATGATGATATCCTGCTCAAACTTACCTAATGGAAAGCATAACTAGCTGAATTAGATGAAATTTCAAAAGAATAAGAATCTGTACAATAAGATCCATAGAGTGATTAGAATGAGCAGGTAACAGCAAATTTGAAATAAAAAATATAATAAGAATTGGATTAATATTAAAAAGATGAATAAAATATTTCAAAATAATAATTACAATAATAAGAGTTTAATTAGCATATAAAATAAGAATTAAATGATCTAGATAAAGATTTTGATGAAATAGATTCATTATTAAATTAATGCGGAATCAAGTGAATCATTTTTTAAATCAATTGAATATTTTAATTCCATCATCTCAAAAGGAACAACATCAATTTTTTGTTCATTAACATTTTGCAAGAACTATTCATATTATTCTTTCCATTTTTTCATCATATTGTACCAACACTAAGTAATATTATGTGATAATACATCTATTTATTCTCTCCTATTACTATAAAAGACATATTATTTCTCTTAATTCTTGATATTAACTAAAGTTAGAACTTTACCCTCTTTTTGGGCAATTTAAATTTTATACATTTTGAGATTGAGTATTTCTGCTGGAATCTCTCCATTACTATAGGCTTTTTCACTATCATAAATGTATATTGTGCCCTCTGTCAAAATTAGAAAGCAATCTGATGATAAAAAAGTTCCTTGAACTGCAAATTTATCTTTTAAATAAGGCTCCATTTGATTGTTTTATTGATATTAATCATAATTTCAATTTATTTTAGTCTTATATTTTACACTTGTTTTTTGGTTACTTTATTAATTAATTTGTTTATTATTCATGGAATAAAAGGTATTACATTTAGAAATTTAAGAAAGTGTTGATTTTCTTTCCTATGGCTATTCCAGCTTCAGGGAAAACAGTCTTATTTGAGAGCATTGAATAATATTATAACGAAAAACATGAAGGGAAAACAAAATTGTTTATAGTATCAAGTGATTAAGTCTCATTACAATTAATGAATGAACATATTGCTGCTAATCCAAACGCTTCCAAAGAGGACGCATATTAAGGAACAAGAAAAAAATATAGAACGAGATATGATAATGAAATAAGGGCTGTGTGTTAAAAAGCATAAGGTATTCATTTCTTTGATCTCTACTAGCTTGTGAATAACAATTCATCGTTATCATTTTTGATAAAAATCATCCTGAAAATGCTTTGAAAGGTCCTTTAGACATAGTTAAGGACTATTTTTAATAGTTTACTTCAATCGGATTGATTCCCAAAACTGGTAAGCCTCTTGGAAATAATCTGTTTTCAATCACTTATTTAGTATCATGCGTTCAAAGGGCTATTAAAAGAGAAAATCATGAAACTCTGGTCGGTAATAAAGAAAAAGTGGCATCCGTAGTTTTATTCTTTTTCACATTTTTTAACAAAGTTTAAGTAATGATATTCTAATTATACTTAGATTGATAAGTTACCATTTAATAAAGTGTTTTACGTTCCTTTTACAAATGAAGATGTATAGATGGATTAAGTGCTCAGAGAAGAAGCTCTTGAATGTTTAAAAATTATTTAAAGAGAAAGATTTCCTGAAGATATTTAAAATAATTGTAAAGAAGCGCTATAGAAGTTTATTGGAATTTGCGAAAAGTATAACTTAGGGTTTCCCGATAAAAATTTGTAGAGAGAAATTGTTTGGAAAGAGATCGAAACAGTGGATAAATGATATATTACAATCACAAATATAACAGTATAATTAAGATAATTAAGTTAAATTATTGTTAAAGTATAGAAATCAAGACTATTATTACAAAATAACATTAAATGATTGCTAGCATCTTCAACTTGACCAGGATCATATTGATTAGATTTATATAAATATATATCTGATGAAAAAAGACATGCTTAAAAAGTAACGAGTTTATAGATGTAATGATGATATTGATCCGGAAATTAAAATTATGAGAATAATTCAAATAATTTTAGAAGCCGTCTCATTAAATTGCTTTTAAAAATAAATGCTGCTAAATAATATCTTGATCAAATTTTATAAGATATTTCATTTATATAATAAAAGCTAGTAGGTTAAAATAAATGACATGAGGGATGTTGATTAGGTTGAACATACTGATGAAACCTTCAATAATTATAATGACATTTAAGCATCTATACATTTATTAGAAAATTCAAAAATTCATTACGAATTTACTATGATGAAAGTCACTTTGAATTTGATATAATATCAAAATACACAATATATTACTTACATTTTTACGACAAAAATTTATACTATAAAATTATTAATTAAATTTAATTGTTGAATGCAATAGTCTACAGATATAGATGTTTAGAGAGTCAAAGCAAAATAAGATTTATAATCTGTAACATATTTGGCTTGAATAAGATATATGTATTAGTTTCTCTATTTATGGGATTTTGCTTTTTATTTAATTCAAATGTTTGTTTCGGATGGGACTACAAAATACTTATAGTGTATGCTTGCATAACACAATTTGCCTTTATGATTTCGAAATTACTCTCTAGTAAAGGGTACATCTGGTACAATATTAAATTAGGATCAATTCGTATTGTTGTTTTGCCATCATGGAAAGCACATTATTAATTACTTATTTATTGGGAATAGTCTATAACAAAGAAGTTTCTCCAATTAATATCAACTTCATTAGTTACACTCTTCTGATACTACAATTTCTCATACTAGCAATAACCGTTCTGATAAGTAGATAGAGCATTGAGGGCGAAGGGCATGATTAATCTAAACAAATCTAAGAAATAGTACTTATTATATGATGTTAGTTAGTCTCAGCAATCAAGAGCATAGGCTCCTTATAAATTGTTTTTGTAAGCTTGAAATGGAGTAATTAAATTAATTGGTGCTGGATGCAAACCTTAGTGATTATATGGTTCAGCATAGGTACTATGATATTGATTGAAATATGTTTATTTATTGATTTTGTGATGAAGTGTTGTAATCCTTAATTAGAAAATAAAAAGTAAATAAGTAAGAGTATAATAATATAAGTTTATGGTAGTATGTGGGTGAACATAGTATTCATTGGTTTTATCTCGACCTCTTTGCTAACATTTTTGGGTTTAGGATTATTGCTCGATTATAAGATTTCTTAAATCAATTTGGGGGGAGTAATATCAACAATAATATATTACATGCTCGAAACATGCTTTTATATAAAGAACAAGGAAGATTTAATGTAAGGTTATCCATTAAAATTAGCTCATTTCTAAATATTTCAGAAAATTAAACTTTGTCCTAGAGTTAAGAAATAAATAATGATTAAACAAGTTTTAAGGAGAGAATAAAATAAATACATAGATTAAGTATAAGCCAAATTCCTTAATTTATGATAAAATTATCTGCCACTTATTATAAGAAAACGGAGTTAATTGATTCTAAAAAGTAATAGATTGGTTCAGTATTGTCTTAAGATAAGAAATATAGGTCAATCAGTTTTTCAGAGATCAAGAAAAACAACGTTATTAAAAAGTAAGCATCTTAGGATTTTGATGAAGAACTTACAAAAAGGTTTGACCATTTATTGTCTTCTCCTCGATTAAAATTGGAAGTCAGTGAAAGTATGGGTGCTGAATTGTCTAGTAGAGGACAACCAAAATAGATATAACTTTGTTTGATTTGCTATGAAAAAGAGAGCAATATGATCAATTAACCTTGTGGTCATGGAGGATTTTGTTAGGAATGTTCATAATAAATGTTGTCCAAGAGCAATATGTGTTTGTTGTGTAGGAAACCTGTGACTCACACATTAATAGTTTAAAGAGTTGAAAATCGGGAAAGCTTAGTTGAGGTTGTCGGTATTTTATAGGGTGAAAAGAAGTAATGATAATTAAATTGGTTTTAAATAATTTTTATAATATATGAATAATAATAGTAATATTTTCAGGCCACCATCATGTCACAAAGTATAAACTCCTTAGTTTGCCAAAGAATAGTAATAACCCAAAAATGCGAAAGGAAATAATAGACAAGTTTTTAGAAGTATTCTATTAATATGAAAAAAACAATAGTCTAGACATTTAAATTGAGTCCAAATTTCAAGAATAATCTAAGTTAAATGCCATCTACCTAAGATAGTACATAAATGGTTAAGTTTAGCATTGGAATAGCGACTGGCTGATCAGACTTCAGAAATAAAATTACTTTAAAATCAAATAGCAGAGTTAAAGAAATAAAATGAGCTATTAGAGTAAAGATTGAGAAAGGCCAATTCAGTACTTCTTAAATTAATTTTAGACTGTTTCTGATTATTGGATTAAAGTTAAAGATACATAAACTAAACTCCAGCAGGTGTCAAATAAATTTCGAAGTAGCAGAGACAAGAAAAAAATGTATAAAAGGAGAATAATAGATGCTTTGAATTACTTTTATGGTAGATACACAGATGCCTAATGTAAGTGAAATAATGAAAATAGAATAGAATGCTCCATTTTTATAATTAGAGGAACTAAGATAAATTTTACTACAATTAGGAATGCATGAATCCATTGTCTAAGAAATGCAATATTTAAGTCAATAAGCTCAAAATTAGTTGAATGTTAATATTGACAATATGACATATGAATAAATTTTAAACCTACAAGAGAGAATTGGGTATTTTCTATGTTCAATATTGCTAGTCATCAAAATGTAGGATTAACGAAATTGCAAATAAAAGAGATTCCGAAAAGAACCAAAGAAGCACATGACAATGTGGAAGAAATGTAAAATATTTTAATTCTATATATGAATAGCTGCACTGTTTGTTATGATCCAATATAAACTGGAAATGTATATAGATAACTACCATGCAATCACATTTATCATTCAAAGTGTATAAAAGCGTGGCTCTTGAATCACAAAAAGTGTCCAGTCTGTAATATAGAAGTGATTCTTGGTTCTGAGTAACATGAAGACCATAATCACTAACAAACACAATGAATTAAGTATATGAATTATTATTATAAAGACTTATAATAAATCAATAATCTTTATTCAAGAACTGATATCTTCATCTTCGACCTTTTTGGCAAATTCCATTTTGAGATCTTTGTAGAATTGAGTTAGATGAACATTAGTGATAGCAACACTATTAGATATTGATTTAGGTTGATTGGATTGCACTGGCATCACATAGATAATTTTATTTTTCAATGCCTTTATATACTGAAGTATGGGGAATGTGATATTGTCTGCGTTATCTTCACAATCAGTAGCAGTAAGAGCTAAAAGTTAGATTCGATCGCTAAAGTAATTGTTTCCCCACCAGAGTTCAACTTCATCATCAAAGTTCTTGTCCATAAGACAATTCAAAATGATTGTAGTTTCAACAAGTAACTATGAATTGTAATCACAATAATTTTACTTGAATTGTTTCTTTTTATATATATTCTTTATTAGTAATTGTATCAAGATTGGAATTTATATAATTTACATATTCATTTCTGTAATAATCAAGTACTATAGACTTTATCTTTAAAGCTTTTTCAGTAAAATGATTATAGCTTCGTATTATCAATTTTGATTTGGCCTCTATCCTGTCAGCCAAGATTTCACACGAATCCAACTGAATTTATTATTTCTCAATTTGTTCAGCTAAATAAGATTTGATGGGCTTAGTTCTCATTGTATTAGCCAAAGAAGTACTTTCTATGAAGTCAATCGCTTCTTTACTGGTACTCTAACTTTGAAGAATGTACTCCTGGTTTTTTATTTCTATTCTTTTGTCAACATGATCATCTTTTTGTTTAGAACATGAAAATCCCATTTTATATAGTATTGATATTATTTATTGTTTTTTAAATCAAATTTATCCCATGTAATCCCAAAGGTTATCCTTGTCACTATATCCAGGAATGGCATATTCATATAAATTCGGAAGAAAGTTCTCTTGTGTGGTTTTGAAAGGAGGAAATATTTTATCAATTGTTAGCCTAAATGCGTCATCTAAATCTAAATCAAACGCTTACTTAGCATTCTAGGAATCAATTTTTATAGAAGTGGACTACTCTCTTCAATACAAGGATTAGTATTGATCTCAATTAACCAAATATGCCCATTTTTATCAACCATAAAATCGTACCCAAATATTTCAAACTAGAAATCCTTGCGATCTAAAAATTAAGGTACATATATCAACTGTCACGCAATTTAGAACTAGCACAATAAATCGTTTAGTGAATCAATTCCTTCATTCTAAGTACAATTCCAGCTGAAGTCACTTTAGTATTTCTCTATTAATTTAAATAATGCTGCAAATCTTAAAAGCTTAATTGATTTCCCAATTCGTATTTCCCATAGCCAGGATGATTCTTTTATATAGCATTATTAGTCAAATGAATATACAAGGATTTTAGATTATTAACATCAAAATGTTCACTAGCTAAACGCAGATATCTATAATTATAATAGATTTGTTCTACCCTTCCTTAAAAAAATAGTATTTTGAAGTATGATCAATTAGTACCCAAACTCGAAAATCGAATTTTCGACCATTATACAAAAGAGGCGTTTCTAAATACTTTTGTAAAACTATAATGCGATCATTACAACCAGATTAATCAATTGTAAAACTTATCTAAGCCTAACCTGATTCTTTCTAAATGAACTATATAGTTTACTTTCATTAGAGTCTGGATAAGTAATTGTAACTCCTCTTGCTCCTTTTGAGGAACTTTTAGTTTTTTAATTGGCACTTCTAATTTTACAGAATTCCTCTACTTAATTTATAAACACCTTTAAATCAGAGAATAATTAGATCCCTCTTCCTCTATTAAGATCTGGTGGTTTCAATAGCCACACATTCTTTTAATTGCCTTCTTTCTTTATTTAAATGAAATAATCCACAAATTTCTTTAGATCCCATTAAAGTGTCATTGAATCCAAATTTATTGAGAATGTTATTGGTACAAAATCATCCATATTCTTATTAATTCTTTAACAATGCATTTTTAGATTGTCATGTAATTTATTTTTGTTTGATATTTCATGGTGATGTTCCAAATGATTTATGCAAACTTTCTTCTATGAAAGATTAGAGTAATTAAATCCCTTATTCGATTGTTTCCATATAAAATTCACACTACAATTAATTATCCATAACTTACTTAAAACTTGTCTATTATTCTGCAAACCAACCTCGTCCTTATAAGATCCTCCTAACCAATGCACCGTTATTTCCATTCTCACAAAAGAACTACCTGATTTTATAATTATCATTACAACATATTATGTAGCAAACGTATTTTTCAAAAAAGCAGTTCTTGGTATTCTTTGCACTGAAGATTAAGGCCTTTTTCCTTCTGCTTAACTGCTAAGTTTACGCTTTTCAATTGATTATTTCCTTTAGAATTAAGTGCTGTTGAACAAACCAATCTTAGTGAAACCTTCTGGAGTATGTTATCGAGGTTCCTTTGGACTGTACTTTAATTGAATAGGCTCCAATCTTTATTATTGTGCATCATACCTATTCTCTTTGAATTTCATTGCTTGCAAGAACATATGATTATTATTTATATAAAATTATCACAAAAATATTCCTCACTAAACTACTTGTCTTGACTGTAAATATTCTTACAAGTACTTTTACTCATACATAGGATCCAAAACTATATTAGGAATCTCCACATTCTTTCCAGGCGCCACTGTTTATGGATTGTAATTCCCATTAAAATACTCCAATTATCTGAACATCTTTTCATGCTGAATATATGTTCTCAATCTTATATTTTCTGAATGTAAAAATGCATTTTCTTATTCCAATTGATCTTGTCTATTTCTTAACAATTGATTTTCTGCAGTTTTCTATTGGCATAGTTGATACAATGCTTGATTTTATGTTTCTGGTATATCATTTCTTTATTACACTAATAAAGAAGTTATGTGTTATCTCTCTTCACTAATCTATTGCAAATGATCCTTCACATTCAATCCTAAATTAACCTAATTAAATACTGAATTGCTGATTTAGCTTATTTTACAATTCTGAACATTCTAGTTCCTTTTATCGATAAAGCTCCATTAAATTCTGATATTTTTAATTCATCTCTTATTATTCTAATGCATTGCTATCCACTAATGCAGTCAAAGTTTCCACCTCGTCTACAAGAATTTATATTCTTTGCAATAATTTCTAAACTATGTCTTCTTGTGGCATGAATCTGTTAATTTAATTATTAAATAAATATTAATAATCACTATTATGTAATCTTATATAATTTTAGTGTTTCTAATAACCTAAAACACTTCTTAAAATTATTAAAGGCAAGTGATTAACTTCAATAAAAAGGAACTTTCTTAGTAATAAATTTTATTTAATTTTTAATCGTAATTAAAATAAATAAATTTATTTACTTACTAATAGCATTCTAAAATCAAAAACAAAAATCAAATGTTTCTTTGCTATATCATCTTATTTCAAAAATATAAATTTTAAATGGGCTACTATAATTACAAAACCTAGTTTATTATTCTATTTTATCAAAATTATAATGAAAAAGTAACAAAAAATTATTCAAAAATTCATCCAAACAACATATCTATATTACAATTTAAAATTAATCTTGCTTACAATATTACTCTTTTAAATCTATAATTCTTTCATGAATAGGTTCCTATTAAATATCTTTTATAAGGATTATCATTTATATTGAAATATTAAACTAAAGTCACTTCATCAGGTCTTCAACACTATTAACTCTTAAATTATTTTAATTTCAATGGTATAATTTGGCATTTAACTGATATACTACTCTCGTCAACTCAAGGAGTTAAACTGCTAATTTGAGGATTTGGATAATAATTTCCATCAAAATCTCCCCTTATCAAATCATTCCGAATTTATAAACATATTTGTTTCCTCAAACGGTATTTAGAAAAAGAAAAGGTAATTTATAACTTGTTTCTTCCTTGACTTTTCTATCTTTTTATTACGTTATTTTTCTATAATAATAAACAGCTATTATAAAATATGTGTAATCACAAAATAAATCTGACTGCTCTAAATTTATTGATGTTAATTAATATAAAATAATATTTGGATTAATTTGTATCTAAAAATTCTATTATTTGGAGGAAAATTATAATCAAAAAATATCACACAAAATAGCAACACTGTTACTATTGAGTATTTCAATATTATAATCCTTAGTTAAGTAATTAGAATAGATTATTTAGATCATAGACAAGTTAATTATTTTTATTTTATGTCGATCGTATTAAATAATTAGAACGATTGAATTGGCATTTATTGTCAAAGATTTATATGGTAGACACATGGAATTGAATAAATTTAATATTATTTTATCAAATATTAATAATATTACTCCATGAATTCTATGAATTTGGATTCAAAGGAATATTCAGTTGAGAAACATTGGAAATATATATATGTTGTGATACTCTTCTTCTCTTTATGTTCAGCTTCAGTCATACCTATAATTTACTTATACTCTCCAAAATGTAGACACCATCCAGCATAAATTGTTCTAATATTATGTAGGATCTCTTATATTTTAGGTATATTGGAAATGATAACATGCTATTAATGGTTTTTAGATAGTGTTCATTTTGAAGAGTTGATTGAATTTTTGAACAAACTCATAGGTTACAATAAAATAAGAGAATATTATTTATTTGGTTAAGGTGAGATATCTGATGAAACATTATGTTCAATAAATTAGAGTCTCATATTCTTTGGATTCTTAGCACAACTAAACTATTATGCAATTCTAACATTAGATTTCATACTAACCTTAACGAAACCCTTCTGGAATACTAAAATGAAATTGCTTACATATAATTTAGGCGCATGTTTAGTGACAATAACTATGTTTTGTTTTGTAACACATTCTCTTCAAGGAAATTGTCACGGAATTAATACTAGGAAAGTTTCTGAAGTCCTTAAAGTCTAGTTGCTGGTAATAACTATACTATTAGCGATATCATTTTATGTGGGTAAAAAGGATCTTAATAGAATGAATAAAATCAATATTGACGTTAAAGAAAACAGGAAGAAATTGTTTTACAATCATTTAGTATACTAATTCATTAACCAATTTAGTATTTATTTTTCACTCTGTTTATACTGTGGAGTTTGCCCTAATTAATTGCCTTATTAAGTAAATATGAAGCAGCACAAAAAATATTGAATAGAATCTATATAGCCATAATGTTATTGCATCGTATCACTATATTTTATAAAGCTAGCAACCATTTTGTTATAGATTCGACTTCGAGAACCTTACTTTAGGAGTAGATTTTTACTTTTACTTGCAACAATATTTTGCAGAAGGAGGTGGAAAGAAAACAAAGAGTATAGTATATGGATGATATTATAGTAAAAATGTTGATGATAGCATAATGGAGTAATGTTAACTCCCACTTAACAAGCTAGTTTAAGTTTAAACTAACCAAGAGACAGTTTCTAATATTTTAAGTTCAATTCTGAAAGTTGTGAGTTATGATGAGAGAATTACAGATTTACATCAACAGTGTAAATACAAGAGGTAATTCAGATTTTCACCTGATAAGATGGATTAATTTTAAATTAATTAAGAATCTCCTTTATTAAATTCAATAGATTACTCATTTGAATTAACGTTGACATTTTAAATCTAAGAGTATGCTCCAGCAATATTTTAAGATATTAGAGTGAAAAATGGCATTACTTATGAATAATTTCAAAAATCATTACGACTAGATTATAATTAGGATCAAATCAAAAATACTTAAGAATCTCTAGGGAAAAGTGGATCATTCTTCTTCTATACTTATGATAATGCTTTTGTATTGAAGACAATTAAATAGTCAGAAATTAGGCTAATTTAAGAGAGTATGTTATTGTGTAAATTTTATAGTTTTGGAAGACTATTATAAATATATAGTTAACAATTAAACATTCCTGGCTAAATTTTATGGAATGTTTTCAATTAGCATAGAAGGCTTCTCTTAGATTCATTTATTACTTATGGAAAACATATTTTAACAAATACCTGATCAAAGAGTGGTTTATGATTTGAAAGGGAGTCTTGTGAATAGGAAATAAAGTGTCAAATGCAGTCAAGTTGTTGATCTTACTAGTTCTTATGCATAATATTTACCTTCACAAGGAGTTTTAAAGGATCAAAATTTCATTAAATCTACAGACATATTTATTGAGTTGAATTAATAAAATAGAGATGCTTTGTTTACAATTCTGAAGGAGGATATTGAATTCCTACTTAAAAACAATATCATGGACTATTCCTTGCTTATTGCTGTATGTAACTCTAAGATTTAAGACGAAAATCGCATATACTGTAATAGTATGAAATGCTATTGCTTTGGTCTAATAGATTATACATAGCAGTTCACTCTAACAAAGAAATTAGAGTCCTTTTACAAGTTTTATCTTAAAAGAAAGGGTTAACATATTTCATGTGTTGATCCTTAATTTTATAGTTAAAGATTTATTTCATTCATTAATAGTATAATAGCTATTAATGATTTTGCATGAATTATTAATTTTGTTTTTATATATATATATTTTAGGATTATCAATTTTCTTAAAATGACAACCATTAATAAAGCTACTTTAGGAGGAGGATGTTTTTGGTGTATAGAAGCTGTATTCAAGAGAATTAAAGGAGTTAACGAAGTCTACTCAGGATATGCTGGAGGTGCAAATAAAAATACTGCTAATTATAAAGATGTATGTAAAGGAAATAGTGGACATGCAGAGGTTGTATAAATCACTTACGATGAATCAAAACTTAAATATTATGATCTTCTAACTGTGTTTTTTAATTCTCATGATCCCACTACCTTAAATAGACAAGGCAATGATCAGGGACATTAATACAGATCAATTATTTTTTATCATAATGAACAATAAAGATTAATAGCAGTTGAGTTAATTAAGGAGCTAAGCAAATCGTATAAAAACCCTATCGTTACAGAATTAGTCCAATTTTAGGATTTTTATAAAGCAGAGAATTACCATTAGGATTATTATGATAATAATAAAAATGAAGGATATTGCAAAGTGGTGATTAAACCAAAGTTAGAAAAAATAGTCAAATTATTCAAGGACAAACTAAAGGAGGGAATTAAATGACAATAATAATATGTCTGAATTTTAAGATATTAATTATAATTATAAGGTTCTATAAATTACTTAATATAACAAATAATAGCAAATAAAAATTTAGTGAACATTCATTTCCAATAAGATTAGATATCTACGACAATTAGAGTCATATTATCTTTTTTATAGTTAGTATTTTTGGAGGCTGCTTTGTCCAAGAGATATTATGCTAATTAATCTATTTCCTTTCTATTCCAATTTTCAATCAATTGTTTTAACTCATCGTTTTTAATAATCTAATTAAGTTTATAATCTTACATCCCAGAAACCATCAGATGCCAAAATCAAGTATTTATCTTTTTAATCTATTTGATGTATTTTGATTTCAGGTATGGCAATCAAACCAGCTTGTATATGTTTTTTATCTCCAAATGCTCTGGTTACTGCTAATTCTCCATTAATCCTTGGGATAGAACTAAAATTAGTAGATGAGAATACTGTCTGTCTAGAATAGTTGCCATTTGTTCCACACGTTTGAGTTCATCTTCTCTATTAAGTTTATGCTCAAGATTCAATTTCTTAATTTCACAATCCTCATTGATTAAAACGCAAGCAGAATCCCCCAAATTGACAATATAGAGATCTTTATGCCTATTTATAACACAAATTGCAGTAGAACCCCCTTGCAACTGGTTTTCTTATTGACAATCAAGGATGTATTGATTCATTTTCTCAAAACTATTTATAATTGCCTTCTCCAAATTATCACTGAAATTGTTTTCCTCTTATAAGTATTTATGTAGATTATTTTCGAGAATAGTAGACACAGAATGACCGGCATGACCATCATAGACTGCATAAAAGAATTATGCCTCTTTGTTTTGATTAAGATTGGGAATGGCAACAAACTTAAATTAAGAAGATTTAGTACTCTGTCTTCTTGATACTTCCTACCACACTTAAGTTGAGCCACATCAGCAACTGTCTTTCCATTATGTGAAAATTGTAATGACTAATCTCTAACTATGAATAAATTGAATAATACATGGGTTCATGGAAAAATATGTCTGTTTGTTACTTCCAACCATCAGAAGAGTGAGTGCTTTCAGGTTAAACATCAGCGATTGCAACATTTAACTACAACTTTGGCTTGGGTTTCTTTTGGTAATTCATAATAGTAATAAAAATTATTGTATTACATGATATAAACAAATTTGTAATGATTATATTTGATAAAATTTATATATCAACTTTAACTTATTCTAACTTTTCTTTCGTGATTCTCATCTTCTACTTGGTTGAATCTATCCTCAACCATCTCCTCTAATTAACTGACTAATTGTAGTTCGTTTCTTCTGGCTTGAGTGGCAAAGTTATATTCATTCTAGAAGGTTGCACATAAAGCAGTTGCTTAATCCCAAAGTTATTAATTTCTTTAGAGTTTTCCTGAAGCAGTCTAGGCGATGGCAGAATTAGTTCCAATGCATTACACCAAATGGTCTAATTTATCTTATAATCTTTCAGCTTAGACATTAAGTCTGGCAAGAGTTTGGCCAATTCTTTCCTTTTGATCGTTGAAGGCAGCAATTGATTAAGCATTTGAATCAGCATATTCATTGTAGGCTTCATGAATATTTTATTTCAAAGTTTCTAACAATTGAGCAACTCTTTCAAGGGAAGTCTCGTCGAAATCCTTAGAGGATGCCAATTAAGCAAAGGCATAAAGGATTGGAGCAAATCTTGCAGTTTCCTTGATGCTGAATGATGTTTAGAGCATAACCTTTGAGACTCTGCTGATTTCAGCAAAACTTCCTGATCCACTATAGATAGCAGCCAAGATGTCTGAAGCTTCATCGATAGCATGAAGAGCGTCTTCATAATCTCTTCCTCTCTTCTTGAAGTAGCTTGCTTCTTATTCAGCAGCAGTCATGACCATATTCAAGTGCTTCTCTGCTGTGAATGTTTATTGTTAATTAACTTCTTATTAATTGGTGGCTCTGATTTTTGATGTTTAACAAACATTCAACTAAGCTGAGGAATCTCTAAGGATGTTCTTGGCATCTTAGACCTCCTTGCTTCTGAATTCATCCTCAGATTCACATTCTCTCACTTAAATTTAGTATATTTCATCATGATTCACTTATTCGAAATTTACTGAATCCCTGAAATCTCTCAAAACATTCAAGATGGCATCTAATGGAGCCTTAGTTTGAATCTTAGCTTCCACTTCAGCCATAACTGATGTAATGGATCTCTTTTTGGAGTAATCAAACCTATTCTTGGATGCACCAGCAGAGGCAACACTCAGGAGTAAAACCACTAAAAGAACTGTTCTCATTAATAATAATAATGCTTAAAACCTTTTTGCTATATCGTTTTTAAATCTGTTAAATCACTTATTCAAAAATCTACAACTTCTGTTAGTTTACTAAAATAGAATTGAACATAATTTAAAAATCAATGGTTTGATTTTAATGAGAATTTATAATTGTTCAGCTATTAATTTTATCACTCCAAAATACAAGAATTCAGACTTAGTAATCTCCCAAATCCATCAATTCAACTTATCTATTTGAATTATTCATCTGAACTACTAATTCCTTAAATTTTAATTACTGAATTATCTAGTATAGTTCTGATCCCTCAATGCGCAAGGAAATCTCTTGATTCTCACTGTTAATTAGAAAAACTACAACATTATTAGGAAATCTGTATCAATTGTAAAATTCATATATTATAAAGATTACTTGAAATTATATATTGTAATATATTTATATTTTATTTCATCTTGTAAAAAGTTTCCCTTGCGAACTACTATTAATTAACTAAATTACTGTTTTCTGTAAAGCTGATATATTCCTGTTTAAGCCATGCAAAAATTACAAAGAACTAAATTATAAACTCTTGGTCTAATAATAAAGCACCATCTATTATATATATTTCTTAATAGTCTATACCTTGTAAACAATAATCCAGTCAAGGTAATTACGCATTGCTACAGAGTGTTAACTTATTCAACTGGCTTGCGCATGTCTCCAATATTGGCAATAGAAATTCCCCATTTGGCTAATGGAGTCCAGAAAAAGATTGTGAAAGGACCTTTTTCGCTCATCATGAATTTCTTCATAAAAGCAGGCCAGAAATTCCATGCACAAATATATTGCTATAACTTTGGCACAATTCCAAACATATGATTCAAATAAAAATATAAATACACTAAAAGTTTACTATGATATATATAATAATTCATATTATTAATTTTTTACATATAACTTGATATATGTAATTTTACACTTTTTTAGACAAAGAAAATCAATAAACTCATTATAAAAAAGTAATTAATAAGACAGACTCATTTGAATTGAAAGTACTTCACATTCTCAATGAATCTTACTCTGTAATTTAGAGGATATTTGAAGAAGATTTATAATTATTAGATTCTAATTTCACTATTCTTTGATATTTTAATACTAAAATGATTTTATAATTTTTAATTAAATTTTTTTCATCTTCATCATATATTAAATTTGCTTAAAATTACTAATTAATTTTTTGTCAATCATAATACTTTTTGTTTCCTTTTTTAGCCATTGTAATATAAATATGCTAAATTTTAGAATTGTTCTCTTATTAAATTAAGTTATTATCCAAAACAAAATAATCAAATTAATAAGATTGTTTAGGCTACTATTAAGAATGTTGATAAGATTAAAATTTAACGAAATTAAGCTAAACATTAGCATGATGCTATACATCTACAAATATTTTTGAACATTTTTATTTTTTCATTACATCAAGTTTTTCACAAATTCTTTTTCTTATAATCTCTTTGTACATTAGGTAGTTAACATCATTGACGTGAAACTTATTGAAATTTAATAAATATTATCTTTCCATTCCATTTATATAAAATTCATGAGGGTTTTATGAGTTTAATTTAATATAATTAATAGTTTTAATTGAAGGTAAATAAAGTGTGATAATCAACATCAATATAAACATAGAATTTTTATCCATCAATAAGTTGTAGTTTTTTTCAGATCTCTTAATTCTTATTTTTTGTAATCTTTGTATATGATAATATTCATAGTATTCATAGTTTTTATGTATAAATATAGGTTAACTCTTTTCAAAAATCTTTAATCACTAATTAATTGAGTTTAAATTAAATAGCATCAAAATGTACAACTCATTCACCTTTTTGTAAGTGTTTAAGACATTGTTATCTAAAAGTTGTCAGGCATTATTGAAAATAATGACTTTTCTAGCATTACAACAATTAAGTAAAATTAGATGAAGAAAATGTAACTTAAATTTTTAAACATTAAATATGAAGTAATTTTAGTGCTGATAAATCGTTAAATGTGAAGAGAATTTAGATAGTTATGTTTATGAATCAGCATTCATAAAATCTAGAGGTTATTTTGAGGATTTGAAATAATTTTATTAATTAATGATCTGAAATAAAGTGTCTGAAATAATAGGAAAATAATGGAAATATTATAATTACAATAATACTTTTGGTTGCTTATTAATCTGTTGTACAAATTTGGCGAATTCAAATAAGCCTTTGTAAAGGTTTTATTTAGTAATAACGAAACTAAGATTTTAATTTAATCACATATATAGGAAGGCAACAAATCTTTTATTTTTAATTAACAATCAAAATATCAATTTATAATGTGAAAAACATGAATTCTTACAACAAAATTGATTCTTCTATCCAACATTATGCTAATTTAATGATGGGGGTACCTTTAGTTATGCAGTTTAAGGGAATCCTTTCGAATGCTTAAATGAATATATTTTTTTTAAGTTTTCTTTTTTTTTTACTCTTCAAAATAGGAATGAAACAATACTCTTGCTCAGCCTTATATATTGGTGTTGATGGCGAAAGTCAACAAGTAACCATTATCTCAAATTCTGGCTCTTTGTTAATAAAAGTAAGCATTTTATTGAAAATTTAAAAGACTGTTCCAAATGACTAATAGATGGTGTATTTGCCAGCTGGTTCAATGGACACAATACTGTACTTTGGTAAAGAAATCACTGAAAGTATATTTATCGTATATTCGTAGATCAAGAGATGTATACACTGGACCTGGAGAATCCTGAAACACAAATTAAAGTGTCTTTTCTGTTGAGTTAAAAGGATAGTTAAGAACTTTAAAACCAATTGAGAGGAAAGCAAGTGTTCTATCGTTCTTCAAATCCTCGAATATTGGCTTAAATAGCCCCAGGAATCTGTAAAATAAGATACTTATATTAGAACTGATTCAAACACAAGACAAAGTAATGATCGAAAAAATAGCCACCTTCCCAAAAACTATGCAAGATGCTGCCTCTATTAGCCGACTTGTAAGAAATTTTATATAATTGTAAGGGTTAATTGAAGCAAGAAGCTGATATCCTCTCCCTATTGAAAGAGCATGAACATTAAAATATAATTAAATTGGAAGAAATCGTGACCGACAATGAATATGTGTCTATCATTTTGGAGAATTGCTAAGGAGGAGATCTCTTAAAATTACTGAATAAGAAAACTAATAAAATAGATATTCCTCTGGTTATGGTAAACTTACTTTAAGGTACTCAATTGTCCTAATAATTAACTAGGTTTAAAACACCTTCATGATCTAAACATCGTCCATCGAGATATCAAGCTTCAGAACATATTGTTTTTAGATACCTAAGATGGCAATACTTTAAAAATTGCTGATTTCGGTCTTTCCTGCTTGAAATAATAAATTCCGTATTACAACCCAAGGTATGAATATATCTAAAATTTTAATAGATGTGGAACTCCTGGATACACTGCTCCAGAAGTATTTGCTCAATAATGCATATATGACGAAAAAGTAGACATCTATAGTGCTGGAATCATTTTATATAATATGTACATATTCTAATTATATATTTTTAGGCTAACTCTTAAAAACCCTTTCGGTAATTCAAAAAACATGCAAGACATAATCAAAAGAAATATAAGTGGACTCTACGATGAAAATCACTTGGCAAGTGTGAAAATAAACAACCCGCTCGGATATGATCTACTTATTAGGATGCTTTAGAAGGATGCTCGTAACCGTCCTAGTGCTAGAGAATGTTTGGCACATCCCTTCTTAAATTAAGAAAATATAGTAATTGAGGATGATGAAAATTCGATAAAAAATCAAGCTTAGAAGGGAATTCAAACAACAAAACGAGTAAAGATTTGAATATTGTGAATACTATCATTTATTCTCTTAAAATTTCTTAGGATCTGATTCATCTTCATCATCTTTCAACATCTTTCAACAATCTTCTACATACCCAATGCTAGGGAGAATTGATTTTTACCCAAACCCATACAATTGTTCTGTTTTGGAATTTTTTTTGTTTTATTATTATTCACCATATGATTAATAAGTTTATTAGAACATTCTTTAAATAAAATCAAGTTTTTATTACTATTTAATTAAATATAAATATTAGAAACAATTTATATTAAAAATAATAAATAATTACCATTAATTAATATATATTTCTTTATTGTTTTTAATACATAGCTATTTTCTATTAAAGTACAATTCAATCAACTTTTAGTTTTGAATACTAATTAATATTTGTGATAATTATCATACATAATTGCATTTACGAAAAGTATCGAAGGAGGCTAATCTTAAATCTGATTAAACTTTTTCATATATTTTCATATACTTGAACTTCATAATTATACTTTAATTATTCATTAGATTAGGTTTCAATTGATTCCAAATTTTTAAATAAAGAATCAATAATTTTTAGTAAAGTCTTATATTTCTTGTTACTGATGTTCAGATTAGATATGACACTCTATTTCATTATTTAGTTCCTTTCTGTAGTTTTCTTTAAACAGATTCCTTTTAGTTGAAGATGGTTCAATGTTATTTTTGGGATAACTTGTAATATCCTTTATTCTCTAGGTATGATTACCTCCCATCAAAAAAGATATTGTAATTCTCCCTTAGATGACCATTGATTTTCTTTCTACATTTTTATTAATTCCATCCTATTAAAGCAATGATCCGAAATACAATGTGATTCTTTGTGAGATGATGTATGTCTAATTTCAATCCGAGGTCTAAATATAGGATGATTATTTTGTCAGATATTCATTAGTAAATTGTTATATCATGCGTGAATATATATAATATGTATATTAAATAATCTATTTGTTTCTTAGAATATATCATAATTAGAACATTATCAATGGAAGCACGAGCAGGATCTACGCAAAAGTGTCTGTTGAGACATTGTTTGTGCTATTAGTATTGTTGGGTGGGGTAACAACAGATTTACATTTTTCACATAAGTTCGAGGCACTATTCCAAGTATACGTATAGAGACTAGAATCGAAACAAGTGGAAGCTGACAACGAAGTCGAATCACCAACGACACAACCAGAAGCAGTTGTTACACAAATAGTGATTGACTTTTCATCAAAACTATATACTGGTTTACAGATTTATCCATTAGCTACAGTTGCACATGTATGACTAATGCAAGTTGTTGTATTTTGAGTTGAGGTCAAAAATTGGCAGGTGTTGAATTTGGATTTGCAAGCTACGACATCAGAATTGGCTTATTCGCAAGAAGTCATTAAAGTACATGTTCCACTGTTGGCATCATTTTTAGATGGTGTGAAGACACAGATTCCATCTACTCCACCTGAATTACAAGCAATTTTGGTTTTGTAAGTAGCACATTCACCCTTAGTAATGCAATTGGTTCCATTTGAGATGCATGATGCATTCCTTAGTTTGCAAGTTTCTGATGTTACATCATTGAAATCGGAGCAAACCTTAACTCTGCATGATTTGACACCTTACACTTATCCTGATGGGAACGTGTATATGCACTCTCCATCTGTACCATAGTAGCACCCTTATTCTTTGTATGAACTGCATAGACCCATTTGGACACAATTGGTTCCATTTGTTGTACATTATGTGTCTGCCTAGAATGCATTACATTTTGAATGACTAGTGATTTCGATGGCTGTTGCTACTGTAGCATCAGTGCATTTTCTCAAATTACATTTAGCACTTGACCAGATGCACACTCCATCAGTGCCACCAGCACCGCAACTGATTTCTGTAATGTAACCTTAACAAGTAGATTTCTCGATGCAAGCAACCCCATCAGAGATACACAAGGTTGAGAATTGTTGACAGAGGTCTTTAGTAGTTCCAGTGGCATCGCTACATTTTGTGAATTATGTGCAATGGGCAGCACTATTTAGTGTGGCAGCTACCCATCCACATTACCCATTGGTGCCAATTTAGCAACTAGTTGGATTTGTATATTTAGCACATGGAGCAATAGCAATACAATTATTTCCATTGCTTGTACAATTTTTGGAATATTTATTGCATTATGAATATGATAGTCCACTTATGTCAGTGCATTTAGAGTATGTAATGCATTGAGATTAGAACCATAAACAAGTATTTCCCTTATAATCGATAGTACATTTTTCTTTAATCAACACCTCCTCGCATTTGTATTGAACATTAATGCATCCTTTGCCGTTGGTCACACAATTGCTCAAGAATTCTTAGCACTTGGTGTCAGTGGTGAGTTGTTTACTTGCATCAGAACAATCTAATGATCGACAGTAAGTCTTATTCCAAACACACATGCCTCCTTTGTCAGTAGTTTTGGCTGCAGAACAAATGGCAGCTGTAGTGTAGGATGAACAGGCACCAATAGTAATGCACCCTTTGCCTTTACTTGTACACAACTTGTAGAGTTAATTGCAATCTTCATGAGTGGTCAAACTCTCTGAAGCATCTTCGCATTTCCAATTTCTACAAAGTCCAACATTGGTTGTTTTGTTAATTTCCCATGCACACATACCGATTGCAGTACTGACAGGAGTGTTAACGCAAACTGATTAGGATTTGAGAGCACTGCATTCAGTTTGTAAGTCTCTGCAATTTCCAACATAACCACATGTAGTTTTACTTTTACAAGCTTTTTCAGTTTGGACATCTTCACATTAGACACTAGCAACACAACCAAATCCATTAGTTACACATCCTTCCTTAAATGTGTTGCATAGTTCATCAGTGTCATAGTTGTTGGGAGCTTCATTACATTACACAGCAACACAAGATGAGATGGTCGTTGAAGTTGTCCCTTTGCATGGTTTATCAGTAGCCGAGAACATTGCGCATGATTTGATAGTACCTTAGAAGGATGAACATGGTTATGGGGATACACAACCTTATCCTTTGGTCACACATCCTTTAAGAAAATCATCACACTCTTAATCAGTGGTAGCACTTAGATTGTGAGTGCAAACTCTATTGACACAAGCAATCAAGGGTGTAGCTGTACTAGAGTTCCAACATTATCTAGTTCCATTTTCTCCCTTGAACTTACTGCATTCTGCTTGTGTTCCTGTATATTGAGTACATTTTGCTGTTGCCTCTATGCATCCCCTGCCTTTGGTAACACATCCAACTTGAAATTCTAAGCATGAATCATCAGTGTTCGATGTAGTATCATCTGCACACAATCGATCTCTGCATTGTTGAGTAGCAGTGGCAGCACTTGTATTCCAGCACTTTTTGGAATTGCCTGTGAATTAAGAACAAGTCGATTAATTCCCAATATAACTTGTACAAGGTTCTGTTTTTGCAATACATCCTTTGCCTCTTGTTACACATCCAGCCATATATGTATTGCATTAAATATCATTAACACCATCCATGTTGTCATAACAGTTTTTGACTGTACAAGAACCAGTTGAATCTGCACCTTTGCATTTAATGGAATTTCCCACAAAGGTAAGACAACTTGATGTGGTTCCAATATATTATGCACAAGTGACTGTCGAATCCACACAACCTTTACCAGAAGTTCTGCATCCTGTTAAAAAGGCCTCGCATTCTTGATCTGTCATTGCAGTAGTATTGTGAGTGCATTGTCTCACCACACAAGTTCCCTAACCATAGGCTAACCAACATCGTCCTCCAGAGGTTGTTTTCAGATTTTAACATTGTGAGGCGGCAACATTTGTGTATTAGGAACAACTATCTTGCATAGTATAACAACTAACACCATCATATGTGCAAGTTGATAAGTGATCAGCACAAGTACTATAAGTGGGATTTATGACACTATTGGCACAGTTTCTATTTTCACAAGCACCAACAGAAGACGAGGATTTCCAGCATTTTACTCCAGAAGATGTAGTTGTACTTTAACAAGCACTTTGAGTGAAACTGGTGTATTAAGTACAACTAGCTAAACTATCGACACAAATTTGTCCATTGAATCTGCAACTGGAGAGATGTGTAACACAAGTTTAACCACTTGCATTATCAACTGTATTACTACATGACCTTGTAGTGCATTATTGAGGTACACTGAATGGAATCCAACAAAATCCACCAGATGCAGTAGTTACTGATTTACAAGCCTCAGATGAGAACCCAGTATATTGACTACAATCATTCTGTTGACTCACACATGAGGTACCATTGTATCTACATGTGGATATGTGTTAAACACATTTTGTAGCTGAATACGTCAGTAACACATTAGTGCATACTCTGCTTTCACATGTTCCAACATCAGCAGTTGTTTTCCAACATTAAGTGACTCCATCAGCTAAGGTGGTTTCTCTGCATGCATTTTAAGTAAATGATGTATATAAATTGCAAGCATTTTGTGCATCTGTACACGATGTTCCATCATATCTACATGACGCTTTGTGTGCAGCACAATTAATTAGATTGGGTGCAGTTACTGTGTTACTACATTGCCTGACTTGACAAGTGGTCGAATTTACTTCTTCTTACCAACAGAACTCAGATGAATTTGTCGTAGCTATTTTACATGCAGCCACACTAAAATTAGTATATGAAGTGCAAGAAGCCTATTTAGCAACACATTGAGTTCCATCATACACACATGTACCTAGATAAAATGAACAGAACTCTGCAGAAAATGTATTGGGAGCAATCAATTAAGCAGTAATAGCTGAGCATGTTCTAGCTTAGCAATTATCAGTAGTAGTTGATTTGTTCCAGCAATATTATGAACTGGTAGTCACTGCACTCCTACATGCCACAGACGTAAAATTAGTATATAAATCACATGTTGCTTACTTCTCAACACAGTAGGCCCCAGTAAATACACAACCAGTTAGAAATTAATCACATTCAACCTGATTGTTTGCTGGTCCCTTTTAGGAACAGGTTCTTGTCTAACAGGCACCACTACCACTAGCTAGATAGCATAGTCCTCCTGATACTGTGGTAATCTACTGACAGATTGTATAATTTAGATTGTATGATGAGCAGGATGTTTCTGCATCAATACATAAAGTACCATTAAATCTACATGTTGATAAATAATTAGTGCAAGCACTATTGTTGGCTGGTTAGGAAACATCAATACATTTTCTATTCTAGCAATTATTTTTACGGACACAGGGTTGCAAGTTCCCTTTGAATATTTAGCATTGATCTTCATTCCCTTAATAAGATGTACATAACTCAGTATTTTCCATGCATCCAATACCTTTGGTAACGCAGCCTGCCAGAAATTAATTGCAAGCCTCATCAGTCGTGGATATAGTGTCTAATGAACACTGCTTATCAACGCAAAAAGAACCACCATTCCACCAACATCTTTTATTATTCCCCTTGAATCCTTAGCAGTCTGAAGTACTACTTCCTGGGTAAGATGTGCATGGTTCAGTTTTAAGAATGCATCCTGTTCCTTTAGTAAGACAATTGCTCAAAAATTGATTGCATTGGACATCGTCAGTTGCTGTTGTATTGTCACTGCACTACAGATTCCTGCAATTGGCTGTCACTCCAGTATCTTAATAACATTTAACTGTGCCATTCACTCCATTTTAAGTACTGCAAATCTCCTGATTCCCATAAAACTTGTTACACTCAGATGAACTATCAATGCATCCAACAGTGCCTTAGAATTTGCATCCAGTCATATGATCATCACATTAACTTTGAGCAGTCGCTGTTGTATTACTCACACATGTCACATCAATGCATGCAGCATTACTAACACTTGTACTAGTACATTTGATTCCATTCCCTTTGAAATTGATACAGGTATCCTTATTCCCAGTATATTGATTGCATGCAGCAGTAGATGATATACATCCTTATGAATTTGTAACACAATTCTCTAAGAAGCTGTTGCAATCCTCATCCTTAGTAAATGTTGTAGGAGCATCACTACACAGTCTCTGTCTACAAATACCACTGACCCATTAACATTTTACACCGCCATCAGCCAAATTATTACTACATAAACTTATGGTGTTATAAAATTGACAACTGGTCTTAGTAACACAGATTTAATTCCACTGGCATGAATTTGTACCTAAACAACTTATCTCTGCTATTGTTGATGTGCACACTGTCTTCTAAACACAACCACTGCCATTTGTTAGACATCCACTCTAAAATCCAGAACACTAATCATGACTTGTGAAGGTCGCCGGTGCATTCGAACAAATCTAAGCCTTACAAGCTGTTGCTGTATCTCCAACGCCATAACAATTCCCTTCAGTTCCTATAAGCTTGGCACAACTTATTGCTGTCCCACTGTAAGTAGTACAAGACTACCTATTACTGACACACCCTAAACCAGTTGTCACACATCCATATTAGTAATCTTTACAATCGGCATCCGTTTTCAAAGTATCCGGAGCCTCACTACACACTCGAACCTTGCATCCACTTGTCCCTATTGTGCACTTCCCATCACTTCCAATATAATGGTTACACTCATCTGCAGTCCCTGTATAGGTATTGCACAATTTCAATTGAATCACGCACCCTCTCCCATTTGTTATGCAAGTACTTAGATATTGCTAACACAACTCATCTGTATTATTGGTTTTGTTGGCATTCTCACATTTTCTCTCCTGACATTTATTAGATACATCTCCATCGCATCTACCCTCCGATCCTATCATCTATTAACAAACAGTAGCATCTCCGGTATAAGTACTGCAACTACTCAACGGATACTTTGAGCATCCTTTTCCTGTTGTCACACATCCCAATTGAAATTTTGCACATTATTCATTTGTTGTTAAATCTTATGATGCTGCTGTACATAGCTTTGGACTGCATCCGCTGCTTGTTTTCTCACAATAACCATCACTTCCTATCATATCGACGCAGGATTCCCCATAAGTAGAACACTCTCCTCTTTTCTCAACACAACCCTTCCCATTTGTAAGGCATCCTGGGTAAAATGCATTGCAATCACTATCTGTACTCAGAGTCGTGTTCGCTTCTATGCATTTCAGGTCTCGGCATTTCGAATCTTCCCATTTGCACCTACGACCTTATGCGTTAATATTTGAATTGCAAAGTCCCTAGTCAGTGTAATCACTACAATTTAAAGGGTCGATGCATTAAGTTCCATCAGATGTGCATTATTGAGATATCTATTAACAGGCTTCATTTGAAATTCCACTGAATGCAGAACATCCACTAAATTGTTCACAACTCCCAGAATTCTATGCACAACCCTTCTATTGTTAGCAACTAGTCACGTCCAAAGCACTGCAATACACACTTACAGTTTCATCACTTTATTGATCCTCATTTTTAACACATTTCTCATCTTTCCATAGACAACTATCCTAAACGCAGTCGGATTTGGATTTTATTTGTTCACAACTACATTAATCACTTATTGACACCGTGGCACCTTAATTATAAGTAATCAACAAAAACAGCAAAGTCAATCTTATCATTATTATATAAATATATATAATTTATATTCAAAATTTTCTTTAATTTTTTTAATGTATCAATCATGATACTTTTTGTATATATATATTTTATTAACTAATTGTTCTACCATCACATTTACTATTTCATCTCACTCACCCTATTGGTTTCAAACTCAATCAAATCTAAGCTGGAAATTTATTGATTGACAATCCATTTTTCTTACTCTCCTCAATACTACTACGGATGTATGAATTCATTTACACAGAAAAAACTGTTTAACCGATTCTTTACATTATTTAATTAATGGGATTTCATTAACACTTATTAATATCAATAAAATGAACAAATTAATTGAAAAAAAAGAGAGCAAATCTCTTGATTTCTATGTTGTATTGAAAAACTTAGAGTACCTAAAAGATCACTTGGTTATTTTAGAAAAGAAAATTAACAGAAAAAAAATTAAGATTGATGATGACCTAGAAAAAACGATACTAATTTGTAATTCAGATTAAGAAGATTGAAATCCATTCAAAAATCTACATCTCTCTCTCATGATTTTAAATTCATTTTTCCATTTTAACTAAAATACAATCTATTTCCCATTTAACTTCTATTAACATGATTAATGACATCAAATTCAATAATATATTTTCATTTACACCCTTCTAGAATTAGAATTTCACAATTGAAACCTATTGTTTACTTCATTCGAACTTTTGTCACACTTATATTTACTGAATAATCCTTATGGAATTATTATCACGAAATGAGAAGCCTATGGACAAGTACAAGCACATCGTCTTCATATGCTCACTTATAAATAATGTATTGTATGCATCAATGCTACCTACATGGCCAAAATAATGAAAAAATTATAGCAACTCTTGAATTAAGTGTATTACTTATCTAAATTTAATTCGAAATTAAACATCTCAATTAGTCATTTATTTGCATAAAATATTTATTTGAGATGGCGGAATGCGAAGCTTAACCCCTTGAAGACATTTATTAGGAACATTGTGATCATAATTTTGATAGCGCAGATAAAATTGTCACCTTCATATTGAGGTTGATAGTATTGGCAATTTCTATTTACTCAAGTGTTTTAGTTCTATTGATAATCAAAAATAGTTAAAAAAAATAATTTTGGCCGTTTAAGTTAATAATTTGTTAAGTTTTATCTGAATGCGTCGACCTCCTGTTGGCTTTAATTTTTACCATTAATAGTTCATGCTGGCCAAAGGCTTGCAAAATAATTGGATATTTCATGCATTCTAATTGGCTAGCCTCTTTGATATTTATGCTATTCTAATGCCTAATTTATTTTGTTTTGATTCGAGTAAAATTTGCATCTAATTGATAGTCAGAATTTTTATTCAACCTTATAATGAAGTATCTCTACATCATATTGGCTATACTCTATCTAATACCACATGGATTTCTACTTAGAGTATTACTTGATGGTGGTTTCGGTCCTTCAGGATGGTACTTATTAAATGGAGAATTCAATTTTATTTTTTGCGGATGTAGAATTGTATTTAAATTTAGTTATTAATCATTAAATAGTTGGATTTTGGATCGTCCCAGTTTCAACTCTCTTTTTTTTTTCAATATTATTTTCAGTTTTTGTAAGCTACTTAACTAAAATAGAATTGTATTTATTGGCATCGGCTGTAAAATAAAAAAGAATTGAGATATCCTGCCTTAAGGATTCAGTCAATCCTTCTATTCCCCTTAGTTTACTTCTTGGCTTGGCTTATCAATTTCTTAATCAGGTAAGTACAGAATAAATCATTTTAGATTGCATGACACAGATTCTAGCGAGTAAAACTATTGCCCTCAAGATAAGATGAACTTCTTTTTCTACATATTTTATTAAGTCTTAAACTTAGGATTTGAATTGCACTTGACTCTTGGGGCAATTCTATTTTTTTATATTTATAAGTAAATTTCTATTAATGGTTTAAAGAGGACTATTTGGGATGACTTCATTATGTGACTGGATTTGTTTAAGAAAGAGAAAATAGGGTAAACAAAAAAAGAAATTAATTTATTAAGATCAATCAATTTAGGCCATTTAATTAAAATGATCATTATAATCTTAATACTTAATTATAATAGTGGTTATTTACAATTATTTACTAATGTTCCAATCCCTAATATTTAACCAATACTTTATATATATTTCTATTCAATATTAAATATTTTTTGATATGGATAATCTAATAAAAACCAATTTAAATTTTAGTATAATTATTGATCAAAATAGATCAAATCTTCATTCCCTAACAATATAATCTTCTCATGAGAAGTATATTGAATTGTTTAGTGGTAAGGATGTTCTAAATATTCAAAAATGCTGTATTAAGAAAGAGCCAATTTAATGTCATTTAATATTAGAGTAACATATTAATGGCAGTGAGAGGAAAGGAGCTCATTTCTACTTTAATTGTGGTTTGATTTTGATCAAAAGGAGCACAATTATATTATTATATGTTTTTTATTCAGAATTTAATGAATTCTGATTGCATTCATTTAAAAAACCTAAATGAGGGAGTGTTATTACGTGATTAATATTTGTTTGGTCAGTAGCAAGAGGTATTTAAATAAAAATTTACTATTATATTCTGATTATAATAATAATCATTTTTAATATTATGGCCTCTTCTATGGCAAATAAGAAGGAAACTTTTGATTGGCTTGTTAAAATTCTATTGATAGGGGATTCTGGTGTTGGGAAAACGAATGTGCTATTACGATTTTGTGAAAATAATTTCCAGCCATCATACTTATCAACAATTGGAATAGATTTCAAAATAAAATCGATCGATGTTGAAGGAAAGAAAATAAAGATGCAAATATGGGATACTGCAGGATAAGAGAGATTTAAGACGATTACTCAAACTTATTATAAAGGAGCTATGGGGATCATCCTCGTATATTCTGTAGAAGACAGAGAATCATTTAACAATATTTCTAATTGGATGAATCAAATTAAGTAACATGCAAGTGAAAATGTATGTAAATTACTAATAGGTTTATATTTTAATTTTATTCATTTACCCTAGGAAACAAAATTGATGTGCCAAATAGAAAAGTCTCTAAAGAAGAAGGAGAATCATTAGCTAAACAGTTTGGAGTCCCTTTTTTTGAAACTTCAGCAAAGGAAGGTACATAAGTGTCAGATGCCTTTTATGCAATTGCCAAAGCAGTCAAAGCAAATCTATAAAATGAAAAATCACCCAATCCAAGTGTTCCTTCGAGTGGAAATTCAAAATTAAAATCAAATAATCCTGCTGCAGATGAAAAAAAGAATGGTGTATGTTGCTGATCTGAATAACAATTAAACAACAATATATATTTTTCATCTTTTTAACTGTATCAATTTTATTGTTAATTACAATTATCTTTAAAATTTCTACTTAACATTATAATCACATTATGCGAATTATATATATAATGTGAGAGACTATTTTTAGATCTAAATGTAAATAATATCATTAATTATTCTTTTTAAGTAAATCCTCTATTTATATGATGAAACCAATTTTATAACTAGAATACGAATCTCAAGCTGCATCCTCCTTCATCCTAGTATTCTCGCGAATTCTTGGAGAAGAAAGGGAAAATGAATACAGAGATGATCATGATGAGGAAGACAGCCCAACCCACAAGGCCATAATAATAATTATAGCCCTATGCATTGGATTAGCAGTACTTGGGATATCATCGTGTTTGATTAGATATTTTTATTTGAGACATAAATAAAGAACAATGGCACAGGTGAGACAACAGTCAGAGGCTGCTTATTAATAACAGAATGTGTAATTAGAGTCTCTCTGCTTATAAACCTAGGAACTAGCTTAATGTCCAATTTGTTTAATGCCCATTCCTACTCTCTTATAGCTAATAACTCCTTGTCATCACTCGTTCCATAAGGCATGTCTGGAATTATGGCTTCTAAATGAAAAAATCTGTCCTTCTTGCAGAACTTCTCTAAATTTATGAAATTAACACAAAAAAAATAAAATATTACAAAATTATAATTTTAATTAAAGAATTTATAAGTATCTTGGGTTGTACTTAACTTAAGTTACAAAATCTTTGAAAAGTTTTTCTGTGATTGAAATAAATTATATATAAATGTATATCATAAAAATAATTTATAATGCTGATATACTTATTTTAAATTACTCTATCGATTGGAAAGGTTGCTTAATATGTATTGATTAGTTATTCCTACACTTCTTAAATAGAGTATTGCAAAGATGAAAATTATTAAAATTTAAGCGTTTAGAATTCATCTTTGGTATAAAATTAATGTAATAATTAAAAATCAATTGGGTATTTAGATATGCAGCATTTGTGAAATAAAATGATGTATATTTTATATTATTTATAAATATTAAATGAATAATTCTCAAAAAAGCAAATCTGTTCGATCTGGTTCTGCAAGGGTGAGATCAGCTATTGAAAGAGCTGGTTTGCTCCAACAAAGAGAACAATTACGTGAGATGCTTATAAGCAAATTTAGCAAAGATTATGCTCAGGGAAATAAAAACAAAGAACTTCTAATATAATAAATAGTTAATGAATACTTTACAAATGAGCAAGTAATCAACATCTATTAAGTTAGGTTACAGAAAGCTCTCTAAAACAATTGAAAGCAAGAGTAATTGAAGCTGTTCAAAAATAGAAGGCTCAGAGTCAGACATAGCATGTATCCTAGAATAATAATAATTCTCATTTTGACAATAAAAGTGAGTAGAAATCATAAATTCCTCGACCTCAGTCAGTCAGAAATTCAGCTAAATCGGAAGTTGATCAAGATTAGTATTCTGTAACTTCTTCTCAATTTGAAAAACAACCGAAATCTGTATATGTAGTAGACGAGGAGGATGAATGGGCTGCATTAGTTAAATTTGATACAGAACTATATACTAAAGAGTAGCAACTTGAGTAATAGAGATAGGCTGAGTTTAAGAAGAAGATGAAGACAGAATTAGATAGACAGTTGACAGAGAAGAAGAGGAGGTTGGAAATGGAGAAGAAACAAGAAGAAGCTTATGTCAAATTAAGAGATTATCAGATGAATGTTTATGATTAAAGAGAAGAGCAAAAGAAGAGAGAGATTGCATAGAAATAATAAATAGAGAAAGAATAAAGAGATAGGTAAGTTAGAGAAGAAGAAAAAAGGAAGTATTTGGAGAAAAAGAAATAGTCAGAATTAGATGCCATTTTAGTTTAAAGAATTCAGGAAGAATTAAAGTAGGAATAAAGAGAAACATTATAAAAGAAAGAAATGGAAAAAAGAAAGTTCATTGAAATGATGGAAGAAAATGAAAAAAACAGATGCAAATAAATCTAAGATGAATAAACTGATAAACAATTGGAAGTTGACATGCAAAGGAAGTATATCTAATTACAATAAAAGTTGGAAGAGGAGCGAGAAATGGAGAAAAAAGAAAGAGAAGACAAAATCAAAAAGATAATGAGTGATTTTTCATAGACTGTCGTAAAGAATCAGAAAGATTAAATAAAGTATGAAAATGCATAAACAATAGGGCTGAAGACGATAAAATGATGAAAGCTATATTAATGCAAAACGAGATTGAATAATAAGATGAAGAGATGAAGAAGAGACAAATCAAATCATAATAGTTGGAGATGAGAAAATACTTAATAAAGTAGATGGAGGATAAGAAGTAACCATATCATTATGACTTTAGATAGAAGCTGAAAGAAGAAGAAGAATTAAATAAGAAACAAGCCTAAGTTTGGCAACAGGACCTATAGACATTCCAAAAACATGAAAAATCTAAATATGATTACATAAAGGATGTGAATGTGAAGCATCAGGAGATCTTGAAGTAACAAATGGATGAGAAGAAGTCATAGCAAAGGCCAAGGAACAAAATGAACAACGAAGAATTAATGCATAATAAACCTTTACTGAAGGAATTGGCTGACAAACAAGATTCTATTAAGGTGAGGAAAATTAATATAGGATGAGAATATTATTGATATAGATTATATATTAAGTATTTAAATGTGATTACAAATCTATAAATTAAATTATCAATAAATGACTCATAGTTATGGTTTGAAGAAGGGCACAAGAAGCAAATTTGCAAAACCTTTTAGAGGACATGGAAACATCTCAATTCGTAAGACCCTTCAAACTTTCAGAAGAGGTAAGAATTACATGCAATTAAATTCAAGGTGATTTTGTCGATATTTTGGTTGATGGTGCTTAACACAAGGGAGTTCCATTTTAATATTATCATGGCAGAACTGCAAGAGTATTCAATGTCAATCCAAGAGGAATTGGTGTCTCATTATAAAGAAGAGTCAGAGGAAGATATGTGGAGAAGCGATTCCATGTTAGAGCTGATCATTTGAGACCATCAAAATGCAGATAAGAATTTGTTAAAAGAGTTCAAGAGAATGACAAAAAGAAGACTGAAGCCAAGAAAAATAAATAAGTCATTTCAACCAAAAGATAACCAGTATAACCAAGAGGAGCTGCTGTTGTCATACCAAAATAAACAACCTTCTAACACCCAAAGGCTTTTGTAGAAATTATTTGATAAATAAATCAGTATATTAAATAAACAAAATAGAGAAATTCTATAATTTGGTATTATATGATTATGCTTATTTTTACTTGATACATCACAATCATTTTTCTTATTACTATTATTAAGGTCCATCAAAGTCATCTTCGTCCTCCTTTCTTCTATAATAATATGTCTCAAGATTTCTTTTGTTGATCTATAAGAAAGTATAAACAACGACATTACCTTCTTCAACTTTTCAGGTGGGAAGATTCTCAATAATCTCCAAGCCAAATCCAATGATTTGAATATAGATCTGACTTCATATGCTCCTTAACTGATGAAATTATTTTCGAATTTCTTCAAAAACTCTAAATACAAAAGATCTTCAGCAGACAAGGCTTCTTCTCCTACGACTGCCTTCATGGCTGCAGTATCCTTACCAATGGCATAGTTTGCATACAACTATAGTTGATATTAATAACCATAAAAATACCTGATTTGAGACTTCAGGATGATCTTCTCTGGTCATACCCTTACCAATAGCAGACTTCATCAATCTTGATAAAGATGGCAACACATTGATAGGTGGATAAACTTATTTGTTATTCAATTATCTATCAATGAAAATTTGTCCCTCTGTAATATATCCTGTAAGATCTGGGATGGGATGTGTAATATCGTCATTAGGCATTGTCAAAATAGGAATTTGAGTGATTGATCCATTTTTGCCTTACACTCTACCAGCTCTCTCATAAATGGTTGAAAGATCTGTATATAAATAACCAGGGAAAGAACGTCTTCCTGGCACTTCTTCTCTGGCTGCAGAGACTTCTCTTAATGAATCTGCATAGGCTGACATATCTGTCAAGATAACCAAGACGTGCAATTCCTTTTCGTAAGCCAAATATTCTGCTGTTGTTAATGCCAATCTGGGAGTAATAATTCTTTCAATTGTTGGATCATTAGCCAAGTTCATGAACAATACGACTCTTTCCATAGAACCATTCTATTCAAAATCTGTTTAGAAAAATCTAGCTGTTTCCATATTGACACCCATAGCACCAAAGACGACTGCAAAATTTTCATCAGAATGATCAAGGACATCCTTTCCTTTTACCAATGAAGCTTAACGCACAATTTAACTAAAGTTATGGTTATGAAATCATACGCTCCTATTTCGTTGTGTGGCAAACCGTTAGCAGAAAACAAGGGAATTTTTTATCCTCTGGCAATTGAGTTCATGCAATCAATAGCTGAAATACCTGTTTGAATCATTTCTTAGGGATAGACTCTGGAAAATGGATTGATGGGTTGACCCTGAATATCTAAAAATTCTTCTGCCAATACAGGGGGACCTTTATCAATTGGAACTCCTGATCCATTGAATGCTCTTCCAAGCATCTCCTCAGAGATTGGCATCTAGAGTGTTGAACCTGTGAATTCACAATGAGTGTATAAATTATCAATTCCTGATGTTCCTTCAAAGATTTAGACGACAGCCTTCTTTCCAGCAATTTCCAAAACTTAACTAGAATAATGACATTTATGATTACCCTTTTCTCACTGATCCATCTCCTAAACAAACATTAACAATTTCTGCATATCTTGGGAATTTCACATTGTCCAAAATAACCAATGGACCATCCACCTTCACAACTGTTCTATAATCAACTCTGGGTGTCACATTATAATTCCTTGTAGCTGCAGCTGCATTCAATCGAGCTGCTGCAACCTTTGCTATGTCATGGGCCTTATGATGATGACTCATAATATAAAATAAAGATATTTATGGTTTTAAGAATTTATTAACAAATATTAATATTTCCCTTCATTTATTCCATGGTCAACTCAAGAGATATCCTCTATTTCTAAAAGGCATCTTCCAAATTCTAGTTAAATATATCGCGCATGTCTGAAAATAAAGAAAAAATATAATATTTATGATAAGTTTATTCTATATAAGATTGTTCATGCATACAAATCAATTGATTTAGTTATAAGTATTTCAGGATCTCTTATTAATTAATAGTTTCTTCTATTAAATCGACAAATTGACAACTGATTCCTTAAACAAATATAATATAGGATTCTGCGAAACCAAATTTAGAATTTATTATTCATTTGAGACAATTATAATTAAATTAACGGAAATATATTTATTCAATATTATCCAAATGATGATTGGAAGTATGTATTTATTTTGATTGTAAAATTCTTAAGATTTCTAATTGCATGACTCTGTTAAATAATAGACATTTTACCTAATATTTATTAAATCAATAAGTAGACAAAATGAATAGAAGGATTGTTTAAGTTATTTATTGTTGTATTTACATATAAACTTCATGATTTATTCAGATATTTATTTATACTTGATATCAATTTTTCAGTTTAAAAGTGACTCTATTTTAATTTTGTCAACTTCGGTTAAAGCAGATATATATTCTGATATTCTGGCATGTGTTGGAGATCCTTCGATCCTTTTCTCTAGGGAATCAATCTTAGTTTTCATTTGAATATTTTCTTTAGTCAATAAAGAATTTTCTGTTAATAGTTTTTTCTAACTTCACTTTAATTATTACATTTTAATCTTTGAGATTTTTGATAGTTCTTTACAATTAAATTATTTCCAAATCACGATCAAGTAATTATTTTTACATTTGTAGATTTGATTATTTTACAACATTTTCTTTGAGCTAATTAAAATACAAAATTACTTCTGACTTATTGTTTCTCCTCCTCAATACTCTCCGCTACAGTAGTTTTGGTGCAACTTAATTTATCTGTCCGTATATCCACGAGAGAACTCATCTATTAATTTTATGAATCATCATGCTTCATTGTAGAATTGAACTTCGATTCCTCTGCTTGCTTGAATAAAAGGTATAAGCAACCTATGTGAACATCCTTAATTTAATATCAGAGTAGGGAGTTCTTATACACAAAGTAGATCCACAAATTGGTTACTTATTAGGTAGAGCAGGAGCTCTGATGATAGTAACAGGAGAGTTTTTTCTTGTTTCAAAATGCTTTTACAATAAGGAAGTTGACTATCTATGGTAAATGTTCTAAGATGAAATAGACTTCTGTTTACTTGGGTGAGTGGCAACATATATTAAACAAGAAATTAAAATAAAATAATTGTACAATAATTTAAATTTAGATGAAAAATAAAAATTATTATCCAATCTTATTATCATTAAACTCAATTCTATAATTTTAGTAAGGCTACAATAATTATTTTATTCTAATTTTCTGTATGTGAATCATTAAAGGTTAGTCCCTCTCATAATACTCTTTTATTTCCTATCATTTTTGTTTTTTGAGAAGGCCTAATCATTATTATTCCTAAAATTTTTTCTAAATTTGTTAAGTATCTTAATAATCTCACTAAATAAATTGATTCAAATTATTATACTTAATTTGTTGTGCATCGTGTATCCCACTCTTCCATGAAATCTTGAAGTCATCTAAAAGTAAAATTAATTTTGCCGTTGCACTACTATTTCTAAGATATTAAAAAGTAACATTTTTTATTTATTTTTCAATGCTTTTTTGAAGGATCCTTAATTTATTCATCATCTATCTCTCAATAGTTATTAATAATCTAGGAATCAGTTATGCAACAGAGAATTAGCTCGATGAAATGGAATTTGAACAACTTCAAAAATTCTAGTTTAAGTTTTTCATATATACCAATTAGTTATAAAAAGCCCTTAGCAGCCTATTGTTTTTATTTAAAAATTAAATCTTGGCAAATGTTTTATTATTTTAAACTTTCTCTCACATAGGTTTTAAGCTATTAATTAATGCATTCTGAATTACTTTCTTAAACTAGAATAATGAGAAATGGTGATTTGACCATTATTTTTAGTATTTAAAAATTTTTGGAATCACAAAGCTTAATTATTTTATGAATTCGCCAAGGTACAGATTTCTACTATTAAATAAGAAGTAATTAATTTCATCATGTCGTCTTATTAAGGCAAAGAGTTTTATTTCCTTGTTGAATGAATATTCTTAATAATAATAACCTAAATAGATTAAGAATACATAAGTAGAACATCTTATTTTTGATATTTTAAACTCTTTTGAAACAAATGAGTATTTTAATAGGAATAGTGTAAGAGTGATGGTATATAAAAAAGATGATATAATATCAGTCAATTGATAAATGATATTTATACTTAATTTTTGCAATAATAAATTTTAAGAAAATCCAAAACTCTATTTTTTTCTTACAAATGAGTACATGGCAACAAATAGGCTATTTGGTTAAAAAAAATTTGTTGATCAGTATGAGAAACAAAGAGTTCCTCGTTGAGTCAATTTTACCAATTGTTGTGGCAGCAATGCTTTCATTAAAAGGTATATTAGAGATTATGATGATTAGCTCAAATATAGGCTATTTAGTAATTGATGCCTTTGCTATATTGTCTTGCGTTGAATTCCACACAAAGATCTATGTTGATTAAGTTGGTAGAAGAGAAAAGTAAAAGGTATAAAGAATTATAGAAAGTAAGTATATCAATACATTACTCATTAGATTATGGGCATGAAAGATAACGCATATCTTTTAGGTTGGTTAATAACTGGTTATATAAGAATTGGAATTGTAAGTATACTCATTATATTCTAGTCTTTAATAATATTTGAAGTCTGCTGGTATTTGTGTAATATTGCATTCAATATTGAATGGGATGAAGAATTTCATGTATCTTTTCTATCTATGTTGTGGCCATACGTATTATTTGCTTTTGCCGTAAGACTATATAATAAAATTGATAGGCTATGAATTAGAATTTTTTTTTATCCAGTTTGTTTAATGAAGTTAAAATAGCTGGAGAGATGTAATCATTTGTATAGATTGCTTTTACCTTTTTCATCTATTTTTCTTTTGTAGCTAAATTGGCTAACAAGACGATATTTTACATTATTTTGACCCTTGTAAGTCCATAATGTGGAATAGCCTTCTCCTATATATCAGCAATGAATAGTTCAAGTGGTAATGACTTAACGAAATTGAATTTATTCCCTACTGATATCATAAGTAGTACATATTCGACGTAAATGGCTGGAATCCAACTAGGAGTTCAGTTAGTTGCTTATTTAATATTGTTTTTATATTGTGAATAGGTGGTTCCAAATGAATATGGAATAGCTAAGCATCCATTATTTATATTTGGAGTCTCTTCTCAGAAGAAAGTAAAAGTGAGTTAATATGACCATGAAGCTAATTTGGAAGTTAATAATAGTGATGCTCCTTTAAGTTCTGCTATGTACACAGAGGAAATAAAAATGAATAAATCACCAAGTATAACAATTTAGAACTTGTTGAAAAAGTTTGGAGATTTGAATGCTGTAAATAATTTGAGTCTCGCTTTGTATGAATCCCAGATTTTCTGTTTACTTGGACATAATGGAGCTGGCAAGACTACAGCCATAAGTTTATTAACAGGAATGATTCAAAAGACTTCAGGTTAAGTCACCATGTATGGGATGAATTTGGACAGACATTTATCTGATATAAGAAAGTCATTAGGATTATGTACTTAGAAAGATTGTCTGTACAATGAATTAACGGTGAAAGAACATTTAACATTTATTAGTGGTATCAAAGGAAGGATTGACAAAAAGGAAATGATCCTAATTATGAAGACAACTGAATTATTAGATGAATAGGATAAATAAGTGTAAGAACTATCAGGAGGTTCAAAAAGGAAATTATCTTTGGCTATGAGTTTGGTTGGAGATTCAAAAATCATATTTTTAGATGAACCAACTTCCGGGATGGATGCTTATGCAAGGAGATCAATTTGGAATATTTTGGAGAGGATCAGAGAAGATAAAAGAACTATTATATTGACTACACATCATCTAGATGAAGCAGAAATACTAGCTAATAGAATTGGAATAATGTCTAAAGGTCAATTATTAGCAGTAGGATCTTCAGATTACATAAAAAGGAAGTTTGGAGAAGGATACAATTTAAAATTATCATTTGATGATGCAAATTTAAGAAACACAATCTAGGAGAAGGTTTATTAAATGGTTCCTAATAGTTTCTTAGAATCAGAACACTCTAATAATAATAAACTTGTATTCAATATTCCATTTTCTTCTAAAGGCAAATTAAGTGACTTATTTTATAATTTGGAATCATTAGATGTTAAAATTGGTTTAGAGATGAAAACTTTAGAAGATGCCTTTGTAAAAATTGGACTTGAAGATGAAAAGAGCCACTTAAATGATGTCAGAAAGAGTGAAATCAAAGTTGCTAAATTAAGTATGGGAATTCCAGAGAACAACGAAGATGCAGAAGAATTTGAAAAGGAGTATTAAAATATCCTAGAAGAAGGAGAAAATACTGAAAATGACAATAATGTCACTGAGTTTCATTAGGAAAAACAACTACTTCAAGATGTCCCAGAATGTTTAAAAAATGAACCATCTTATAAATTTTCATCGCAATTATTAGCAATCTTTTTAAGAAGATACTATACTGTGGTCAGAACTAGCACTAATTACTTCTCTATCATAATCCCAATGATTACTTTTGTTTTAGGTATGAGTACCGTAGCTGGAGTAGATTTTGATGAATTATTACATAATGTATTCCCTGAAATGGACATTGAAAATTTAAAAGAAGCCGTAGAATTTTTCAAGATTTCATTGCTTGCTAGTTGTAGTGTGTTGGCATTTTGTTTTAATGCAACTGTCTACATATCATAACCAGTCTTAGAGAAAGAAACTTATTTAAAGTAAGCTTTAATAGGGATGGGATGTAGATCTTTTCCATATTGGTTTGGTACTTTAATTTTTGACTACATGGTTTATTTATGTTACGTAGCCTTATTTTATATAATTTCTGCCTCATTGAATTTAGATATTGCATTTAAATATTGGAAGACAGGATTATCATGTTACATTCTCTTTGGTTTCAGCTATATTCTATTTGCTTATCTTATGGGATTTTTGTTTAAAACTCTGGAGAACGCATTAAAATTATATTCAATGTTTTGCTTTTTTGCTAACTTTTGTGTTCCTTTCATTGTAATAGCTTTTGTTGACTTCTTTTATTAGGAGTTCAATAATGAAATTGCCAAATAATTCATCTATATATTCTAAGTGCTCTTTGTAGTTGTATCTCCATTTTATGCCTTTTTTGAGGCTTGCACATTTTTAGCAGATAATTTTTAAAAAATTTATGATTTAAATCTATACTCAACTCCATAATTAATCCAAAGAACTTATATATTCCAATTAATCTTACTTGGGTAAATCATTATTCAAATATTAATTCTTTATCTAATTGAATCAAAAAGTCTAACTGCCCCAAGAAGCAACTCAAACTCAAAGCCATTAACTGATCAATTAGAATAAGAAATCCTAGAAGAAAGAACTAGAATTCAAAAATCTAAAAAATATGACCCAATTGTTTGCAAATTTCTAGAAAAAGAATATATTAAGGATAAACCAACATTGCAACAATTAACATTTGGGGTTAAGAAGGGTGAGATATTTGGAATTATAGGTCCCAATGGTGCAGGTAAGTCTACACTTATCAATGTATTCACTGGAATCAACTCTCCCACTAAAGGACTTGCTTTAATTAAGGGAGTAGAACCTAATTAACGCAATCAAAAGGTTATGTAACATGTAGGAATTTGCCCATAATTTGATTGCATTTGGGAGAATCTAACACCAATAGAACATCTACAACTCTTTGGTAGAATCAAAGGTTTAACTGGATAAGATCTATCAAAAGCAATGAAGTACTTTATCAAGACTATGTAATTGGATTTATTTGTAAAGACAAAAGCAGGATAGTTAAGTGGAGGAAATAAGAGAAAACTCTGTGTTGCAGATGCCTTGATAGGAGGAAGTGATATTACCTTTTTTGATGAGCCAAGTACAGGAGTCGATCCTATTTCAAGGAGATTTCTCTTTAATACTCTTTAGAGAAATATTCGATTAAGAAATTGTTCTGCTATTATGACCACTCACACAATTGAAGAGGCTGAAAGTTTAAGTCAGCGTTTGGGTATATTAATTGCTGGACAATTTAAATGTTTAGGAACTCCTTAATATCTTAGACAGTAAATTATATATTTTATTCATTTAGAAAATATAGCAAAGGATATCAAATTGAGATTAAGCATAACAATAATGAAGAGGTCTAGGATATAGCTGAGTAGGTTGCTAAAATGTTTCCAAACTCATAAATGATGGAAGATAAAAGGAGTGGATTCATGACCTTTAAGTTTGATGATGAAGATTTCAGTTTTTATAGAACATTCTAATATTTTGAAACACTGATAAAAGAGAAACTAATTGAAGATTTTCAAATTAATGAAAAGTAATTTTATTGTATATTATTTAATAGTTCACTTGAGCATATATTTATTCATTTGAGTAAGATCTAATAGGAAATTAATGAGAAAGAGGGTTTAGTATTTGATTGAGGATCTTTTTATTTGTATATTAATATTCAAAATCAAAACAAAAAAAGAAAAATTAATTAAAAATAACTCACAAAATTCATTTAAGCAATATTTTAATTTGCTCTCTCAAAATTTCTGGACTTAACAATAATTATTGTTATTGTAATTTTTAGTTCTTTTTGATTTACTCAATCAAAGACTTAGATAATTGTAACGATTTAGTTTGAACATTGAAGAGTATAATTTAATTGTAATTAAGCAACAATAGTAACATAACAGATAGTTATGTTACAAAATTATCTTAAGGATTATTATTTAGATAATCTACTAGACAATTAATTATGGTTTTTAAATCTTTAATGTCTTGAGGTGTATAGAGCTATTCTCTCACATTGTTAATAGTGATCTTATGTTGATTTAATAAGGACTCAATATCCTTTTTGATTGCTATGTGATTGGGTATGAGGTCAAATTGTATTTGAATGATTTTCAGTAATTGTAGGATACTATTTTTTTATTGGCTTATAGGAGACAAGGCATTATCTTAGAAATGATTGCTAAATGTTCGTTTTAATCTTAAGTTTGAACAAGCATTAAAGTACCCATTAGCTATAATGTGGTTAAGTGGTTCTCTAGACTTTTCTTCAATTTGGAATTCATTTACTTTTACAACATTAGATGAGTTTTCTTATTCATGTACATATTTATTAGATGTATTTGTAGAATTAGATTACAAATTACTAGGAGTTCTATATGAATCATTATTATTAGTTGAGTATTTTTTATTTGGAAGAGGAGGAGTATGTGCATTTTCTAAGAATTTGATAAGTTCGACTCTTTGGGTGGTGAATTTGAGAAAGGAATTATTATTTCTTTCTCTTTCTGATTCTTAGGTGTAGGCAGTAATATTTCTTTAAGGAGTGATTTTTCGATTATCTGGTTGTAGATATGAGATTTTAGTTTTTGTGTAGAATTTGCCTTTCTATCTCTCACTTGATTTGTCTGCATCATTAGTTGGAGTGGCATTGCTCATACTTCTATTGTGTCTACTAACAAAATGATAAGTTCCCATGCTTTCAGTTCTTTGCTTGGCTCTTTGATAAGGTTTGATTTCCACGAAACTTAAATTTTATTTAATTTATGTTGATTCTTATTATTGACTTTAATATTAGGAATACGTATTCTTTTGAATGACAGGTAATGCTTGATTGATTTCTGGTAGAGTTGTAGTTTGTTCTTGCATTCCAGCCAATGAAAAGAGTTGATCCCAAGAGATTCTTTTTTCTTCATTGATTTATAAACATCCCTTGATGATCTTGATAGTTTATTCGGAGACTTTTGGAAAAGGAGGAAATTCTAAAGGCTTGAGGAATAAAATAGAAAATGTACTTTGGTATCCAATTTGGCCATTAATTCAACTAGATTTTAAGAATGCCAAGGAGTGATACCATAGATCAATTCATAAAATATGAGACCTAGGGACCAGATATCGCATTTAGAGGTGTAGGATTGTCTTTTTAAGATTTGAGGACTCATGTAAAGTGGTGTACCTACTAATGAATTCATAATGGTGTCAATATGAGAATCAACTTATTTGGCAAATCCAAAATCTGTTATTTTGAATACACCATCATGGATCATTATATTGGCGGGTTTAATATCTCTGTGAATGATTCCTATTTTTAGTAATGCTTTAATGCCATGGAGTAAATCCTTTAAAACATTGATTGCATCATTTTCTGGGATCGACCTAATATTATGGGTTAAGTCATACTTTCTCTTTTTGAGGTATTCCCTGAGATCGCCACCGTTACAAAACTCAGTTACGATGTAAGTATTATTCACACTTTATAAAACATCAATCAATCTAACAATATTCTTATCCTCAATCAATTTCATAATCTCAATTTCTGAAGCAATGAGTTAACTTGCATAATCTGTTAGTAATATTTTTTTGTCCACTATTTTTAATGCAACAATCTTATCTGTAATAGATAACAATAAAAAATTACTATCAACAATGTTTCTTCCAGCATAAACTGTACCATAGGCACCCTTTCCTAATTTTGCTTTGAAACTAAACTGATAATTCTGAATTTTCTTATCTGGAGGGTATTGTAGAAATTACATTTTGAATTTGAAAAATAATTAAATAACAACGAATGCAATTTGCGCAATTCTTTATTCAAATCTCAATTATAATTAAATATCACTCATAAATAATCACATCCACATGATCAATTTCTATTTACTTTGTAACTCAAATCTAGTATTTTTCATTCTTTATTTTGCATAATCAGTGAGCAAAGTTAAAATAACAATCATTTATTCTACCTTAGATTTTCTAGCTTTCTAGCTTTCTCACATTATTACAATTTACTAAACATTAATTATAATAATTGAATATCAAAAGTATATTCATTTTATATAAAAAGTATTAAGGAGATATCATAATTCTATATGATTAGAAAACTTAAAGATGCATATATTCATTTTTAATCTGATAGATGTGTTATTGTTTATCTGAACCATAATTCATGGTTCCCATTAGTATACATCTTTATTATAGTAGGAATGCTATTACTAAATTTTATTTTTTATTTATATACTGCTAGTTATTGTGTATATATATAAATAATATTATATTTCCTATCAATCTAATGCATTCTTTCTCATTTGTAAATATTGCTTGATCATTAGTTTTTATACTTATATGATATGTCGTCTCTCATATTTTTATTATCCAAATAATAAATGTAAGTTTCATTAATATCATGCATTCTCCTCAATTTCAGAGATCTCTATGAGAATGATAAAAGCAAAATTACAATAAATTTTATTTATAATATGAAGTTTAAAATATTAATTGATTAATCAATGTCCGTCATCAATTTTAATAAAAATCTCAATTATTATTCGATGTATAATAATATTAAAACAACGTATCCAAAAGAATAATCTGGAAATAAAAATTATTGAAGAAAATTGATCAAAATTCTCTTTATCCTAATATCTCAACTTTAAATTCCAATATCCTAAATCCCTATCTTTAATAATATATTTTAAGAAATGCACGCAGTTCCTGAACATGTTACAATCGGACTTCCAAGAGAAGGATTACAAGCCTTCGATGATCATACAGAATTGGCCAAGCACCCAGCTCCATATAGAATCAAGGAAATCGAAGGTACAATTTTATATTAAGATGAATAGTCTAATATACCGATGAACATATCCTCGGAACAGTCTTCAAATATGCCGATGCCAAGGGACACACCATCGATGGTCACGATATTGAAAAATTCAAGCCTTTCGGACATTTGTTCGGTAAAGTGCACAAGAAGCACTTCAAGATTGATGATGGTAATTGTTCAATAATAATTCATTAGACGATGAAATCCTTGAAATCTCAGGACATGCTGGTGCCAGAATCAATGAGTTGAAGTTCAAGACATACAAAGGAAAGGAAGAATCTTTTGGAGTTAAGAATGGTGTTCATTTTGTTTACTCTTTCCCAGGACACACCTTCGGATCTGTTTCTGGTGGTTATGAAAAACATTTGGATTTCATTAGAATTCATGTCAATGAACTCCCCCCTGCTAAACATCATTTGAAAGTTATCATCATCAAGAGTTGAGTTATTAATTATATAATAAAATATGTAATCATCAATTAATAATACAACTATTACATCCATCCAAACAAGCTAAAAATAGAGATGTTCCAGAATCGATGTTATCAATTAAATCATTGCCAAAAAATAAAATACCAATAACACCTTATTTTAACTTAAATTTTAGCAATTTTATAGAGACAGAATGGAATTGAACAAAATTTAAAAGAAAGATAATCTAGAATTGCATGATCAAATACTTAGACTCTACAAAAACAATCAAGCAGCTTAATAAATCAATCTCACCATTTTTACCTAAGATAAATTGTATACCCAACCATTTATAAAACCAATTAAATCGTCAGCTGAAAGAAGAAGACCCAGATCACAATCAACTCATAGAAACATTGTTAATTCCCCTAAAACAAAAAGACCCATTCTAGGAGATGTCTTGAGAATCTCTCCCAAATATATTAACAATAGAACAACTATTTCATCCAAAAATGATATAAGATCTGTTAGAAAAAACATATTTTTAGATGCTTTGATCCTCTAATAGGAATCGCAAGATTTGTTCTGATACTTGTTATCGCAATTGAATGGATGTTTATAGCTGATATACAAATTAATTCTCTAAACTATTCAAATTAGATATGCCAAACGATCTGTTCAAAAACTCTTATTTCCATCTTTTATTTCTATTATTTTTTATAACTTCCTCTACTTTCATTGAGAATTCAATTCATTTTTAAAATAGATATTCAAATTAAAACTAATTTCCATATTTTCATACTCCATAATTCATCTCAGTCATTATTTTTATAATACATATTTGATTGATTTTCTATTTTCTAATTACCCAATAATTATTACAAACAGTCCAGCTTTATATGTTATTGCTAAAGATAAAATTGTCTAATTTTTTAATAATATTATATTCTTAATTTCTAATCAATTATTATTAGGGGAATAACTAATAATTCCATATTTATTTTTTGAACTCATCTTCAACTAAAAATTTATAATTATCAAGATAGTATTTGTGTTACAATTACTGTTAAAAATTTAATTTACTATAGTAACCTAATGTTTAATTTCATTTAACTTGAAACATATCCACATTTTCAATATAGTAAAATTTAAAAGAATGAAGTAAAAATATAGAGGAGTCTATTTAAACTTCAATCAAAGGGTTAGAAAGTAATCCCTTAATTAGTCTAAATTTATACTCAAACAATAAATTTTATTAATTTACAATAAAAAACATAGTTTTTTTTATATTAATTATTATGATATATTGAAATGAATCGAAAATAATAGTAATAAATTTTGATTAAAATGTTAAGATCTTCTTATGAGTTATTTAAAATTTCAATAGGATATTATTCTCATAATCCACTTTAAACAGAATTTTACTTAATTATTTTTAGAATACACTTCTTACTGAAAATTTATTCTATTATATCAATTTTAAAATTGGTCCTAATCTTCGTTTGTTGAATCTAGTAAATTTAGAAATTTAAATTTATTTATCAAATTCATCTAATGATATTTATTTATAAAAAAGAAAGATTTTAATCATGGCTATTTTAGAAATAAATTCAAAAAGACTCTCATAATATAAATAAAAATAAAAATATCTCTTTAATATAAGAATTCTTATTATACATGTTAACACTTATAGAAAAATCTTTGTAGAGGAAAGAATCAAATGAGGGTTGGGTTTTATTTTTCATTTTCTCTTGAACTGCTGTTTTATAAAAACATTTAGCAAATAGAAAAAGATAATCATTGGAGAGATTTACATAAAATTTGATGTCTAAAATGCATGAATAATAATTTAAATTAGTTTATAATGTACCATCCATCAATTTAATTAATACTCAGGTTAAATTTAGAACTTTGAGTTTTAATTTTAGCTTTTTATTTAATGCATTAGATTGCTGCTTTAATTTTCAAGCCCAGAATTTTAAACTTCTGTAGGCTTGTAGTTGGGTTAAACTTAAATTCCATATTAAGGGTACTTTGGAGAATTAATTCCTTGGATATTTGTTTATGGAGAATAAAAGTCCTGGCTTAACTCTGGGAACAAAGGTTTCGAATTACCCAGACTTAATTGAGGGTCAGTGTTCCAAGAATATTACTGTCGAAGAGTATGCTAAAAATTTAATTTATGGATTTCATTTTCTAAAGTTCTAACCTTAGAATCTAGTTATAATTATTTATCCTAATGATATAAATGTAGAATTTACTCTTTCTAAACTTAATTCACGTTCTAAAGTAATGTTTCTTTCACCCAAAAGCGAATTTTGAGTTCTCAAATCTTAAATATCTCTATCTCTTAAATCGCATTAATTTTAGATTCTACGTAGTTCATCTACCAATTTTTTTAGTTCTTGATTTAGTACCTATTTCTCTTATTCTAATCTTTCTTAATGTTAATATGAATTTTGAATTTGAGACTGAAGTGCTACAACATCTACTTTTATATTGTAAAATTACTTCTTTCTAATGAATCACTTTTTTTTTCATAAGTCAATAAGTCAGCATGCATTTCTTTTAATTTTCCTAAAGAAGCAGTTCTTTCATTTCTTAATTGGGTTTATACATCCAGAGCTGCTTTTAATTGAGATTCTGACTTAATGTAGTCATTTCCTAAATTCACTAAAGCAGTCTCCCTTTTCTTTAATTCTTGTTCCAACTGAGTTCCATAGTTCTTCCATTTTTCCAGTTACCCCTTTAGATCTTAAGACAGCATTTACGATTTTTGTTAACCTTCTTCTAGACTCTTCTCCAACTAAGTACATTTATTTTATATGAGTGTGTTTTGTTAAGTCATAGAATTTATTTTTTCTTTTAATTTCTTAATTTCTTAATCCTATTATTGGCATGCAGCTACCATTTTATTATATTCAGCTTTTGCACTTGAAATTGCTGCTTTGCTTTATTCAATTTATCTCTATTCTATTATATACATATAGTAATGATACATTCATTTAATTATTGATTTATCTATGCTATTTTACTTTCCTATTAAATATTCAGAGTTTGAGAAACTTGTAATTCTTTCTCCTTTTACTATAATAGATTGATTTAGTTCTTCAATTACTCATTCTATATATTTAGATTGGATTGACTTTTTTATAAATTAGATATTTAATCTTTTGCTCCTGATGAGATTTAACTGAGTTTTTGGTTAAGGATTTAGTTTTGTTCCTGTTCTTAATTTAAGTCTTAGTTGATTGAATCTAATGCGAGTTTCATTTTTCGATTATCATTCAATAATTACTCGTTTTTTAAGACTTATGATTCATATGCAAGAGTTTAATCTCTAATTTATGATTTGCATTTTTCTATGATTTCTTTTTGATTCTGAAGATCAGATTCTAAAAACGCATTTTATTTTTTTGATTCTAAAAGTTATTTATTGAGGCTTATAAGTTACTAATCTAAATCAATAATCTTATATTCAAGTCCTCTATTCATTTCTACTTATTTCCTTAATTTCTGTACATCTATCAGCAAGAATTGATCTTCTTAAACAATATTTGTCAATCTTTTATTTTCATTTTTTGAAATTAATATTTGATCTCTAGCTTAATACTTAATTATGTTACTATAATTCTTATATTTCATTCATGCTCGATTTGTTTCTTTAATTCAATTGAATGCTAATGTTTATATAAGAAAATTACTTATCATACTTTAAACTTTGATTTTCCTATTCGAGTGCTCTCCACTAATATCTACACATAATTATCTCTCTTACTTCAATGTATCAATTTCTTTTGTTAACTTTTGTATTTGCTCCGACTAATCTTGGTCTTTAATTGTTTGCTTTCCCATCTAAGAGTAATCATATTAGGTATCTGAGGCTAATTTTGACCCTATTTATTAATTCCTATGTTTAAATTTATGTGAGTCTATACTTATTTGGTTATGAAGAGGCTTAAGGAACTGATCTATAATTATTACAATATATCAATCATTACTCATTTTACTCAAGAGTATTTTGATTATAACCATTTAAAGTGTTAGACCCTATATATCGATTTGAATTGAATTTGCTTCTTTCTTAAACTGGTATTTAAGATTGCGAATTGATTTCAAACTGACTCATAGTAAATATAATTCAGAGATATTTTATTCATAAAACGAAAACACATCATATAAAAATAAAAAATATTAAAAACCTCGCTTTCTTTTCCTAATTACTCAATGTTCAATAAGAGGATTAGGACAAAAAAATTGTTTGTATTTCTTCTTTTTATCTATTTTCATCTTTTATTTCAATTCTTGAAACAAAATTGATAGTTTTTTAATGTGATTTAAACTTATCACACTATTTTTTTGACTTCTATTAAAATTTCTATTTTCTCTTCCCTCTTTAGTCTATCTTTTCTATAGTAATGACTATATTTCATTAATTAATACTTCTTTATGACAAAGGGGAATATTTATTTATATTTTCATTAGAATTTCTTAGTTAATACTCCTATAATCAATAAATTCTTGTAAATCACCTTTTTATAATGAATCTTTAATAAGTACTATTTTATTTAAGATTGAAGTAGGAATATTTTTAAATAGTTTATCAAAGAGTCCATCCACAAATATGTTATTTCACTCAATTAATAATATTTTATTCAGAAATCCAATATGCTATTGAATGAGTCTGGTAATCTTATTATAATAGAATAATTAATTGATTATTTATGTAGATTTGGTTAACTCAGTGCTAATATCTCAATTAATAATAAATTTAATTTGTAAATAAATATATTAATTGTTGTAAAATGCTACTTAATTCAACAGGTTAACGAAAACTCAAACAAAATAGTTTGTCCACTTTTAGAAGTCCCATAGTAGTTCCATCGAGTTAATAAGTTTCCCCTGTAGCTTCTGGACTCAATAGTTTGAAAAATCTTCATAGTCCCAAAGGATCTCAGATTGATGTCACCAACCTAACACGATTAATAAAATCCACTAAAATTAATGAGGTAATATAGTTTATATAAGATAGTCAGTAAATAGCTAATAGATATAAGCTTTACTTGCAAAAGCTAGGGAAATAGCAAAAATAACGACAGACTCTAAATCCTAAGCAGCAAAAAAGCATGTTAAATTGCAGAGTTAATAATTTGTAAACTTTAAAGACTTGCTTCATAATTCTACCTCCACCAAGATCTAACAAGAAATGTTCTTCTGCAGAAATTCATTTAATTTTGAGTTTGTCATTGGAATTGGTGGATTTGGTAAAGTATGGAAAGTTGAACACAAAAAAACAGGTTAAATATTTGCCATGAAAGAAATGTCAAAAGCATTGTATAAATTCAGTGTTATTTAGAATTGTGACAAAGAAGAGTGTCCATTCTGTTATGAATGAACGAACATTATTAAGTCAATTGAAGCATCCATTGTTAGTTAATATGAACCTCGCTTATTAGGATAGAGAAAATCTATACCTATTGATGGACTACATGAAGGGAGGTGACCTTAGATATCACATAGGTAAAATGAGGAAATTTGATGAAAACTCAACAAGTATTGATGCAATACTATTATTAAGAGTTTTTTATAGCCTGTATTGTTTAAGGATTAGAATACATACATTCAAATAATATAATTCATAGAGATATCAAACCTGAAAATTTGGTACTTGATGATAAAGGATATGTGCATATTACAGATTTTGGTATTGCTAGAGTAAGCAAGGCTGAAAATAGCTGTGATACTAGTGGCACTCCTGGGTACATGGGTAAATATGCAGCTTTACATTTTAGCTCCTGAAGTTATGTGTAAATAGAATCATACTTATGCAGTAGATTATTTTGCTGTTGGAGTGATTGCCTATGAATTTATGATAGGGAGAGTAATCTTAATATTCTAACTTAGAGACCATATGTTGGAAGATCAAGACAAGAAATTAGAGATTAAATTTTAGCCAAATAAGTTTAAATTAAAAGAAATGAAATACCTAATGATTGGTCTATTGAAGCTGTTGATTTCATAAATAGAGTATGCTCATACGCTAATATTTTAGCTACTTCAACGTAAACCATAAAATAGATTGGGCTTCAATGGAAGTTAAGAAATCAAAGAGCATCCTTGGTTTGCTAATTTTGCTTGGGATAAATTATAGAATTAATCATTAGTTCCACCTTTCATTCCTAATGTATGTGTACCAAAATATGTTAAAAGCAAACAGAAGATAATTTTGATTAGAAATAAATTATTGTTGAGGACGAAGAAAATAATGAGCTCATCTAATAAAACATTTTAGTCTTGAGAGATTAGCATATTTAAGGTACTTATATTTGTCATATGCGAATAGATCAATTCTAAGGATATGAATTTCATTAAGGATATCATTCTACTTCCACTGAATAATCTTCTGGTTCATCGACTAAACATAGCCGTCATCTAAGTGAAAGATTGCAATTCTTTGAAAAAAAGAAAATCATATGATCAAATTTAGTTTCAAATTTTTACATCATTTAATAAATAATGAAATAAAGAGCAAAATATATATGGATCTAATTTATCAATTTAGTTTCATTATACGTACTAATTTAAAAAATTCCTTCTAAAAATTTGACTTCACCTCCTTTCTTTCAGAGTCTCCTTCTCCTCTGTAAACCTGATAAATACATTGCTTTTAAAGAAAAAAGCCAGGGTTTGACACCCTTTTTCATTTTTAAATTTAAATTTTAAAGCTCCTCCAAATTCAATTGGTGATGATCGATATCTTTACATGTTGAATATCTCTACTCATAGATCTTGCTTTAGGAATTGGCAGAAAGAGGGGAGCAGAGAAATTTGTTTCGCTCTTTTTTTATTTATTCAAATAGTTTAACTTTATCTTTGATAAAATGTAATATACTTAATAAATTCTTTGAAAAATTTAATCAATTCCAAATACTAAAAATCAGAGGTTACAACACATGCTGAAGAGAATTAAAGGAATTTTAATCCCTCCAAGAATCAAATAAATTTTGATTAGATTAATCCAATCTAAGATTAAAAATTCATTAATGATACTCATTAGATTGAACATCCTACCTAATTAATCCGGGTTTGATTTTTATTTAATCATAAGGACCTGCTTTTACAATTTATTGTTAATAATTGTAGAAAAGGAACTTTTGATTATTAAATCACATTTATTTTCATTTCTAAACAATTAGGTGAGCATACTTGAAAATTATTCGAAAACATAGACAAAGATACAAATTACGATAACCATCTTTGATCCTTTTAGAGTTCATCAAAGATGTCATCCATGAATATTTGCCCAATCAGATGCTCCAAGTTAAGCATCTCCTTATTTCAAGCAGAGTTCTCTGGAGTTCAATAGTAAACTAAATAAAATTTTACCATTTTTGAGCTTCATTGAGGATTTTGTTAATGAAATAAACTTTATCATTTTTAGAACTCCTTAGAGGGAATTTTTTACGCGCCTTTACTTTTTGAATTAAAAGATTTTTTAACATTATAAATCCTGTATAAAGAACTTTTTTTTTTATTAATTAAATATATGAGTTCTACTTTTTTTGAGATGGAAATAGAGAGCGGAGACACGAGTACTCTCTAGATAGCTAATCTAACACTCTAAAACAGAGTAATTCAAGACACAACAGTTTAAGATGGATTAGATAATATCTTTGTATACCTTAACCTTTCAGATTCCCCTTAGGAGAGAGAAGGCTCATATGATATATATGAGGATACTCTTGATGTGAAAACAAAAAAGGATAACTACATTATAAAAAAAAATTTTCACAATTATTATCAATGCGGATATTGTGGAAAGGTTTTTTCCTCAGCACAGAGTCTTGGAGGACATGTTCAAAAGAACCACAGAACAACTAAAAATAGGGAAAACTGCAATCAAACAATCTAGTTGAGATAAAGACCTACTAGATTTGCCTAACATTGAATTTGAATTCAAATTCCCATATTAATATATACATCATTATTAATTTTTTGAATGGAATACATTATAATTTTCAAATTATTTTCTTATTATAATCAAGAAAATCAAGATATTTTGAGAATAACTAATCTGATATTATAAATTAATATAAATTTATAAAATATTAATCAGTTAAAAATAAAAATAAGAAATGTGAATTTCAAATTTAGATTCATTCAACATTTTTAATATAGATTCTTAATTCATCTCAATATTATTATAAATTATCATAGGGTGTATCCAAAACTATCATTTTTATTATTTTAAATATATTAATCATTATACCTAATAACAACTTAATATTTCTTGAATATGATTACAATAAAATTGATTTTTTTAATAAAATAAAACAAATACTTTAATAATAAAAGATTAAAATAATCTAACTCATTACTAAAAGATGATTAGTGACTTACTTTAGTTAAAATTAATTTACATTTTTATTAGCTTTGAATTTTAATGTCTGAAAAACTTCTTGATCGAGTTAAAGAATGGCTTTTTTTGTTTAATAAAAGGGAAAAGCAAGATGAAAAGAATTTATGGCTTTTTTGAAATTATTATTTATGTTTATTAAATTTTATCCTTAAGCTTGTGATTATTACTATCCCAATGTTTGGTGAATACATCTAGTAAAATAATTAAATAAATTTAATAAAATATTATTTATGGATTAACAATTAGAATAGGTGAGTGTTGATATTCAGAAAATAGTATATAAAAAAGCCATGCTACATGCTTGTAAATATTCCACTGAAGATGTTATAGGTATTTATTAATATAATGAGATAGGAATTTTGATTGGTTAAATTACAGATAAAAGTATTAATATTGTAGATGCATATCCTTTATTCCACTCAAGAGTTAGTTTAAACACTTTGGAAGTTTCCTTAGATATTGTAAATGAATGCTCAAATCATAAAATTAGATATCAAGCGAATTATAAAATGATAGAAAGATTATTGGAGTATATGAGGCAAAAGCAAATTTCAGGGGAATAATGAGTGAGTTAGCTAGGGAAATTTTAAATAATATCAATTAAAACAAAGCAATTTTAATGAGAATTTCATAAATTGAGGTAGATGATACTTTTGTTTTGAATGCTAAAGTAAGAAATTTGAATACAATAAGATTGTTTCGTAGAATGAAAATGTTAAACATGTGATTAATTCTTCAAGTACGTTGGAATGGTGGGTTATTTAGGATTGTTTGAAGGCTGGTCTTCATTGGAAAATTGTAGATTTCGATGCTCATTTTGAGAATGTGTAATTAAATTTCCGAAATCAGTATTTAGAATGAATTATATGAAATAGGTTTATAATATTCATCTTTACTTCCTCTATATTACTTAATGACTGATGTCCTTGTAAGATTCACCATACATATTCTCTGCTTTGATGCCAGTCATAAACCCAGTATATCCAACAATTGGTGGCTTTTGTGTTTCATACTTGAATATAAATGTCTAATACAGTTTGTCTGAATTTATCATTAGTTTCTAGCATGGTCTTTGCCATGTCTTGATCCATTTGATTTAAGGGATGTACATAAGGTTAAGGTTTTTCAGGAGGGACAACTTATTTCAATGGATGTCTAAACACTGGTCTGAATCCTTGATACCCAACGACTGGCAATCTATCAATTGGAGGGATATCATTAATTGTTTTAGGCATAGATCTAATAACTTCAAATAAAAGAATTACTAGTATGTGCGATAATTTCTTTCATTGACAGCTTTTTCTTATCTATGAGCATCTTCCAAAATTCTTTCAGCTGCAGTTTGAAGTTATGGTTTTCTTAGATTGGGTTCCTAGGTAACTGTTAAATTGATACTCCAAACTCAATCTTGTAACTTGTTTACAATCTTTCTCTCTCTTCAGAATTTGTGCATCTAGCTAATCTGTCTTCCATACATTCAGCTGTTATCTTTGCAAAAGGTTTTCCATATTATGATTCTAACATATAATTAAATGAGTACCAGCCTTTAATCCTCTCACATGTCCTGCATACCCAGGTACGTGTTGCTTTTATAATTCGTAAGTAGGACCCCCAATCCAAGTTTATCCTGTCACAACTTATTCTGTCGAAGGAATCAAAGAAATTGTTTTCATTTATTTATTTATATAAATATTTTATGACAATTAGTTATTAACAATTGATCATTTCAAATTAAACATTTTTGTTTCTTGTTATATTTTTTTGAATTTGGTTCTTGATATCAAAGTATTACTTTTTGGACTTAAAAATTTTTGACTAGTAGTTAATTTTATAGGTTATAATAATTATTGATAAAGTTCCGTCCCTCGAATTTGTCCATTCGACATTAAGGACGTCAAGATTTATTCAGATCGAGTCAATAATATTAATTAATGTTACAATTGATTCTTCATATTATTTTTTTTTTAAAACAACAGAACTTCTTAAACTCTTGGCAGAGATTCCCTAACATAAGGAAAAGTAGTTTCTTTTTTATCAATAAATTTATCTTTTAATTTTTTCAATCTAATCTACTATATTGTAATAGGTTTTAATGGCATTTTATCTAAAGATGTCTTTTGTGTATTCCGATTCGTTAAAATAGCTTTTTGAGTATCTAGTGTTTAAGTTTCGATAGATTATTCTAAATTTTCTGAAGTTTAAATTGGTGGGTCCTGAATAACTTTTGCAGCTGGATCATTTTGTGAGTTTTATTAATTCTATGCTTGAATTTTTTAATATGCAAAGATTTTTTTAGGATATCTTAAAGTACTTGGACTTAAAATTAGAGATTATTGAAGATCTAAAGATTTATAAGAACATTTATATTTCGGTGCTGCCCTTAAGGGACTTTGAGTTAATTAATGTTAATGATCTAGGGGTACTATTTTTTAGGACAATGTTTATTAATAAGTTTTTTCCATAAAGTCATATGGAGTTAATCTTAATGAATGTAGCTTTGGTGATTCAGCATCTAAATCAGGTAATTACTCCTAAGATCTCTCATTGTAATTTGTACATGTAACAACATCTTATTATTATTGTTCATCTTCTTGTATAGGTTTATAAAGAAGAGAGTCGCTTTCTTTGAAGATCTCTGTTTGATGTGGGGTAGATCGTTTTGAAATCGGTTCATCTGGAGCGATTTTTTTATTTTAATCATTAACAATGTCTTTGCTCCTTTTTTCATAGATTTATTTAATGGAGGAACAAAACTCCTTTTTTATTTCTTTAAGTTAACCATCCTAAATATCATCATCGGTACTATCATAATTCTTAATAGATTGCTAATATCTTTTGATCGTGTATGAAATTTGCTGATTTCTTTGCATTAGTTTATTCATTCGGTATTCAAATGAATTTTTGAGCATATCATAATTGAGAATAGGTTAAATGAGAGTGGAATTCATAAATTAAAATGAGGGCACATCTTCTAAACTCGTTATACTTTGATAAAGTTCTTTGTTGAGAGGCCTGGCAGTTGATTTTGGAAGGGTCATTTTCAAATTAAGAATTAAGTAAGGATTTAAGAAATCACAATTCCTGGGATAGAAGTATTTATCTTGGATAGTTTAGATCTGTTCGATGTCTATTTTGTAATTCATAATTTTAGGCATGATTGGTTCATCTACAGTTTTAATCGATTTCGTTATTTTTGATACTTCTAGTTGTAGACGAGACTAGGAATAAAAATGAATGGTATACTCGTTGTTATTTGAAAACATCTTCGATGGTGACACCTCCGTAGTTAATTTACTTTAAAATCTAAATAAATTTGATGTGGTCTTTAATATGGATGGCTGAATTAGCAGGGAAGTGCAATTTGAAGTATGAGAATGACAAGTTTGCAATTTGGAGAAAGTTATTCTGAAAATAGTCTAGGTCATATTATGGCCATCTTTCGGTTTTTAATATTTTATTTTCACTTTATTAGTTTTGAATATCAAGTTTTAAAATTTGAGTATCTGATTCTGTAATATTTTCACTTAATTAAAGCATTTTTGATAATAGAATAAGGTGCTCTCTTTTTAGAAATAATGACACTATTTTTGTTTTCATGAAATAAATATATTTATTTACAAATATTAGCAAATAAACTCCAATGAATTATGTAAAGAGTTAACAACACCAAATGAAATTGGTTTTAATGTTTTTGATATGAGTTGAGGATCAATAAAATAATAAATGGGAATAGGCAATTAGAGAATGAGAAATAAATATAAACAAAATATTAATATTAAAATTAATCATGAGATCAAACTCATCAGCTTATACACCATAGAATCCAGAAATCTTTCATAAAGGACACATCCATTTCTTCGATTTATTGTCATCGTTTCATGGTTTGGAGGATCAACCTGACTACCCAGTTTAATAACAAACAATTTAGGATAAGCTAAGACATTAATATCTCCATGATAATAATTGGGAAGATAGTAATGCATTTTACATTATGATTAGAATTATGCTATAGAACATGTTTCAAAATTCAAGAAAAAGAGTATGTTTAATTCTGTTTGGACAAGAAATGTTAAGGTGCTCCTTATTTGAAAGCAGCTCAAGTCTTGGGATACGTTAAATCTGGAAATCCTACACCCAAAGCTCACGGTCATCATCATCATTGATATAGATATAGCATTTACACATAAATAATAATAATAATATCGAGGTTGATTATGTCTTTGATTAACACAATTCAATTTATTGATTTGTTCTAGAACAATAAGTTGTCCTGATTTAAGTGCGATAACAAAGGGGGAGTGCTTTTATTTATAAATTCAAACTTATTATTATTATTATTAATGAAAAATATATTGAGTTATTTTTACGGATCATCTGTAATTGTTATTAACTACAGTAGGAAAGCAAAAGTACTGAAGTTAAAGATCCCAAACTTGATTAACAATTTGAAACATTTATTTTTGAATTTACTTCGAATGAATATTTCCCTCTCTATGAGAAATGGACCAAGGGAGAGGAATAAGAATACATAGGTCCTTTGTTATTCTTAATTTAGATTTCAAGTTGTAAGACATAGAGGATATTTATTTAAATAACTACGACTAATAGCTAAAATTTTAATAGGAGGAGACAAACTTAATAGATTATATTGTATAAGAAGATGACACTCTATTCGGATTAGAATTGAAATTCAATATTAGGTAATCAAAATGTTAATTCCGAAGTTAGAATAGGATTTTAAAAATAAATGATATTTCACCAGAGTGCTTTGTCCCTGGAATGAGAATTAAAGTTCCTGCTGTCTAATAAGAACAAAGTCAACCTTACTTTTAAGAAAGTGAAATTAATGATTTGCAATTGAATTAGTCCTCTTTTTATGGCAGAAACTTGATGGATGAAATCATGTCCAGAGGATAAACAAAAAAATGTATATTCCATTTTAATTGAAAGTCAATGTTTATTACGTGACTAATTATGGTTGTATAGAAGGAGTGTTAACAGTGAATAGCGATGTCATATTATTTGATCCTAGTTTTGTAGATAGGAACAAAGAATTAGTTTAAAAGTGTCATAGTAAATATCCAATTTAATTCATTCTAGAATAAAGTATTCTCAATTTTTAGGCTTGTCTTATGACTGAAGACGTGATATCAGTTGATTTAAATGAATTGCCTATGAGAATTGCAAAATCTACTTCAAAATGCTTCAAAGACTACTTAGTGATGGTGCATATAAGTGCGAATGTTTCCTGTAAGAAATTACTTGAAGTGTTGCCCATTCTGACTTTCAGAGTAAGTGTTTACAAATTACATCTATAGATTTAAAATGATGAGGATCAAAAGGAATTCAAAGTTCAAAGTATAGATTTATGTGAGACTTTGGCTGATGTTGTTAAAACAAAATCAGAAAGGATGTTAGATGAATAGAAGAAGAAGGAACAAGATTTAACCATCATTCCTTTTTATGATGTTTAGGATGCTACATTAATTGAGAAATTCATAGAAAGAACTAATTAACTTTGGGGAGGATAGGATTTCATTCCATAGATGGTTTCAGATTCTTAAGTTATGGACAATGATGAAATGATTTAAGTAATTGTTATAATTAGTATTAATTAGATAATTGCAAATGTTCCATCTATATTTAAAACATCCAATTGGAAATTAATTTTTTCAAATGTTATACATGGCTCATCTTTCTTGACATTGCTTAATAATTGTGAAAACCATTCTCCATTAATTTTAGCAATTAAAGATTTTAATGAATGCAAGTTTGGAGCATATCTAAATGAATCTCCATAATTAACATTTGGAAAGTTCTTTGGAAATGGAGAAACCTTCCTTTGGACTTTTAAAGTATTGACTTTATGAATAACTTTAGGATAATAATTTCAAAACGTATAATTGGGCTGAAACTAACAATTACTTCATATTTTGTGAATCAGATGGGTTGGCAGTTGGATGTGGAGAAAAGTTCGGTTTATATGTCAATCATTCTTTGATGCATGGAAACACCAATAAATGCGAGACTTACAAAAACGAAATTTTGTCAAACTCTAACGATTTTAGTATATAGATACTTGAAATCTGGGGATTAAGTGAATGATGATTGCTCTTATGATAATTCATTTTACCTGTTAAAAATTCGTTACTCATTTTATATTATTCTCTACACTGACAAATTATTGAGAACTATCAACCTTTTTGCACTGCCAATATCTGATTAACCTATTTGATTGAAAACATGTTTATATTTATACCCAGTCTTAATGAATAAATCTATATTATAATATTTATATTTATTCAAATCTAGAAAATTCCAAATTATTTAATCTTTAAAATTAAAATTTCTCAATGCTAGCCTAATCACCCAATTTCAAAATGAAATAAATGACTCCTCTCAGTGTTCATTAGAAATATCTTATTGAAGATGAACCAGATGATGAGATATTCGAATTAGAAGATAACACTAAAATATCATTTAATGAAAGAATGATTGTTTGCAGTTACAAACCTTGGCAAAATGTGATACAATTATAAAAAACGATTGAAAAACTGAAAGGATACGATAATATCAATTGGATCAACCCTGCCCTTAGTGGAGGATCTGGAATTCCCTCTCGATCTATTTTAAAGAACTCTTCTTTAATTAAGCTTGACCTTTTTTATTAAACTTGATTATTTTTCCTTTTTAACTTTATATAAGTATTTTTGGTTCATAAGGATTTTTGGTTCACTTAAATTTGTTCATCACGGTGTTACATATTTAAAAATACATGATACACTCTTTATGGAAAATGAGAGCTTTCTTTTAATCCAAATTGTTTCAATTGTCTAGATAGTGGATAAAGTTTGATTATAAGGGAAAAGCAAGGTTAAACTTATTAGAATAAATAGTATAGGGAATAAATGATTTTTCAGTTGAACTTAATTATAAAATCTAATTATTAATTTAAATATATTCCTTAACTTTTCTTATAAAAATTATTAAACATCTCTTAAAGAATTGGCAATTTTGAATTATAATTTTGATAATTAATGAATTTTATCTAAAATAGTTTATTCAAAACTCAGGCATACAAAACCCTATCAATAGGCTAATTAAGGCTATTACAATTAATTAAAACAAAGTAAATTTAACTTAGTCATCTTTCTCATCTTCAAATGGTATATTTTATTTGGCTTTAATAAGAACTATCTGTTTGTTCAATTCCCTAGTCTCATTGATCAGGGCTTATTGTTGATCCTGAAGAGCCCCAATATTTTGTTCCATCTAAAAGTTTTGGGATATCTACAAAGAATCCTTTTGCTTTCGTTAACTAATCGTAGATTTCAACACAGCAGAGACAGGAGTGCCATCCCCATTTTGGATTTATGAAACATGCGATGTAAACATAGGGATTCTTCTATCACTTGGCAAAGTAATCTGCATTCACTATTAGTACTTTAAAGATCATACATAAGAGACTGTTTCAGATTAAATGAAATCTGATACTTGCAGGAAGATCGAGGGAAGATCCTTAATTTAATCCTTGAGCAATTTAAATTAGTCCATTATTTCATACTAGTCATTAATTTCCTAAGGTTTATCAATATTCATTGAGATTATCCTGACTTTAACAGCCTCTAAAATAATAAAAAGCAGATACTATCGAAAATAGGCTCTTTGGTAATCAATTTGATAGTTTTGCTTTCTCCTGCCTTTAATATCCCCACGAAGGGATAGGATTTGATCTGTTCTGCAGCTGTAGACATAACCTTGAATGCAAGACTTCTAAGAAGCATGTATTAGAAATTTACTGATTATTTTCCAAAGGGTTTTTAATTTTAATATGAGAGATCCATATTTTATCATTGTTTGATAAAGTTTAGTGTTTGAAACTCAAGACTGGATTTTGTGCATGAGGATGCTCCAAGATTAAATAAGGTTTTTGATCATTCATAATATAAAATAATTTATTTAATTATGTCTAACACTAAATGCGATACAGATTTAACCCGATCAAGGAAGTTTATAATTTGATCCTAAGTAAATCATTACCTCTTTATTCATCAAAAATAATATTAATTGAATAAATTCAATCTCTATAACAATAAGGCCTTGATAGTAAAAAATATGTGAAGAAAATTTAACTATCAATTCAAAGTATTACAGGAAGCACTTGGATGATTTAAGTCAAAGATTTGAAAAAATTGATATCAAAAGCCTTGTTTCTATCATTAATAATATCTTGTACTTATTAGCATTAAGAATAAATTCTCTAAGTTTCCATTTTAAACAAATATATCAGAGGAATCCGTAGACTTTCAAATAAACCATAACATAAATTTATTAAATCATCCCTAAAGCTGTTAGTTTAATATTAATACAAATTGCTAAATGTATAGTTATTTTGGTGAGGGTAAGGAAACACAGATAAGAACATGAAACAATTATGAATAAGAATTCATTATCGTACACATATCGATGGAAGTATTAAGGTAGTTTAGAGTAATATTATTTTGCACCCCTTGTAAATTTAGCAGAATGACTTTCAGTTAGTTTAAATTATGGAAATAGCAAAATGAATTGATGGTGAAATTGAAAATTGTATAAATAGGACGGGGTTATTTAATAACCAGAAAAATATGGAAAATGTGCAAATTTAATATAAATAATCAAGAAATTTATTATTATTATCTATTTATTTTAAATTGTGATGTCAGATAATCTTTAAGTGAAATAGAGAAGAAGAAATTCACCTCAGGAAGGCGAATAGGATTTTGCTTAAAGACAAGAAAATAAATATAATAAAATTCAAAGGTATCTAATCATGAGTAAAAAGAAATGATTTGCAAGCGTATGTTCAATAGCCTAAAATTAAACGCAACAGAGATGATCAAATAGAAGATCATTAAGAAGATGATGATGAGAATTAATCTGAAAAATTTGGTGGCTTCGTATTCACAAAACCCAAAAGTATGCTTACTCTACAATTTAATTAGACGAACCCAAAAAGTAATATATCTATGAGCCCAAAAAATAATAGCCGCCATAATAAGAAAAGAAAGAATATTAACCAAAAAAAGAATAGCAACCCAAGAAAAAGCCAGAGAAGAAAAGCAATAAGTTTTAGTAATAATCGTAACAATAGTACAAATATATTGTAATAAATTAGAAAAGAAATATCTATCCAATAATTAGGTGAATTAGAAAAACTTCAATAGCATCTTATAAATTGTGGCATTTCGATTACTTAAGATTAAGAAAATAATCATTCTGATCTTGTCCTACCTCCTGATTTCAATAAGCCATTGTCCATCCCAAGTAAACCTATGGTAGCACCTCCTCCAGGGTTAATAGATAAAGATAAATCTTCTGATTTTGTTGACATCTTAAATCAATTATAAGATAATGATTCAGATGGTCAAATGAATTATGATTAACATTTTTCCTCCTCAGTTCTAACCAGAGGAGCCTTTCCTATTTAGACCTAACCTTAAAATTAATTTAATAATTAAAAACTTATCCCTAACAATAATCAAAACTTTCCAAATAGTTCTAATGATTAGAAAAACAAGGAAAAAAAGAAAAAAAATAAAAAGAAAAAGCCTAAAAACAATAAAAATCAAATGGATATGATTAATAGTCAACCTGATTTTATGAACTAAAATTCTGCTGAAATCTTTGATCCTTTCAAAGTTGCTCCATTTTCATTTCCTTAATAATAAATGGGTCGAAATAACTTACCAGATCCTCTTAATATTTCAGGTCCGACATTTACAACTCCATTAGGATTTGCCCCTCCTGGAATGATGGGCTTGGGTCCATAAATTGCTCCATTTAATTCTAATCTATTAGGAGCACCACAGGCTCTAGGATTCCCACCTGGACCTTCTTTGGGAATGGATCCCTTAGAACCAACATTTCCAATGGGACCTAATATTGGACCTATGAGAATGAATCAAATGATGCCTCCAAAGTTTAACCAGATGCCTAATATGGCTCCAATGCCTATGCCTATGTAAATGGCACCTCCTCCTTAGATGAAAAAGCAATCTAATAAAAACCATATGATGATGCAACCTCCTCCAAATTAGTTTGATGGCTAAGTGTTTTGTCCCCCCATGATGCCTCCTCCCATGGGTAATCATTTTTCAGACTTTCCTCCATAAATTCCTATGGGATAATAGTTCCCTCCTAATTTAATGAATTCTGGGCCAATATTAGGCATGCCTCCAATGATGCCCTTTGATGACGATTTTGATCAGAATTGGATGCCAAATGACGGGATGATATAAATGCCAACTCCGATGTAAGTATTTTCTAATCAAAATTTCCCAAATCTATCCTAAGCCTAACATCCAGATTCTTATATTTAGGACTCTGAAAAATATATGTCTTAAACTAAAAGGAATTTTGAAATAAAAAATGGAAACGATATCAATAGTGATCAAATGAATTAACAATCTTAAAATGCAGATGGGCAACCAAGATAAAGAAAGTAATTGTCTATCTATTATTTTTTAGAAAATTGAACTTGAATTCTAAGCCATTTTATCCAGTAAATCCTTGACTGCAATAATCCCTATTGTTTTATAAATATATATCAATTAATATTATTAAAACTTTTTATTTAGAACTATTAAATATTTACCTCAATGGAAGTTCCCAATTAAATTAGAGAGACTGTAACTGTTTTTGAAATTTGACTAGACTTAATTGAAGGTTGAAGAAACTAAGAAAAAGATCAAGGAGTTATAAGAGTATTTAGCTCTATAATTTGTTGAACATGAAAAGGAATAAGAGAAAAAAAAATTATAAAAAATCAGAAATGAACTGGCTAAGAAACATCATAAGAATAGATTTTCAAGTTTTACTAACTCCTTGCATCGACCTTAATTTATAAATTAGATTAAAGAGAAAGATTTGTTTGAGAACTAATCTGTTTTTATTAATAAAGATGTTCCCTAGTTGACCAATCTCTAAAAATCATAATTGATAACACCTGATAGAAACTAGAATCCATCCTATAGTATTAATATGAATGATATTAGTAATACATTAATTGGATAGACCAACAAATAAATAAAAAAGCGAATTTCCACCTATAAGGAGGAGATTCTTAAGTTAGAAGGAAATTAACCGCATAGAATTTTGGGATAAAAACTTCAGCCAATTGTAGGAAATAGAGTAGAAGGAAGTATGTAAAGTATTGATAAACCAAATAGAAAAGTAGTATGTTAATTGGAAAAATAAAGAAGTAGCTTATTGAATAAAGGGAAGCAAAGGTATTTAAACCTACGGATTAATGTTTAAGATATTTTGATAAAAATATCTCTTTAATATCTGAAAACCCTATTACTCAAAGATCATTAAGTAGAGTGTTAAGTTTACCAAAGATTAAAGAAAAAAAGGTTTGGATGCCTAACAATAATTATTTTTGAGAAATGAATTTAATCAATTAATTCTTTAAGTTGGACTAATTCTTCTTTACTCAATGATATAGGATAACTTCTGAACAATTTCATTAATATTTATAATCTTTTCATCCTTTTTTTGAGGTTCTTCTTCTGATTCATCTCTTTTGGGTAAAATGAATTTTAATTTTTTAACTTTATCTTCATTTTTTTGATATTTAATCTCTATTTTCTAGTTATCCTGTAACAATACAGAAAGTATTGATGAAGTTGGTATTCTCTTGTAATCTTTTGTCTGTCCAGACTGATAATTTTCCAATACAATTTGAACAAAACATTTTGCAAGTTTATAAAGGGAAAATTTAGAATTCTTTTTGGTCAAATAAGAAAAATAAAAATCAAAATAATCTATTCCAATCACCACTTCATTTTGATACCCGTCATTCTCTAACTTAATCACCTTAAACTCCTTATAATTGAACATTTCGAGTTTCTTTTCTATTTGACAATTCATGTCAGTTAAGGATTAAGATATTATAAAAGAATCTTTGATTCCTGATTAGTTGTATAATTCTCTTATGCTTCCAGCTGCTGTATTATGAATATTGTCAAATTTGAATGATATTTATAGCCAATGAATAGGTAATAAGTGAAGAGGGAATTGAAAATGCAAAGGTTCTTTGTAATCAATATTAATACAAGGAAACTTCAAATTAAAATACCAGTCATTTTTGTTGTATTTATTACCAGATCTTCTTTGCAACTAGTTATAAATATCTTCTAGAGTTGCATCTAAATGATTATTTAGATTATAAAATATCTCATTTTTTGTATCCTCAACTAACAAAATTATCGAATTAGGAAATTGCTTTTTGGTTATTTCAATTGTATATAAATCTATACCATATTTAATTTTATCCACAACTTCTAGAATTAAAACTTTATAGAATATTTTCTAACCCAAATCTAAATCAATCTTTTTGCTTGAAAATGAATTCTCTTCATCTATCACGTAAGGAAATTCTTAATATTATTGAGTTTTATCCTCTATTACACTATCTGCCTAGGAATTGGAAAAGTCAAAATAATCATCTAAACTAGTCAATTTATAAGCTAAGGAAAAATTTGAGTACTTTAGCAAATTTTGATCATAGTTTGATGTTCTTTGAAATTCTTAAATTGCTAAAACAATTAATTCGCAAACCAATATATTTTCATCAACTATAATCATCTTACTATAATCTGAATTCAAGTATTTGATCTGAACTTCTTTGAAGCCATACTTAAAATTGTTTTTCAAAATAGGTGTAAAGAGTGATCTTTTTAAAGACATCATAGAAAGAGTCTTAACACTCCTTTTATTATTTCTATAACGCTTAAGTTTCTCATTTTCTGATATCAATTAAGTGAAGGATTTATTATGGGTTCGAAAGGAGGTGTTACTTCTCTTTAGTACAGGTTTTTAATGACATTCTTCCTATTTATATTTTTAATCATCATTAATCTTTTGAATATTTTCATTTTCAATGATTTCGCTCCAACTACTCTGATTATTTGTTCTTATTAGTCTGTTTACATTGATATTAAGTTCAAAATCCTAGCTGTTTTTAATAATATTAGTAACGTTTGAACTCTATTCCTATTCATAACATTGTCTGTAAAGGATCTCAAAATCATTCCAATTGAGGTCTAAATTCTCTTTTTGACTAGTGTAGAGTGGAATTTTCGGATCTTTTTTCCATTTGATTGGTTGCTCGCAGATTTTTAGATAAAAATTATCCATAATAATAATATTTATATTAATTGAAATCACTATAATGCTTCATAGATTCCTAATTGATTCTTCCTAATTGCTAATAATTTATCTAATTTTTAATAAATTTCAAAAAATTATTTATTTAATTTAGCTTATGTTCTTTTATCATTACTCTATTATGGAATAAAACATAATTATTTAAAATTTCGAACAGAATTCTTGTAAGTGATATAAAATTTATTTTACTTTTTATCTTAAGAACTTTCTTTAATAGCCTTTATTTTAATAATTTTCTCAGATTCCTTATGATTCTTGAACATATCTACAATATAATTTGTTATATACTAGAACAAAGAATAATTTTAGGATAAATTATTCTATTGATTGATGTAGATGATTCGAATGTCAAAATAATCAATTCCTATTATTACTTAATATTGCTAATCTCTTTTTAATTGCATCAGTTCATACTCCTGGTAAGAATATATGGAAGATAAATAATTCCTAGATTCCATTTTAAATAGAGATTCCTATGGATTATAAGATTAGAATCCATCTTCAATATAATTAGGTTGTTTGAAATTTGAAAATTTATTGCTAATATCTATAAGTTCAGGAGTCTAAGTTTCAATTGAATATTTTTTTTCTAGAACTAACCAATGAATTGGCAATTCTTTGATTGGTGTATTCAAGCACAATGGACTGATGTCAGTGTGTATACAGGGGTATTTCAATCTTAAATAATAATCGTTCTTGGATCTTTTGTTTGTTGAACTGTTTAATAAATCAAACACATTTTCTAATTTTGATGTATTGGGACAACTAATTTGTTATCTTGATTGAGTTTGAGCATCCTCAACCATGAGTATTAAATATTATGGGTATAACTCATAGGTCTTTTTAAGAGTGAGTAAATCTATGCCAAATTGTAATTAACATGTTGAATTGACTACAATATCAACTTGTTTACAACTTAAAACAGATGGATAATCAATAGTTATTGTTCTATCTTCAATATCTGCAAAAGAATACTCAACCTAGGATGTGATTGCTCTCTTTATATAAATATTCTTATCATACTTCATCGCAACTGACTCTTCTAGCAGCAATGTTATCTTCATCCTTTTCAATAAAGCTTTTTGCACGTTATATAGGTTTTCTGAAGCGATCCTCATCCATTTCCATTTGATCTTCCAAAGTTTCCAATTAATAAGCTAGAGAATAATTCTTGTATTCATATAAATTTTAATCAAATCTGCGTTCAAGACTATATTCTTTTAATGCAAGTACTATGAACTCAATAGCTGTCATTTCTTTTTCAATGAATAGGACTTTTGAGAGGTTGGTTCTGAAATATTTGACTTAGATAGTGCGCAGATGTTATTTTCCGATTGAGTTTATATTGGAGGTGATAATTGATTTTTGTTTTCTGATTTGTTCGAAATTGTTGACGATTGCCTAATTGGCACGCTTCAAAAATAATTTAGATCTGTGCTATTTTGCCAAATGACCAAAATCTTTTTTAAAGGCCGTTTGGCTCCTTTTCATGGATCTCTTTAATTGTTAATAGTCTAGCTATTTGTTTTATTAAATTTACTGATCAATTTGCTTGATTAAAATTTGATTATGAAAGTTCTCATTTGATTATTGTGAACTTTGTTGAGATTCTTGAATGGAAGCTCTTCTGCAGAATATTTGCGTTTACCTTTACTTCTGTTTGGCTAAGTCCATCTCTTCATCAGATTCTTCTATGTTAATGAGCGATAGAGTTTCAGTTGAAATAAATTATAATTATTCCAATATTTCAATTTTACACTAGGGTGTTGATTCATTACTTTGACTAAGGGTATCTTAAATATCAAATTGATAATTTTCCATAAAATAGAAAATTTAATTGCTTTTTATTATTTAATTTGGAATAAAAGAAAATGGATAAATTGTAATAATTAATACATTAACTTTTCTCTCTTCTGGATGTGAATTTCTTCCTCTCAAGGGAATTTAACAAAATATTTACAACCCATGATAATGTAGAACAAATGGCTTAAGACAAATAGTACAAAGAATTAGCAACTAAATTGATTGAATTCATTTTGTCTATTCATAAATCCAATTAACAATCAGTATTATAGGAGAAAATTGCTCAAACCCATAAATTACTTAACAACTATCAATCTCAAGTGATACTTTAATAACAGAAGGAAATACCACAATTGAACAATTAGACATAAAAATAACACACAACCGAGAGTTTCAAGAGCAATTCCATAACTCCAAGGGACCAACAAGCAAATAATAGAAGAACTTCAAAAAATTAATCATTAACTGATAAACGATAATTTTAATAACAAATTACCAGTTTAAAAACTCAGAAGGGAATGCAAAATAGTGATTCGTAATAAAGGTTATTTGTTGAGCATATACCCAAAATGGGAAGATCTTTAGTTAAAGATGATTAATAACGAAATTTTAACATCATAACAGGAGTTTGATTGAAATTTTAAATATATATTTTATTGTTTTACATTTCATAATGTGATTGTTTTTCCATCTGTTATAATACCCCAACCAATCAATCTGAATTTATTACTTAATCTTCTACTGAATGCCACTTTCTCTTACAAACCAGTACACACTGGATTATTGAGAGCAACTCTCATTATTTTCTAATAAAATGAATTTTAATTTTACATCTTCTCTGACTTCAATGACTCTTCCAGGTGTTTCATTTGACAAAACATTGAATTTCAACATTTCATCTTGTTAAATCTTAGCTATCTTTTGTGTTTTTCCATCTTGTTATTGAGCACCCACCACTGAGACCATCAGATAATAATTGATCTAAATAATATGGTATATGCTTTCGTACTTCTAATTCTCTATAGAGTTCAGGTAATTACTTAGGGAATCCCAAAACGCATCCGACAAGATTGTCATTACGAGTCAAGGAGGGATCAATTAATAATCCAACTCCAATAAGACCTCCTGGGACAGCATAGACTAATTCATTTTGTTCAGCATAGAGAGAAACAACTCTGGTAGTAATAGGATGCCATGTTGTTTGATTGCCATTCTTGGATTGTCTACCTGGTCTGATTTCCACTTCATCTCCAACAGAGAGAATTCCTTGGAGGATTGAACCTCCTACAACGCCTCCATGTAAATTTTCAGGTTTTTCACCAGGCTTATTGACATCGAAGGATCTAAAATTATAAGTATGTATATATTACCTAATGATGATCATTTTGGGTGGAACTTGCAATTGTCTATCTGGGATTGGGAAAAAGTTACAAATTTGTTAGAGAACACAATCAATATTGTATTTCAATTAAGCGGATACTGGTATGATTGGTGAATCTTCTGCAATGGTTCCTTTAATAAACCTTGTAATTTCTTCATAATTTCTGAGAGCAGCCTTGCTTCACTATTAATGAAATTACCTGTTGATCTCTAAAGATAATATCTACTTTGTTTTGGATTACGATGACATATTTTAATTTTGTGATGACCAAGGCAACCAGATGCTCTTGAGTTTGAGGTTGAGGACAGGGCATGTTGGCAGCTACAATTAGTAATGCACAATCCATGACAGCAGCACCAGTCAACATTGTTGACATCAGAATATCATGTCCTGGACAATCGACAAAGGATATGTGTCTGACCAAAGTCATCACTTCCTTGCATAATTCGCATTGAGCATTGCTTTCCTTCTCACTTGAAAATGATTAATAGCATTGAGGTTCAGGACATTTTGGACATTTAAAGATTTTTGCATTGGCATAACCCAATCTAATTGTGATGTTTCTGACTCTCTCTTATCTGAAACGCACAGTGCTTTAATGTATTACCATATCAAATACTTAATAGTTGATACAGATCTCACTAGAGTTGACTTTCCGTGAGCCACATGTCCAATTGTACCCACGTTGATAGTAGCCTATCTACTAATTACTTCTTGTGAATTAGGAGTCAAATTTGGTATTTGATCATAACTTTATTTCAAAAGATGTGGTTAGCGTTTCATCAATTAGTCAACTTCATTATCTGTTAAACGTTGAGTTCCTTTTTTAAAAGTTTCCATGAATTAATTCTTTAATATTTAATAAAAATATTTATACAAAATAATTCACTAAATTAATTTATAGTTATATATAGATGTCTCCACTCACTCCTGTTTATTTCTAATCCCTATCTATTGATATAACCACTAAATTTATTATATAATACATATATTGTCTTTTTCAATATTACTTGATAGTTTTTTAATTAGCTAATAATAAAAATGATTGTTTGCATATTGATTTGGTTATAAATATTATCTATTAATGTTATACAATTTGATTCGTATATAACATACTACCCAATCAACTCTTATATGATAATTTAATTCAACTTAATTATAAAATTGTTATATTAAATGCCTTCACACACTTTAACATCTATGATATCAATATAATTATTATTATTATCACTTATATTTAAAATATTATTACTAAATATTAAGTTGGGATCAAACTCCTAAATTAGCATTATTGGTTAGATTTTAAATAGAAATAATTTTTAATTTAATTTTGAAGTAAAAATGTTTTCATAAGCTTTCAGAAGAGGTCAATAATAACCTTTACAATAGCAGCAATAACCGATGAATATTTCGTTCCATAAGTAAGTATCTGAGGTTATTTAGTTAATTGTAAGCCCAACAAACAAAATCCTTTTCTTAAACTCAATATGAGAAGGAGAATATTAGCCAATTTCTTGGTTCCACAAAAAGATAAAATCTAAATGAGTCCTTCTATCAAGAACAACAAGTACCTCAAATATCAGAGGTCTATCGAATTTTAGATCAACTGCAACAGATGATGATGGTGAAATTCAATGACTTCTAAGGTGTGATCAATGATCAAGAAAAAGCGATCAGGCCATTGATTGAGTAGAATACCCAATTGAATAACTAATTAACCAATGTTCTTTAACAAAGTGAGAAGATACTTTCACAACTCACAGCGAATTTGGAGAAGAGTGAATAGATCAATAATAGGAATTAAAAAAGGAAGAGCAACGAGTGTTCGGAAGGTGATCTGGGAGCAGTGTAACAACTACTCAAGACTCTTGATGACAGATTGAACAATTTATCAAATGAAGTAGAGATGATAGCAGAAACAAACAATAGATTCCAAGTGCGAGTGATGGAAGTTGTGAATATCGATAAGTTGGAACATCTTGAAAACATGTAGAGAGTATTGCAAGAGATGGATAAAGCAAAGAGGTCCATATCTAAAAAAATAAAGCGTTGACATTTTTCATTATTTTATATATATATGTGCTGATTATTATAATTCTGAATTTCTTTCAGTAGAATTATTTTGTTAATATTACACTTTCTAATTATTGTGAAAATCAAATAATAGCAAAAATTTAAGAGAGGAATAATGTAAGAATGGCGAATGTTTCACTTTTGGATATAATTTAGATAATTGCGAAAGTCTAGATTTGGAACTTAGAAATTCTAAAATAGCATAGAATCATGAATATACGCAGATGAAATATGAGAGGGAATGAGATGTGAGAGTTTGAGTGATTTTGAAAGTAGTGGGGTTGGTCAGTTGTTTATGAATTAATATATATTAAATGTTTGAAGGTCTTATTTAGAAAGTATTGTTAGCCATCTTCGGACGGTTTATAGATGGACTGGATAAGAAACAAATCAATTTGTCGTTTTTGAAGGGTAATTTGGTAATCGAGAACGTTTCGATAAAGAAGGAAGCTCTTGAGGCCTTGCAATTACCAATTGAATTGGTGTACAGTTCAATACAAAGAATTGAAATAAATCTTCCGTGGAATAAATTGACTACTTAAAGAACAGAAATAAAGATCCATAGTGTCTTCTTGTTGGTCACAACTGTGTCTGAGGACATGTGGGGATTGGAGGAGATCAATTATTATAAACCAAAAGCAGCTCAAGTGAGAGCCTACATCAAGAAAGTGATGGATGAGGAAATTAGGAAGCAGGAAACAACGACAGATAACTAGGAACGCGATCAAAAGGAGGCAGGGTTTTTTCAAAAATAATTAACAAGAATAGTTGATAATCTTTACATTTCAATTTCCGACGTGCATTTCCGTTATGAACATTGTATTAGCAAACACTCTTTTTCGTGGGGCATCACTATAAATCATATCACTTAATAGACGGTGGATTCTGAGTGGAAAATTTCATAAACATCTCCATACATTCATGAACGCAAGGACTCCACCTTCGTGAACAAACAGATACAATTATCGAAACTGGCAATGTATTGGAACTCCGATGATCATTATCTCATTTTGAGTAGCATCATCAAACCATAACATGACAAAAATATAGATGTTCAAAAAGTAATTAGCAAAATGGACCCATACAAAATCGACTTGGATCTTCGTCAACGTACAGTCTATCAGATTGATGAAAAAATGCAGGCCAGAATATAATCCAGGTTATAGTAAGAATTGGTCTACGAGCCAGATAATCTGACCATGGGAATCAAAACATCCAAATCCTCAAAATACATATTCTGTCTCAATGCTGTAGCTAATGTTGTACAAACCTATCAGAATTTTAGGAAAGTCCCAGAATACAAGATTAAAGTCGAATTACAGGAAATGGATTTCAAAATCAAGCATACCCAATATAAAGAGATCTTAAAACTTGTCTCCATATTCAATCTTTACTAATACAGTGCCAAATAGCAGATGGACTAGTATCTCACCACTGTTCTGCGACCTTAGCCATAAGATTTCCTGAAGATGGAAACGAACTCTCTCTACCTCCGATCCTTATTTTAATATCTGGTTAAGGCTTAGATCATGGAAATAAGAAGGAAAAGATTTCTTGAGTTCGAAATGAATGCCCTACAAAGAAAAACTACACCATCAGCCTTATTGAAATCATAGCATAGAGAGTTAAGACAGTATCAATAAATTGTGATAAAGACTTCAATAACTACATTGTAAATGTGGGCAAAATAAGCCTTGGAAATATATGAGCGAGCCAAAGAGCACCACCAAATTGAGTAGGCATTCAAGAAGGAAATTGAAAAAGCATATAAGCCATCAGCTTTTATGGATGAGGAAACCTATGTTTATTTAGAATTTAGGTTGTCAATTGTTAAAGGCAGTTTAAAATTATTACGAAAGCACAAGAATTTGGAGGAGGGATTCACCCTTTTGTGGAAGAATTTTGATTACTTTTTGCAGAAGAGAAGGAATAATTTTGAAGTGGAGTAAATAATACAAGACATGGAAGTTTAGATGTTCAGTGTTGAAGAGAAGAATGATATAATTGTACCGATAGTTAAGAAGATAAAGAGTTATGATATTTAGGAGAAACCTCTCATCTATTTCAAATTGGAGAAACATCCTCTATCCAGACCCAATTACTTCACTAGTATTTATTTGGATGTTCAAAAGATTGAATTCATGGTGTTTGTAGCTTCATTATAACGAGTAATTGCTTATTTTAGAATGCCTCCCCAAGATGACAGGCAGCAAGAAGGCAAAGTGAAGGAAAACCTAAGCAAGAATAAGAAGGAGCAGAAGAACAAAAATGATGACCCAGATTCTGATAAGAAAATAGAAACTCAAACCAAGAATTATATCAGTATTACTATTTAATCTCCTATCGTTATTATACCAAATCAATAAATAAATGATTTACATTCAGATTGTTGGGTATTGAAACTGGGAGACTTGGAAATAATCACTGTTGATGATCGGCAAGTTCCTGGTTTTATTAAATTAGGATCTGATCATTACAGAAGATTGGGTGTAAGTGGAGAAAGCATGGGGAAATCACGAATAGTGGAATAATAACCCTTATTGACTGTTCACAATGAAAAAAATTAGCTTGTTAGTTAGTTTAATTTTGCTCAGGTTAATTCGATTAATCCTTTGGAAAAGTCATCGTCACTCTAACAATTATAATAACCACAATAGCATTCTCTCTAATAGCAGCATTAAAGAAAGCATCATAAATCTTAGAATTACGATAACTATGTTATGAAATTAAAATCAGTTTAATTGCAATATTTTTCATCGATTCATTATTTTTACAACTACTAGAAATTGAGTTAAACTTCAAGGGGAATGGAGATCTTGAATAATCCATTGAGGATGAGATCGAAAAAGTATGATGTCTTGGAGGATTTCTCTATGGAATTGAATCTCTATTTCAAAAAGAGCAGTCAAGCCAATCTGCCTTAGACAAAGATCAATTTTGAACTGCCTTCTTTGACTGCTTCAATCAATCCAGAAGTGCCCTACACATTTTAGAAGTTGATGCAAACAATAAATGATTTGAGTGCTGATCAATCCCTAAGTAGTATATTGCAATAGGAGAAATCTAAGTTGATAAAATATAGTTCATGCAAAGGGATCCTGAGAAAGAGAGGCAAGTTCTTAAGATCTTGGTCATCCTACTTTGCAGTATTGTCTGGATGGTACATATACTTGTATCAGAATGAGAGTGATGTTGATTATAATCAATATGTTGGACTGCGAGATGTGGTGGTGTCTGAGGCATAATAAGATATTGGAGTGTAGAACTCGTTCAAGATCAAATCTAAGAAGGAGATCATCTACTTCTAGGCCAAATCAGCTTAGGAGAAGAACAGGTGGTTCAAATTCATTCAATAGAAGATCCATGACATCAAGACCAAAACAAACAATCTCAAAATTGGATCAGATAATACAGTGCCACAATAAAATGATAAGAGTAAGAGGGAATTCGAATAAACAACTAAGCAAATGCCTAAATTGAATGATGAATTGCAGACGAAATACAGATTCCAAATCAAAAGGTTTTAAATTGAATTGAAATACAATCAATAATCTGAGATCTTAATTACATTTGATTAAATCAAATTGCTCAGTCTGTCAGGAATAAATGATAATTATTAAGAATTCACAATTAGTTCCATTTCAATTGAGGATCATGGCCAATCCATTTTGAGATCCATCCATTATTCTCAACCCAATACTCCTAACATATTGAAAGTCAGACCAAGTATAACTGAAAATAAGTTACTGAGAAAAATCAAATAAGTTACAGACTATAAGGAAGAAGAAGCCTAACAAATTCACGGAGCCATACGAGTTCGAATGTGCAATACAGATTCTCATCAACCCAATCAACCTTAATCATACATTGTAGCTTAGCTATCCTCTTTGGAAGCTCATTATCTAGAGTCCTTTCTTGCCAAAATCAACTTGTTCCTAGTCCGTCCATCTTTGTAGAAGAGCAAAGAAAGTGCAACTGATTTAAGTGAATTTACAGATACTACACAACAAACTACAACCATGAAATATACTCAAATACCTGTTAGTGAAACCAAGTTCATGTAGACTAGGTAGGATTTGACCAAAGTGAATATTAAGAGTGTGAGATCATTTACATTGCAAAAGTCTTCAGTCTCAGATTCTGATCTGCATGATGGTCAGTAGGTTGAAAGCAATGAGAAATTACCCGAGAGTGTCATAAAGGTCTCCATTCTAACACAGGATATTAAGTTGATTGTGATTGTTTTAGAGAAAGAGAAGGACAAGGAAAAGCCTAACGAATTTTTATAATTGCAAGTAAACTAAATAGGTGCAGTATTGACCATTAATGATGATGAGTACTTTATCGAAGGACATATTTAGAAAATAGAAATTATTGATCTAAAGTCATTGTAAGGGAATCGACATATGTTTTTGGGGAAAAAGGAATAGAAGGAAAGGAAAAAGACTAAAGAAGAGAAGAGCAAGAAAAATATTGGGATTCCAGGATTAACTATATTCTCAAATAAGCAATAAATTGAAAAAGAGATGGTGTAATTTAAATATTCTAAATTCAAAATCCCAAGCAATAACAATGATGTTTCAGATGATCTTTATTTGATCGTCAGAGATTGTTTCATAGATTACTTGCATGCTACAATCATAAAGGTTTTAAGTTTATTAGAGATTGCATAGAAGAAAAAGCAGGCCAATTAGGAAGAAAATGAGTAAGATTTAGAGCTTATCAAATAGAGACTCAATTCTCCCTCATTTTTCAAGATCAAAGTCTTACTCGAAAATCCAAAGATACTTATTAAACCAGCTGGTAATATTAATCAGTCCTTTGAACTTCAAATTAAGTAGGTAAGTTTTGAGTTGGATGCTAGTTAAGAGAAAAATAAATTTCTTGAGATGTCTGTGAGAGCCAATAAGAAATAGATCCAAATAGTTGACAAATTGGATTCGCTGTGGTGGTAAATCATAGTTGTCTCTGCAGACACTATGAGAATATTGATTAGAAGTTCCTCTGAATTACAATACATATCAAACCCTTTTTCTGGAGTGTTACGAATCCAAACCCCTATGTTTGTAAGTGAATACGAAACCATATTTCCAAACATCGTTCTTAATAGGAATCAAGAGATCAGAATAAAAGTAACCGACATTCAACTGAACATATTAAGAAATCATTATTTATTCTTATTGCAGGTTATGCAAACCTAATATGAAATTTAGAGTCTAAAAACTTAGAAGAAAAGAAAACAACAATAGTAAGTTAAGAAATAGCAGAATCAGGCTGCTTTGATATTCAAGCTATCAAAAATCACTATTAGACTAATGGATGAATGCAATTAATTTGCCTCACAGGGGCAATTTCTCAGACCATTGGTGGATTTAAGTTTATTAGATATAGTTTTTCAATTTAAGACGAATATATCCTTGCAAGTTTAAGATCTAAAAAGCACATACTACCAGTATCCACAATAGGATGATAATAATTTGATAGTGAGAATATAACATGTGATCAATAATACTGTTTTGGAAAGGAGAAAATTAGAGGAATTTTTGGATGAAGACATTTTGGAAGAAAAGGTTAAGGAAGTGAAGGAACTGATTAATGAGATGAAGATGGAATTTTATAATGAATAACCAGTGAGCAGATTTGACATAGATGACAAATTGAGTGTTAAAGCAATATTAGGTGAGGACTCTACAGATGTCAGTATCAATATTGGTGAATCGAAATACTTGATTAATGCTTATTACCTTAAGACAATTGCTTTGTTTTTTGAAATACCCAAATATGAGGATGAAGTTAAAAGTTAATAGTCTCCACCTTCACAATAAACTGTTCAGACTTAAAACAGATAAAAGTAACCTTTATTGAATGTGAACATTATTTTACTCAAAACTCTAATTATAACACATAATGAAGCTTTAAAGAATTGTTTGGTTTTGCAATTGGATTCTTTTATCAAGTTGAATGATGAATTAAATAATGAAGCTCATCGTAACTACCATTTAAAGAATAAAGAAATTTATTCGAATCAATAGAACATAAAGAATAGAAAATTGGAGTTGAGTCTCACAATGTCAGTGTTTAATGCCAACTTTGCAGCCATCTAAAAGATATCAAAATAAACTAAGAAAAAAATGATATTATACCCAATAAAAATTGAGTTCATGAGAAACCAATTTGCTTGCGAGTGTGATATGAATTACTCTAATTATAAGTTAGATGGTCAGAATGAATAAATATCTAATATCATCATATAGGATTAATTAAGGTTTGATAAGATCAGAATCAATACTTCACACAATGATTACGCTCTAATACTACAAACAATCAAGTATTAACAAGAGTAGGTTAAGTTGTGCGACTAATTTTTCAGTGATGATCAAGAATCTTCAGTTAATGAAACCATAATTCGATAGTTGCCTATTAAACCATCATTGGTGACCGAGATGACAATTCTGAGTAGAAATGATACAAAAAGGAAGAGTTTCTTGCCTGGGAAAACACAATTAAGCAGATTAAAATCAAGTGTACTCTAAGGGTCTCAATAGAAGGACGAAGTAATGTAAGTGTTTTATGCAGCAGCGGATTAAGAGATGGAGATGGTAAAAGAGGAAGAGATTTTGTCCGAATAGGAGTTTCAATACGAAACAATAAAGCCATAGGTGAAAATAAGTAGAATGAAAATAAAGTTGGATCTTCTGGAGATAGTATTGGTTAATGATATAAATAAATCATTTGCTCCATTATTGCTATTTAGATTCAATGTGAAGAAATTTCTGTTTGATCAAAATTACATCAGCAAAGCATTGAAATGTTTATTCCAAATTGAATTGATGTATTTCAATCCAGTTGTGAGTAAGATGGAACCCATTATAGAACCCTACCTATCAGAGTTATTGATTGTACAACAAAATCAATATATGCAAACCATCCACCTTAATGGATTGACACCCATTTTGGATATGAATCTATCCACTGATATGATCCTCAATCTATACAAAACATTGACTCAATGGCAGTAATTAGACTAGGATGATGAAGAGGACACCTTCAGAAGAAATGAGTCCAAGAAGATTACGAGATTGGCTAGTATGAAGGGTATTTCCTTTAAGGAAAACCAAGACAATGTGACTCTCTTTTCGCTTCACAATAAGAGTGGGTATACTCTTAAGGTTTAGAAGAATGGAAGTGATGGTTTAATAGAAATATCAAATAATGATTCTAAAAATTATGAGGTACAATCTCACGATGAAGATTATGCTAAGACCTTTGAAAGTGACACAAGACTAATGATTAAATTTTTAGATGCTTCGATGGCTTAAAATGCTATTAGTAATGTTCCCATCAATTATGCTGGAGTCAAGAAATTATTTTGGAATGATCAAGCTTAATACTATGTGCTCAGTACTTAAATTGAGAATCTGTAGAAAACGATTACCATCTATTCTCCCTACATGTTTGTTAATTAAACAGATTGTGATTTGTCCATCAAATTATCTTGCATCAAAATCACAAAAAACTTCATCCTCAAACCAGGAGAACAAGCAGCCATGCCATAAGAATTGTATAAGGACGATAGTTTTATTGTGATTCATTTCTCTGATTCCAAATACACCAAATTAACTTAACCAAACGAACCCATATTCATTAAGAGGATATTCCATGACATTACCATCTAAATACACCACTATCCGTGTTACACCTTAGCCACTCTCAATACTACCTTAGTTTAGAATGTCAAATATATTGAATTTAAACCAGCCTTTATTTTATACAATTTATTACCAGTTCCTCTTTAGTTTCTATTTCATTCAAATGAAAATCTGGAAATTTAAAAATTCATCATCAATCATTATAAGAGACCTAACAATGTGATACAATACGAAAAACAATAGTCGGCATTGTCTAGAGGAAATTCATTGTCTCATTTATAGAATGATTAACATGATAACCTTGTGAGGTCAGTAACAATTACAGAATTTAACTACACAGCAACAATCAAAGTAGAATCAGGACTGATAGAAGTGGTTCCTTAAGGGGAATTACAATTGCATTGGTTGAAGAATGGGGATCATTTGGGAATCAATTTACACGTCAGCGGCTTCGAATTAAGTTAATAATAGGATATCACATAAGCCACTGAATTTGAGTTGAGAGACACCAATAATAGTTAAAGTTGTCACATCAAAGTCGAAAAAGAGCAGACCAAACAGACCAAATTGATTTATTTCTCAGTCCAAACTTGCATTATTAACACAACGAATCAGCGATTAAAATATTACACTTTGAAGGATGAAAAGCCGCTACTGTTATCAGGATAAAACAAGGAGCTTAAACCAGATAAGGAGAGCTTTGAGAGCAATTACGACAAGATCCAAATAACTGACACCATTAAATATTTAATGATTGGAGTGGAGGATTGCATCTCCAATGAAGTGAATGTTGGGATCTTGGGGTCTTTGGGATTGCAATTGAAGTAAAAACATGGAGGCATTGTTTCATTAAACGAGTTCGGCATTCACATTTCATTGGCAAATAACGTAATTAGAAAAGGTGTCTATACCAAAGTCATTGAGATAATGCCGAGATTTGTGGTGTTGAATAATACAGGTGTGCAAATCAATATTTGTTAATCGGGATATGAGTCATAACCAAAACGATTAAATCCGAACGAGAGATATCATTTGATTTGGCCTGATTGCAGATTAGAGAAATCAATCCGAGTATAGAAGTATGGTAAATACAATTGGAGTGGAGACTTATTTATTAATGAAATTAGAAGTACAAATTTCTTTTCTTCTGGCACTAATGAAAATAGTTAATAATTAAGTAACATTTCCATTGAACAGCAGAAGAGTCGAATATTCGAGAAATCAGGCATCTACAAATAGTTCAACCTGAAGAAATATGATCCTTAAGAGTTTCTAAATTATAAAGAATCACTGCCATTGCAAACCTCAATGCTTTGCTAATCAAGTTAGGACTTCTTTAAGGATTGCTTGTTCCTGACTGCCGAAATTACGAAGGTCAAGGCCACTAACTTCATTCTATTGGAATAACAAAATGAGGAGAATCAGCTCTACAAATTGGTCAACAAGTGTAGGCCATTCAAAATACATTATGGTTAGGATAGTTATAACAGCTTTTAGGAGTGGGTGTTGGATTGCGATTAAACAGTGCCTTTTTCTTGGGAACAGCCAAGTCATTCATTCAAGTTTAAAGTTAAATTTGTTTACAATCAAAAAGTTGAACACATTGAAATCATAGATTTCTAATAATAGGAGAGTCTTTAGGAGATCAAGTTTTCTAATTATTTTGTGTGGATTAAGTCTGAATTCTAAGGATAAACCAGAGTCATTACATTTTAATAAGTCAATGAAACTATGCGCAATATGACTACTTCTCACAAACGAGAAGTTGAGGATATTCACAAGTTAATTAAATTGTACATCTCTCAATTAGGTATCTCCATAATCACAAAGCGATAAAACATGCTTCTAGAAGCCAACTACATATATTTGAGTGGAATCGAATTAGGAATCATGTAGACCGAAAATGAAACTACTGCTCAATTGAGAGTTAAGTTTTTCCACATTGATAACAACACTTCTTTGGATACTACTACTCCTGTATTGATGACATTGAGAAGGTACTATCAAGTCACCCATGATCGAAATTACTACTTTTTAGAAGCTAGTTGTTCCTTTGAACATCAAGTCAAAGCCATTTTATTGTACAATTCCATCAAGATCTACATTCAGCCATTCCAATTACAATTTGACGAAGAATATATTCAAGTAGTTCTTGAAACCATCAAGTAAGTCAAACAATGTCTCTAAAACTAATTTGAATTAGAGTATAATGGATCACCTCACTCAATCAAATCTTTATGTTTCTAAACTCCTTAACAAAGACATTATTACTTGGAATCTATGTTTCAACAAAACTCATCCAACCCTTGTATTGTATGGAAGTCTCTAGAAATTAAAAGATCAAAGAAATAGGTTTACATCAAAGAGTTTGTTCTCTCCAAAATCGATTTACGATTCTCCTTTCATAAAAGATTCAGAACAAATATTTAATACGATGAAAATGTATTCAATCTATTTTCTACAGCCATTGGAGCTACGGTCTAAAACTTTAATGAAGCTGAAATCATCCTTGATTGTTTCAGATTAAGATCAGTCTATGATTCAAAAGAGATTGTACTCCAATCCATTTAAGATCATTATAAGAGTGAGATTATCAGAGCTATCTTAAAAATTATTGGCTCTATTGAAATCATTGGAAATCCAGTTAAGTTTGTTCAATAAATTACAAATGGGGTTGTTGACTTTGTCGAAATGCCCATACAAGGTTTACGACATGGTCCACTTGAATTTGGCGTTGGATTATGCAAGGGTACAGGATCTCTATTAAAAAATACAGTTGCTGGCGCTTTCTACTCTGTTAACAAAGTCACTGGATCTATTAGTGCAAGTGTTTCATTACTTACTATGGATGATGACTATTTGGAAAAACGAAGAATATTCATGTTGAAAAGACCTGATCACGTTTTGGATGGATTATCTTAAGCAGGTCATTGTCTTTATAATGGATTTTCTAATGGTATTACTGGTGTTGTCACCCAACCATATCAAGAAACTCAAAAAAACGGATTTAAAGGATTCGTTAAGGGCACCCTGAAGGGATTATCTGGTTTGGTTGTTAAGCCTATAGCAGGAGTTCTAGATGCTAGTGCAAAAGCAGCTGAAGGTGTTGTTTCGACTGCCACTCATTTCGATGATAAACCAAATGACACCAGAATCAGATATCCGAGGATTTTCTATGAGAAATCCAAATACTTTTAAAAGTATATCGCTTTAGATGCTCAGGTAGTTAATTTCCTTGTTGGCTTTATGAATGGAAGATATAAGGACATCGAAATCGTTACTTGCATTCCCTTGAAAGAATCTGAAACCTAACTTAACAACATGTAGAGACAAATATTATCTGCTACTAAATCAATTCATGAATGTTTCAAGTATACTTCTAAAATACTAATATTATCATATTAATATATTTTAGTACTTGAGAACATGACACTTGTCTAAGAGATTATAACAAAAGAAATTGTAGAAATATCACAGCCAATTAATGGATTCCTTAGACTCTCAACAGAATTCAAACCAAATATAGAAATTAACATACTGTTGGATGACATTGAATTGAAAAAAGCCACCTCATTATTAGATTACTTACATTAATAAGTTAAAAGTCAATATGATTGAAACAATTTTATTCTTATCTTTATTATTATTATCAATTTATATATACTGTTCATTGAATAAATATTTGAACATCTTTTTTATAACCAATATAATCAATACATTGACTTAAATTTTGGATTACTTTAGTATATAGAAGATTATCTAATACTTTTTTTTAATAATAATGATAATACTCTAAGCACCATTTTGTGTTTATTTTGTAATAAAAGATAATAATAATTATTGTTAATTTAATTAGCTAGCTTTATTGGAAATACTTTAATTGACTATTTAGAATTAAATATAATTTAAGAAAAAGGAAGAGGATTTTGTTATTAAATTGAAAATACAATATCAAATAAGGAGTAAATACTTTTTGATTTTCATAGAATTTATTATTTCTAAAAAATAAAAATGGCATTATCTTATCTTTTATATTTATAATGTATTTCAACGCTTTCTATGAACAATGGTTGGACCATTTTCATCGTATTCGCTTCTTGTGATCCACTAATTTTAGAAAGGGACGAGTGATGAAAGAATTTTTCCACCTATCCAGGGTAAGTATCTTGACTCAGGGCTGGCATCGACTTTGATCTTCATTTATGATGGTACAATTTTATCTAATTCTCTCTCAAATCTTTATTTGAATCCTGGGAACAACGTAGTACCTCCTGACAGGAAAATAGATCTATAACTAAGATGTAAATTTATAAATTCATACATATCTCTTCTACTTTCTTGTGGGCATTTTTAAATTTAGTTGTATGTTAATTCATATATTCCTCCAACTTCAAAACCATTTAATTTTGGTTTGAAGAGCAATTCAGGACATCGAAACATTTGGTCTTCGATTACAAGTATGTTTCCATCTGGTAACTCATAGGGTTTGTTTTTTGCCTTACTTTCCTTATATATCTTCATTTCCTCTTCATAATTAAGAGCAACATAGCATAATTTCTCTTTCATGTCTCTGGCAATTTTCATATCAGTAGGTGATTCTAATGAAATTTCCAATTCATTCAAGATCCTAACAAAATATTCTGTGCAAGCATTTCCTGCCAAGCAAATTCTAAGAGCAGCATATGAAATAACCTAGCCCTCAATGATTGGGATTGTGTATGTACAACTTTCTCCACTTTATACTACAAAACCTGTGGTTCTTCCAAAACTATAGAGAGCCAACAATGCTTCGTTATGAACCTAAAACTTTGGTACATTGAATGTTTCAAAAAAGACTTATGTAGCTTTCTCTCTGCTGGATTCTTAGAAGAACATTGGTTCAGTCAGAAGAACTGGATGATCTTTTGGATTGATTCTTAATTCATTGAAGAAAGCATGATTCCAAATACTTTCCATGTCTTCCCAATTTTTTATAAGGCCATTCTGAAATGGGGACTATATTTTTAATAATCCTCTCTTAGCTAAAGCCTCATCACCAACGTAGACATCTTTGCTGTCCTTACCAATCATTCCTTCATCTTTTGGTTTTCCTACAACTGCAGGGAAGCAGTAAATTGGAATTTCATACCAAGACAAACCGACTCTGCACGATCCTGATCCGTTATCAATAACGACTGCTAGGTTTTCATCATCTATATACATGTATTATGTAGATAAGTAAAAGATACTATTATTAATCAAATGGCTTTTTATTAATTCTATTAAGTATCAGGTTTATTTCATCAGTAGTTGGATTTGATTTGAACATAAAGTATGATTTCTCTTGCTTAAAAAATTTGATACCAATTTGTTATTATCCAAGCTTACAGAAGCTTTGGAGCAGTTGAGCTTGATGGATATTAAAATTTGGAAAAAGCTAAAACCGCAGAAGTGGTAGGTATCATTTATATCTTTTCCTGTAAAGGAAGTAATTAAAATATGGGAGTAACAATTTAGAATAAACAGTAATGTGCAAAATAGCGGAGTTTTTAACCTTGATAATCAATATTCTTAAGTCTATAGACCAACAGTATGGATAAATGTAGAAACCTATCCTAACTGTGATTGTGAATGGAAAAGCGATTAAGCATGCAATCGCAATTTCTTATTAGAAATTGCGAATCAATTGAAAGAACATAGCAGATCTGTAGGAATATGTTTGGACATTCATCTTCTGAAATTCATAGGGATATTCTCACTTCTCTCATCTTTCATTATGGTATCCTCATTATGATTAAACATCATCCTTTGCTGACTCTCCTTATAAAAATTTGATGGTTAAACTACTCTAAGCATTAAATAACATTCAGTTGCAATTTTAGTTTATTGTGTGAGTATTGATTTAAATATCATGTGTAAAAAACATACGATAATAGATTGATAATGAAAACCTTTTTAAGACTATTCCTCTTTAAACAAGTTGATCAAGAAATTTGTGGCTTTTATCACTACGAATTATTTATTTTTATTTATTTCAATAAAATTACATGAAATATTATAATAAATAATCAATAATTTGATTTTGATAACAATTGTTAACAATAATCCATTTCTTATATTATATTAACAAAAATATGAAATTGTGTCAAATGAGTTTCTTTTATTTAAAAAAATTCTTCAATTAACGAGCTTAAACAAAATTTGTCAATGACATCAAAATCAATGTGACTATACTAAATATAATTATTTTGTATGAAATTTTGCTAACATTTGAAAATCTTGTAGCTTATCTTTCTTCTATTTCTTTTTATTCATGCTAGAATAATTATATTAAAAACGTATACTTCGACTGAATTTATTAATCCATTCAACTTCTTTAGATGTATTTCAATAGGTTTCAAATCCTCCTTTTAAGCCACTAAAGAAAAGTCTTAAGCATCCATTCCTGTAGCCAAACTGAAGTTGAAATTTATTCCAGCATTAGCTAAGTTATGAACACAAAACTAATAATTTTCTTAAGTGTTATTGGTTGTAAATGAAAACTTATTAAGTTCCAAACTATGAGAGTATTGTAAAATGCTATCAACCTTTTTTTATGGGACCTTGAGTATATTGATTTATTCTTACATGTATTTTTAATGAATATTCACTTGAATTAGCCTAAACTGAGCCAACAACCAGACTATTTTATCCAATGATTTCTCCAAAGCATTTCAACTCCTTTGATCTTAATGGGAATGTAAACTGTATGCTCAAGGCTCCATAAAATAGAATTGCAAATATAGTAAACATTACGTGTTAAAAAATAAATAATAATCAAATTAGTGATATAAGTTATTTTGCTATTAGCTCATTCTTTTCAGCTTCACTAATAATGAACGGTTTTCCATTGTCATCTAGTAGTTGCATACCCATTTCCGCATCACATAATTGCTCTCCAGCATATGTACATAAAAGTGTCTTTTATTGTTTGCCCAAATATAGCAATCCTATGTAAATATGATATTCTACTTCGTTTGATTGCTTAATGTAAAGGGGATATGTTTTCGGATTACTTCTTTTAGGTATTTCCTATTTATGGTGCCTTTGCAAAATCTTCATTCAATAATCTATTAATGTTAATTAATTATGAAGATTTAAAAGGATTTTTTGGGGATTGAATTCTGCTTGATTTACCATCTCCAGTTATAAACTCAATGCTGTCATTGGAATCTAAAATTGAGTTTTCATTGAAATCGGCAAAGTCTTCTAGACTAATTTCAAATTGACGTGGATTTGGTTGTTTTTTCAATTTTTTAGATACACTTTAAGGTCTATTTTTTGTAAAGTTTAATCCTGCACTCGTTGAATTGGTGTAAAAACTATTGGATTTTAAATTTTTAGGAGATAGTATTTATTATACGCAGGGAGATTTGATAATTTTATTGTTTTGTGTTATTTTATATAATTCCTATTACTATTTTTAAATGATTAATTAGGACTGCTCAATCTCTTTCTTTAGTTCCTCATTTTATTTTAAGATTGATTTTATTTTTTCATCTTTTTCTTAAATCTTTAATGTGAATTACTATTAAATTTATGAAAATTTAGAAACTAAAGAATTGTATTGTTATTTAAGTTATTAAGAGTTTTATCTGGCAGTTTATTAACTCTGAGAATTTTCTTTTACCATTTCTAACATGGTTTCAATTTAGTTTTATGCTTATTGATTAACCTAAATCAAGGAGTTATTAATAGTGGTTCTAATTTTATTAATTTCATCGTTTTTATCAGAATTAATTTTTGCAATCAGTTGATGAGCCTATTACAATTGAGTTTAGTATTATTGTTGTAGGATCGTAACGGATTAAGCAATAATCTATTCAGCCCTGTTTCGGTCAATTTTTTATTCTAATTTATTTTGTAAAATTTAGAGTTCTTATTAAAAATGCTACTCGTCTTAAGTTAATCTAAGTGTTGTATTGGACAGAAGGTTCTTTGATAAATGTTCATTTTATTTTAGCTTGTTTTCTAAGTCCGCTTTCATTTCATCAATTTAGGAATTTATATTCCCTTGTAAATTGAGTACTTTTCTGTCTATTTCTTACATAAAATATGTGGTGTAATCATTAAGTTAAATGTTTAAGTCTATTCCTTTTATTTAGATTTAAATTTCCTCCTAAAACTTTTTGAATTCAATATCAAATTTTTCTTTCAAAGACGAGTAATCATGAACCTTTTCTGATAGTCTATTTTACAATTCAGAAACCTATTCTTACAAATCAAGAATAGCTTAATTTTTTTAATTGATTTCTTGTATATATTTCTATTGTTGCTCTTATTGTATAGGGTTATATTCCACGCTTATAGCCTTTTTATGTTGCATCGGGATGCTCTCAGCTGGTAAATTTTGAAATTAATTCACAATAATTTGTTCTGGATGAGGGATTCGAGTCATCGTAGTTGGACTTGAGGCTCTACAGTTATAAAAAAAAGTACCTTGGTTATGTTGGAAAGTAGGCATAAGTGACTGGTTGAGTCTCATGATTAGAAGATAGACATCTAATGACTTATCGAGTCTCAGTAGTATTCTTTGTGGAGTTTGGTCTGGGTGCTCTTTGATCATAGACAATGAATGGGTTTGCGATTGTGCAAACAGGTGGTCTTGAAGGCTTCATTATTAACGAATTAAAAAAAATATATAAAAAAAGCACTTAAATCAGAAATAATCAGCCGACATTGTGGAAAGTGTTAAAGAATTATTATCAAATCAATATAAAATTAAAATATCAAAATATTGATGAAAAAGAAATAGGGAAAGAAAAATGGCAACTTAGAGGATGGAATCAGAAGGATAGTGAACTTCCATAGATAGAATATTTCGGATATCATCTTCAATAAATTGACCCTCTGTATTGTGGAAAGTTAAAACATAACTCCAAATGAATTTGCAAGAAGATGGTTAATTGAAAATTCTACAGTTCGTACTGACAACCTTTTGGCTGGTTTCGTTGATGAACATTATGCACCTTATGTTGAACTTAAAAGCTTCAACTTTGATTACTAAGTCATAAATACTAAACTATTAGAAAGCAGTAATTGGAGTTATAAAATTCTGAGTACATATATTGAAATAATATTTAGAAAAATTTGTTACAAGTGCCTTGCAAAAAGATATAGACATTATACATTTATTAGCTTAAATGCAAGCAATCATTACTGGATTATTCTCTTAAGCAGATTCATCTATGGTTACATCAGTAATTAATTTTGAGCATCTTGGTCCACTTTAAGCCTTCTTTTATACAAAAACAGATAAAAACATAACTCTGTTTTGGGAAGTTGGAATAGATAAAATTCCTAAAATTGCTCGAGTGGCTAAAGAATATTAGAAAGATTTGCTAGGTTATGATTATATACATACAATAACATTCATTGATTGTAGATATGATTGCAATGTTGAATAAAATGCTGCAAAATTTGTTACAAATTATTATTAGGAAGTTAAAACTGCCATTCATAGATAAGATTATTAATCAGTTATTTCAACTTCGAAAAGTTATCAATCGACAAAGCATTCAAGTTAGGAATATTTATTCTAAATTGAAAATAATGATTTAGGAAGTTTACACGGCGAATTGGATTATAACAGAAGATAGCATGAAATTTTAAAATGGATGCCACATAGATTTCCTACTGTTTATTTAACAAAATAAGAATAGTAATCATTTAAATATGATGAATCGATTAAAAGATGGGTTAGTAAAGATTATGAAGCCATCTAGTAGGCTAAGAAAATGAGGGAATATTAAGCCAAGATTAATAAGGATTTATTAAAAAGATATGCTGATTTTTCATCAGCAGCTAGACTTGTTGAATTATTACAAAAAGTCCCTAATTTTAAGATAAAGTTAACTGAAGAAGAATAGGAAGTGGTTGGATCAGATGGAAATGTTATGGTTATTGGTAGGAGTGGGACAGGAAAGACTACATGTTCAATCTTGAGACTATTTGCAATGGAAACCTTGTTTAAACTAAGATTAGAGTTATACAAATAGAAACACGAGAATGTCCTTTAGAATTATAAATACGATGATGATGAAGTAAATAATAACGTTGGATTGCATTGTGTATTTGCAACTGCCAGTCCTGTATTGACTACAGAAGTGAAAAGATATTATTAAAAATTGACAGCGTAAATCAAAGCTGAATTAGAGAAGAAGAAATAAAAAGATCGATTGGCACGTTTACAATAAGAATAGCAAGCATAAAGAGAATAAAGTGAGAATTAGTTCAATTAAAGCACGGTTTAAATTGTTGATGATGCTAAATAGATTGAAGAAAATTACTTTGAATAATAAATTGGGGGAATCTAACTATAAAAAGAGTAGGAAGGATTCTAAGAGGATTTAGATGAGGAGGATTGGGAAAAAGAGGAGGAGAAATTGAAGTAAGAATTAAATGCTTTTCATTCATTTGCGGATATGTAAGATTCTGATTTTCCAGCTTTTTTAACAATTAAAAAGTTAGTGTTATTAATTGATGGGTCACTAGCAAATCCTTTCTTCTCTCGTACATAAGAAAACAAAATAGTCAACTCTGACACTCATGCTTAATGGAGCACTGAAAATACAGGAGTGATATTTATAAACAATTACAAAAAGGGTGGAAATTAAGATATGGAATATGACGAAGAAGAGTATGAAGCATTATTTGAAGAGAATGAACAAAACCTAGATGATATGGATGAGTATGAACTTGAATAGGAATATTAAAGACAAGTGTACTTGATGAACAAGCCTTAGTTGTAGGCAAAGGAGGAGAATAATATGACCAAACTCTCTTAGGAAGTGGATTTCGACTTTTTCCTAAATAATTTTTGGTATAGTAAAAAAAATAGATATTAAAATAATAATTTAAATCCAGCATTTGTTTGGACCCAAATTTACTCTCATATCAAAGGTGCTGCTGCTTCTCATACATATCCTGGACATTATATACCAAAAAAAGTATATATGAAATTAAACAAACAAGAGAACATTTTCGATGAAATCTTTGAATGCTATGTTCATTATGAAAAATGGAAGATTTAGCAAGGATATTATGATTTTATGGATGTAGTCAACCACATTCTTGTTTAATTAATCTGCGGAAAATGTCATCTTATTCCCATTCATTATCTGATGATTGACGAATGTCAGGATCTGCCTCATGCAGTATTGCTGTTGTTATGCAAAATAACTGAATAGGGTTTATTCTTCAGTGGAGACACTGCTTAAAATATCGCAAAGGGAGTTGGATTTAGATTTTAAGACTTGAAGTCTCTTTTTAGGAAACCTGAAATTACATATAATGCTAAACAAAATGATTTAAAAATTCATTAACTCACAATCAATTTTAGATCACACAACAACATTTTATAATTAGCAAACTGTCTTGTTTCCATATTGGAGATCTTCTTTCCAAACACGATTGACAAATTGAAAAAAGAGAGATCCAACATTTCTGGCCCAAAACCAATCCTAGTCAATGGGGATAAAGATGAGTTATTCTATCTCTTATCTGGAGAACAGGCAGATAAAAATTAGTAAGTTGGGCAGAGATTGCCTATTGAATTTGGTTGCAATTAAGTCGTACTTGTAAAGGATTAAGATTCAAAGAAAGATATTCCCTCCATTTTGCAGCATGCCTTAGTGTTAACCATTTATGAAGCAAAAGGTTTGGAGTTTGATGATGTGATTCTCTATAATTTCTTTTAAGATCATTACATAGGAGATACCTAATGGAAATTATTATAGACTTGTGAAATTCTGGAT